GTAAGTATGGGAGTTCTTCCTTTTGCCCCGCCCACCCACCCCTTTCAGGTAGGATAGCGACAGCTGGCTCGGGTTTCTACTCTCGAATCGTTTCCACCCATATCTCATAAATGTAGAAGCCGGAGCCCGAGAAGAACATGGTGATGCAAATAGTTTACTGTTTGTTGTGAACAAAACAGTGACGTCATTGCGCCACATTATTGTTGTCATTTTGAGTATCACCCGAATATAATCATAGTACAATGACACTTACAAGCGGTCAATATAGTAGTTGCCATTAACCACTATAGTCAAGGGTCAGTGACGAGACGAAGAAAAGAAGGTCAGGGGAAATGAATAGGGCCCATGGGAACGCACTGCCGACCATCATCCAGCGGTTCTTTGCGCAGCACTGTACAACAAAATGTGACCCAGCTTTATCTCAATTTCACAGTCGCTTTCTTTGTTATTTTCCTGTGTCCACGCAACTGTTTTTTCCGTATGGCCCACGTCACATGTGAGGTCATACGCAACTGGCCGACAGGCAACCCCAACGTGTAAGCATCTTTTGCAAAGTTTGCCAACATTAAACAGATATTATCAATACCCAAACCATTACAGTGCAAAAGAGAGCACTTTGCTGAAAGTGCATGGTTATCACGTGACCATAACATTCAAATTTGTAAACAAAAAATGTGACCGTCGACAGTCTTTACTAGGGCCTATGTAGTTAGAGTACGGACATTTCGAGGACCTTTAAGGCAGTTGAAAATAATTCAAAGTTGAAAATGCTATAAAAAATGTGCAAGTTGCGAAGTTGATCTAGGGGCAGGGTATTGTTATATCCCTAAATCCTAAAAATGTCATTCTCCATAGATACTTAATTCCCTCCCGTATATTGTTTTTTCTCTAATTCCAGAAAATATCGGCAATTGTAGTTTTGGGTACAAACTAGTTTTAATTATTATGTTTCACTACAGTACGATACAATTAATGACGTGTTGGTGTATGTTTGGTGCACATGCATTATGTATAACATAGAACTTTCGAGCTGTTTTGTCAAGGACCGTGACACACGCAAGTATTTTTTTTTCTTAGTTTGTAACGAAGTCTTTACAGATGGACATTTAAATGTCGTATACACGTTGAATTTAAACTGTTAAGATCTGGGTCACGGTGCTCATAGATTCCCACGCAAAATGCACGTAAACACAATCTGCCCACTTGTCATCAGTTCAAGGAACCGACAGGACCCCGTTTCAGCCTAAGGAGAGAAACAGGTGCAGTACCCAGGATACTTCCGACACAGTTCAGAGAAATTTGGGTTTGTTTGTATCTTTTCTTTCTTAACCGAAGGCCACGAAACTCAACAACAATGTACGCGAAATCCTCACAAAGCTGAGACGAAGATTTTGCAGGCTTGTGAGATAAATTTCGATTCTAAAACTGAACAAAGAAGTTATGATTGGCGAAAAAAAACGCGGTTCATTTCAAAAAAAGATTTTGCTCGGATCTGTCCGCAACCTATAGCTCTCCGCGATGAACTTGCGGCATCAAACAATTTGTTGAGTGCAGGCATGCGCACCACCTGTAGTCGAGTGTCAACCCAATTGGCCTAAAACTTGAGCGGTAATCTTATACCCGCGCCAAAGGCCTGGCTTGCTCAATGTTTCAATATACCTTTGTTCCCACCCTGTATCCAATAACAGTACTGAATGATAATTTTTTTCGGTTAAAAAAGGGAACCAGACTATTTTCCCTTTCAGTCCCGCTTTGGTTATGTTGATTTGAATGGGGAAAAAACAAGATGGCCGCATAATGATAATGGTCTATTCGGACTCCTCGGGGTGCATACCTGCAAATAAACTCCCATAGACACTAGTGCTAAATGCCCATATTTCAAAATTCTTTTAAAAATACTCAAAACTCTCACAGGTATTCAAACTGCACAGAAAAATGGTGATCAATGTGTCATCTTTCAATTTCTTTTCAATTTATGGTGGGTTGACCATTGACTTTTCGAGATATTATCACGCAAAGAAGACGACCCCTATTTTCCCCAAAGCGGAAAAGTAGCCATCTTGAAAAACGATCCCTCCACAACATGGCAAAATAGCGCCACTTTCGAGCCCAATATCATCCAAAATGCTCAGAATTGGAAGCCCCAAGTCCGGGCCAGAGGTTCACTACCATATCTCTTCAATTCCCCAATTTTACGGCGCTCAGAACTCTCTAATATAGAATATTTTGAGGGTATAACTTTTATTCATGAGCTTGGCGGATCGATTTACCGGTGTGTACCCCTCGACCAAAGACGTTTCCCGCCGGAATCGATGACGAATCACAAGATGGTGATCATGTTGGCTTCAAAAACCCAAGGGTATAGGCATGGAAGTAGGAAAGGTATGATTTTTGGACACATGTTAGCCCATGCAATAACATTCTATACAGCCTACGCCAAATACACCCAACAAGGTCAAAATGAAGTCATTGTTCCAAAAAAGGAACTGTTACCGAGCAATGCGGTACAACCAACTAACAATTCAACTAGAAGTTTTTGTGATGGTAAATATCGTGCGTCAATCGGATCACTTTCTTTACTTTCTCAAGTTCACCTTGTTCAATTTGTTCAATTTGCATCGTGATGAAAAGCAGGATATGTGTCACAAAAGCATTGTTCACGGTGGAAAACTTGAAAGGATTATCGCATCACGGATTCATGCTGTGAATTCACCCGTGAGGTGTCGGAAAAACCACAGGTATCCGTGTGTTTTGTTTTGATGTTAATCAAGATTCCGGTTTGTGATAATAATCACTTTTTTTTTTTTTTTTTTTTACACCTGATGTCTTTTCGCAAGGGTTAGATAATTTCTTTACGTAGTCGTCTTCAAGTATAAATTAAGCGGTTCCTTGAACAGGCTTGTTCAAATCAACCCCAACGAAGGGACAGTGCGTGTACTGTATGCAGATGGCTGGCACAACTTACAAGGGGGCGCCGTTAATTTAATTGCTGGTTTCACATTCTCATCTTTGGAATTGGACTCCTCCGATCCGTATAACACCAATTTAGTTCATTCAATGTGCCCTTCACCCTCCCTCCACAACTTTGCCATCAGGACCCTCTGTGCGAGATTTCTGCGCTACAAACACACATGAGGAGTTTGACATCACATCATACTTTCTCCAAGCAGAAACTTGAGCTCTTTTGATGGTTCTTTTTGCTTGATCTTCCAACAAGATTAGATGATACCATGACAACTTATGGGAACATTTTTCTTAGAAGAAGCACGACAACAGTGCACCGAAGGTCCCACAGGGAAACAAAATCATTAGATCCTGAAACCTAGATTCTACCGATGACTGCGGATTGTTAACTGCGAAATTCCAATTATTAAAATAAATTTTGTTTTTGTAAATCTGAGAACAAATTCGGGATTGTGCTTTAGGTCTGTAATTGGCGAAATCAAAAACTAAATTGTGCAAGTGGCACAGTCATTGTGAACAGCATTATACAACACTTACACGTAACCATACTTTCACAATTTATGGTTATCTAGGAACATGGTGTTTGATCAAATATTATACTGTTAAAACTTCTTATACGCGCACAAACGATTCTGAAGACAAGCGTAGCGAACAGCAAGATGTTCAAAAGCCTTCTTCGCAATCACGTGATGAAAGCACGGTAGCATTTTGTCAAGCAATCCAGTGGCTTAAATCTGTCCCTGCGTTTAGGGGACGGGTGACTAAAATCTGAAACATGTCCGGCCGTGGACAAATTGAAAAAGTTGGGGGGGGGGGGGCTGGATGGTGGACACCTTAAACTGGGCGGTGCCGTTCATGAAACCTATTCTTTCAAAAATATCGTCCGAATCGTCTTTTAGACGATGATACGATTGGCCAGAACACGGTGACCGATTGCCCACATCACAGTGTTGGTGCCTATCAAGTTAGCACCGAATTGTTTACAGGCCCTAAAAAAATACTCGATGACGTCATGATGACGTCAATTCGGATTTCAACTACCAGTATCAATACCTTTACCTACACTGGTTCGTTTATTTTGCCGAAACAGCCAAGAAAATCTTAGGTGACGTCACGTACTAAATCTCTATAGTACCCCTAAAATATTGGATCCAGTGCCTGAGGTGAATATATGGAAATTTGAGTTTTCTTAATCTCCACAAATCTTTACAAATTCCCTTAGGCCAAAAAAAAAAAAGTCTCCGGTTTCTGGTATGCGCCAAACTCACTGGTTTGACTGGAATCCTGCTGCTGCACAATTTTAACGTGTTTTTAGATGGGGTTATGATCGAGAATAAGCTTTATGTGGCCTCTCTGGACTCCCATATACATGTATTTGCACTAAGTTTAGTCGGGCACCATTTGCAGTCATCAGTCGACATTTGAAGCAAAAAAGTCAGGTAAAAAAAAAAAAAAAGCCGCGTCGCCGCACCACTTTTTGGACAAGCTCCATACCAGAAACCGGAGACTTTTTTTTTTGGCCTTAGTGCATAATGCGGTACGAGCGCGGCCTTTTGAAATTGTTGATAATCTTTTTTTCACTGGCGTGATTCCACCCACTGAACTTGAACCATTCAGGCAGACGACAGGCCGGGTCGCCTTTTTGAAATCCGGACCTTTGTTCCTTCTTCCTTTTGATGTAAGAGACGACCTTGAAATTATCAGGTGAATTCAGCGGCGACATAATGAATTCAGTCAACCAGAGAGTCAGTGAATTTGCATACAAATCACTTATGGAACATCAAAAGAGTTCAAACGAATTCTAGGCGGATGTCTAACAACCTGGCGCAAATAAACCCATCGACGCGAAGTGATACAGGTCGAGTAAAAATAAAGCGGAACCCAAAACCCCAAAATATATTTCACATTTGAAAAAATGTGTAGCACCAAAATTAATAATGACTGGAAAGCCAGTTTCATAAGCTACTTTTAGATGGTAAAAATACTAAAACTGCTCAATCCGTTCAAAGAATATATCATTTATTTTAAACACAAACTACCTAAAACAAATTCAATTTATTGTGTGTTTTGACTAGTCCAAGCTTTATGGGCATGAACTGGAATCCCACTTCTGACACCAGAATGTTGTTGACCCAGTTATATTGAGCACTAGTCGAAGCTTTATGGGCGTGGGTTCGAATCCCACTTTTGACAGCTTAAAGAACGTTAACGACTCTGCTATATCGAGCACTAGTCAAAGCTTTATGGGTGTGGGTTCAAATCCCACTTTTGACAGCTTAAGGAATGTTATTGACTCGGTTGTATGAAGCACTAGTCGAAGCTTTATGGGCGTCGGTTCGAATCCCACTTCTGACACCTTGAAGGAACGTTGTTGACTCGGTTATATTTAGCACTAGTCGAAGCTTTATTTCAGATCGACGCGAGTCCACATCAGGACATGTGAGCGGCCGTGTAATGAGTGATGCATGCTGGGATACATACATTAGGCTTGGGTGATGTATCGTCCTTCACATGTTTGTCTCTGGTATTTTATCCACTTTCAAAACTTGAATACTTTCTCTTGAATAATTGCCTTCCCTCTCCTAGCTTCTTTCCAGGTCTGCAGTTACGTTTCATTTCAATTTCATCACTTTGGAGGAAATTCTTGACTTCGCCACCGGCATCACACGATGTAGACCGACTGCCTGACTATTGACGTAGATTGTTTTAACCTCAACACTAGAGGGTGCTGTTCGCTCGTCACTTGCTATACACTGGACGTCCAATGTAGTCTGAGTACTGTCAAATATTTTTTCAGCTGTTACTGATGAGAATACAATCCTTTAGACCGTATTCAACCATCTTCGTCGCTGCTCCACGTATCTTCTGTAGCAGTCATTGTCTGCCCGTAGAATGTACGTCCCTTCTGCAAAAGTGTCAGATGAATGAGACATATTTACAAATGGGTGAAAGACAAGCGTAAGACAGGGGTGTGAGTGACCACTGATAAAAATAGCTGAAAACAGCTGAAAAAGGTGTAAAAAAGCTGAACCTTGGAAATCTCCTATACTTTTGTACACAGCGAGTGAGGGGAAAAAGCTGAAATGCAAAATAAAAAAAGATGGAATCAGCTTTAAAGCTGAGATTTCACACCCCTGATAAGAGAACGTCTGAAATTTGGTTATACACTTTTAAAGTTGTTTTTCTCGTGCTCTTCAACAAATTCACTTTTTGTATGTTTTCTTCCAATCTCAAATCCTTTTTTTTTTTTTGGCATCTGCCTTCCTCTGACGCAGGGGCCTCGTAGCCAAGCCGTTAGAGCGTGGGGCTAGGAGTGGAAGGTTGGCGGTTCGAATCCCATTCGGACCAAAAACTAGAAAACTCTCTCTGACGACCCAACAGCGAAAAAAATGGGTTTCGTTCAGGGAAGGTAAGACGGCGAGAGGAGAGGACTGGGCCCCGCCACTCATATGCCGCGCCCAAGACACAGTGGACCTCTAACATCCCACTGCCCCTACAGCCAGTAACGGCTATGGGACCTTTACCTTAAACCCTCTGAAAAAATTTTTTGATATTTTGTTTGGGTACACACAACTTCCATTGCACTCATAAAATATAATTATTTTAACTCATATAATTATTTATATAACATTTGATGCTTATGACAATCTCGTTGGTTTGTTGAACTTAGAAGAAACATGTGCAAGTAGAATTTCTTAGATGGAATATATTCACCTGCATCTTTGTGTTCCTTAATGGTTTTTGTCTTCTTACCTTCTGTTTCACCTGTTTCTCCTCTCCCCGGTCCACGACCCTCCCCTCATCGGGCTCCCACAGGAGGATGTTACTGTCATTGCCTCCACTGTAAACTTCCTGAAGACCAAAAAAAAGGCAGACTTTTAACTTCAGTTTCCACCAGAGTTATAAAGGCTTAATAACAATGCTATGGTTATCTACAGATGGACTACCCTTTGATGAAAAGCATGATAGTTGAGACTGTCTAGATTTGTCTGGTCAGGTTTCAGGAACTGCCCGTGTTAGTTTAACCCTAACCAACCCAAACCAAAGGAGTCCACTACGTTAATTGGGAAACCAGCCTCTTTGAGCAGCATAAGTGCAACAAGTGTACAGTGGTGAATTTTTGAGAATTCAAAAAAAGCTCTCAACAACAATGCCAAAAAGGTTAGGGTCACTGTAACTAATGGGCTCCGTGGGCCAACAAAAGAGGGCGCTTTTTACCTCTTTTGAGAGCTCCGTGGATTGACACACAGCGTGCGCATACTGTTCGCGCGCGAAGTACGCACGACTTCGGACTTATAGTTATAGTTATAGAGTTATAGCCGTGTCTTCGCCTGAGCATCAGGCGTCGTTGCCGCACGAATACTTTTAAAATTCAACTTGTGATAGTCTCCGAGACTAATCCCTGCCTCCAATAACTTTGGATAAAGTCAAATTACGCAGTGGATGGATCGGGAACCAGTCTAGGTCACCCCAACTCTCCTTTTCTGGCCGTTGATGGGTTACTTGTGCACGGAGCCCACACAATTTAATTTTCATCAGTTCAGTGTTCAAGGTGGCATGGGTGGCTAGTGTGTAAAGCACTTCCCTCTCACCCTGAGCTGAGTTTGATTCCCAGCTAGGACCACATGTGAGTAGAGATATGCGTTGGTTCTCTCCTGTGCCGAGAGAGTTTTTCTCAGGGCCCTCCGGTTTTCCTCTCTTCGAAAAACTCAAACACTGTCGATCTCTGGCTGTGCTACATGGTCACGGATGGGTAGTATGGCGGATGCCAAAGGCACCTTTACATGCCTTCCGCTCGACAACGTTGTAAAAGCGTCCTTTGCAATTCCCTTTGCAATTCAGCCTCTCAGCTGTGAGTTAGGGTGATTAGCCCCCCCCCCCCACCCCCAATTATTATTATTACCTGGAACAGTGGATGGAAGGTACAGCAGTTGACATTGCTATAGTGACCCTTCAGGTCATAGACCAGTTCCCCGTTCTGCACGTCAAACACAGCCACATCGGCAGTGTTGGGAACAAAGGCTGCGTCGGGCACGGCTCCTGACGACACGGCAAGTTTCACATTTTTCCGACCGTCGTTGGTGACTTTGCCAAAGTTCACCTGTGATTACAGAAAGCATGACAAAACAAACAACTAACGTATCAGCCACGACAGCCAGGAAGTACTGGGAGATTTTAAAATATTTCAGGAGATAAGAGCCCAGCCGCTGCTATACAAATAATGAATGTTTATGAGTGCAATGGTAAGAATAATTTCATGAGGTATCAAATCTGCTGAAAAGCACTGGGAATCAACTTCAATAAAGAATTTTAAATGTAGCAAATGATCTAATAATATTAATAATAATAATAATAATAAAAATAATAATAATAAAACGGTTCTTATATAGCGCATTACACAATGTCTCAATGCGCTTTACAACACAAAGCTTCACTCTCTCTACAATTTGAGGAAATTTGTGCTTGTTTGAATACTCAAAAACAAAAAAACTAAGCACATTCACCCATGACTGAGATCATTTTCATAAAGTTGCGGTGCTTTGTCGTCTGGTAGCACTTTTTTTGTCGTCGTTAACATTTTTGTAGATGCCAGTTCTTTGTTCACATCCTCTTAGCAGGTTAAAGCCTTTTATAGTTATAAAATAATTACTGCAAAACACTCTAGTGCCCTGTATTTATTGCCACACTTTCATTTTAACTGGCACATTCTTTGTGCAACTTTTTATCTAATATAAGATTTGAGGCTTTGCATGGTGGAGTATCGGTATCGTTCGGTTTGCGGTAACACCATGTGGTAATAACTACTGCTTAGCAGATATTTAGTTCTGAAAAGAACTTGTCCTGCTTATTATCAACTTTCACTAAGTAGTTTTTGTTCTGATAAGAACAGTCCTGCTTTAAGTTCTAAAAGAACTTGTCTTTGGACTCAACGTTTCGACTAGCCTGCTCTAGTCATCGTCAGGAGACTAGAGTAGGCTGGTCCCCAGATGAAGGTCAGCTGGACTACCTCCCGACGCGAACTTTTCAGAAATAAACCATGCTGTTTTGTTCTACTACACCTCATAAATATTTAGTAGCCTCACTGTCTTTTTAAAAGCCTCACTGTCTTGTCGATAACGGCCATCATAGATTTTGCATCATTATTCCGCACAGTTCAAGTTCTCCGTCACACGAAATAGTCTGGTGCCAACACTCTTTAATGTGTTTTTACTGTAGTAGTAACAAGGATTTGAACAACAGACTGGTTCCGTAAAGATTACATGCCATAGACTACATGTCCATGAGGCTGGTTCCAGAGGGAATTTTTGGTGCTACCAGAAAAACTACTGCACGGCAGCGAGCTGGATACTCACTGGGATGACGTCACCTCGGCGAGTATCATTTTTACTTCCCAGACGCAGGGCGGAATCGGCCAATGACGCACTCCAATTTGATCATGAATATTTATGAGGTGTTGTAGTTTCACATATCCAAATATTCAGTAAAACGTAGGTTTGAGTGTAAAAAGAATACTACATTATGGACAGCGAAGGAAAGGGAGATTTAAGGGTGACAATTACCAGTGTGTTCTTTCCAGTTACGACGTCCCACAGTCGGAGCCGATCATCAGTACCGTAGCTCAGGAGACGCAGGCCGTCCTCCGTGAAGCACAGACCGTTAACGTGCCCGCTGTGAGCTGTGCGCACTGGGGATTAGATTAGATTAGATTAGATTTCTTTACTGTCATGCTCAAAATTACATGAAAATTGAACTCCCAGTGTACAATTAAAAATATGTATACATACAATAATTTAAGAAACACAAGAAATATGACAAAGCAATTAAAGCAACAGAAAACAGCAACAAATACGTAAAACAAAAATGAGTCTCCGGAGCTTCGTACAATGGGTGGTCGCCGCAGTGCAGCGCCCTCTATTGGAGAATTGAAGGCGTTCGTCTGTACCCAACTGATTTGCATAAAATAGTGGCCGCATGAGGTCGCTGTTCGCGCTGTATTTCTAATTTACAGTATAGCGAGGATATGCCGCCAATCGTTTACCGCGTACGGATGAATAGGACGAATGCCTTGACCAGTGCTATAAATCTCTTGAATCATGTATGTACAGGGTGTGGCTGTTGAATGCAGAAACTGTCCGGGTGAAATCGTAACTGGGAACACAAGGCGTCTTTTTTGAGTAAACACGCCAAATCTTGACTGGCATGTAGGAAGGAGTAGTCCGGAGACCTGGCCTCATAAAACACGTGTATATGCGGACAAGCAACGGCCTCGTATATCTTATTGGTTCTAATATCTTATTGGTTCTAATATCTTATTGGTTCTAATATCTTATTGGTTCTACTATCTTATTGGTTCTACTATCTTATTGGTTCTAATATCTTATTGGTTCTAATATCTTATTGGTTCTAATATCTTATTGGTTCTAATGTCTTATTGGTTCTAATGTCTTATTGGTTCTAATATCTTATTGGTTCTAATGTCTTATTGGTTCTAATGTCTTATTGGTTCTAATGTCTTATTGGTTCTAATATCTTATTGGTTCTAATATCTTATTCGTTCTAATATCTTATTGGCCGTGTGCCGCATCTCGTTCAGTTTTATTGGCCTACTTCTCCTGCATACTCCTGTGTCAGGCTTAAAGGTAATGTACAACATTTGCTTTTGCTTCAATTTTCAGAAATGTTATTCAGTATGTTATAGCAAATATTGTTAAAATGACTTATTTCACGTTTTGGGCTTGTAGATGCTGGACAAACCAAGAAAATCATTCATTTTCTTGTAGTCTGGTTCCCTGACCCCACTTAAGATGAAACGGAGAATTTATAGACTTTGGGGGAATTGTAAGTTCAAAGAATCAGTCTAGCAGGCTTGTACCCCTTCACAGGTGTGTAATCAATTGCAAATAGTTTTTGCAGTTTTTGCAGCAAAGAGTTTGCAAGCAGTTTTTGAAAAAAGCCAGTTTTCTCCAACGCTGGTCGGCTGACCAGCATTGGAAAAATACAATTTTTCTTGAAAATGTTGGCACACCAGGAGCCACGATTTTACAGGATGCTTTAGACTGTCATTCCCTAACAATCCAGTAAGGTATTTTGTGATAATTTGATCATTTCGTTTTGAGATGTTTGCAAATGTTGTATCTTCCCTTTAATGCAGCAGCCTGTTGCTAAATATGTCAAGCAGGTTGACCCCTATGTCATTGGTCAATCTGACAATCGGTGCTATGGCAGTTATCAGCACCATTTTGAGTCTGTGTTCGGCTAACGTACCAGCAGTAGATGAGTGTCCCACAGCTTCGCCATTGTGTTGATCCAAAGCCATCAGGCATCCCTTGGCTTTACGGATGTCCCACAACATCAGCTTGTTGTCCTGACTGAAAAGGAAATCAGTTACAGACATTAAACAAAGACCAACCAACTATCATGCAAAAGCAACTCAGACATTTAAAAGAAATAAAATGGCCATCATCATGTTCAAAGTCACAGACAATCAAAACATTCCATCCGCTTCCCCTGCCATGCCTTATACACAGGCTAGTCGCAAAAAGTCAGATTATATTTCAAGCAAGCAATGTGACTAGTGAAATTCAGTCAACAGACAAAAGCAGGCAAGTGGTAAGTACAGCTGGCCTATCAATCACCTACAGTCAAAGCACATCTGTATCAAGTTACCTAAACAGTCACAGCCAGTCAATCCTGCTTTATGTAGGCTGGGAGGTCTTAACTGTTGAAAACAGTCACTTAATTGATATTGACTGCAAGGACAACTTGGCACAAAATGTTGCATAGGAGGGTTAAACTATAACCTGTTCTGGGGAAAACTGTTAAATGGAATGCCACCAGTGAAGTGATAAAGTGAACATATAAAAACCACTTTTGTCAATTTTGGAATGATAATATTGGTTCATGTGAAAGACTGATGCACAGCATATGCAGCACTTTTTAACTGAAGATGTATAAATTAGAGGTTTCTCGGAAGAAATAGAGGGTCACACTCAAGTGTTAAGTGCACAGCTGTATAAAGTCACTCCTCAACAAATTACAGTGGCCTGATTTTTCACCCTTAGCAAGGCCTTCTTCAGAGGCAAATGAAGAAGGCCTTGCTAAGGGATGAAATATGTGGCCAATCCTATTTTTTGATTAGTATATTCCATGTCAATCCGGTCGGTGAATAGTTGAATAGCAAGTTGACTGCACTGTCGGATGTAATTAAATTGGATATATCGGGGTTTCTCATTGGGCTCTGTGCCTGAACAAGAGAGGGCGCTCTTTGACAGCCCAGCGGCTGGGACAGTGTGTATGTACTGGTTCGCAGACGTAAAGGGTAAAGATTTCTTTCATTCTGAGCGTATGGCATCATCGTCAATCGCGTTCGAATGTCTCTCCCAAGGGTCTCCCCAACTTTCCCTTTCTTAACATTGAGGGGGTACTTGTACACAGAGCCTGTAACCAAATCGTCAGCAACACCACAAAGTAACACCCATCTACATACCAGTAAAAACTAGCAATCGGAGAAAACGGCATCTAAAGTTGAACGCCTTCTAAAACAACACTTTGCGTCAAAGCAGCAGGGTATTTTCAGATGGGTTTCTCCTTGTGGACACTTGATGAATTGAATTATCAATTTATAAAATCTGCTGTTTTGCACCCGTTTGTGTATTAAATCAACAAGAAATAAGAGAAAAAAGGTGAGTGTTACTTCGTGAAACTGAGAAAGCTGCGAAACTGTAAATTTTTCGCTTTTCACGAAGTAACATTCTTCAATGTATACAACATGAGGAAAGTGCAACTTTAGGTCAGCGTGCGCGCGCTCATACAAGTAGAGTGTTACTTCGTGAAAACGTTTTTGCTCACATTTGAGCAGAGTGCGCGCCATGCATTGCAATGGTAAATGGAACTCGAGTGTTACTTCGTGAAAACGAAAATTGTCACTTTTGTACAAAAGTTGCCATGGATAATTAGCGTAATTATTAAAGTAAAGCTCTTGAAGCTTTGAAACTTCGTCCACTGGTAGGCCTTGATGAGTAATGTTTAAAAATTTAAAAAACTGAAAATCAAAAAAGATATGGTTTAACACGTGGAGTGTTACTTTGTGGTGTCAGTGACGAAATGGTGCTTGTTATAGGAACCGAACCAATCCAATGGCAGGAGTGCCTTACGTTCAGGTTTTCTCAGTCCAACAAAAGGATTGTTAGATCTTACCTGCCTGATGCGAGGAGAAACTCCTGTTTCGGAGACCACTTGACACACATGACGGCAGCCCGGTGACCTTTCAGGATGTGGGTGGGTGACCCGGTCTTGAGGTCACACAGGCTGATGTGGGAACTCTGGGAAGCCACTGAAGGAAGTTTAAAAAAAATGCGTTTGAAAATCTGAGGCTAGCTTGATGTTAAAGATGCATCCCCCGTGTCTTGTTATTAACCAGTTTGCACCGGGATTATTTTGACAAGAATGGAACGAGGTGCGGGATTACTTTTCACTCGACCTCAAGCAAGGCTGGTTGAAGCCATCACCCTCGGGCAGCACACTCACATTTCCGGCCTCGATCGCTGCGAGCGGGTCACTAACAGATATTTCCGGCCTCGCTTCCTGCGTGTTTATCGGTCATCCGTTCCGAGTACCGCAAAACTTTTGCGTGTATACATGTCATCTGGGATGAACTGGTTCAAGTGACTGTGCCAAAGCAGTGGGAACTAAGTCATGTGGACACTGACAATGATGGGTACATCATGATTTACCATTTCGTACATGTCGTCACCGACACAAACACGTGAGCAGCCACACCAACTATGGCATTGTCCCAACTATCGTCTGTAGTGTCCTTAACCACTTCCCGAAGAGCGTAGATTGTACAACAATAGGCAGTGCACAACGGCCAATTCATTGATCAACACAGGGTCCGCCTCCACGGACTTCACAGACTTTGTGTGTGCGTACAAAAGGCACGAGGGATTAGCGTGTTTAGATGTCACCCGTAGGCGAGTCGAGGCAATCTTGACGTCTTGAACCCGTCAGACGTGCCTGTGTGTAAGGTTTATGTGGTTTGGGATTGGAATCATTTGCCCTTGAGCATTTAACTGATGTCTTGCCAAGACTGATAGCCAGGTAAATGATTCCAATCCCAACCCTTTTCACAACATGAGGGATTTTACACAGCTTATATAACACAGTACTGACATTGAATAAGGCAAGGAACTTGGTTACAGTGTCCAAAATGCTGTTGTGCTCAATTGACAATTGTGCAGTGATGCGTGACTGAAATTAAATGAAACTCATAGGGGTTGAGGCCAAGGCTTAGGAATATCTGCACATAGGCCATCAGCCTGGGGGTTTGGTCAGTATCAAATCAGGGCATAAATGATTATAGTGCGCATGCGCAAGGTATACCACCCCTAGAGTGTAACAAGCATTTTGATGAACATTTTGAAAAAAAGGATGATAACACCCAAAAAGCTACCACCGCAGCAATGCTCTCACATATTTTCCAATTCTGGAAGTGCATATCTAAGATACCTTGACAAAAATTGCCCTCATTTGATACCGGTGGCCAAAATTTTGGACCGAGGCTGATGGCCAAAAACCAAAAAATTTCAAATTCGGGCGATTCACAATGCAGTGCGCCACCAAGAGTTTGAAATGGAGAGTCAATTTTTCAAGTTTAAGGTCGACAAAACATTGCCCATTTGAATGAGTGTCAGTAGACAACTTGAGCTTACATGTTATAGATTGGGGCAAAGCCTTCTGCTGCCTTACAAAAAAACACCACATTGATAAGAAGAAAAGAAAAGGGCAATCAGATCCTCGAATCAGACGCTTACGAAAGGACTGATCAGAAAATCTAACAATTACAAATGTCCCGCGCTGCGAATTTGTCGACCATCTCCCACAACTCTCTGTGGCAAACTCTTGGTGGCGCACTGCATTGTGAATCGCCCGAATTGACCTCATGGTTTTGCAGTTATTTCAAAAATAGTCAGACGGACACTTTCTTTGGGACATAGTGTAGTTTGGGCCATTGCTACATTCGGGATTAACATACACACCTCCAATGAGGCAATGCTTGGTGGCAATGGGTGACATGTCATGGCAGTATATGGGCTTGTCCATGGTGAACGTCTCGGCTGGCACCAAGGCGTTGGTATCCCAGACTTTGAGCAAGCAGTCCGTTGAGCTGCTCGTGAACATCCCCGTGTCGTGGGGGTACCACTGAACTGTCTCCACGCTGCGCTTGTGAACATGCTTGTTGGATCTGCATGTAAGGAAACAAGTGGAATTTTTCAATTGTTAAAGTTCAATTTTACAGTAAAGTTCTGTTTGACAGTTCCGATATAAGGTTAAAAGACTCACCAAAACAACTGAATAAATGACACTCAAAAGTGACATTCTGATATTTTCTTGACACGTCTGAACAGTTGCTAATGACACCTTCTTGAATTAGCAGGTTTACTTTTGTGGAAAGAGGGCAGGGCTTTGATTTATTAGGGAAATTAAGGGGTAAAAGACAACGACGACCCGAAAACAGATTCAAACACCAAAATGGTAGATGTGAAAGCTCCATGCAATGAAAGCTCGATGCTGATTGGCTGATAAAAATTTTTTTTTAGCAGCCAATCAGCATCGGGCTTTCATTGCGTCGGTCTTTCACTGAATCACTTGTGTTGTGTGAACAACAACGTGCACATCTCACGTCTGACTGCCAAAAAAAGTAGAAGAGCCTTTTTTTAAAATTGTTTTATTTTACGTACTTTCAAAATTACAACAAACATGAGTTTATTTGAAGAAAAAAGACTGCTTTAGCCTGCAAAAGTCACTTTGGTACTGGGCAGTCATCTGCAAAAGTCAGTTTTGAACAGAACTCGTAAATAATAGGGGTGTCCTAAAGATAAGGATTATCCCTAGGCATTTTTGCAAGGATGTTACCTCAATCCTTCAAAATCCTCCAACTGCCTTACTACTAATAATAGGTATAATGGTCAATTCTGTGTGCAAATTTACCTTCCCACTGTGCAAACTGCTTCGCAAGTAACCTCCTTTGCTGCTGGTACTGTTTCAATGTCAAACACAGCTATGACACCCATAGACCCTCCAGACAATAAGCTGTACAAAATGACATTATTTAGAAATTTGTTTAAGATGCTATACATGTACCAAGTTGGTCAAAAAAGTATGATGAAAAGCATGATGTCAACAACCGTTAACAACTAATTATCAAAACCACAGCGGAATCCTACATGTACATGTACATAATTTTGAAGGGGGGAGGGTGGCAACATTTCAAGGGGCCATGAAGTCAATTTTTTTCTTTGGAACATATTTTGCGCAACTTTCTACTTCTCTTAAAAGTGTGAAAAGAGGTTGTCGAGTTTTCTTTAGGAAAGAATGTTGCAACCTGATGCTACTTCAGTGGTTGTGTACAAGAGGCTATGGAGAGTCAAGAAAACTTTCTAACAAAATTGGAAACGTTTCTTGGTCCCACTCACTCCCAGATTCACCTCTCATTATCATTTTTGCATTGACAGACCTTCACTGAGAAGATATATGAAGGAAAAAGCAGTGTCAGGTTGCAACATTTTTTCCTTTCTTTTTTTGTTGTCAATTTTTAAAGTCCAATTTGACGTGTCAGTGGTGATATGTAGGCCTATGTTGTGTGGCATATTTTCAAAAGTCATCCCCCACCAAAAAAAAAAAGGCGGTCCTACTAAAATGCGTCAACTGGCATCAACAAGCCTCAACTGGCATCAACAAGCCTCAACGGTCGTCAACCCAGCGTCAACACATTTTGTATACGTTTTGGAAAATCAAAACAGCTTATGGTACTAGAAATAGCTTCAGCATATAAACTCAAGTTAAAATTATTTCAAAACTTCTTTGTTTCAACGCGAAACAACGTGAAAAAGATGGCGGCCAATACGAATTGACATTGACATAAACAACCTTGTCATACGTTTCACATTAAAAAAACAACTTTGTAAATAATTTAAAGTTTATTTTATATGCTGAATGTATTTCTACCATATATCTTTTGATGTTCCAAAACTTACACAAAATTTGTTGATGGTAAGTTGACGACTGTTGACGCTTGTTGACGCATTTAAGGTTAAGCAAGTTTAGGACCCTTTACGCACTAGGCCTAGGCCCCCTGTTGGAAAAAAAATGTTGCAACCTGACGCCACTTCCGCGCTTGTGTACAAAGTCTATGGAGAGTCAAGAAATTTTCTAAGTGGGCCTACTACTACTACTACTAGTAGTAGTAGTAGTAGCACAAGTAGTAAGTTATATTTCCTATCTTTTTTGCAACGAATGACCTTCATCATGTTCATTATCATTATGATTATTTAGTCCGAGTAACTTGGACCCAACTTATCGCCTTTTTCAACATTTGGACATGGTCTGGCGATAGTAAGGTCCAAGCTAATACCGAGACCTAGACAACACACTCCCAAAAACCAACATTTTCCAACAAAAAACATCAGATTTCACCTTCACAACGGCCTCCAAATTACTAGATATGTCACCTGAGGTACAAGTAGACATAGATGATTAAGATGGTTGTACTTAAGTTTACTTACGATCCGGGAAAAAAGTGAAATTTTCCGTTCAATTCTGAAGACCCCCTCTGCCTAGGTTGTCGTTGTTGTGCTCACGTTCAAAACTGCATGATAATGGCGTCTGACCTCGACCTCATGCAAATGTCTGGACGGTGCGCTTGCGCATAATGCACTGCATGCACGGCAGATTCCCCTGCGCCGCGCCGACGACTGTTTCCTGATGTAGAGCGCCAGCCATGCGCCTGGCTAGCCAGCGCGACTCCTAAGCGTACCGCGAACTTACACAGCACTCTACATCAGGAAACAGTCGTCGGCGCGGCGCAGGGGAATCTGCCGTGCATGCAGTGCATTATGCGTAAGCGCGCCGTCACGACATTTGCATGAGGTCGAGGTCAGACGCCATTATCATGCAGTTTTGAACGTGAGCACAACAACGACAACCTAGGCAGAGGGGGTCTTCAGAATTGAATGGAAAATTTCACTTTTTTCCGGATCGTAAGTAAACTTCAGTACAACCATCTTAATTATCGATGTCTACTTGTACCTCAGGTGGCATATCTAATTATTTGGAGGCCGTTGTGAAGGTGAAATCTGATGTTTTTTGTTGGAAAATGTTGGTTTTTGGGACTGTGTTGTCTAGGTCTCGGTATTAGCTTGGACCTTACTATCGCCAGACCATGTCCAAATGTTAAAAAAGGCGATAAGTTGGGTCCAAGTTACTCGGACTAATGATTATTATGATTAATGTAGCGTCAGGTTGCAACATTCTTCCGCCTCCCTATTTTTTTTTTCCAATACAAAATTAAAACTTCCATGACTTCTACTTCTAGTTCTACAAAAAATTGAACAAAAAAACTACACGATCGCCCTTACTATTTCCCCTCGGTAGGGTCGATGTCGAGCGTGTTGATACCGCTCTGGTGGATTCGCTGCACGTCTCGCCCTTTGCTCAATTCCAAACAAAACGCTCGGCGAGTCACTTCAGCGCGAACCAGCAACTCCGGCTTCTTGCACCCATTTCGTCGTTCTTCAAGAAAGCTCAGCATTCTTGTTTTGCTGGGAAGACGCAACTTTATTCACAAAATACTCCACCACCTCCGCCGCCCTGCTATACGGTTCGCCTTACGTGCATGGACGTCGCCATCTTGTGACCTTTTTCACTACATTGTGCAATATTTCATTTCAGTAAAAGCACCAAACTAAATTTAAAAGATAAATGAATAATTCGTATAATCAAAAATAAAAAAAAAATTAATTCTAAAAAAATATTAATATATGAATACTTGTTTTTTTTTTTTACGTTTACCGACAGTTTTTAAGTTTTTTAAGTTTACCGACATTGGCTGGCCGCGCGTACTATGTGACAGGTAAATCTGCAGTGCCCCCCCCCCCCCCCCCCACTCCCAGACATGGTTTACGGCTCGTGGTAAATCTGTCCGGGGACATATTACCCAGGTAGATATGTCCCCCTCCAGGTATATTATGTCCCTGACCCGAATACCCCTGACCCCTGCCCAACGTTGAGAAACCATTTGTTTGTGACAGTTAAATTGTGGAAAGGTTTTCTCATTGAGTTTTCACCTTAAAACCACAAGAGATAGGGTCCACTAAACCACTATAAGAGAAACCGTTCGCTTGTGAAAAGTATAGAAATAGGCACTTCTCAGTTTTGTCCATACCAATGAAAACTTACATTAATTTGGTGACATATTGTAGGAGAGGCTTCTCTCAATCAAAGGGGTAACCTAGAAAAAAAAAACATGATGAATCATTATCAATCATTAGAAAACTTTGTTAAGGCCAAAAAAAAAAATACTCGGTCTCTGGTCAGGCCAAAGTTCCGGAATTAATGCGGCGACGTAGATTTTAAATTTTTTTTTACTTTTTTTTTTTCAAGCTTGGATTGTACAGACAAGGTGGGGTACTATTTTGCTTTTTTTGTGTCCTCATGTACATTGGTGTCCTCCATAATTTGCCTTGGTGCTCTCGATCATTTGCCTTGGTGCAATTTCCCATTCGTTTGTGCTATTTGGTACAAAAAATTGAGGAGGTGCGGCAATAGAGGGCGCTGTTGGAGCTACTGCGAAACATTTTGGAAAAAAATAAGACTGACGCGCATGATTAAAATAGACGCGCGCGCTGACCAGAGACCGACTTTTACATATATTTGCACTAGTCTAAGACTTAGTTTAGTCGGGCACCATTTGCAGTCATCAGCCGACATTTGAAGCAAAAAAGTCAGGTAAAAAAAAAAAAAAAGCCGCGTCGCCGCACCACTTTTTGGACAAGCTCCACACCAGAAACCGGAGACTTGTTTTTTGGCCTTATGGCACGATAGCTTTTCTTCTATGGTCTACAAAAACAATGAGTGTCTCATGGGCTCGAGCTCGCTATTAAAGTTATGCGTCGAAAAGTGAACTGTACTAGTGAACTTTTTTAAAAAAGAATTTGTTGAACATTGTGTGTTTAACACTGATGAGCACAATATTGTTCTGTGACAATCAGGCGCGGTTCTACGGGGGGGGGGGGGGGGGGGGGGGCTGTAGCCCCCCCCCCCCAAAAAAAAATTAATTCCGTAAAAAAAAAATTGCATTAGCAAAAAGAAGGATTGTGATGTACATGCGAACGGTCTCCCCCTAAAGAAGAAATAGCCGTGACAAGGGTGCATTAGTTAATGTAGTGTGAATGATTTTAGGATTTTATTGGCGCTCCCCATTGAAAATATGGCATGAGCCCCCCCCCCCCCCTATTGATTTTCGGAGGCCTAAGTGTCTGGAAAAAATAACCGGTCAACATTTCAGCACGCCTCCCTGAAAAAATTCTGGATCCACCGTGCTAGCCCCCCAAAAATATTGGTTCTAGAACCGCGCCTGGTGACAATCCTTCTATTTGTTGCAGTATATCAATAATAATGACTGGTAGTTGAAGTTCATTCAAATAAAAAATGAACGTGTTCAGCATCCTGCCTTAAAAAAAAAGAACTAAAGGAGGCCCCTTTCGGTTTTATCTCCGAGATGGCCGCCCGACCGGGCTATCATTTTCAAGATGGCCGCCCGTTTTTTTTCTAAATGGCCTCCACTTGGACTCAGAATTTCAGAACCATACCAGCTATATGGGCTAGATCATAGATGCAATTACAACAGAAAAAGAGGCCAAACTGCATGGTCATGTCACTGTTTATAATTTACCATTTTTTTGCGGTTAAAAAAAAGAGGCGGCACATTTTTTTTTATTTGGCCTAATCAATTATCTTATTCCCATAGGAGTTGTGCATACAACCTTTTTAATTGCATAAATGTGAAAACATTTTGATGCATTTAGAACTATCTGTAGTGATTTGGGTGCTTTGTTTTTATATCAATCGAACAACCAAACCAGCCAGACCTATATATACTGCAACGGACAGTCTATGCACACTTTTGTTGTCATTGCTTTCTAGCAGTAGTGCTCCGGCGGAGGGGCTCCGGCGGCGCGCACCTGACCTGCTTTTGGGTCTGGCTAGCGCGCGCTCCGGATAGCTCTACAAATAGGTAGGTTGGCTATTAGTGGGGTTCTTTTGTTCACTTTCGCGGGTAGGGCTTGTCTTGATTCCAGGGTTGGGTAAAGTTGCTACAATTGTATACATTTGTTCAGACGGGGATTGATAGGTGCATTACAAGAATTAACCCGCCGCGGCCTTGAAAAAAAGTTGCGCTTGCAATTATCATGCTCGTTTGTTGGCCTCGTCCAATTTAGACAATTTAGACAATTGAGGGCGGTATACAACTCATGAAAATGGCAGCGTCCACAAGTTATCGTCTGTGAGTTCTCTTTGTCTTTGAGTTTTTGGAGTAATTGCAGAATACCCCTATTGTGCCGAGTTTTTAGTTCAAAATTATTTTTGTTGCTATTTATTTTTCATGTGATGTTTGTTTTTACTGATTCGGGATTTTGAGTACACACACATTACGGCCTACTTTAAAAAACAAATACTGTTTTTCTTGACCCCCGGATGCGCCTTTCATCATGATCATGGCAGTGATCAGTCACTGCCATATCAATTGTTTCCCCCTCCCCCCCCCCCCCCGGGCTGCCCCACCCAAGACGTGGGGATCGTCACTTTTGAAGTGACAAAATCCCCACCCCTCGGGCAAAATTTAAGTGACAATCCCCGACCATGCCCCGACATACATACGTGGGGCGCACTATAGTTGCAATTCCATGCAGTACGGCAATGTTAACAATGTAGGCCTAATTTGAGTGACCAAAATCCCCACCCTGGGGCATTAGGTGGGGGGGGGGGGGGGGGGGTACCATCTTCCAACATAGGGGGCGCTCTTCAAAACCAATGATTATATGCTAAACATACATTATGTGCCCATTTTCAGGGCGTCTTGTATGGGTTCTGGGACTTGGTTTTCATATTCCTCGTTTATATCAAAAATATCTCTACCATTATTGGGAAATGGTTACTTCTAAGAAATACTAAGATACTTTAAGGGCATTTTTGATTTATCTCGAGGGGGCACATTTATGGCCGCAAAAGGGGCACTTGGGAAAATGGGGGGGGGGGGGGGGCAAAAGCCCTCCCAGCCCCCCGGTTCCGCCGCCCCTGGTAGTATGTACAAGTACCTCATGCTTACTAATAGAATGCGTTTTTTGTTCAATCCAGGTACCCTCTATAGCTTGAAACTGGATTCCATTCCAGGAAGCCTGTATCGGCAAGGCAGCGACAATGAGTGCCATCAACAGAACCACCGTCGAGCAAGAGGTTCATCTGGAGGTCAAACCATACAGTCATGACATTCGTAGTAAGGTTACCGGGAAGAGAGAGCAGCATCATCATAAGAGGAGCGTCTGTGACATTTGTGGCAAAGGATGCACAGACAATGGTCACTTGATACTACATCAGAGGGCCCACACTAATAAGAAATCTTTTGTCTGTGACATTTGTGGCAGAAGCCTCTCTAGTAGGAGTTCCCTACTAAGACACAAGAGGGTCCACACCAAGGAGAAACCTTTTGTATGTGGCATTTGTGGCAAAGGGTTCTCTAATAGTAGTTCCCTACAAAGACACAAGACGGTTCACACTATTGAGAAAATATTTTTTTGTGACATTTGTGGCAAAGGTTTCTTACATAGTTCTTCTCTTAAAAGACACACGGAGGTCCACAACAACAAGAAACCATTTGTTTGTGACATCTGCGGCAAAAGCTTCTCGCTGAATAGTTCTCTACAAAGCCATCAGTTGGTCCATACTAAAGAGAAACGTTTTGTTTGTGACATTTGTGGCAAAGGGTTCCCACGGAGTTTTGCTCTTAAAAGACACACGAAGGTCCACACTAAAGAGAAGCCATTTGTTTGTGATGTTTGCGGCAGAAGCTTCTCACTGAATGGTTCTCTACAAAGACATCAGTGGGTCCATACTAAAGACAAACCTTTTGTTTGTGACATTTGTGGCAAAGGGTTCTCACATATGTATGGTCTTAAAACACACTTGGAGGTCCACAACAACGAGAAACCATTTGTTTGTGACATTTGTGGCAAAGGGTTCCCACGGAGATTTTCTCTTAAAAACACACAGAAAGGATCCACACTAACGAGAAACCATTCGTTTGTGACATTTGTGGCAGAAGCTTCTCACTAAGTAGTTTTCTACAAAGACATCAGAGGGTTCATACGAAAGAGAAACCATTTGTTTGTGACATTTGTGGCAAAGGGTTCTCACGTGGTTCTCTTAAAAGACACACAGAAAGGATCCACACTAACGAGAAACCATTCGTTTGTGACATTTGCGGCAGAAGCTTCTCACTAAGTAGTTTTCTACAAAGACATCAGAGGGTTCATACGAAAGAGAAACCTTTTGTTTGTGACATTTGAGGCCAGGCTTCTCTTATATGTCTCACCTGAAGACACACAGAAAAGATCCACACTATTGAGAAACGATTTGTTTGTGACATTTGTGGCAAAGGGTTCGCACTGAGTCCTTCTCTTAAAAGACATGCGGAGGTCCACACTAACGACAAACCATTTCTTTGTGACATTTGCAGCAAAGGCTTCTTATAAACACACACCAGAATCTACACTATTGAGACACGATTTGTTTTTGACATTTGTGGTAAAGGGTTCTCATCGAGTTCTTTTAAAGACACACGAATGTCCACACTAAGGAGAAACCATTTCTTGGTGACATTTGTGGCAAAGGCTTCTCACGACATTTTCACCTTCAAACACACAAAAGGGTCCACACTAATAAGAAACCATTTGTTTGTGACATTTGTCATGGAAAGGATTTCTCACTGAGTTTTCACCTTAAAACCACAAGAGGGTGCATACTAAAGAGAAATCATTCGTTTGTGAAATTTGTGGAAACGGGTTCTCACAGTTTTCTCTTAAAGAGACACAAGATCTCCATACCATTGAGAAACCATACATTAATTTTGTGACATCTTTGGGACAGGCTTCTCTGAAAGAGTAACCTGAACCCCCCCCCCCCCAAAAAAAAACCAGGAGCATACACGAACTCCTTTATTAATGATGAACCATTTGATGAACCATTATCAATCATTGAAAAACTTTGTCAACAGCGGAGAGTTCACACTTACAAGGAAACCTTTAGATTGGGAGTTTGTGGCAGTAGCTTAATTTCTTCTACCGATGGCCTACAAAAACATGAGTGCTCACACCTATGTTCCCGATGTTCCCGGATACCTATGTTCCCCAATACCTATGTTCCCCAATACCTATGTTACCCAACCCTAACCCTAAGGGTTTCGGGGAACATCAGTTTTGGGGAGCATCGGGTAGACCCCATAAAGACTCGCTCAGTTTTTGTGTCATTTGTATAAAAAAAAAAAGAACTGTATTACAGTATTTTTTGTTGTTAATCATTGTGTGTTTTACTGGTGAGCACAATATTGTTCTGTGACGATCTAACTTTAATTTTTTTTTTGCAGTATATCAATAATAATGACCGGTAATTGAAGTTCAGAACTACGTTCAGTCACTTAATCAATTAACTTACTCCATATATGATTAGGTACTTTTGAGGATTTGTGCATACAACCTTTTTAATTGCATAAATGTAAATAAAGTTTGATGCATTTAGAACTATAGTGATTTACTGTGGGTGCTTTTGTTGTTATATCAATCGAACATAAACAACCAAACCTATGTAACAATTTTGTATATTTTGCATGTACCTTGAATCTTCTATTATATTTGTTGAAATGACAGTCTTCAACCAATGGACCGATCCAGTAAGCCCCTCCCACTGCGCACGTGGGCAAATTAACAGGTGCTCCTTAGCTCTCCAATGCCACACTGCATTTTCCTGCCGCGCGCATCATACGCGCGTGCATGCATGTCGGACTTTTGTGCACGCGCATGTCGGACATAAATCACGGCTGTGATTGGTCAGAATACCATGGGGCGGTGCTTACTGGATCAGTCCATTTAACCATGATTTAACGCACATAGACATAAAGTTGAAAACTGTGACGTGTACATTTTGTATACATCGGACCTGGCGTGGGTATGAAGGGGGGGGGGGGGGGCAAAAAAAGTTGTGCTTGCATGCGCGCTGCACTTCTGCGTACTTTATTTTGTGAGCTAGCTCTTCGCTCGTTCATTGGATTCCCGATCCCACCCACTGATCTCTATATAAAGACTGGATAGCTAATAAAGAGCTGCACAATGTACGAATTTGACGCCATATTGGTGAGACCGGCTGGTGATCTACAAAGGACAAGTTGCCGTCTTTATAGACAGCTTGATTTCTTTTGTAACGTCGCGGCTCACTTGACTTATATTTTGGCTACCACCACTGACCAACTGACCAAGGTTTACTACAATTTTTCTAACGTAGTGGTTACTTTTATAATGCCGCAAATCACTTTTTCGGCGTTTTTGAAATAATAATCACTACGGAAATGTGTTCCTTTTAGAACATCATATTATGTGTACGTGACCAAAATGCGCGTCAACTGTTGATACAACGCGCGCGTATTTACGCGTAGAACGTTCGTATTACACGCGGCCATCTTCGTGAGACCGGGGGCGAATTGGTCAATATGCAAAGTCAGCTGTGTGAATGTTGTATGCATATCCGCTATCCAGTCTTTATATAGAGATCAGTGATCCCACCCCACCCCCGCCGCCCTCCTTTGCAGGGCGCGTCTTGGTGCGGCCGGGCACGCGCGAAGTTGTCCTCGTCAAATTTAGACAATTGAGGGCGGTAGACAACCCAGCAAGTGAAATTTGTCGCCAATTTCGGTGAGTTGTCTTTGTCTGGTTCAATTTTCAGTATTTGTTTTCAGTCATGTCAGTATGTATTTTTCATTTGATGTTTGTTTTTATTTTATTTATAGATTCAGGATTTTGAGGACAGATAGTGGGGCCTAGCTTACTTTTTAATTTTTATTTTTTTTCCCTTAAAAATAAAATTTTGACCCACAAATATAATGTGACCATGTCTCAGGTCATGCATGTTTAGGGCCTATGTTGTGCCCATTCTTGAAAATCACGCATTCTCGAGAATGGGCATGCACATTCTTGAGAATGTGCAACTGGATCCTTGCTCAATCTTGGCAAAAAATAACTCTTCCAGATTGAGCGCACATTCTTGAGAATGCGCGACAAGATAACGGTCTTGTCGATGCCGAGCACCGGCTGCGCTTGGCAAGTCTAGCTGAATCCTCGTTCACTGATTCTCAATAATTATACTGTTGCAACGCAAGGCGCTGAAAAGTAGAGTGGATATGATAAGTAAAGGCGTATTGATATGATATGGGGGGGGGGGGGACCGGGAAAATATAAGAGACATAATAATACTAGTGCAAAGAATTCTGATTTTGGGGATAATAAAAGCGGGGGGGGGGGGGGGGGGGGGGGGGGGGGGGGGGGGGGGGGGGGGACGTAAGAATGAAGAATGTGAAGAATGAGAATGAATACTGCGACATCCTATAGTGCTAATGCTATTTCCCATTTAAATTGCCACCAATTTATTGTTCACATCCCACCATAACGTCGCAGAGCTGGATTCTATCTAGTCAAAAGAGCAATTTTGGCAGCTTCTGGACATCGTTTTTTTTTCGTGGCACGCATATGATACATGCAGGGACTTGTAACATGTCTAGCCTAAACAAAGCACTTCCCAGACTAGTTCCCAGTCCTCCGTTATTACAAAAATTCCCATAGTGGGCTGAAAAAAGCAATAATAACAGGTTTAATTTGATTCAAATTATCGTAGTTATACGAGTACAGAAGCATAGCACATTTTCTTTCCTCTTTATATGAATTGTTTCCCTTTTAACCGCTATACAATTCATTTAACATAATTGTGTCGTGCAATGTTTGTTAAGATTGGGCAAAATTCATAAATTGTGCATGTGATATTCCCACCCAATCTTAAGAATGAGCGCTCATTCTTAAGAACGCGTGCTCGTTCTTAAGAATGGGCGCTCATTCTTAAGAATGCGCGCCCATTCTCGAGAATGTGCATGCCCATTCTCGAGAATGCGTGATTTTCAAGAATGGGCACAACACCTACATCATGATTTACTGGACTACCTCCGTAGAAATAAGGCCACACTTGGAACATGTAGAGAAACATGTAGAGCTAGAACTTTGTCAAATTTTGATTTTCACATTTAGGCTTAGTTTGTAGTTTCTTTTTGCTTTTAGAAGCATACCCACTCTCTTTAAAGGCTAGGCCTAATGCCTTTTTCAGATGTCTATTTTTCATGAAATTTCCAGGTTCGTTTGCACATGTTTGCGTATCAAAATTTCACGAAAATTAAGACATCTGAAAAAGGCAGCACCTTCTGATTAGCCTAAAAGAGGGTAAGTATGCTTCTAAAGCAAAAATAGGCTACAAACTAAATATCAAAATCAAAATTTGACATGCTTTTGTACATGTTTTTGTACATGTTCCAAGTGTGGCCTTTATTTACGGAGGTAGTCCAGTAAATTGGCCACATTTATGGGGCTAGGCTACGGCCTACACAGTCGTATTTATACCACAGGGAATATTACTGCCCTCCTGGGGATTTTTCGTCGTGTTCGGGTTTGATCATTGGGTTGGGGTAGCTGGACAGGATACAATGGGGTTTGGCTTGGCTGGGACTCCCATCTATGCTGGGGTTTTCCTAGCTTGAGTAACTCCAGCTCTAATGCTTATTGCATTAGAGCTGGAGGCACAACTACGTTACAAGAACCGGGTTGTAAGAGGCCCGAAATCCCTGATCGTGCATCCCCAGTGCATTACAAAAATGGTTCGTTTTCCCTATATTATCCCGCCCGACCCAGATTCCATAATTCATACCTCATACAATGCAGCAGACATTATGAAGCTAATAATTGACTCCAAACAGAACAACAAAGACTAAAATATGAAATTTTTAGATGATTTTGGCGGCAGTTCTCCAGAAACCATGAGAAAACGTCGTGCGACACAATTCTGCCGTTGACCGAAAAACCCAACATTGCCCAAAACGGCCTCCAAATTACTAGATACGCCACCTGAGGTACAAGTAGAGATCGATGATTAAGATCGGGTCAGCCTTCTGGCATGCTTCTTTTTCGGGGGTCAGTACGCTATGGCTTTTGGAAATGCACTTTGATAGACGAACTTCCTTTGTCTGGAATTCCAACCAGCCCCCCCCCCCCCAGGATTTGGCTTAATATCTGCTAAGTGCTTCTTAATATCATCACAAGCTAAACCAGAAGCAGAACCATTTTGGGGCAAGTTGGGGTTACTGGCAATCCTGCATTTGCAAACTCGTACGTGAAGATGGTGCGCTTGATCACCATCATGTTAAACACTGTCATCTTCCCCCTTCAGGTGTGAAAAGGTGTTTTAGCCCTATTGTCCCTCCACAAAACTAGCCCAGATCCTAGAGTGCCAATTGTCCAGCAAAGCTGTGTCCTTTATTGCTATGGTCCACAAGAACATGAAACAGCATCATATTAGGCCACATAAAAAAAAACATGTTTCTCGTCTGGGTTTTTTTAACAAAAGGAGGAAGCTGGGCTTTTTATTTTCTATTTTTAATTTTTTTTCAAGATGGCCGCCATTTTAAAATTTCCTGCAACTGTTGGTGTTCCACTGTTCAAAGACACTTTTAAAATGAAAGACAAGTTGGACAAGAGAACTGAACATATTTACAGTGTCATATAGAGTTGTATTAGTATTGGTATTTATTTTCCGATGAATTTGTGGACTTTTTCGGTGTTTTTTACTGCATTTTTCAAAAATAAAAAATAATAAAAAAATCCAGGCGGCCTTCAAAAGGAAGCGGGCGGGGACGAGAAACATGTTTTTTTTTATTTACTTCGCCTTACCATGGTTTTCAGGCCACAGGCACGGCTTGAAATGAAACCTTTATCTACAAGTTATTACCAGAAGTTGTGTAATACATACCTTATGTCACTAATAAAATGCATTTTCTTTCAATCCAGGAGCTACGTACAGTTTCAAGCTGAGTTCCATTCTTGAAAGCCACGTATCTACCACACAGCTACAATGAGTGCCACGGACGGAACCACATTCAAGCAGGGGGTTAATCTGGAGGTCGAACCACACTGTCTCGACACTTGTAGCAAGGTCGACCAGGAGAGAGAGCATCATCAAGACAGGAGCGAGGATAAGATACTTGCTTGTGACATTAGCGGCAGCGCCTTCTCCCACAGTGGTACCCTGGAACATCAGAAGGTCAACACCGATGAGAGGCCATTTGCTAGTGACATTTGTGGCGAAGGCTTCGCGGACAATGACAACCTGATGCAACACCAGAGAGTCCACACTGTTAAGCACAAGAAACCATTGGTTTGTGACATTTGTGACAAAGGCTTCTTGAAGAGGTCGGCTCTTGAAAGACACACGAGGGTCCACACTAAAGAGAAGCCATTTCTGTGCGACATTTGCGGCAGAAGCTTCTCGCTGAATAGTACTCTCCAAAAACATCACCAGAGGGTCCACACTAAAGAGAAAACCATTGCTTGTGACATTTGTGGCCAGGCCCTCTCCCACACTTCTGACCTTCAACGACACAAAAGGGTCCACACTAAGGAGAAACCATTCGCTTGTGACATTTGTGGTAAAGGCTTCTCACGGAGTCGTGCTCTTGAAGCACACAAAAGGGTCCACACGAATGAGAAACCATCTGTTTGTGACATTTGTGGAGAAGTTGTCTCATCCAAGTCTCACCTTAAAACGCACAAGAGGGTCCACACTCCAGAGAAACCATTCGTTTGTGACATTTGTGAGAAAAGCTTCTCACAGAGGTCCGCGCTTCAAAGACACACGAGGGTCCACACTAAAGAGAAACCATTTCTATGCGACATTTGCGGCACAAGTTTTTCACTGAGGAGTACTCTAAAAAACATCATCAGAGAGTCCATACTAAAGAGAAACCCATTATTTGTGATATTTGTGGCAAGGCCCTATCCAATACTTCTGACCTTCAAAGACACAAAAGGGTCCACACTAAGGAGAAACGATTTGCTTGTGACATTTGTGGCAAAGGCTTCTTACAGAGCTGTTCTCTTAAAGTGCACAAAAGGTCCCACACGAATGAGAAACCGTTTGTTTGTGACATTTGTGGAAAAGTTTTCGTGTGCAATTCTCACCTTAAAACACACAAGAGGGTCCACACTCAAGAGAAAACCGTTCGTTTGTGACACGTGTGGAGTGGGCTTCTCGGATAGTTCTCACCTAAAGAGACACAAGAGGGTCCACACCAACGAGAAACCATACAAGTGTGAGACCTGTGGGAGAGGCTTCTCTCAAAGTGGTAACCTGAAAAGTCATAGGAGTATCCACAAAGTCCTAACTGAGGATGAACAATTGAGGGTCCAAGAGAGCATGGTCCCCAAACCATTCCTTTGTGACATTTGTGGAAAAGGCCTCTCAGATCGTTCTCACCTCAAGAGACACAAGAGGATCCATACCGATGAGAAACCACACGTTTGTGACATTTGTGGGAAGGGCTTCATTCAAAGTGGTAACCTGAAAGTACATAGGCGCGTCCACAAACTCCTAATTAATGACGAACTGTTTACGTGCGACATTTGAGGCCGAAGCCTCTGAATCATTAGAAAACTTTGTGGCCATCCAGGGATCCACAGTTATGAGGAAACCATTAGATTGGAATATTTGTGGCATGCAGTAGCTTCTCTTCCACTGGTTGCCAACTAAAACATGAGTGTACTGTTTAGCAGAGTTGTAAAGACTCGAGTTAATGACTCGACTCGGACTTGTCTTAATTTTTGGTGACTCTACTCGACTCGAGTCCCTAAGGGTAAATGACTCGACTTGACTCAAGTCACTACGAGAATGAGCAACTTGGAGCAAGTGACTCGACTCGACTCAAGTCCCTCATCAGAAGACTCTACTCGACTCAATTCACAAAAATAAAGCAACACTTTGCAAAAAATAAAACTCAACCAAAAAAGAAAGTCCCCCTTCCAATACCTTTTTGTCTAACTCAAAAACTACTGGGCACCTCTCGCTCAAAAAACGACCGATTACTACAGAAATTCCTTAACAATCCAGCCATACTTTTTATTTAGCCCAAAACAGTGATAACATGTACAAAATTATGAAATGTATGACAAATAATATTGAAAACAGTTGCACTTTGGTATACGTGCAAGTTGTGGTTCACACTCGCCTTGCACGTTCAAAAGTGCAACTTTTTTTCGGTGGCACTTGTCATAAATTGCATACTTTAGTTGTACACATTATCAATGTTTTGGGCCAAACAAAGAGTACGGCTGGATTGCTAAGGAATTTCTGTACAGATCAGTCATAATTTGAGCAAGATGTGTGCAGTAGTTTTTGAGCTAGATAAAAAAGTATTGTGGGGGGACTTTCTTTTTTGGTCGAGTGTGACTTTTACGGTGAAAAATTCATGTCACTTACGCGAATACAGTATGGTACAGCGGCCACATGTCATGTACAAACATACAGCGTGTCACAGACTCCCACCCAGCTCATGATCCTGGAACGCACAAAATACAATCCAGGAACAAGATTTAAGCACACTTGCCAATTATTGTTTCATCATTGGCTTTTGGTGATTTCTTATAAACTTCATGGATTCTAACGGCGGCTAGATTTATGCCCTCCAGTAAAAAATTAAATATATACATGCCCACTTTTGTATAATGAGAAACAGTTTTCTATAATGCAATTTGGCTTTGATGTTGTCAGCGAACAGCGAAAAAAAAATTCTAGACCAGAATCCTAGCCAGATAGTAAAGATCAAAGTTTCACTTCATGTCAAGTGTTGGTGATACATAATACTTTCCGTCTTGTCTTTGTTATACATGTAGTGTTCAAATATTCGTTACCCGAATTGACTCGATCTTCTTGATCTAATGACTCGACTTAAGTCACCTCTTGACCTAATGACTCGACTCGAGTCACAAACATCAGTGGCTTGTTACATCTTACTGATGACCACAATTTTGTTCTTTGCTGACCTAGCTTCTAATCTTTGCAGAACATCAGTTATAATTACCAGTATTTGAAGTTCCTAATTCCTATAAGTTCAGTCCAACCAATAGTAATCAATGATCTTATTCCCATATTTTCTGTACTTTTGGGGATTTGTGCACACAATCTTTCTTAATTTCATAAACGTAAATAAGTTTAAAACATTTACAACTATCTAGCGATTTAATGAGGGTGTTTAATTGTTTTCATATCAATCGAACAAGATGATGTAATTATTTTAGATGAGTATCTGATTATTTTACAAGCTTTAAAGGCAATATACAACATTTGCAAACATCGAAAAACAAAACCACCAAATTTTTAGGAAATACCTTACTAGGATGTTGGTAAATAAAAGTCTAAAGCTTCCTGTTAAATTATGGCACCTGGTGTGAAGTCATTTTCAAGAAAAGTGATACAGTCGAGTCTCGTTAATACAAACTCGTTCGGACCCAGCCAAATTGTTTGTTATATCAGAATTTTGTATTAAGAGGAACATCAGTCCCATTCATTGCGCACATAAATGCACAGTCGGGGACTAAGGCTTTATGTTTGTTATAACCAGAATTTTGTACTTACAGAGTTTGTACTAACGAGATTCGACTGTATTTTGAATAAATTTCCAAAGGTGGTCGGCCGACCACCGTTGGAAAAACCTAACTAGTTTTCAACTACTGCTCCAAATATACCATCTTTTTTTCAGTCCAAGTTTTGTTTGCTATTGGTTACATGTTCATGAACGGGTGCAGGCCAGCTAGACTGGTTCCCTTACCTTATGGTTATCCAGCATCGATAAATTGATCAATCTCATATTTAGTTTTGCTTGGTTTTTCCAGCATTTTCGAACACAAAACCTAAAACATGACAGTTTAACAATATTGGATCTATTATACTAACCACACGAATAGTTCATTTCTGAAAATTACAGCAAAAGCCAATGATGTACATTCCCTTTAATTACATGTTCCGGTAACTAGCTGTGTGTAGTATCAGTTTGTTGGAATCACAGTCATTATCTTCAAAAATGATGCCCACCCCCTAAATTATAGGCTCTAGACCCCCCCCCCCTTTTTTTTTTGATTTCTGGAATTGGGGGATATTATCATTTGGGTTTATTGGCAGTTTATTTCTGACGGGAGCTAGCTACACCGAGGCCGAGCAGTACGTGGTCGTACGTCGAGAGGTGAGGTCAAGCAGCCTTGAGTGTAGAGGGCGCTATCGACGCGCATGATACGAAGCAAGCAACAACCCGGAAATCACCCTTCGTGATCGCAGTTTTCTCAGGTATTATACTATAGTTGTTGCTAGTAGTAGAGATGATCTGGGCCAAGTTTGTCCAATCCTAAACAAAGTCATGAAGGTTCTGAAATTGTTCATGTTTATTTTCAAAGCTACGATTCGCTGGGACGTCCGGCCCGGCCCGCCCCGCTCTAGTTAGCCTACATAATGTACATGTAGACGAGTCTTTTTCACCTGCAAATCGATACATGTCAGGGTGACCGTAAGGTCATGCCCAAATTCTGCTAAATGCACTTCAAAAATCTGTCAGATTAATCAAAAATCTGCCAAATTCCCCAGAATCACTTGAAATACACTATAAGCACTTAAAATCACATGCAGATGTTGTAGTATTGCCCTTAATTAAGGTTCAAATTACTTTATAAACAATCTGTAGTCGCGTAAAGATGTTATGAAGTTGCTTAAATTTCTGGCAAAATCCAGTTCCAAGTGAACCTCAGCAGCTAGACCAGGCAACCTGTCCAATTATGCCAGGGTTTGCTTGAATAGATTGAAGCTTTTTTAAACAAATGTACCATTTTTTTCACATTTGCTGTGTTTTTTGTTGTTGTTAAATAACCATTTTTGGAGAATTCTGCCAGAAATCTGCCAAAAAAAAATCCATTCTGTCAAATTTTCTGTCAAACTCGATTTTTTTACGAAACATTCTGTCAAATTTAGCCGAAATTCGGCTAAAACGGTCACCCTGATACACGTAGTCATACAGATAGGAACACACGATACGAATGAGTAGACACTTAGATTCTGAATTTGAATACAATACATGATGATATCTACAGTGTACTCCGAGCGTTCCTTCCTCCATGCTCCGAGTAACTGAACAAAAAGGGAGGCCTAGTATAATAAGTCAATGATCAATAACAATTATTGTTGCTGGGTGTTTCTTCTTCTCTTTAGGAGGAATCTGAAGGCCAGAAGAACTCCTGAAATTCCATATTCCCATGCAGAATATGAGGAAGGAACGATGCCATTGAAAAGGAAAGGTACAAAAATGTGCCTTCGTTGATTTATAAACCAGACACTCAGTCGTGCTATTTTGGGTTAAGACATTGTTTTAGAATACGCGATGAGCCACCGCTGCGATAACCCGCCAACGCAATGAGGGACGCAATGAGTGGCCAACACCCATTGCCAGGCGTCTAAAAAATCTAAACACTGTTAAACACTGTCATCCTCACTGATCAGGTAAGAAAAGAGTTTAAAGAAGAAAGAATGCCTCTTGCCCTCCCAAACCCCTACCCTAAATCTTCAAGTGCTCATTATGCCCTCCCAAACCCCTACCCTAAATCTTCAAGTGCTCATTATGTCCATCAAAGTAGTGTCTTGATTGCCAGGGCATACATTAGAACACGAAACAGCATCATATCACCATATAAGTTTAGACCACAGGACTCAGCTTGCAGTGAAACATCTGTTTCGAAAACTGTAGTAAGAAGCAGTATATGCATTACTACTAATAGAATGCCTTTTCTTTCCATCCAGGAACCCTCTAAAGTTTGAAGCTGTACCGGTCAGGCAGCTACAATGAGTGCCATCAACAGAACCACCAAGCAAGAGGTCCATCTGGAGGTTAAACCATACTGTCATGACATTTGTGACAAGGTCGTCCAGAATAAAGAGCAGCATCATGAGAGGTGTGAGGAAAAGAAATTTGGTTGTGACATTAGTGGTAGCATCTTCTCGCACAGTGGTACCCTGGAGCATCAGAAGGTCAACACCGATGAGAGACCATCTGTTTGTGGCAAAGGCTTCACAGACAATAGTAGCCTGATGCAACATCAAAGGGTCCACACTAAGGAGAAACCATTTGTTTGTGACATTTGCGGCAAAGGCTTCTCACAGAATTCTAATTTACACGCTCACAAAAGGGTCCACACGAACGAGAAACCATTTGTTTGTGACATTTGCGGCAAAAGCTTCGCACGGAATTCTAATTTACACTCGCACAAAAGGGTCCACACGAACGAGAAACCATTTGTTTGTTACATTTGCGACAGACGATTCTCACACAGTTCTACTTTACACAATCACAAAAGGGTCCACACTAACGAGAAACCATTTGTTTGTGACGTTTGTGGCAAAGGGTTCTCACGGAGTTTTTCTCTTCTAGGACATCAGAGGGTCCACACAAACGAGAAACCATTTGTTTGTGACATTTGCGGCAAAGGCTTCTCACGGAGTTCTTATTTACGCGATCACAAAAGGGTCCACACGAACGAGAAGCCATTTGTTTGTGACATTTGCAGCAAAGGTTTCTCACAGAATTCTAATTTACACTCTCACAAAAGGGTCCACACTAAGGAGAAACCATTTGTTTGTGACATTTGCGGCAAAAGCTTCGCACGGAGTTCTAATTTACACTCGCACAAAAGGGTCCACACGAACGAGAAATCATTTGTTTGTGACATTTGCGACAGACGATTCTCACACAGTTCTACTTTACACAATCACAAAAGGGTCCACACTAACGAGAAACCATTTGTTTGTGACGTTTGTGGCAAAGGGTTATCACGGAGTTTTTCTCTTCTAGGACATCAGAGGGTCCACACAAACGAGAAACCATTTGTTTGTGACATTTGCGGCAAAGGCTTCTCACGGAGTTCTTATTTACACGATCACAAAAGGGTCCACACGAACGAGAAACCATTTGTTTGTAACATTTGCGGCAGAAGATTCTCGCACAGTTCTACTTTACTCTCTCACAAAAGGGTCCACACGAACGAGAAACCATTTCTTTGTGACATTTGCGGTAGAAGATTCCCACAGAGTTCTTCTCTATCAGATGGTCCACACTGAGGAGAAACCATTTGTTTGTGACATTTGTGGCAAAGGCTTCACAGACAAAGGAAACCTGATACCACATCAGAGGGTCCACACTAACGAGAAACCATTTGTTTGTGACGTTTGTGGCAAAGGCTTCTCTTATAATTCTAATTTACACGATCACAAAAGGGTCCTGACACGAAAGAGAAACCATTTGCGGCAGAAGATACTCACAGAGTTCTATTCTACAAAGACATCAGAGGGTCCACACTAAGGAGAAACCATTTGTGGCAAAGGCTTCACAGACAACAGTAACCTGATACTACATCAGAGGGTCCACACTAATACATGTAAGAAGCCTTTTGTATGGACATTTGAGGCGGAAGCTTCTCTCGTAGTAGTTGCCTACAAAGACACAAGAGGGTCCACACTAACGAGAAACCATTTGTTTGTGACATGTGTGGCAAAGGGTTTTCACAGAAATCGTCTCTAAAAAGACACATGAAGGTCCACACTCGTGAGAAAAAAAATTGTGACAATTGCGGCGGGGGGGGGGGGGACTTATTACTGAATAGTTTTCTACACAGATATCAGAGGGTCCATACAAATGAGAAACATTTTGTTTGTGACATTTGTTGCATAGGTTTCTCTAAGTTTTCAGCTGAAAGAAGAGGGTCCATACTAAAAAGAGACCATTCGTGGGTGGCATTTCTGGAAACTGGGTTTTCACGTACATGTAGTTCTCACCTCAAGAGACACAAGATCTTCGAGGGTCCGATCAGAAATCACACGTTTGTGAGACTTGTGGGAGAGGCTTCTGTCAAAGTGGTAACCTGAAAAGTCATAGGAGCACCCACAAAGTCCTAAATGAGGATGAACAATTGAGGGTCCAAGAAAGCATGGTCCCCAAACCTTTCCCCTGTGACATTTGTGGAAAAGGCCTCTCAGATCGGTCTCGCCTCAAGAGACACAAGAGGATCCATACCAATGAGAAACCACACGTTTGTGACATTTGTGGGAAGGGCTTCATTCAAAGTGGTAACCTGAAAGTACATAGGCGCGTCCACAAACTCCTAATTAATGACGAACTGTTTACGTGTGACATTTGAGGCCGAAGCCTCTGAATCATTAGAAAACTTTGTCGCCATCCAAGGATCCACAGTTATGAGGAAACCATTAGTAGATTGGGATGTTTGTGGCATGCAGTAGCTTCTCTTCCACTGGTTGCCAACTAAAACATGAGTGTACTGTTTAACAGAGTTGTAAAGACTCGAGTCAATGACTCGACTCGGACTCAAGTCTTAATTTTTGGTGACTCTACTCGACTTGAGTCCCTAAGGGTAAATGACTTGACTTGAGTCACTACGAGCAAGTGACTCGACTCGACTCAGGTCCCTCATCAGAAGACTCTACTTGACTCAGTTTACAAAAATATAGCAACACTTTGCGAAAAATACACTCAACCAAAAAAGAAAGTCCCCCCTTCCAATACTTTTTGTCTAACTCGAAAACTACTGAGCACCTCTCGCTCCAAAAACGACCGATCACTACAGAAATTCCTTAGCAATCCAGACATACTTTTTATTTAGCACAAAACAGTGATAACATGTACAAAATTATGAAATGTATGACAAATAATATTGAAAACAGTTGCACTTTGGTATACGTGCAAGTTGTGGTTCACACTCGCCTTGCACGTACAAAAGTGCAACTTTTTTTTCGGTGGCACTTGTTATAAATTGCATACTTTAGTTGTACACATTATCAATGTTTTGGGCCAAACAAAGAGTACGGCTGGATTGCTAAGGAATTTCTGTACAGATCAGTCATAATTTGAGCAAGATGTGTGCAGGAGTTTTTGAGCTAGATAAAAAAGTATTGTGGGGGACTTCTTTTTTGGTCGAGTGTGACTTTTATGGTGAAAAAGTTATGTCACTTACGCGAATATAGTATGGTACAGCGGCCACATGTCATGTACAAACATACAGCCTGTCACAGAGTCTCCCACCCAGCTCATGATCCTGGAACGCACAAAATACAATCCAGGAACCAGATTTTAAACACATTTGCCAATTATTGTTTCGTCATTCGCTTTTGGTGATTTCTTATAAACTTCATGGATTCTAACGGCGGCTAAATTTATGCCCTCCAGTAAAAAATTAAATATATATACATGCCCACTTTTATATAATGAGAAACAGTTTTCTATAATGCAATTTGGCTTTGATGTAATGTCAGCGATCAGCAAAAAAAAATTCTAGACCAGAATCCTAACCAGATAGTCAAGTCATGTCAAGTGTTGGTGATACATAATACTTTCTGTCTTGTCTTTGTTATACCTTTAGTGTTCAAATATTCGTTACCCGAATTGACTTGATCTTCTTGATCTAATGACTCGACTTAAGTCACTACTTGACCTAATGACTCGACTCGAGTCACAAACATCAGTGGCTTGTTACATCTTACTGATGACCACAATTTTGTTTCTTTGCTGACCTAGCTTCTAATCTTTGCAGAACATCAGTTATAATTACCAGTATTTGAAGTTCCTAATTCCTATAAGTTCAGTCCAACCAATAGTAATCAATGATCTTATTCCCATATTTTCTGTACTTTTGGGGATTTGTGCACACAATCTTTCTTAATTTCATAAACGTAAATAAGTTTAAAACATTTACAACTATCTAGCGATTTAATGAGGGTGTTTAATTGTTTTCATATCAATCGAACAAGATGATGTAATTATTTTAGATGAGTATCTGATTATTTTACAAGCTTTAAAGGGAATATACAACATTTGTAAACATCGAAAAACAAAACTACAAAATTTTACGAAATACCTTACTAGGATGTTGGTAAATAAAAGTCTAAAGCTTCCTGTAAAATTATGGCACCTGGTGTGAAGTCATTTTCAAGAAAAGTGATATTTTGAATAAATTTCCAAAGGTGGTCAGCCGACCACCATTGGAAAAACCTAACTATTTTTCAACTACTGCTCCAAATATACCATCTTTTTTTTCAGTCTAAGTTTTAATTGCTATTGGTTACATGTTCATGAACGGGTGCAGGCCAGCTAGACTGGTTCCCTTACCTTATGGTTATCCAGCATCGATAAATTGATCAATCTCATATTTAGTTTTGCTTGGTTTTTCCAGCATTTTCGAACACAAAACCTAAAACATGACAGTTTAACAATATTGGATCTATTATACTAACCACACGAATAGTTCATTTCTGAAAATTACAGCAAAAGCCAATGATGTACATTCCCTTTAATTACATGTTCCGGTAACTATCCGTGTGTAGTATCAGTTTGTTAATGTTGGAATCACAGTCATTATCTTCAAAAATGATGCCCACCCCCTAAATTATAGGCTCTAGACCCCCCCCCCCCCTTTTTGATTTCTGGAAGTGGGGGATATTATAATTTGGGTTTATTGGCAGTTTATTTCTGACGGGAGCTAACTACACCGAGGCCGAGCGGTACGTGGTCGTACGTCGAGAGGTGAGGTCAAGCAGCCTTGAGTGTAGAGGGCGCTATCGACGCGCATTATACGAAGCAAGCAACAACCCGGAAATCACCCTTCGTGATCGCAGTTTTCTCAGGTATTTTACTATAGTTGTTGCTAGTAGTAGAGATGATCTGGGCCAAGTTTGTCCAATCCTTAACAAAGTCATGAAGGTTCTGAAATTGTTCATGTTTATTTTCAAAGCTACGATTCGCTGGGACGTCCGGCCCGCCCCGCTCTAGTTAGCCTACATAATGTACATGTAGACGAGTCTTTTTCACCTGCAAATCGATACATGTCAGGGTGACCGTAAGGTCATGCCCAAATTCTGCTAAATGCACTTCAAAAATTTGTCAGATTAATCAAAAATCTGCCAAATTCCCCAGAATCACTTGAAATACACTATAAGCACTTAAAATCACATGCAGATGTTGTAGTATTGCCCTTAATTAAGGTTCAAATTACTTTATAAACAATCTGTAGTCGCGTAAAGATGTTATGAAGTTGCTTAAATTTCTGGCAAAATCCAGTTCCAAGTGAACCTCAGCAGCTAGACCAGGCAACCTGTCCTATTATGCCAGGGTTTGCTTGAATAGATTGAAGCTTTTTTAAACAAATGTACCATTTTTTTCACATTTGCTGTGTTTTTTGTTGTTGTTAAATAACCATTTTTGGAGAATTCTGCCAGAAATCTGCCAAAAAAAATCCATTCTGTCAAATTTTCTGTCAAACTCGATTTTTTTACGAAAAATTCTGTCAAATTTAGCCGAAATTCGGCTAAAACGGTCACCCTGATACATGTAGTCATACAGAAAGGAACACACGATACGAATGAGTAGACACTTAGATTCTGAATTTGAATGCAATACATGATGATATCTACAGTGTACTCCGAGCGTTCCTTTCTCCATGCTCCGAGTAACTGAACAAAAAGGGAGGCCTAGTATAATTAGTCGATGATCAATAACAATGATTGTTGCTGGGTTTTTTCTTCTTCACTGTAGAAGGAAATCTGAAGGCCAGAAAAACTCGATCATGAAACTCCATATTCCCATGCAGAATATGAGGAAGGAACGATGCCATTGAAAAGGAAAGGTACAAAAATGTGTCTTCGCAAGTTGATTTATAAACCAGACACTCAGTCGTGCTATTTTGGGTTAAGACATTGTTTTAGAATACGCGATGAGCCACCGCTGTGATAACCCGCCACCGCAATGAGGGACGCAATGAGTGGCTTACACCCATTGCCAGGCGTCTAAAAATTCTAAACACTGTTAAACACTGTCATCCTCACTGATCAGGTAAGAAAAGAGTTTAAAGAAGAAAGAATGCCTCTTGCCCTCCCAAACCCCTACCCTAAATCTTCAATTGCTCATTATGCCCTCCCAAACCCCTACCCTAAATCTTCAAGTGCTCATTATGTCCATCAAAGTAGTGTCTTGATTGCCAGGGCATACATTAGAACACGAAACAGCATCATATCACCATATAGGTTTAGACCACAGGACTCAGCTTGCAGTGAAACATCTGTTTCGAAAACTGTAGTAAGAAGCAGTATATGCATTACTACTAATAGAATGCCTTTTCTTTCCATCCAGGAACCCTCTAAAGTTTGAAGCTGTGCCGGTCAGGCAGCTACAATGAGTGCCATCAACAGAACCTCCAAGCAAGAGGTCCATCTGGAGGTCAAACCATACTGTCATGACATTTGTGACAAGGTCGTCCAGAATAAAGAGCAGCATCATGAGAGGTGTGAGGAAAAGAAATTTGGTTGTGACATTAGTGGTAGCATCTTCTCCCACAGTGGAACCCTGGAGTATCAGAAGGTCAACACCGATGAGAGACCATCTGTTTGTGGCAAAGGCTTCACAGACAATAGTAGCCTGATGCAACATCAAAGGGTCCACACTAAGAAGAAACCATTTGTTTGTGACTTTTGCGGCAAAGGCTTCTCACAGAGTTGTAATTTACACGCTCACAAAAGGGTCCACACGAACGAGAAACCATTTGTTTGTGACATTTGCGGCAAAAGATTCTCACAGAGTGCTACTCTGCAAAGACATCGGAGGGTCCACACTAAGGAGAAACCATTTGTTTGTGACATTTGCGGCAAAGACTTCTCACGGAGTTCTTATTTACGCGATCACAAAAGGGTCCACACGAACGAGAAACCATTTGTTTGTGACATTTGCAGCAAAGGTTTCTCACAGAATTGTAATTTACACGCTCACAAAAGGGTCCACACGAACGAGAAACCATTTGTTTGTGACATTTGCAGCAAAGGTTTCTCACAGAATTCTAATTTACACTCTCACAAAAGGGTCCACACTAAGGAGAAACCATTTGTTTGTGACATTTGCGGCAAAAGCTTCGCACGGAATTCTAATTTACACTCGCACAAAAGGGTCCACACGAACGAAAAACCATTTGTTTGTTACATTTGCGACAGACGATTCTCACACAGTTCTACTTTAGACAATCACAAAAGGGTCCACACTAACGAGAAACCATTTGTTTGTGACGTTTGTGGCAAAGGGTTCTCACAGAGTTTTTCTCTTCTAGGACATCGGAGGGTCCACACAAACGAAAAACCATTTGTTTGTGACATTTGCGGCAAAGGCTTCTCACGGAGTTCTTATTTACGCGATCACAAAAGGGTCCACACGAACGAGAAACCATTTGTTTGTGACATTTGCAGCAAAGGTTTCTCACAGAATTCTAATTTACACGCTCACAAAAGGGTCCACACTAAGGAGAAACCATTTGTTTGTGACATTTGCAGCAAAAGCTTCGCACGGAGTTCTAATTTACACTCGCACAAAAGGGTCCACACGAACGAGAAATCATTTGTTTGTGACATTTGCGACAGACGATTCTCACACAGTTCTGCTTTACACCGTCACATAAGGGTCCACACTAACGAGAAACCATTTGTTTGTGACGTTTGTGGCAAAGGGTTCTCACGGAGTTGTTCTCTTCTAGGACATCAGAGGGTCCACACAAACGAGAAACCATTTGTTTGTGACATTTGCGGCAAAGGCTTCTCACGGAGTTCTTATTTACACGATCACAAAAGGGTCCACACGAACGAGAAACCATTTGTTTGTGACATTTGCGGCAGAAGATCCTCGCACAGTTCTACTTTACTCTCTCACAAAAGGGTCCACACGAACGAGAAACCATTTCTTTGTGACATTTGCGGTAGAAGATTCCCACAGAGTTCTTCTCTATCAGATGGTCCACACTGAGGAGAAACCATTTGTTTGTGACATTTGTGGCAAAGGCTTCACAGACAAAGGAAACCTGATACCACATCAGAGGGTCCACACTAACGAGAAACCATTTGTTTGTGACATTTGTGGCAAAGGCTTCTCTTATAATTCTAATTTACACGATCACAAAAGGGTCCTGAAACGAAAGAGAAACCATTTGCAGCAGAAGATACTCACAGAGTTCTATTCTACATCGACATCAGAGGGTCCACACTAAGGAGAAACCATTTGTGGCAAAGGCTTCAGAGACAACAGTAACCTGATACTACATCAGAGGGTCCACACTAATACATGTAAGAAGCCTTTTGTATGGACATTTGAGGCGGAAGCTTCTCTCGTATAGTAGTTGCCTACAAAGACACAAGAGGGTCCATTCTAACGAGAAACCCTTTTGTTTGTGACATGTGTGGCAAAGGGTTTTCACAGAAATCGTCTCTAAAAAGACACATGAAGGTCCACACTCGTGAGAAAAAAATTGTGACAATTGCGGCGGGGGGGGGGGGGGACTTATTACTGAATAGTTTTCTACACAGATATCACTTGGTTTTCACGTACATGTAGTTCTCACCTCAAGAGACACAAGAGGGTCCAATGAGAAATTACACGTTTGTGAGACTTGTGGGAGAGGCTTCTGTCAAAGTGGTAACCTGAAAATCATAGGAGCATCCACTAACTCCTAATTAATGATGAACCGTTTATGTGCGACATTTGAGGCTGAAGCCTCTCAATCATAAGAAACCTTTGTCAACATCCAGGGGCCAACTTCACAGAGCTGCTTCGGCACATTTTGTGCTTAAGCAGCTCTGTGATATTGGCCCCGGGGTTTCTCACTTGATGAGAAAACCACCAGATTGGGATGTTTGAGGCAGTAGCTTCTCTACAAACACGTGAGTGCTCACACTTACAAAGACACACCCAATTTTTGTGTCATTTTTGTGGCAGAATTCCTTGATAAGAGCACATTTTTTTGTCAACATCAGAGGGTCCACACCAAGCACTTTGCTTGTTTCGAGTAATTTGGAATGTGTGCGCATTTATCTCTTTGATAATGGGCTGTGATGAAGTTAAGTCATTAAAAACAACCCAATATACAGTGTATAAGTGAAATGTAACAGGTTTTTTAAAAAAGATTTTGTTTAACATTTGTGTGTCTCACTGATGTGCACAGCTTGGTTCTTTGAGGACGTATACTCCATTTTTGCAGAGTATCAATCATATCACTGGTATTTGAAGTTCATAATTTGAGTCAAACCCATAGTAATCAGGATTTGAGCACACATGTGTATGGTTTGAGTTCATAAATACAAATAAGTTTGACGCATTTAGAACTATCTACATGTATAATGATTTACTGAGTAAGGGTGTTTTGTTTGTATGCCAATCGAACAACTAGACACACATTTGTAATTATTGTAGATTGGTACTTTTTCTTGAGTATCCTCTCATTCTTCAAGCTTAAAATGCCTGTTCCTTATATTTTTGTAAGTAGTATCACTTAATTGTTGGAATGACAGTTGTTATCTTTGAATAAAGATTCAAGAGAGCAACGCACGTAGACACAAGTTTGAAATTGTTGGTGTTGGGAAGTCTCGGTCCTTGAGTAAAGCGCATTGCATATGGTGGACTTTGAACAATAGAGAATGCAAAAGGGTCATTATCGACGATCATACAAAACATGGGGGGGGGGTTGTTCTTCATAAAGAGTACAAACAAAAGTTTAACAAAAGAGGGACAATGGGGGTCATCCTTGAAAGTGTTTACCAACCTCGTCCCCAGGGTGTCGAGCAGTATGCGCCTCGCCAGGGTGGGCACTTTGCCCCCCCCCCCGGCCTGGCGGATTTTTTTGAAAGATATTTCTTCAGTAACTATTTCCATAAATGGTTAGAGAGTTCTGTTCTGAATTCCCCCCAAAAGAAAACCAATCTCCAAAAGTGCCTGCGCCGTGGAAATCGTCATTTGTCAGTATATATCATGTGCCGTAGGGCCTATTCAATAATAATTGTCAGTTTGACTTCCTAGCTCCATAGTTTGAAGAGCGCCGGCGTTCAGACACCGTAAATCCCCTTAAAACACCGGTTGAAGTTCAGTGTAGCTTTCTTGATAAAACGATACCGGAACGCTTTTATGTTTAGACCGAATCGAGTTCAACTCTAAAATAAAAAAGGCAACTTAAACCCGTCGGTTAGCGAATAACCAGAACGAGTTTAACGGTTTAGCATCCCCATTTTGAATATGGACCCCCCCGTGCTTTTTAATTTTACGGAGGCCAAGTGTCCGAAGAAAAACACACACAAAAAGTCTACATTTTGGGCGCGGTTGTGCGACTGCGGTTGCCCCTCCCCCCCCCCCCCCGACATCAAAAGCTGGATACGCCATCGCGCACAGACGCGCAGCCGAAACGGACAGGATTTTTGAGAATTTCTCAAAATTGAACTTTCCCAGAATTTCTTTAAATTTGAGGGATTTTCCTTACACTTTTCTGTTTTTGTTTCGTTTGCTTGCAGATTCCTTCGAATTTTCGAAAATGAAAAGAAATTCTTAAAAGGAGGAAATGGAAAAAATGTTGCAACGCCACTTTTTCCTTCATTATCTCTCAATGAAGGTCATCATAATGCAAAAATGATCAAACACGAATCTGGAACTGAGAAACATTTCCATTTGTGTTTAGGAAAATGTTCTTGACCATAGACTTTGTACACAACCGCTAAAAAAGGCGAGTTGCAACATTTTTTTTCAGAGGAAATTAATTGAAACTAATTAAAGTAACTGACCGAAATTTGCGACTCAACAGAGGGCGCGCGGTACGCGCCAAGCTATCACGACTCTAGAGGGCGCTATCTATTATGTAAAGCGCAAGACATGCAAGAACATGAAGCGAAGAAGCATCGACTGCACGGATTTTCACTCAGCAGTACAAGCTACGAATCATAGTTTTGAAAATAAACATGAACGTATTCAGATCTTTGTTCAAGATTGGAAGAACTAGAGTCCATGTTGGCACAGATCGCTTAGGCAACAAGTACTTTGAAATACCTCAGAAAAGTGCGATCACGAAGGGTAACTTGTTCTGATTAAATACTGGCTTGACTCGTGATCACTCACTGACTATCATAATATGTTTGGCACTAGGAGTAAAGTTTGGCCCAATACAGGGTGAGTAAAAAAAACGAAACCCAAATGTCGGGACCATTGTTTTACTTAAGATTAAGTTCTTCATGTAGCACTTTCAAAATCTAGGATATGAAAGCCCAATTCATAAGCTTTCTTTTAGTACAAGAATCATTCAAATCACTCATGTGCTTTTGAAGTTACAGAGTTTTAAACACAACCACCGTTTTAAAGCTCTGTCCACGGATCACTAAAAAGGTGTGTGTTCTTTCAGCAAAACAAAAACAATTCACACACATCCTTATTTGATTCGTTTTCGATTTGCTGAAAGAACACAGAACTTTTTTGTGATCCATGGACAGAACCGTTTTATAGTTCTGTCGTAGTCCGAGTAACTTGGACCCAACTTATCGCCTTTTTAACATTTGGACATGGTCTGGCGATCGCCAGACCATGTCCAAATGTTAAAAAAGGCGATAAGTTGGGTCCAAGTTACTCGGACTAGTTCTGTCGATGGATCAACAGAAGGTAGGCCTAAGTGTACTTTCACTTTTTCAGCAAAACAAAAACAAATCACATAGGGATGTGTGTGTGTGAATTCCGTGCTCAGAACTTTAAAACGGTGGTTGTGTTTAAAATTCCGTAACTTGAAAAGTACATGAGTGATTTGAATGATTCTTGCACTAAAAAGAAAGATTATGATTGGGGCTTTCATATCCTAGATTTTGAAAGTGCCTACATGCAGAACTTCACTAAAACAATAGTCCCGACATTTGGGTTTCGCTTTTCCCGACTCACCCTGTATTACCAGCAGGCTGAAATATTTCCATGAAAAGTTACACGAGTGATTTGAATGATTCTTGTACTAAAAGAAAGCTTTTAATATGAATTGGGCTTTCATATCCTAGATTTAGAAAGTGCTACATGTAGAACTTCACTAAGACAATAGTCCCGACATTTGGGTTTTGCTTTTCCTGACTCACCCTGTATCACTATCACTCAGGCCGAAATATTTCCATGAAAAAATGCCATCATTTTTTTCCAATTGTTTGTGTTTACATTATAAAAGTGGCCCTTAGCACAATTTACTACAGTGTAGGGCCATAGAATAGGGCTAGGCCTAATTAGTAGGTGTTCACATAACAATTATTGCTGCTGTTTTTTTTTTTTTTTTTTAGGAGGATATCTAAAAGCCAGAAGAACGTGTGAATCTCCATATTCCCATGCAGAATATGAGGAAGGAATGATGCCGTTGGAATGGGAAGGTACAAAAAATTGTGTCTTCGTTGAAAAAGCTCTGTCGTGTCCGTACTGTGCACAACACTGACAAATCACGTCAAATATGGAGGCTATTGTCAGACACATCGAGTTGTTTCCGGAAGGTGAATTGAAAAAGAAAGAAATAGTTTCTCATCCAGACTTGTTTTTAAAGTTAGCGTCCATCATTTGTAATTTGCGCATTATGTTCATTTGAAGCAACAAAAATGCTCAAAATCTAAAGAAGGGTGCTGAACAACTAACCCGATGAAGTTTCGGCTTAGTGAATGCTGTATATTCCGAAAAAACAATATTCTAGGATCTCGATTTCAAATCAAAATTTGCCGGAATTAAGCGTCTGAGACACTTTCTCACTGAGCCGATTGCAGCTATGCGATGTCGCGCACTGAAACAATGAATTATAGCAAATGTGCGTTGCGTCAATGCTTGCGCATGCTTCTGCGAATAAAAAAAAATGAATGAATGAAAAATGAACGGAAATTTCCATCGTTGTGTCTTAATAGACGCATCGTTGGAAAGGCCTTCTTTCATTGATTTCTTCAAACTAACAGCTTGCCAGAAAAATCACAGGGAGATAAGTGCCATTACTATCTTTGAACCAAGTATGCTTTTCGAAAATAATTACGTCAGTTACTTTTTGGATAGCTGCAAATGATGGACTATACCTTTAAAGGGGGGCTTTTATTCATGAAGAGTATGCCCCAAAGTGGTGGATGTTCTTTGATGACGTCTAAAAAAAACCAACCAAGTTCAGGATGTTTTAGCTTGCAAAGGACAACTTGCAAATACAATATTTTCTCAATTGTCTTGGGTATTTTGCAGTTGCTGCAGCAAATTGTTGTCAGTTTTTCAACTGAACTTGAGCTGAGGAAATTGAACCTGTTCTTAAATTTTGAAGAATACATGTTCCATTATTTTGGCAGCGTGGGTCAGAGGGAAACGGGCGGACCCTCCGACTCCGGAGGAAATCGACCGGAGAGAGCAGAAGACGCTACTGGTCAAGAAGAGAGCGCAGGAACTAGAAGAGAAAGATCAAGAGGTGATGAAAGAAACGGCTTAAAACCTCATGGTGCAGACGATCAATTTGGGAAGAGCCCCATATTACGGGCACCACTGATATGCCGCCAATTTTCACCTCACCTTATGATTTCATTGAAGACAAATTCATTAGGCTTGGCAAGACTGAAAACATCTCAGGAAAAAGGTGTTTTTAGAGCTCATTCTGGGTGCACACATCGTTCGGATAGCCAACGTGTAGGCAGCCATATTGAAGAGTCTGGAAGTCTGCAGTGCGCATAAAAACGTACCAGCCAATAACAATGCACTATCTCATCATGAATATTTAATTTCTCATGAATATTTAATTTACTAAATATTCATTTGTCTTACTTCAATGGATACCTTAAATACATCAATTAGACCCTAAACGCCAACAAGCGCTCGTGGTCGAGCGGGTAAGGCTGGTGTGTTTTCTCTTTCCCTACCGGGTTCGATTCCCACGAAAGTAGATAACTGATGCAAAAGAAGAAAGGAGGTTGAGAGTGGAGGAAAAGTTGAGGAAATAACCATAAAGGATGTAACTTTTTGGCGCTTAAAAATGTTTTGAGGTTTGAAGATCGACCGACTGAATATTTAATTTGAACGAAGAAATTGACTGGAGCGGGGTTTGAACCTGCGACCTCCGGATTGCCGTTCCGGTGCTCTACCAACTGAGCTATCCAGCCCTATGTTTGCAGTTTCCCATCAATTGTTTTCTTTAGTTTTGGCTAATTTCCTAATGTTTGTGTGGATCTTTTTATTCTCCAGAGACAGTTAAAGGATTATGAGGAAGGACTTGTGGCGAAACCGGCACAGACCAAGCAAATAGGTAAATGCCCTCTTATGTTTTTAAGAGTTATTGTCTAATGGTTTTCGGCACATTGTTGAACAGAATTTCTTTGTTAGTGGGGGGGGGGGGGGGCGTCGGCAATTGAAAGTGCTGTATAACGCGAATGATTCTCATTTCGAACTTAATTTTCAAACTGAATAACGGCTATCTGATTTCAACCAGAGGTTTCAGCTCACATTCATGTGAGCCCATCCAGCTCAAAGTCATACAACCAAAAAGTAAAAAGTGAGGCGCCGCATGCATGGTCTGAGTATCACCCGTTATCCACGGAGCCAAGACTTTCTTGTATAACGTCTGATATGTCTAGACAAGCAGATTATGCAAGCCGTGCGCCAGCTAATCTGAGTCAACTTTACTAAATCATGACATCATTTCATTCCTAAATCGGGACTAAATGGTTTGATTGGTCAATTCGAATGCAGTGTTTTGTAATACATGATACAGAGCACGTGACACAGGGCTTCTTTATGCCCTCTCGATGATTGGGTGTGGTTTGCGGGATACAATGACTACTTGTCATTGACAAAACACTCAGCTGCCTTAAACGCAGTCACTATCAGAGACCATGGAGCAAATTGGGGGATGTTCTAGTTTTCTTTAGCTTGTGTCACAAAAAATTGATTTTTTTTTAGGTTGGTTTTGAATATTTCATTTCCAAAATCAAAACCGAATAGTGGAATTCAAACTAAACTTTTAAAATTCTGGATTCTAACCCAGTGCCAATTATCTTAACTTGTCTTTTTAAAGTCAAGTTAAGCAACCATTAATTGCGTTTTCCCTTATCACAGGCCATGCTTCATCACCGGTTTTTGACAAGGTGGACTCGGCTGAATCAGTCAGCACGGGCACGGAGTTTGAGCCCTCTGCGTGGCAGCCCGGCAAGTCTACGTCCAAAGTCAAATGAAAGCTGTCAGCGCTGATAATATGAGACTATGATTCACGGTGTTAGAGGCTCTACTGCCCAGAAGTGTTTGGGAAAGATGCGATTTTCACGGAAAGATAACGTGCAGAGATAAGTTGTGATAACCACTAGCTTATTCACCTGTGGTTGCACGTTCAGTCGCACATCGAATTTCTGGGAACCAGCAAGGTGTAGCAAAGTACATACGAGATCGCCTGGTATACATGTAATTATCACTTGAAGTTTTTGTCCAATTTACAATAATATCGGAGTCTTATATAGCGCACGTATCTACCAACAATTAGGTACTCAAGGCGCTGGAAATTATGTCTAGTATTAAAGAAAGGTAAATAAAGTTTATGAGAAATATGAGACCCATTATGTAGTACCTTATAATGGTTTACAAGGTACTGCGGCGCATATTGCAGCCACTGCCAGAAACACCGGGGCAAACCCCTTCTCTTAGCGATAAGTGTTACTGGGTTCTTAACGTGCATTACACAACACACGGGACCTACGGCTTTACGTCCCATCCGAAGGACGGAGCAATAATGGTAAAGTGCCTTGCTCAAGAGCACAAGCACCATGTTCCCACGGTCAGGATTCGAACCCATGTACCACGGCACACGAGTCGAACACCGTAACCATTGGACCACAGCACCCCACTTGTAATTGAAGAGAAACTAACCAAATTAAGAGATGCCATATTTTTATATCACAGCCTTTACTTGTGTTATATGTAAATAGAACAATACACCTGATGCATGTGCTGGCCATATTAAATTGAAAGCGAGGTAAATTCTTCATATTTGGAACGAACTTGCGAGTAGAAATGAAAGCAATGACATAAAGTTCATTACAAATTAATACCATTCTGCTCTGATGAATAATTTAAAATTTGTGATTAAACATAACCTAATGTTTTAAAGGGAATGTACATCATTGGCTTTTGCTGTAATTTTCAGAAATGAACTATTTTGAGGGGTTAGTATAACAGATCAAATATTATTACACTGACATGTTTGAAGTTTTGTGTTCGAAAATGCTGGAAAAACCAAGAAAAACAAACATGTTCAAGTAGTCTGGTTCCCTGACTCCACTAAAGATGAAATGGATCAATTTATAGATGCCGGAAAATTGTAAGGTAATGGAACCAGTCTAACTGGCCTGCACCCGTTCATGAACATGTAACCAATAGCAAACATAATTTGGACTGGAAAAAAAAATGGTGAATTTGGAGCAGAAGTTGAAAAATAGTTAGGTGTTTCCAACGGTGGTCGGCCGACCACCGTTGGAAATTTATACAAAATACCATTTTTCTTGAAAATGACTTCACACCAGGTGCCATAATTTTACAGGATGCTTGAGACTGTCATTTACCAACATCCTAGTAAGGTATTTCGTAAAAAATTGGTAGTTTTGTTTTTCGATGTTTGCAAATGTTGTATATTCCCTTTAAGCCACATTCGTATAAAACGCAATTGAAGGTGAGGCTTGGAACACATAAATAGTCTGGCACCATCTCATTCCGCAGTTTAATATTTATAAAATAGATTCAGGGAACACGATCCAAAATGGCTTCCTGGTGAATACGGTCTATTGAAACATGCTGTGTATAATGTTGTACACAAATCTCAGTAACAATGCAATAAACCTGTTACATTACAAGCGCCTGTCGTGTCAACTTTTGTTAATTTGAGTGCTTGAAGTGAGGAATAGGGTAAAATTCATGGCACATTGGCAGACAGGGCTCTGGAGTGCTCTGAAACGTGCACAACTAAATCAGGCCCACTTCACTCATAGTTTAGCCAGCAAATTTCTCCAAAAATTCCACTGGGGCAAAGAAAATGTCCTCAGTATTTCACCAACCAAGTTTGCAGACTCAATTCAATATTTAAAGGAGACTTTTCTTCAATATTTTGCACATGAGAGGGAAGTCGAGTGATTTCAAAATGGGGCTAAATACTAGACTGGTACATGTCCATCCATGGTCCAACTTTTTGAAAAAGACTGACCACTTCATTCAGTGTCAATAGTCTGGTGGCCTGACTATGTAGAAATGTGAAGTACGGTGTAAATTGAGACTAGTTCCCGCTTCATGCCACGTTTCTTGAATTCTTTTGGCATGGTTGATTGATGCAGTACTGAAGCCGTGTTGGACTTGGTGTTTTAGGTGCCAGTCCATTTTCTTGTTTTGCAGGTTGTTAATACCTTAAGTTTTGGGACTCTCATACACAGTATTGAGAGTCCCAAATTTTTGGACTAGCACATTGGTAATGATGCATTTGCGGACCAATTCAGAATTAGGGTTTTGCATTTGCCCGACGCCACTTTTTTCGGAAAGATTTCCATATACGAAGTTCACTCAACACCCTGTGTACAAACCCTATGAGATTGGACTGAAACATTCTAAGTGTTTGCTAAGAAAATGCTTGTATTTTCTCACTGCTCAAATTGACTTTGATGACATGAAATTGCTATCTGGGGGCTTGTTAGTCAATACAGAGGAAAATTAGTGAACTTCGTATATGGAAATCTTTCCCTTTTTTCTACATACCGGTACATGTATGTATCATCTCAATAAGGGTCAGTTATTGCAAAAATGTTGATAGACATGAATCTGGGACCGAGAAACATTTCCAATTTTGTTAGCAAATACTTAGAAAAAATGTTGCAACCTGACGCCACTTCAGCAGTTGTGTAACAAAGTCTATGGAGAGTCAAGAACATTTTCCAAGTATTTCGTAACAAAATTGGAAATGTTTCTCACTCCCAGATTCATGTTATCATTTTTGCAACGACTGACCTTCATTGATATATGAGATGATATATGAAGAAAAAAAGTGGCGTCAGGTTGCAACATTTTTTTTCCAAAAAATGTCCAGACTTTCCATAGACTTTGTACACAACCGCTGAAGTAGCGTCAGGATGCAACATTCTTTCCATGTAATTTCCTTGCACAGTTTCAAAAACTTAATTTCAAAAATAACTGACTTGCCTTTCAGAGGACGGACATCTGTCTTCCGTTGCAAATTGTTGTCCAGATTTCCAAGCTCGAAGACTTTAGCAAAAACTGCCATGCACTGGTGTATGTCCACATGCTTGCCTCATTGCCTGTATGGAAATAGCTTCAGAACAGCAGATGACTAATAAACCCTCCTAGTCTTCTGTACTTCATAATCCTCCAAGTTTTGCAAACTACTTTTCCACACAGAGTTATAGCATCCATACTTCAAAGTCCTCCGAGGTATATATCTGAGCAGTGTGGATAACACTTCCAATCCCTGCACAATTCTTCTGAGTAGCTAATTAGCTCAGGGCAAGCAGGCAGATATGGTCACACTTCACTGCTCTCCACAGTGCTGTTTTTTTTGTGTGCAGTGACTGTGTGACACAGTTTCTTTAAAGTTGCATTCCCCACTCTTCAACAAATTCAAATTTCTGTTAATAAATTTTCATCTCGCATGTTTTATCCCAAACAAAAAAACACTGTTCTTCCTTTTTTGTACATCTGCAACCATTGAAAAAAAAAAATTGTTTCGGGCACAAATGGATCGGCTTTGGGAGCAGACTGGTTCCCGGTCTGCACATTATCGATACTCTTTGTGGGTCCGGAACCAGCCTACCCCGAGAGAATGGAATTATTGTCTGGCAGCTAATAATTCAAAAGTGTAAAATAATAATTCAATAACTAAACATGGGCCGAATTTTTTTATGAACCTTGGATTCTGCCTTATGGAAGAATTTCACCTTAAAGGGAATATACATTTGCAAACATCGAAAAATAAAACTACCAAGTTTTTACGAACTACCTTACTAGGATGTTGTAAATGACAGTCTAAAGCATCCTGTAAAATTATGGCACATTGTGTGAAGTCATTTTCAAGAAAATGGTATTTTTGTATACATTTCCTACGGTGGTCGGCCGACCACCGTTGGAAAAACCTAAATATTTTTCAACAAGTGCTCCAAATTTACCATTTTTTTTCCAGTCCAAATTTTATTTGCTATTGGTTACATGTTCATGAACGGGTGCAGGCAAGCTAGACTGGTTCCCTTACCTGACAATTTTCCATTTTATCTTTAGTGGAGCCAGGGAACCAGATTACTTAAACGTTTTTGTTTTTCATGGTGTTTCCAGCATTTTGGAATACAAAAACTTCAAACATGTCAGTGTAACAATATTTGATCTATAGTTCATTTCTGAAAATTACAGCAAAAGCCAATGATGTACATTCCCTTTAAACTGACAGTTGGGTTGTATCTAGTCATATGTTATGACAACACACTGGAATAAACTCTGTGCTAAGGGCCATACAAATGTGAGCGCAAAAAGTTGATAAAATTATGGCATTTTTTTCCATGGAAATATTTTGGCCCGATACTCGGCATGGGGGTTCTTTTACCAAAGCATCCCACTTGTTCACTAAATTTAGGAGTTTCCAATTGTTCCTTTTGGTGAAATTTTTCTCTTAAAACTCTTAATTTGCATATGTCAAATTGTGTGCATTCCTTCCACTTCAGTTGGCAAATAAAGAAAGACAAATTTCACCTGAAGAAACCATTGGGAAGTCGTAAATTTGGTGAAAAAGTGGGATGCTTGGGTAAAAGAACCCCATTGTCGTGTGTCAGGCTGAAATATTTCCCTGAAAAAAAAAGCCATCATTTTACCATTTTTTTGTGCTCACATTTGTATGACCCCTAGCACAAGAGTTTACTCGTGTGTGGCCATAGAAAAGGGCCAGAAGGTCTATCTTAAAACAGTGCTACATGTTTTTGTTCTCGTGTACTAAAGTTTTCGAGTTTGAAAGTGTACTTTCAAAATGCTCCTATTTTAACCAGAATTAATTTCCTGGGCTGAAATTCGGACTTAATATCCCTTACATAAAATACTTCAATTTGCGACCGATCAACACACCTTGAAAATTCCTAGTTTTGGAGTAAAATCCATATATCTATTTCATGATAACCGTATTCACCTATAGAAATTGCCCCGTGGAGACGTATACAATCTTTTGTTTCCTATTGTGCACATGTCTCCACAGGGTACCGTGTACCACATCAAGGCAAGTTTATCTAATATACATACTAAATCTTTTAAGTACTCAGTGATGTAGTGAAGTCCACTAGAAGTCCATCACAAGTCCGTTCATTTAGTAAATCAGATGCCGTCACAAGTCTAGTCAAAAGTAACAGGGGTAAACAATATGAGAGGAATGGCGTTGTCGTAGTTCATCTGAATAGCTTGTGATACGGCGTTGGACTGGAGGACTTGTGATGGACTCAAGAACATCACTGTCAGTGCTCTGTACTAACTACGACCTGCTCTGTCAATGCACATCAAGTTCGAGAGAAACTCAAGACACAACCAAGATCACTGATGTCTTAGAAACTTTAATTCCTTTATCACAAAAATACTATGTTCCAAAGCGAGCCGCCCGGTCTCCAGTGAAAAACTAATCTGAATATCCAGAGAGACGGTTCGGTAACGGGCTTCCCATTAATGTCCTATTCAAATCACTACCAAGACAGACGGTCATTTCAGATGGCTACGGGATGTTAAAATGTGGTGTACAGCCCCAAGATTAAATTATTTGTATTCAACTGTTCACACCACATGGTCAGGGTCAGTGTTTTTATCGTTGCCCCATCCCGGGCACGGAGCTGCCACTTTAAAGTTGCAAAATATCTAGCTATTTAACTGTATACCGTAAATTTATTCATTTTCATGTTAGGAATTGAATACATCCAAAGCATGCTTTTAAAAAATGCAATCCACGCACAAAAAATCGGTGCGATGCAAACTTTAAAAATGTCTTCAAAAGCTGTTCTCGCATTAAGAAGTAACTTAAAATCGCGCTCTGCTATCTGCATGAGCATCGTAATCAAAAATACGTTCGCAAATTCATTTCAAATTCAGAAGAGAATTGCTTTTAAAACCGTTTACAGCATACACACCATTACGATGAAGAGCTAGCCCGAATTACAATTATATTTACACCGAAACAATTAAAAACAGCGGAATGTTATTCAAATCATCTAAGACTCGCTGCCGCCCTGAACAATCAAATTATTGTACACACTTAAAGGAAAAATATAATATTCATTAAAAAAAATTCAAAATCTAAAAAACGTAAATCTTAAGTCAATTGTGATTACTGTGCAAAATGGGGTTCACACTCAAACTGCAGTGAAGCATTTCATCAGGTCGAATTTGTAAAATCTGTAGCAATTTAAACAAAACATCCAATCCACAAAAATAGACCAAAAGTTCAAAATGTTTCTCTCAAACATTCATGCATGTGAAGTCACACAAGCAAAACAGATGTATGCATCCTGCCATGCACATCGGCAAATAACAACAGTCGTTTCAGTTATAAAGTGGGGCAAACACGCGTGAAAGAATTCCACATTAGGCCTCCAACTCGGTTTAAAAAAAAAACCTTAAAATTTGATATGCAAGGCTTATTGCTCAGTGATCACAAAAATGAATTCATTAATTAAAGATGCTCGCCAATGTAGATAATTCTAAATTAGGTTGGCTCGTTCAATTGCCACACATCACTTCAGCTCAATTATGAAACCCTACCCAATTGATGTCAAAGCCTGACAAATTAACAAAGAGTGCTGTCATATCTTCAAGTGCTACAAAAAAATCCAAAAGTTCATTCAAAACAAGCATTATTTAAACACATTCAACCCTTTCTTACAAAATCACTGATCTGCCAGCATAGTGGATTTCATTGGTACATAGCACAGCCTCAAATATACATTTTCCTTTTTTTTGTACAAGCAATAAAAACTTTTGAATTTCGTCACCTGAGAATGCCAACTAGTTAGGTAATGTTAGTCTCAAAGTTAAATTGATAGCTTTCTTTTCAATGCTCCGCAAACCTTTTTTTGTGTCAATTTCTGTAGATTTACATTTTTAGTGCTGAATACGTCAATGGGGCTCGCACTTTGCTCTTCAATCATTAACAATATTCATTAACTAAGTAGCTAATTAACAATAAACATTAATAAGCATTTCAATAAAACTGAGCATTGGGAAATGAAAGATGTCGTTCCACAAACCCATTCTAAGTTCTGATACTATTAAAAATTAAAACTTACATGTAATAACAATTCAATAAAAATTTTAACTAAATGCTCAGGAAACAACTTGTTCGTGGAAAACCTTAAAGCTGCCTGCCTTTGCCGCAATCTAGTCACAGATGCTGAAACAAGCAGCCAAGTATGTCAATGGACTAAAAAAAAAAAGGTCAATTCTCAATGTGAATTATAACAAAATTTAGCCATGCATGCGTTAGTTGCTCCATAAGGAATTGAAAATCAGTCACATAACCTAGGAAATTCCACATGTCACATCACAGGAATGGAGATACGTAGATAACATTGTCAATCACATTTATATCGAACTTAAATTTATGCAAAAGATAAATTTGCGGATAGCTAGGAGCCACTTTGAGTTCATTTAATCAGTTTTGTATTTTAGTTGGGAACTTTGTGAAATGTCTTAGCTAGATAGTGATTTAAACTGATTTTCTCAGAAAAAATGTAGTGTCCAGAAACCACTTCTTTGGTTGTGTACTAAGTCTAGGGAGAGTGGAGTGAATCTCAGTCCCAGATTCATGTCTTTTCCACATTTTTGCAATGACTGGCCTTCATTGAGATAAAAGATTAAGAAAAAAAGTGGCGTCAGGATGCAACCAATTTCCTAGCTTCTGCAAAGCAAAGCAAAAACCAGTTCAGAAGAAAAATATTATTTGACACTTTTTTGGGGGGGGGGGGGAAGGTAACCAATGCAGTTACACGTAAATTCTGTCGCCAAATCCACCCTTTCAATGTGCTTCGTGAATTACGCAACACTGTAAATATATGAATTCTTGAGCAGACTGTCCCAAGACATACAAAAATTCCCTTCCAAGACCGAGTCTCATTACACTGTCAAGAAAAAAAGAAGTACTTAATGTCCAACATCCAGATTACAACAATAATACTCTTTCTTGAATTTCTAGAAAAATAGACTAGCAACATTTGGTGATTTTTTTTTTTTTTTTTATACAAACCTAAACATTCCTTTTTTCAGAATGCCCCGTTCAAATTGTGGGCACCTTTTCTCTGTACAGATTTCGAAATAAAATTGGCATGTTTTTAAGAAATTTATGGAAGAATTGTTGATTGCCACATTGCAGCCGAAAAAAAAAGAAAAGAAAAAAGAAAAAGAAAAACAATAAGATATGTTCATCGGTAGTTATCTACATACACACACTTTCAACACCGATAACTAATTCATAAAAGTGTTATATCCTAGACAAATTCCTATACACATTCCAAAAATAGCATCTTTTTATGTAACATACAACGTACTCCTACATTACATTTACTCATCCCAACGGAGTAACACTCCTTAAAAATCTCTTGAAAACAAAAAAGAAAATACATCAATTAGAAATATATGCAAACTGTTTAAAAATGCATGTGTAATTTAACTACAGTCTTACGGAAAAATATGAAAATTCCATTATCATTGGAAAAAATTCATTCATAAAAATAGAAAATTACAGTGATTGAATACAAAGGTTCTCCAGTAAAGGTATTGTGTTTGATGCTACAAAATTCCCCCAAAGTGGGTGAAAAGTCTACATTATGTACACGTGCAAATATTGTGAACGTACATTGGGACATATGTGTAAAGGACGATTATTAAGTTGGCACAGGTTTTTACTTTGGCAAAGTAAACACGTCCCCCCCCCCCCATTTGTTCAGCTTTAAAACATGCACAAATAGACATGTCTACAACTGTTGGTTCTCTCTGCAGAGATACGTTCATTTTTTGGTCTAACAAACATCAAACAACCAATTGACTTAAATGCCTCTTTAAGGCTCATGTACATGCCTCTTTAAGGCTCATGTCCCAATGCGAGTTCAGTTTCAAATACAACAGGCATTTCCATCCAAACAACATCTTGAACCTTTTCAGGGGAATTTAGAATTGACGCTAAGAAATGACACATACAAGAATATTGGCAATACAAATTAAACTAAAAGCTACATTTAGACTGAAAAGGATACAAGTTGTCATGTTAAGAAAAAAAAAAGTATTAAACTAGAGACTTTTCCCCATTACTAAGTAAAAAAACACAAGTCGGAGATACCGCACTTGTATAAATTGAACTGCACAGAAATTGTTTTGAGGATAAAGTCTTGCTGCGCGCTGGGCATCCAAGCATACATGTGTGTGGGCCAAACCCTTTTCAGGTCAACACAGATTATGAAACCCTCCGTTTCTTCACACGCCTTCAGGTCCAACAACTGGATTATTGTACGGTAGGCTCCTGACTGTTCTAATAACCGGTCTTCTTTGCCTACACGATGCCTTAAAAGATGAGACTGTTTGGCGCCCTCAACTGATAACGCACGGTGCAAATACAGACACAGTTGATGGTACGTGTACAAGACTGCGAACGCCGAAAACAGATGGTCGCAACATGAACGTCTGGATGCACAACGGGTCCACTCTACGGTTTCAAAGTCACAGACACGCCGCTACAGCCACTCCATCGTTTCTCGTCTTGTTCCATTCTCAGAAATCTACCATCAGTGACGCCTTCTCAATGTCCTTCAGTGTGCAGGTATGTGCAGTGTCGCGGGGAGCCTTGGGGGAGAAGTCTCTAGCTAATGGGGCACAGACGACCTAGTAGTATGAATACGCTGACTTGTACGACTGCAATAACAAGAGTTCAGCGAAGTTAGTACCAACGCTTGAACAAGTCAAGAAAATATTCAAGTTCATTCGGATCCCGAACAGCTCAATTTTGGAGAAGCAGGAACAAGCAGTATGAAAACATGGAATGTAAAGGCACGTTAGTTTGTATTAACCCTAACTCTCCTCGATCCTCCAAAATCCTCTGGGCAGTTTTGGAGGATTTTGGAGGATTGAGGCTGAATGGCAAAAATGTGTCGGTCGATTTTGGAGGATGCATTGTGTTGAATTTGTATGCTGTATCCAGCATTGTTTATGTTCAGCCATGCATACTTGAGCCCTGCATTATGCTCGACACTGTCCGCACTGCTTCTGAATGTCATCGGTACTGCCTCAACCCATCAACAGGATTTTGAAGGATTGAGGCAATGGTCACCCCTCCACTGAACCAATTCAAGAAATAACGAATGATTTTTGGAGGATTGAGGCTGAATCTAATTTGTACTTGATGGCAATTGGTGGATTTTGCAGGATTGAGGCTGGTTCCTAGCCAAAAGAGCCTAGGGGTTAGGGTTAACAAGTATACCTGAAATGAAACACACTTCTCATTTTGTGTACCTGTATAAAAGCAAAGACCTCTACTATCGTGTAGAGGAATTTTCATTAGTATCCACACCGAGGCCACAGGGAACCTTTTTCTGTTAATCCTCATCACAAATTATTACAATGACAGCCTTCATTTCAATACATGTATTAACTGTAAATTTGTCCACACTGCAACTCTGACCAAAAGAAATGAGATTTTTTTATTAGCCAATATGTGACCTAATCTGTCAAAAGCAGAGGCTTCTGGGCAGGGTTGAAACTGAGATAGGATAAAATTTGTGGGGTGATTTTTTTTTTATTTTCAATTTTTTGCAAATTTGTAATCCCGAACATGTCTTAAATATACTATACAAGTTTGAAACCCTGAATTGAACTCCAAATATAGTATTTTTGACGAATTGTTAAGGTATATCAGTTAAAGAAATTACTGTTTTGTGACGTTCATGGCCATTTTCTACGTTTTCTACACAATGAACTTCAAAATAGCATAACTCTGCCCAGGAATGATCGGTTTCAAAAATTGAACCACCTATTAAAAGCAAAAAGAACGTATTTAAACAATATGCAAAAATCTCATTTTTGACCTTATGCCCAGAAAAGTCTGATTTTGACAGAACAGATCACATACATGTATGTGAAGGTACATGGAAGTCTAAGAACATGTGTTGACAATAGCGTGAAATAAGTTTACCAAGAAAAGAAATGTTAGTGGAATTAGACATACAAGGTGTCTCCAAAAAATGTAAACAAGTCAAACAACCTTTTTTCTAAAGAAACTTAATCGGTTTTTTTTTGGTAAAAAAAAGTTACCATGAGATGATTGAGTGTTCTTTACCCTTGACAGGATTATTGTTGTGTGTGATTTGGACCGTTTGTTTAAAAGTTACGGCAAAGCTTGTAAAGACTGTCATAATCTCTTTGGGCCGCTTTCTTCACCTTCTTGGTAAGTGAATGCCTTTCGTTAGATACCAAGTGGCCCAACTTGGAATTCAAGTCCTTTCATTTAATAAGCTGTATCTCTGGACTGGGGTGTCCAAATGAGATGGGATCAAGACCATTGTGTAGAGTATTTACTACACCTTCAGACTTTATAGATAAATTGTGCAAAAAGAGAGTGCTAGTATTTTCAATACTTATGGATAGACTGCTTCCTTTTTTTTTGGAGACACCATGTACATGTAACAACTGATATTAGCATTAGTTATGAACGAAAATCATTGTTAGCAATGGACAAGAAAGTTATAATATCATTTTTGTTACAACCTAAAGCCCCGAAAGCTCTGTGCAGAGGGTGTGCTCTGAAAATTGCTTGCGAAGAGAAAAGAAGAATCCAAATCAACTGCAGTGCTTGCCGTAAAGAAAGAGATGTGCTGCAAGCTCCACAGGGAATAAAGGTATGGACCGTCTCAATTCATATCTGGAACGAGTTTCGTAACAAGTTGCGGACATGGTATCGGGTATAAGTTGCAGGATTCTAAAATGACTCTCCGCAAACTTCCCGCAATGAAGTTATCAGTATTGGGGAGTCAAGCAGTTGCTAAAATGAAAACCTCCCCGGAACATGTCCGGGACAAATGCAGAGCTTTCTTCCGTACAAAACGAATGATTCTAACCGCAATTTATCTAGAACTCGTCCCAGATATGAATAAAAAAGGGCCCTATTGCAAAAAAGAAATAAAAGCGAAGAAACTGAAGAGCAAAAGAAATTTAAGAAACTTGTGCTTTGTTTTCTAGAGCTTACAAAAATGTTAGTGACTGTAATTTGTTTTCTAGCTTTCGCTACAAATGGCTTGTAGTAGAATGGAAAGTATTGTGTAGTATTGTGCTCAATAAAAAGCGTTGGGGGTTTTTTTTGCATACAATTTAAAGCAGTATATATGGAGAGCTGTATTATTGTAATTGAATACAGCTGGCTGGTACAAGGTCATGTACAGTATATACTAGCAAAAGGTAGGGAATTGTAGGAAATCTATCAAGCCTTTGTTGAGCAACGTGTTAGTAAAAGGAAAGTGAAATCAGCTGACAACTGTGTACACCAGAAGCCGCATCTTGAGATAACAGTGATCTTGATTCTCTTTTGATGCAACACTATTCTTTTCCACTCCTGTTTCTATCCTTTTTGTAGTTGGCCTGATAAATATCATTTCCTTTGTAAGTCTCTGCAGTTTTATAATGAGTCTGCGCAAATGAGTCCACTTTAGTTGCTTTATAGTCGAATGAGGTTTAGAAATGGGCAACCTGCTTTATACTTTGCTAGCTGGGTCATGCAGGGGTGTAGCCGGGGTTGTCATCCTGGGGGGGGGGGGGGGGGGGGAGTGGGGGGGCTGATGTTACAGTGGAGGGGCGCCCAATTTCATTCATGCTGAAAGGTACACAGGTTGTTTTTTTTCACCGGACATCCGGCCTCCATAAACTCAATAAGTGTTGGGGGGAGGGGGCCTGGGCTGGGCTAGACACTCTTCCCCTGGGGCGCTGTTCAAAACCAACATCATGGTCAATGTCAGACAGTAGGTGGCGCTATTTGCTTTCCACGGGACGTTTTCGTGAAAAAAAAACAAACAGAAAAAGTAAAAAAAAAACAAATTTCTGTTAAACTATCTGGTCATGGTAACTTCTAGGACTTTCCTTTTCTCAGGTTGCCAAATTTTGTGTGTGTGTGTGTGGGGGGGGGGGGGGGGTGCAACATTTTTTGGGGGGAGCATGCAACCCCCCCCCCTTCCCCCACAGCTACGCCGCTAGGGTCATGGGTATAGGCGGGGTTTTTCTTTCCGTTTTGTTAGTAATCCTGTTAGCAGCAAATATTGCCTAGCCTGACCCAAAATATTACGATCAAGGCATATATGCCTGCGAGCGGGTCACTGACAGACATTTTCCGGTCTCACTCCCTGCATGTTTATCCGTCATCCGTTCCAAATACCGCTAAACCAATGCGGGTATACACGTCATCCGGCATGAACTGGTTAATAAGCCTCGGCAGCAGCAGGAGACTTTAAATTTTTCTATTTCAAATTATACCCATACCTCAAATCCTAACTGCCTAGGATGAAATGGCAGTAAATGGGTTAACCAAATAGTAAAAAAAAAAAAATAAAAAAAAAAAACAAGTATGGATACGATGCAGGTGTATATAAAAAGAAGAGATCTCCTGTGCTGTTTTGAAAAAAATATCAAAGCAAATGCTGGATACACACATTACATGTAAGGTGTAAGATATGCATGCATCAGAGTGAGTGAGTGAGGCGAAGTGCATAAGGTGTTCCCATCCAACGTATCAAAGTGCCGTCCAATGCCCAACATGGGTGTCAGTAACGCTGGGCGAGTAACTTGATTACTCGAGTACTCGCGAGTAGTTTATGCTTATCGTTGTTCTACTCGTGGTCGACCGGTCTTTCATATGCTCGTGTGAGTAGCAATTTAGGGTTTAGGGTTCAGGGTTCATGGCTTAATACGTCCCCTGCAAACAGGGAATCACTCCCTCCACCTCTCTCTCCCTAGGATTCCATTCTTCAAAAAAGAAGAACAAAATTCAAGTAAATGCCCCAGAATGTCGAACAGAAAGGATATCACAGAGCTGAAAAATTTGGTGTGACTTGTAAGCTATTTGCTTGTAAGCTACTTCACGTCATACTAACGTATATGTCATTTTCTGCTTTTATGGGAATTCGGTTAACTACTCACGAGTACTCGGCTACTTGTGAGTAATTTCTTTGCGAGTACTCGAGTAGAAAAATCCACTACTCGCCCAGGCCTAGGTGTCAGTGCCAGCTATTGCTTCCAAAAGGAGACCTAAAATGGGTGAACAGAGTGATAAGCTGCATCCTGATGAATCTTGGGACAAGGAGAGCAATAGAGGAGGAAAAAATGGTGAAAAGTTAAAGAGTTTAGAGGCCAGCGTGTGTGCAGAAAAGTAGGCAGGGAAAGCCGATGGAAAAGCCGTGGTGTGTGCGGGCACACACACACCCTGCTCACTCACCGCCTACTGTCTTCACCCCTGTACATTTTATCATGTTCTGCGTACAACTGCTGTATCATCTGCGAAACCAAGACCACAGGAGAGTTTTGGGGGAGAAGGGGAATGGGATTGGGGTACACAGAAAACAATATGTTAACAACGAAGAAGAACATGAGAGCTGTCTCACACAGCACTACGCTTGTACAACAGATTGGTGGGTTGTTGTCAAAGGCACAGGGTACATGTGTGGGTCGCTGACCTGTCGCCGTTTGCGAGTTAGCCACGCCACTTAGACAACCCTATGGAATTTTGTACGTTAAGATTTGTTTGTCTCAGATTTTGCGCGTTCCGCGTCCATTTGTATGACATGTAATTGGACAATATTTCACAAGCTGCGTTGACGCGATTCTGAATCCTGCAAACTATAACCAGTCATTTGGAGGGCATTTTGTGTGGCACCTCATGCATCACGTTTTGTTGGCATGACTGTGAGCTGGATGGGAACTTCCGGTGAAGTCGGATAACTGTTATTCGGCTTCAAAACAAAATTAGGATAACCGGATTTTGAAATCTCTGATTTGTCAACGGTAACTTTTGTGTCGACTGCGGTTCATTGTTTCCAACCTTTCAGCAGGTTACAGCCCTTTTACAGTTATAAAATACTGACTGAAAAACACTCCAGCGCCCCATATCAATCAGCGATCGCAAAGTTTAACTGGCACACTCTTCGTGCAACTTTTTACCGGTGCAGCATGCAGTTTCAGCTGGCAGTTTCGAATATCCGAATATTTGGTCAAACGCAGTTTTGAGGAGTAATCGAATAGTAAATTATTCGAAAATGGACAGCCCTACAGTACATGTAAAATGCCCACTTTTTGTGCACACTTGCTGCACTTAATACATGTCAATGTCCCTCATTCGGCACTCTGCACTAAGACAACAACCCCCAATTACTACTAAAAACAAAGCAAATCAACAGAGTTTAAGATTTGGAAACTGGTGCAGACTAGCTATTTTGAGTTTAACTAATAACTCTAACATTAAACTGCGCACAAACAAAACTCAATGAATGCAAATCTCTTCAATGATGAATAAAACGTCTTTTAGAATATGTAAATGCTGAATGCACATTATAAGCAATAAAATCATGGTGCATGCAGAGGAAAATGGTTTGATTAGAAACTTTTCGGCAACCTTGATGAAGCGACATGAACACAGCAAATCTTTGATGATGAAATACACGTGATCAAATTGAGAAACAAATAACTACAGTAGTAGGCCTAAGACATTATGACGTCACGCTTTGTTTACATGTGCGCTTTCCTATGGGAGCCAGGTGGGGACGCATCCACCAAGCTCCCATAGGAAAGCGCACAAGTAAACAAAGCATGACGTCATGATGTCTGAGGTCTACTAATTCAGCAGAAAACAGTCAGTTTTTGAAGCATGCAGTGAAAAAGATTGTTAGTACATGTACTTGATAATGAACATTTTGAAAGTGGAAGAGGAAAGATTAGTTAAGGAAATACATGTACATCACACTTGATCCACTTTTCTACCTAAATTAGAAAAAAAATACTGAAAAAATGCACAGGTCTAAACAGGTTGGAATTAATCTCCGGACTTTTTCACAAATTGTAAATAACGTAAAGCCAAAAAATGGAAAAAGGGATACTGAGTCACAATCTAGATTACACTTCAAGGTCCTTATTTCTTAGAAGTTGAAAATGTTTTTCACTCATGAAATCTGTAGCACCCATTTGTTCCAAAAAAGAAAATAGTCTTTTCTCTTGTTTTTCATTTTTAACAGAAAATTTCCTCCCCCCTCCCCCAAAATTCAGTTTCTTCACTGCAAACTCAACTGATGGCGTATGGTGAATTGTTGGTTATAGTCAGGCAGATTGGTGCACAATATAATGGAATTGTTCATTTGATGATGAAACATTAAATTTGGCACACAGTCAGAGTATGTCATGGGAAAGATATTTGGCTATAGGGCCATCGGTTTTGTCTTTTGAAAACAATATCATAGAATAACATGCAATGGCCGCCATTTTGAAACTTTTGAAAATTTCTAGTTATCCTATGATATTTTATTCAAAGGACAAATCTGCGATGGCCCTATAGCCAAATATCTTTCCCATGACATATTCCGACTGTGTGACAAATTCCATGCCATTATTATCAAACTGAACAATCTTATCACCAATCTGCTGTAGTATTAGGCTTCATGCAATACATACGTCACAAACCATCTTTTAAGTGGGTTGCGAAGATTGTACAGATGTCTAAGTTAACAATAATGAAGACAAACAAAAATATTGGAAACTCCTAAAAGTCCCCCCAACTTGGTCAAAATTTAAAAATCTTCCAAATGATGTGGTCTCTACCAAGACACTGTAACACACAAACGGCAAACATCAAAGCAAAAAACAAAGCATGAAAATTGAAGAAACTAGGTTGTCAGAGACTGGTCTAAGGGAAGAGTGGGGACTGGCGTCCGCAACCACAAACAAAACTTACTGGTGTAGTAGATCGTGGGAGGTATTTCAGAGACGTTGGCAACGCGTAGTCGCCTGCGTTATGGCCTGTGCTATACTCTTTGTTAATCCTAGTCGTGCTACACAAAAGTTGGAGGCAGGGGAGAGAAAGGGGGAAAGACTGGACTTGTGTTAAGAGGTTACAAACATGCAGTTGGGGTCTTGTGTGTTGAGGGGGAAAAAAAGGTTTATTTTTAAAGGTAGAGTAGATCATTTGCAGCTATCCAAGAAGTAACTGACCAAATTATTGTTGAAAAGCTTACTTGGTTTAAAGATAGTAATGGCACTAAACTCCCTGTGAAATTATTATTTCTGGCATGCTGTCATTTTGAAGAAAACACTAAAAGAAGGCCATTTCCAAAGATTTGTCAAGTGACGTATTTTTTTTTGGAAATTTCCATAAGTAGTTGGTTTGTAATTCGGCGAATCTGTGAATGGGTGCACGCAAGCGTTGAAATAATGCACACGCGGTTGCTATGATTTGTCAGTTCAGTGCGTGACATCCCGTACAGCTGCAATCGGCTGAATGAGAACGTTGTCTCGGATGCTGATTTCGGGGGCAATTCAAAACACGACTCGGCAACTTTTGAATTGAAACTAAGATCCTAGAATATTGTTTTCTCGGAATATACAGCATTCACAGAGCTAAAACTTCATCAGGTTAGTTGTCAAGCACACGTCTTTAGATTTTAGCACTTTTGTTGCTTCAAACGAAATAAATGAACAAATGACAAATGATCTACCACACCTTTAAATCATGGAGGAAAAGAAGGATCTTTTATTTGTAATGCAGTTTAATTCATCAGCACTTGTATTATATCACAGATAAATCCATAACACCATACATATATGTACAGTGCTGGGGCAGTTTTGGGCGGTATAGGAAGAAATAGGCAGGGACGTTTGTGGCAGTACAAAACCAATGGGTTATTTAGTGGTGGGCTCACAGCCGCTGCGCAGGGGCGACCTAGAAGGGACAAGTAGACAAATCTTTGGCCAAGCCTATTCAGGGAAAGCTAAACTTCGTCTCTAGATAAGTCTGTTAAGTGTTAACGTTCAGTAACATTCCAAATGAAAATCTCTTGGGAGTTCAAGTTGCATTCCTCATTCATGCCGGGGTCATTTGCATTATACTGTACATTTTGGATGCATGCAGAGTGAACAAATTGTATGTTTTTTTCGTTGCAAAAAAGTTCTCTGTGCAAAAAAAAATAAAAATATCAAAACATGCATCCTACGGTACATGTACATAGTCGTGTCACTAGCTGTAAAAAAACCTTCATTGACAGGTTTAGTACCAAAAAACGACAGCACATTTACTTTGAATCCCGCATGTAACATTTTCCATCACCAATGCTCGATATGTAAAGACATTTTACAGAAAGCCATTGAGAAAGCCGTTGAGAGGATGTGACGCATAGCATTCATGTTGTAATGGCCACAGCAGATGAGAACCATTAAATACCAAAAAAAGCAGATGTCCCAAAACCAATGTCGCTACGACATGCACCTTGCTTCTTAGAGAAAATATCACAGAGAGGGGATCAGCCATGTTTGCGATGGTTTTCCTCTCGGTAAATTATTGCCATTACTTGAAAACCCATTACTTGAAAACCCAGATCTTGAAAACCCATTACTTGAAAACCCAGATCTTGAAAACCCAGGTCTTGAAAACCCAGATCTCGAAAACCCAGATCTCGAAAACCCAGATCTTGAAAACCCAGATCTTGAAAACCCAGGTCTTGAAAACCCAGATCTCGAAAACCCAGATCTTGAAAACCCAGATTTTGAAAACCCAGATCTTGAAAACCTAGATCTTGAAAACCCAGATTTTGAAAACCCAGATCTTGAAAACCCAGATCTTGAAAACCCAGATCTTGAAAACCCAGATCTTGAAAACCCAGATCTTGAAAACCCAGATCTTGAAAACCCAGATCTTGAAAACCCAGATCTTGGGGCAAGCCAGTACATGCGTATCGGCTTGAGTGTCATTGCGCTTTGATTTTATGGTTTTCAATTCCATCTACAAATGTAAGTATCGGCAAGACAATCAATTTTGCACTCGCAAAAATTTAAACCCACTGTACGCAGTCTCTAATTGGAGCAAAACCAGAGGGTTTAATTTTGATTCTCATCAGCTCTTTTTGCTGTTTATACTAATAAATTAAGGTACATTGTACTGCGCTTGATGTTTTTTTATTTTACATATATTTATCTGTCGTGGCTTCTGTTACCTTTTAAGGGGTGAGCTGGCAGCTGCGGAGTGTCTTGTGCTGCGGCGGGGCACGGCGCTGTGACTTGCCGCACTGTGACTGGCTGCCTTGGTGGCCTTCAGAGGGGAGGTTGCGACGGGGCTCGACGACGTCGCGGCGATTCTGGAATGAGCAGGACAGCAAAAGAGAAATTTGTTGGATTACTGTAGAGCCTTCATACATGTAGATGGCTATACATTCAATTAAAGAGGTTGTGGAATGCTCGAAGACATTTCCGTCATTTTTCGGGTATATGTAGCCTAAGGTGTGATGAAATAAAAACGACTATTGTTTCTGTCATGAAATGAGTACAAAAGGTACTTTTGAGAGCTGTTTTTCAAGTCCTGTCATGCCTGTTTCGACCCGAACATGCAATTTGTGTAAAAGTCGTCGTTGCGGGCAGCAAACAAAACACAGTAAATCGTGACGTAATAAACAGGATTCCCGATGCAGAGTAGCATTAACGAGTCCTGTTTATTACGTCACGATTTACTGTGTTTTGTTTGCTGCCCGCAACGACGACTTTTACACAAATTGCACGTTCGGGTCGAAACAGGACCTGAAAAATAGCTCTCAAAAGTACCCTTTGTACTCATTTCATGACAGAAGCAATAGTCGTTTTTATTTCATCACACCTTAGGCTACATATACCTCAAAAATGACGGAAATGTCTTCGAGCATTCCACAACCTCTTTAAGGTAAACATTTGTGACCTGCCATAGCATAATGAGGAATAACCCCCACCTTTGACTTTTGACGTTGTGTACATCATGTTCAAGCGCAAATCATTGGCTTTCCAGTAACTTAATTTATTCCAAAGATATGACGCAGGAACTTCAACAGTGTCCTGCCAAGTTTCGCTAACCTCATTTCGAGAAAAACGGTTTTGAAAACAGACACGCATTGCGCCACCAACAGCAGTGAAAAACGTAACTTCAGTTTGTCCACTTTTGTGGGTATTTTTTTCCCAACAAAAATGCATTGTGTGAATCTTGGATACCTTCGCTACTCAAAAATACAACACAACCAATATCGAATGTGACATGATTTTTTTTTTAGCATATCCAACATCAGGCGTTGATTACTCAAAACAAGGTTTTGGGGGACATTCCTCATTTTGCCTCAGAAGGTCACATTTGCCCCTTCTCAATTCCTTATAACATCCACACCAAGTAAAAATAAAAAATAAAAAAACCAACACAAAATTATTACCTGTTCATATGACCTGAAATATTTAGTGCTGTGATTATAAGCAGGCAGGAACACAGTGGTTTAGAAAACAAAGCGGCACTGAATTTGTTTGATTTTGTTTCCATGAATGGTGGTGTGTTGTGTTCTATAGCTGGTATTGATGTTGAAATCATGGTATGTGGTCATGCTGTCTAAGCTCTTCATTATCAAGAACTACAATTAAACCATTTACATACGTCAGAGGTACTGGAATGGTCACCTCAATTACAGGCATGCAACTAGTCTATGTAATGGACCTTGGCGAAAGCCATGGTTTATAATGCGTGAACAGATTTGCTGATTAATTAGGCAAGACCCCGCCTCTTGACCTCGTGGATTTTGACCAATCAGCAGGCACTGTCTATATTGGGTCTTCGGCCATTCACCCATTGCGCGTCATGGACATGGGTAAAAAAAAACTGTCATGGCGCTCTGTATCATGTTATGCGAATGCGCGCCCGGCTGTTGTATTACAAAATACTGCATTCGAATTGACCAATCACAGTTTTTGTCCTGATTTGGGAATGAAATGACGTCACGATTTAGTTAAGTCAACTCCGATTGGCTGACTCACTGCTTGCATAAATCACCAACTCCCATGACTTTTCTGTGACTTTCCATGATACATGTTGCTTTAAACTCCAGGATTTTTGCATGACTATGGGAACCCTGAATGTACACTTTGACAACTGTTCCTACAAAAAATCTGTGTATGCATATGCATAAATGTACAGTGCTTTTATACAGTCATGTTGTCATGCATGGTCAAATGATTTGATCTGCATGTAACTGTTGAGGTGATTTGCTGATGAAATGTTTCAATGTTGATGGAATCAAGATTTATTTGACCAAAAAACAGGCACTCACTCGAGCGTTTAAGCCTGTATATGTGTGACTTGTCACTTATAAGCTAACTACAACATACTGTCTTTGAGCCAACAGCCTACTTCATGTAACATCTCTTTTCTAATTAAGTTGTCTTCAACTTATCACTGCAAACTTGGCAACAACAGGGATCTTTCAAACATTTGATGAGCATGCATCGACCATGAATGTATGGAATGACAACGACACAACACCGCATTACAAGAAGTATATGTACAACACCTTGTTTGTTGATCAATGGCATTTCTGAATGATGTCCTGAAAGTGTGTTCAAAGGAAACAGTGATTTCTATGATCACTCATGCAAATTGTGAGACTTCGGATCATTGCATGCCAAACTACTTGATTTGAAAACTGAATAAACCTATAGGTGTAGTTTTTAATTTTACTTAATTTTTTTTGGGGGGGGGGGGGAGGGGTGTACATTGTACATCCTCTTCAAAGTCTTTCAGGTACATGTATAGACGAATTCTGTTTTACGATGAGTAATGAACCAGCTTTCGGGCTTGATTCCACCTATAGACCAGTGAAGACAGGTGATCACTGTACACTCATGAGGCCCCCATCAATGGAGAAACCATTGTGCACACTACTGTACAAAGGAACTGCCCTGTGACGGATTATCCGAACAATAGCTAGCACAATGCTTTCGCCATTGAAGAGGGCCTTCGTAATAGAATTGATAGCGTGTCCCGATACATGTACATGTACCTAGCCCTAACCCTGCCAGACGCAACACAGTGCATCAGGTGGAAAAGTCTGGTGCACTTTGATGCATTCAGCTACCAACACCAGTGCATAAACAGCCACTTCTGAGACGAGAGCTAGTCCCATAGAACAAGTTGTATCCTGCTGCGTTCGGGGACCACAGACTCTGAGGCAGTTTGGCCTTGAGACTTTTGGCCTGATGGATCTTGCTACACCACCTGTAGCACTGGGCAGGTTTGTCACTTAGACAAGTGTTGCATGTTGCTGCGTTTGGCAGGGTTTCTAGCCAAAATACCCTGGAGGGTAAGGGCTAGACATGTATTCTGTTTGACATAGGGACTTTTAAGGTACTCATTACTGTTTTTTTTAGAAGCAGGCATGACATGCAGAGCATAAGCTTTTGAAAAATCGACCCAGCTGTAAAACAGACACGGGTGTTCCATAATAATAATAACGATTCCTTCCTCTTAAAGACATGCTGGTGTTGGTGAAAAAGAATCCTGAAATCACTGCCACCATGGCCACATGCACTGAAGTCGTGTGATACAAACTGAGGACTCTTACTTTTTGCTTGAAGCCTTAGTCCTGAGGCGTTAATCCCCGTTGGGTGCGGAGGGATGACGGTGGAATCGGGTAAAGGAATGAGAGAGAACCATTAAGATGACGGCTACCGTGTGACCGTTATTGCCAGTAGTTAGGCTCATGCAATCATGCTTAAGTATTGGTCTAATCAGCAAGGACTAGGTTCGTCATGCACTTCACGCGCTGTGTGCTTCCCTTTGAGAGGACACATTTTGTACAATTGGTTCAGGAGTGTGAATGGCATTATAACCAATTTTCAACTGAATCTGCCGGAACGTATGTAAAGGATCTTAGCGTGAAAAGTTTCATCAAATGTGGGTCCACAATGCAAATAACGCAAGTGTGTCTTTCAATTACAGTAATGTTTTCCCATTTTTTACTACTGTGGGTGCACATTTACAGAGTCCATACTGAAATGCTGATCTCAGACAATGATACCGATACTAAATCAGGGAGTCTGCTTTGCTATCATGCTTCCGAAGAAAAAATAAAGGACAAAAAAATGACGTTATTTTTCTCTCCTTTTTCACTCTCATGAAAATCAAACACACAATGCTTTGCTGAGCCAAACTGAATTATTACCTCAGCCAAGGAGGTTTTGTTTTCATCCACGCTGGTTAGTTTGTTGGTTGGTTGGTTTGTCTGTTAACAAGGTAACTCCAAAAGTTATGGGCGGATTTTCATGAATTTTTTTTTCAGGGGTGGTCCTTGGTACAAGTACAAGTCGATTAGATTTTGGAAGTGATCCGGATCTGGGTCTGGATCCAGGATTTTAAAGGTTTCTTCACCATTTATGCGAGTATTTCTGTTGGGTGTACTGACAATATGCGCAGGATTGTTTAGCCTTGGTGGAGGTTTCGTTCTTGTTATGCTTTCAGAAATGATGGCAAAAGAAACGAAAAGATTCTTAAGACTGCAAACTCATGTTTGGCCTTGCGGGAACGCCTCTAGATCTACAAAGAAACAAGTCATTGAAAACAAAAGCAAAACGATGCAAGACAGCTTTCAAGAATTTCCGAATTTCAAACAACAATTTGTCTTTTGTCATATCAATTGCGCCCAAATCTGTCAGAAGGTAGTCAATGCAGCCAAAACACATCTTTAGTTTTCCAAGAGGCCCCATCCCTTCGAAAACCAAACTGAATAAAAACTCAGTCCGTTCACTGCACAACATGGATTGTCATGGAATGAAGTTAGTGCGTGGATTAAATCTGAACTTAATGATGTACTGAAAAGCAATCACAACATAAGAAATGGCCATGCCGGCACAGACTGCATGCACACATGCGTTACATCACTGACCACAATTACAAGCTCAAGCATCATGTATTTTGTTTGCAAAATACTCCATACAAATATTTAAGGAATTTTACTTTTGATGGTTGTTTTGTTTGAGCGTTGAAGGAAAGTTGTACAAGAGATGTGAACCCACGACCCATAGAATGCCATCCCAGAGTCTGCCATTAACACATTTTTATTCAAGCCCAAAATGATGATCTACAGGGTGAGTAAAAAAAAGCGAAACCCAAATGTAGGGACCATTGTTTTAGTGAAGTTCTGCATGTAGCACTTTCAAAATCTAGGATATGAAAGCCCAATTCATGAGCTTTCTTTTAGTACAAGAATCATTCAAATCACTCATGTACTTTTCAAGTTAAGGAATTTTAAACACAACCACCGTTTTAAAGCTCTGTCCACGGATCACAAAAAGGTAAGTGTTCTTTCAGCAAAACGAAAACAAATCACATAGGGATGTGTGAGTATTGTTTTCATTTTGCTGAAAGAACGCACACCATTTTTGTGATCCGTGGAAAAAACTTTAAAATGGTGGTTGTGTTTAAAATTCCATAACTTGAAAAGTACATGAGTGATTTGAATGATTCTTGTACTAAAAGAAAGCTTATGAATTGGGCTTTCATATCCTAGATTTTGAAAGTGCTACATGCAGATCTTCAATAAAACAAGAGTCCCGATATTTGGGGGTCTTTTTTTTTACCCACCCTGTATAACATCCGCTAAAAATAGTAAACTGAGGCGTCTGTTACATCATTGTGATGTCATTGTGGGATGCGAATTCTTACGATACAAATTTCATTTAATGCCGCGTCCTGTAGCAAAGGATAACGGCAATATTTGGAAATTAATTTTCCAACCACTTGTGTTACGTATAATTCATAGTTTGCTTGTGTTCAATTAAAAAAATCAATCACTTAAGAACTTTGCAGGACTGTTCTGAGATTTGTGTTTGTTGGATTCTTAAAACTTCTGTATACAGATTTCACAGGTTTTAGTAAATTTACGTCAACTCAAAAGGCATGCTGAAAACGTAATACGCAAGACATATATGTAACTACAACTCTACGGTACGTAAAATTACAAATTAATACTGCTTGCATCATTGCACAGCTGCAAATATGCCAACCAAATGAAAGAAAAAATCACGAGACACACAGCATCAGCATATTAAAAAAATTTACCTCAAGAAGTTTCTGAGTGCTTGGTTGCTACAGAAACAAAAGTAAAGATAAAGTATCTAAAAAAAGCTTCACGTATGTAATAGACCACATGTACTCTGTGTGGCACAGTGGAACAGTGCACTGATTATCCACGTATTGTAATACTCTTAAACGAATCAAGGCGTTTGACGATAGAGTGCGATGATCGATCGTTGGCCTTGAACAACACCAGCTGTAGGTATTATGAGCCTATCAAATGGTCCCCTCCCCCTCCCCAAGGTATGATGTCGGGATTTGGTCACGTTTTTCATGTCCTAGGGTGGGGATTTTGGTCACTCAAATTACATTGTTAACGTAGGCGTACTACATGGTAAGGCAATCACTAGTGTGCCCCATGTTGGGGCATGGTCGGGGATTGTCACTTAAATTTTGCCCGATGGGTGGGGATCCCCACGTCTTGGGTGGGACAGCCTGGGGGGAGAGGGAGGGGAGGGGGAAACAATTGATAGGCGCATTATACACTATGCACTTGCACATATATACTGCATGAAGCGAGAAAAGTGACCTCACGCAGCAAGGCTACAATATGCAAAAAAGCTGGTGCTGAACAAAGGTCTTGGAACAACCGTGAGCCTTGCCTTATCTTTATTTTGTCGCTGGACTTCCAGCGACGACCCCCGTATGCGAATTAAGATGAGATGATTATTCAGCACTTGGTCATGGAGGCTCACATTTTACAGGGACAGAGAGCTGGATAGTGTGGCTACATTCTACAACAAGTTTGAAGTCCACAGACAAAATATAACTCGATATAAATCCAGGGACAAAATAACAAAAATTGACTGAACAGATGTTCCAAGGCGTTCGCTCAGCACCAGCTGACTTGCATATCGTAGCATAGCCGCATGAGGTCACTATTAGCGATTTGTACAGTACATTGTGAATGCATAGCGCACTTCTACTATTTTGTAGGTGGCTGACCATCGATCATTGGACTCTATCGTTGAATACCTTGACCAAGGCTATCTCTTGTTTGGAGCTTCTGTCTAGGTCTTGGTCCACTACAACAATGTAGGGAACCAGCAAACAGACATTCATAGCTCTAGACATCTGATTCAGACACAGCTTTAGTCGCATGTACGTCTATGATCACAGTTTAGCTTATGGACAGACTACACTGATCATGTGGATCCGGCCTGTAAGAAATCAAATCAAATCAAATAAATAATAACAAATTTCTCATATTTGCCCTTACCTGTGGGGCTGGGATGTAGATCTTGTGTGCATTTTGGCATCTTCCACCCTGGCAAAAAAAAAAAAAAAAAAAAAAAAAAAAAAACACATTTCAAATTTAATTGACAACTTGCAACAGGATTTATCAGGTTTCTCATACCCCTTGAGGCAAAATCAAAGCGATTTCCCTCTGTGATTCAATATACTGCTATACGCAAGCCATGAAAAATCTGTTTCAAAAATCTTTGGAGTTTAAAATATGACTCTAGAACCCTAGCACCGGAGAATAAAAAAAGAACAACCCCAAATCTACCATTTTGTCTGATACGATTTGGACCCCAAATGTTATTGCTAACAAATTTCTCTTCGCCCCGAGTGTCAAACAAGAGTCAAAATCCACTCTCCAAAGTCTTCTCTTACAACTCTACCACTGTATTTACATTTGTTTCCGACTTTTGACTTTCTTTCACTAATTTCAAATATTTTTTTTGTGGAGTTGGACATTTCTGGTTCTCATGTCTTCACATGACAACAAATCTTAAAGTTGCGTTCCTGCGCTTTATTTTCAATTTTCATCCACAAAAAGATATTCCTTTCTAGACTGCTATTTTTCCAGCAGATACAAAAGTTATTCAATTTTGAATGAGACATTCAGAATTTGGTTTTGGATTTTACCGACGTATTTTATACACTGTTTGACCGATAATTTTTTTTTTAGATATTGACCAATAAAAATCAGCCAATGTGTAGTTATTGACTTTTAACTTTAAAAATTTCAAATTATTGGCTTGCAGACATTAATTTCGTTCTCCTGGGGGAAGGCTGGTTCCCGCCCCAGAATCAGCATCAATAATGTAGGGACCGGGAGCCAGTCTGCTCACAAAGTGGATCTGTTTGCGCCCAAAACAAAAACATTTTTGTTCAGAGGTTGTAGACTTCCAAACAAGAAGGAAAAAGAAGAGAGGTTTTTGGTTTGAATGAAACATTCAACTTGAAAATTTATTGAAAAAAAAATTGAACATGTTGAAGAGCACCGGGAATACAACTTTAACCTCAACTCCCTATGCTTTTTTGATAGGAAACTTCCCAAATCCTTCAAAATCCACTATTATGCAGAAACGTAATGTCACTTTTTTGTGTAGTATAAACCTTAAAGGGGCATTACGGCTTGAAATCCCCCCCAAATTTTATGTTTTAGATTGTTTAATGATCCCGTTTCAAAGGTCTGGTTGAAAGGAAACTAACCTAATGTCCTGCCGTTCCCATAAAAGATAAAAAAAAAAAACACCCAGGTGGTTTATATCGAACACGGCGGACATTTTGTGGCATACGCATGATAATACACACAGCACAAAACATAAATGTTGTCTCTCGCACGTCCACAGAATGCGATGCACTTGTGTGGCTGGATTCACAACTAGCACTCAACATCCCGATTTTTGAGAGTCAAATTTTTACCCCTGAAGTTCGTTCTTGCACAGTTCTCACACGAATAACACAAAAACGCCCAGTTTTTAAAGCATAGTTGTGCAGATGTTTATATCCTACTTTTAAATGCTCTTTCATCTTTTGATTTAAAAGAAGCGTTTTGTAGCGCAATTAGGTGCATTCTTGGACGTAATGTCCCTTTAAAGGGCATCAATCCTCATCTATAGGGCATCAAGCCAAATACACGTTGTAATGAAAACTTTCGAAGGGGAAATTCAAGCCCATGTAGAGCCATAACGTCTGGGCTCCACTTATTTTACAAAATCCTGTAAAAAAAAATCCTAGTGGATTTTAACGGATCAGGGAAGGTTCCTGGTTTTTTTTTTTTAATGGTCAGATACAAACTCCCTCTGATGGTGATACCCTCTGGCCCGCCCCCATGCCCTCAAAGCCACGCCCACATACTTCAGAGCTCCCGTGGTTGCTGAGCGGGCTTTCCTCGAGCCCTTCAGCTGCCGTAGCTTGTCTCCCTGGGTCATTGGGACGGAACTATGGGACGACTTGGAGCGCAGGGAATAAGGCTCTTCCTGTTTAGCCTGAAAAAAAAAAAATCAAAAAAAAAATCAAAATTAAAGGGAATGTACAACATTTGTGATGCGATCAAATTAAATGAGTCGTTTGTCGACCCCGGTCAAATTTTCTTTTATTACAGATTTGAAAAGAGCATAATCTCAGCATTACTGCTGTGAAAACCGCATGCTGATACCATCTTTAGTTCAAAAATTATGGAAGACGGAACATCAAGGGATGTGATGAAGTGATGTGATGAAGTGGCCTTAATTCCAAATGAAAATTCCCGACAAACGACTCATGTAGCTTGATCGCATCACATTTGCTTTTACTGCACATTTCAGAAATAAATGGATTTGGAAGATTAGTATGTTATGGCAAATATTGTAAGAATGACTTGTTTCACGTTTTGGGCTTGTAGATGCTGGAAAAACCAAGAAAACCAATCATGTTCTTGTAGTCTGGTTCCCTGACCCCACTTGAGATGAAACAGAGCAATTTATAAACTCTGGGGAATTGGAAGATCAGAGAATCAGTCTGGCAGGCTCGTACCCCTTCACAGGTGTGTAATCAATTGCAACGAAAACGCAGAATAACTAATTATGAAAATTTAGTAGCAGTTTTTGAAAAAAGCCAGTTTTCTCCAACGCTGTTCGGCCTGTCCCCCCCCCCCCAAGATCTCGGCCATTGAGTGACGAAAAATTTTGAAACTCGGTACATGCATAGAGCAACTCATCATGAACATACCCAAGAAATTTCATGACTATCATGACTATAGGTCAAAGGGTTTTGGAATTATGGCTAATTAATTATTCATATGTACGAATGGTAATTTTGCTCTGTGTACACCACGTATGGGAAAATTCAGTTTTCACGGCGCCGGAAATTTTTTTCGCTGCACGGCAACCCGGGGTCCGATTTTTATGTTTTTGGTATCAAAAGATGCACAAGGCTTGAGGCTAAAAAGTCATAACAGCTCGTGTCGTGAAAAAGTTTTTTTAAGGCTATCACGGAAAAAAATCAGGGGATTCCCCCGGGCCCTTTTAGGGTTAAGTAACTTGAGACAGCTATGCTTTGAATCCTGGTGAGTGATAAAACAGCTGTGACCACAACTTGCCTGCTTTGTCTGTTGACCCACTTTGACCATGTTGACTAGTCACAGTGCTTGTTAGACATATGATCTGACTGCTGGTGACTAGCCTTTGTTAACAGTATAGCAGGGGAAGTGGAAGTGAATTTTGACTGTCTGTGACTGTTTAAATAGCAGAAGGGTTAAGCACCATTTACTTACTGATTACGCAAATCATGTAGGCTGGTTTTTAATTTTTTAAAAAGGTAGACACATGGTAGAGTACATCAATATCAGCTAACCACATCACGTAAACTGCTAATTTACAAGTAGCTTTGAATATCCTTATCAGACCATTTTGTGTGTTTGTCACTTCTGCAGATGGGAGATATGAAGAATTCCGCTAATATGTTGATTTAATTGTGTCTGACTTTTTTTTATGACCATGTTTGGTTCACCTTTCTATTGTGGATAGTCCAGCATAACGTACTGGACACAATAGATTGCCAGGGTGAATTATGCGGCAATAAAAGCTACATGTACACTCGATAGGAAAGCTCAGAGATGCCTACGCGGTTCTATTTAAGTAAGCTGGCTGGGTGACTGCATTTTTTCCTCGATGGTGTCCTTGTTCATTGTAATAAGCGTTATGGTTCTTGATCACTATTGTCGTGGTATGACCAGACAGCTTCAGGCCAACTGTGCCTTGTATTGGCACGGACTGGTACTTCTGTGCTTGGTTTGACCCAAACAGACATTTTGTTGTCCACAGCATTTTAATGCACAACTGGTGAAACGAACAGACTGAAGTGTAGCTTCTGTAAACACTTTATTGAAACCAAACACTGATCATGTCTGAAGCTGATTTGAATTCGACCATGGCTCAGAATTTTGAAGATAAAAATCTGACTATGGCCTCCACCACTGAAGCACCTTCTGAACTTCACCCATACGGTGTTTTGGTGTTTGCAGCCTGTGCGTGGATTATCGTAGCTGTGTTGGGTATAACAGGCAACACTATGGTGATTCTAGCGGCGATTCTCAGTAATCACGTCCGCACGACAACCAATGTCCTGGTGGTCAACCTGAGTGTGGCTGATCTGTGGACTTGCTTGGCTCTGCCTTGGACAAGCGTGGCTAGGTTGAGTGATGGTACCTGGCCTCTTGCTAGCGTGATCCCGTGCCAAATAGCGGCGTTCATGTGGCACACCGGTCTAGGAGCCAGCGTGTACAACCTGGCTTTGATTGCGTTGAATCGTCTGGTCAGGATAACTCAAACAATGGTCACCTACAATCGCATCTTCTCACCTCGCAAGATGGTCTTCATTGTAGCTTTATCCTGGCTCATCCCGATCTTTGTTATCGTCTTTCCACTTACTATCGGTGTAGGTGCCCTAGGTTACGATCTCAAATTCGACACCTGTACAGATGATGACTTTCATCCTCGTGCTAATGACTACAACCTCGCCCAAACCATCGGATTCTACCCCATCCCTATGACCACTGTCATCGTCAGCTATGTCATCATCTATGTCCATGTCAGGCGTCACTTTAAAAAACAAATCCCCAAGACAGGAAACGAAGACATGGCCACAGATGCCGGAGAGCCCAGTGCTACCACCATGACATCCATGTCAACTACCGGTACTTCAGCTGCGGTTATCGAGGGACGGGACGAAAGTGAAGGTGTGGCAAGAAAGCACAAAATCAGCCATCAGCAGCTCAAGATTACTAAGAATCTCTTCTGGGTCTTCTGCGCATTCACGCTCTGCATCTCGCCGTACTTCATCTCACTCTTCTTTGCTAACAGTGAAGTCTTCGCTCTGTACGGCGCTACCATCTTGATCTGCAACAGCTGTGTTAATCCGATCATCTACGGAGTCAAACACCCGCAGTTCAAGAAGGTCCTCCGGCCGATGCTGAGGTGTAAGTGGCAGCAAATACCTCAGCCGTCTACGACACTGCAAGCGATCCTCTCAATGCGCCAGAGAGTGAACAAAACTTGAGAACAATCTGCTTACTTGGCAAACATCAAGCACAGTAATAATGACGCTACTAAGCAGATACACTGTGCCAAGTATAGATGTACATTCCTTTGACATTTTAGCTGGTGACGGGTGTTTTTGCTAAACATTTTTTTTTTTTGGGGGGGGGGCCTTTGCAGATGTCACTACTTGTCAGCTTTGTGGCCCCTGTTTGACTCATCCGTTAAGCCCCGCCCTGTTGTGTTCTAACCAATCACAGCCGTAACTTTCGTCCGACATGCGTGCACAAAAGTCTAAAATGCGTGCACATATACTTGAATTTGTATCCTTTTGTGGATATCCTTGTCATTTTTGTTGTTCTCGTGTACTAAAGTTTTCGAGTTTGAAAGTGTAAATTCAAAATGCTCCTATTTTGACCAGAATTAATTGCCTGGGCTGAAATTCGGACTTAATATCCCTTACATAAAATACTTCAATTTGCGACAGATCAACACACCTTGGAAATTCCGAGTTTTGAGTAAAATCCATATATCTATTTCGTGATAACCTTGTTGAGACGCATGCATCTATAGAAATTGACCTGTGGAGATGTATACAATCTTTTGTTCCCTATTATGCACATGTCTCCACAGGGTACCGTGTACCAGATCACGCGCGCATGACGCACGCAGCTGAAACATGCATTAGATTGCCCACGAGGGCAATCTAATGCATGTTTCTTTTATTAGAAATGCCTGACGCAGAGCATCATATATTTAACACTTATAATCTTACCATTATTATGCGGATATTAATTTGCCGGATTAATTTTGCCGGATTAATTTGCTTATAAATACGCCAACAGGTACATGTAACTTTGTATTTTGCAATTTAGTGACCCGTTATCCTTTTATTATCTGTGTAATCATTTTGATATATCATGATTTTCATAAATTTTACGGGAGCGTTAATGGAATTTTAGTACGTACTAGTACCAAAAAAAGATAATCTCATATAAGTATGGTGTTGCAACAAACCAACAAATTATTTCAGTGAAGTAAAGAATTTCATAGACTTGTTACATCAACTGACAGCCACTGAGTCCAGTGCAGAAGTACAGAAACAACTTAAGTGTCAAGCTTTAACCCTAACTCCCTAGCATGATTTACTAGGAACCATATCCATCCTAGCAAATTCCAACACCATATGGGAAACTGCACACATTGTTTCTGACTTTTTGATTATGGAGGTGTGCCAACCCAATGTGAAAGACTGTCAGTGTAGGGGTACCGTACCCATCCTGACAGATTCCAACAAAACATGCCTATGGGGTTTGATTGGTTGAGTTCTCTTAGGGTGAAAGAGTACAAATTGTAAACGATTAACTTTCGTATAATTATGTAAAATTACTCCATGAATATTGAATGCGGCTTATGGAATAAGGAAACTTGCGGTATTTCTGAGTAAATGACTTTTACTTGCCTCATATGTCCGGTCGTTGTCCGTGATGGATATGTCATCGACAGCCCTGAGAATGTGCGAGACTCCTTGCTTGTAGCTCAACTGTCCCCGCTTCGTCTTGGATCGAGAAATGTCCCCTTGCACCCACATGCTAGCTTGTTTTCTGCAAACAAAGAATTGAATGAGTTAAGGTGTACCCTTCCCAACGTTTAATACTAAGTAAAATGTGCAAGGAAAGAATGACACCTGATGCATACATGTACATTGTCTTGGCTCAAGAAGCTAGCGATCGATAGTGGATGGTGCGTAGTGCGCCCTCTAATGGCACAACAATTAGACCAGTGGGCCTACTCGCACTACGGCTTGGCCATTTTGTATCAGCGGTTTCACTTTTTCTTTATTTTTCCATAAGCTTTCCTATGGCACCAATCAGCGATCGAGAAATAGTTCAAAGGCTCTGCCAACCGTTGTTAACATACGGGCTTTATACATATGTACGTACGGTGACCCAGCATCATATCGCTTTTCACATATTTTCATATAAGTTATCACTACAATGCACTTTGAGATTTCAACAAGCAAGCACACAGAAACAACAGGGACATGTGTAAAGCAGGCACGATTCTGTTCCGAAAATTCTGAAGTTTAAAAAGAGTCTGCAAGTAACTTAGTGAAAGGGGCTAAGCTTGCTGGCATGTTGGGTGGCGAAAAAAAACCCTACCCTCCACCATTGTATTCATTGTATCCATGGTGCTATTTTATTATTTTGGAGAATGTAAGAAGTATGCACAGCAAGAGGCGCGTTTACCTCAGACGAAAAATTTGATTAAATAGAACTTGCAAAGTTAGCACCACTTTTATTTGAAATTAATAGAACTTTGTATTATTTTAATTAACATATTATTTGTTAGGGTTTTTAAGAATTGTTAAGCGCATTTGAACATACTTTATGGAATATGCGATTTAGAAATGAATAAAATATTATTGTTCCTGTCCAATGTATAATTCTTTGAGGAAAAACATGTATGATACTCTTTGTAAAAGTAATGCAGAGTTCAGTATTTTATCTGAAAAAAAAAGACAAATTTATTTTTCTCATGTTATCTAAGGATACAATTATTAAGCATTGTTTAGCCAAGTACATTTTTCTGTCTGCTATTATTAAACAGGAGTGTGAGTGACCACTGATAACAATAGCTGAAAACAGCTGAAAAAGGTGTAAAAAAAGCTGAACTTTGGAAATTTCCTATACTTTTGTACACGTACAGCAAGTGAGGGAAAAAAGCTGAAATCCAAAATAAAAAAAAAGCTGAAATCAGCTTTAAAGCTGAGATTTCACACCCCTGATTAAAGTTAAAGAAATTGATTTTATTAGTTTAAAATGAATATGCTCTTAGCTAACTCATATGTCATGATTTAAACTGTAATTGTATTATACAAATATTTTGATGTAACCTTCCAGGGTAAATGGGGTATATTCCTTTAGTGGAATAAAACAAGAAACAATAAAATAAAAATAATTATTACACTTTCCTGCACAAGCCAATTTTAAGATCACAAAAGGAAAGGGGGCCATTTTTCCTCAAAAGGTGATGACACACATCTGTCCAGTAAGACCACATGTTGTTCATTAAGGAAGCGTAAGTTCCTTCTAACATCCCTCCAGTCCAGAGACGTTTATCGAAGGTCACACGTCACTCACCGAGCTCCTTCCCAGAGATTCTAAATTAAGACACTGCTAATTTTGCAACTTCCTCCAAAAAAACAACTGTAAACTAAGACTTTCAAATTTTTAACAGTTGAACAAGGGCTTCTAAATCCTTGGCCATAAGGTCTCTCCAATGACGTCACTTTATACAGATTGTCACATGTGATCGGAATTTTGGACATCAAATTTTTGTGACGCGCATCAGCTGCGCCGTATTTTGAAGAAATTTCGAGCAACACGCGCGTGTGGTTAGTACATTTTGAACACTGCGCACACCTGATGGCGTTGAACATGCAGTTTTTCTACGAAGATGGCGTCCTATGAGAGATATCTATTGTAGATATGTGTCATCTAGCTATCTAGCTATAATTCCAGGAATCTCTGTGTGTCTGTCTGTCTGTACTTTGATTATCTCAAGAACCGGGCACTGTATGAAGTTGAAAAATCGGCTGGAGTATTGCTCTGGACCCCAGAATGTGCAGTGTCAAGTTTGAAGTGGTTTGGATGGGCGGTTCTCTAAAAAGTTGCAAAAAACGTGAGGCAAACGTGGCAGTAAATAGCCTAGACCACCACGCACTGCATACCATATTTTTGTCTGTATGTACACGTACGTGTGTGGCTCCAAGGGTACATGCAATTTGCGGTCGATTAAGGAACCCTCACTGTACGGCAATACCATTGTCAAGTACATGTATGGGTGAATAGACTGCCAAGCACTGCATACCATTTAGTCTTGGTATGTACAAGTACAAGTTTTGCCTCCGTATGTATATGCACGGGCATATATGCATTTCGCGGTCGAATGAGCAACCATCACTGTAGGGGGTCGACTGACCAACCCGCACTGTAGGGAGATACCTTTGTCCAGCATGGATGAATATGTGAACACAACACCATTGAATCGTGTGTGTTGTTTGCATGAGCAGTTCTCAATTGCCCCTTCCAACTGGCACATTTTCGACGGGCGCTGCACTAGTTCTGTAAATTTAGTGTCCAAAGTGTGACTTTCCCCTGTCCCTGTTACCTTGGTACTTTGTAATTTAAGCATCATTGAGAACCAAAGAATGACTTCCCATGATGTGTTTTTGAAATTTGTTGGGTAGGTAGTTTGCTATTCATAATTATTCTTGGGGCAACTGCATTAAGGAGTACTTCAGAAATATAAGATCACAAATGTCACATGTACCGCAACTGGGGCAGGGAAAAAGTGGACCCCAAATTTAATAAGAATGACCCATAAACAAGCGAGTGCATTCCATAAGCTGATGCGTTTAACATTTTTTTTTAATTTTAAGGTGTAGCAAGATGATAATTCTCACATTCACCCATTTCAGTGAATATACTTTCTAAAAAGTACAAACAAATTCCCCCCCCCCCCCAAATGGAAAATTGTTAAACAAACCAATTGTCCACCAGACAGCTTAGACAATTTCACAAAACTGCTAAGGGGCAGTCCAAAAATATGTAGGGGTGGGGGATGGGGTAAGGGAGGGGAAGTTTCCTTGGTTTTACTTACTCTTCCATAAAGTGTTGCTGGGGACCAATGACCGAGCCCGGCCTGGTAATCCGCAGCCATGCTATACACTCGGCTGCTGTCATCCGGTAGTGTTTCATCATGTAGCAACCTATCAGGGTACCAGTCCTACCCAGACCGGCTGTATGCAACATGGAAAAGATTAGAAAAAATAACATTTAAAACCAACTCATAGTGAACACTTGGTATCAAAGTTTAAAAAGTTGGTTTCATTTTTAAAACCCTCCTGCCAAAATCCAGCTTGAGGTTTTGAAGAAATATTCAGTTTTGAAAAGTATGGGCTCCATGCGCCGATAAAAGAGGGCGCCCTTTTACCTAGCAACGACGTCCCATGGGCGGGACATGTAGCTGGTTGACGCGCACCATTCCTTGTGCGTGATGCACGTACACCAGGGGATTTTGTACTATGTACATGCAGTGGTACAGCCGCGCGTCACGGCAAAATTGCAGTCAGGCAAGATGGCGTTGGTCGGTCACCTCCAACTGTACGTTTCTTTGCCGGTGAGGGGGTACTTGTGAACGGAGCGGATAGCCAAGAGATTTTAATTTACATAGGGCTTGATGCACCTTACACAATAGAGAATTGTAGAGTTTTGGAAAGATTCCAAACAAAATGCCTCGAACGTTAAAGGTAGAGTACATCATTTGCAGGTATCCGAAAAAGTAACTGACAAAATCATTGTTGGAAAAGCATACTTGGTTTAAAGATAGTAATGGCACTAAACTCCCTGTGAAATTATTCTTTCTGGCATGCTGTCATTTTGAAGAAAACAATAAAAAGAGGTTATTTCCAACGATGCGTCTGAAAACGCATTTTTGAAAATTTCCGTCAGCAGTTTGTTTTAATTCAGCGAAGTAGTGAATGGCACGACGCACACGCATGCGCGCTTGCTATAATATGTTGGTTCATGTTTTGTTGGTGACATCGCATAGCTACAATCAGCTGAATGAGAACGTGTCCCAGGCACTGATCGTTGCTGCAATTCAAAACATGACCCTGCAACTGTTGAATTGGAATTCCACCCCCTTCATTTTTTTCCGTGATACCATTGCAATATTTTTTTTGTGACCCAAGCTTTCCTGACTTTTTAGCCTCGAGTATCTTTTGACACCAAAACCATTAAATTTGGACCACGGGTTGCTGCGCAGCGAAACGTTTTCAGGCTTTTTTATATATGTTTTGATGATAATCTGACGCATTTTCGAGATGATTCCTCGAAATTCAAAATTTTGATATTTCAATATGTTTAAAAAATTGATATTCGGTGATATCGATATCAAAATAATATCGAATAAACAAGTAATATCAATATATCGGCAATGCATGTACATGCCTGTTGCACCACTTCTGGCAAGGGGATTCAGGGCAGTTCCCAATTAAAGGTCCAGGGAATCAGGATTCATGCAAAGGACACTTCCTCACCTTTACAATGAACCGCCAGCCCGCCCTCGGCGTTCTCGGATATCGTGAGAAACTGCTGCACGATGGCGTCGCTGGGCACGCTGCCGTCAATGAAGAACAGGTCGTAGTGGTCGAAGCCCGCGTCGGTGAACCGCCGGGCGTCGTAGATCTTCTTGTTGAGGCGGATGATGGTCGTGATGCTGTTCTTGCGGAAGTAGGGGAAGTAAGCCTCCGGCGCATGTAATGGGTAGCCTGAGATGTTAAAGAAAAAAATTGGGGTGGGGTTATAAAGAGGATTGGCTTGAGAGAATAGTTGCACATTTCAAAAGGCACATTCGAATACTTGGCAACATCAGCATGCATACTGGAATTTGTATCCTTGTGGAGTAATTTCTTTGAACATTCTCGTGTACTTAAGTTTTTGAGTTTGAAAGTGTAGTTTCAAAATGCTCCTATTTTAACCAGAATTAATTTCCTGGGCTGAAAATTCGGACTTAATATCCAGGTTACACAAAATATTTCAATTCGTGACAGATCAACACACCTCGGAAATTCCTTATTTTTTGAGTAAAATCCATATATCTATTTTGTGATAATCTTGCGGAGACGTATTCATCTATAGAAATTGCTCTGTGAAGACGTATTCAATCTTTTGTTCCCTATTATACCCATGTCTCTACAGAGTACCGTGTAACAGATCACTGAAGTAGAGACATTTGTTCATAGTTTAAAAAAAAAACCAGCAAAAAGCTATTCAAATATTCTGTTGATGATCATATATTTGAATATTCGGTGTGTTCGGGACAGCCTCAACCAGGGAGCACTCATCTGTTAAAAACAGTCACTTGATTGATTTTGACTGCTGGGATGGCTTCTTTAAATTTGCCAGCCAGAGAAGGAGTGTTAATCTCCCTTAACCCTGCGCAGAGTGACCTGGTTCCATTTTGCAATCAGGTGACCGAATTTTTTGAATAAAAAAAAAATTGAGGGCCAATGACGGTCACCTTCCATCTAATCCTCATTCAACCCTTGCCAAATCAGCTGGTTCAATGAACTTTGCAGCCAGGGCTTCACCCTAAGCCGTACGTGTCAACAAACTTTCGACCAGGCCTCCTGCCAAGTCTCATTGAAACATATACAAACACCTGTAACTTGACACAGCCATCTCCCTTCATAGCCGCAAACCACAGCCGCCAGTCAATTATCTTTTAAGTGCACTGTCTGAACTGCCTGGACACTGTCTGGCACGCGGCTTTTTGTTGTTTTGCTCAACTGGGGGAGTTATGACAATGCCAACAAGGTTGTTTTGATTTGTTTCTCTGTTTTTTCCCCACTTTTTACTGCAGTATCTGACACTCAGTGGCTTCAAGCCCTGTTGAAGGTTTTCCCATAAAGAGGTAAAACATGGCAAACAATTTTTTTTTATCTCGTGACGCTATTACGAACGCTTTCCTTTCACCCTTCGCATTACCCACATCTTCTATAGTTTCTTCCTTTTCTTTTTGTAGTATTGCTTCCTCTAGTTTTCGATTCCTGACAGATTCCATTCAGCACCACTCCATGCCAGTGTCGTTTTAGTTTCAATGTAGAAACCACGCACAGTTAAAGCCGCAAAGGGCACAGTCTAAATGGGACATTAGCGCCATCTTCAGTAACAACAACACCACCAGTGCGTGAAATTACAGTCGGACATCGGACATTTTCCGACCACTTTCATGGTTTGTCCGACCAAATGCAGATGTGCTCGGACAAAATGTCCGAGCGATTTATGTATTCTTTGTGGAGTTGTCTTTTTCAGAAGTATGAAATAAACGCTTGCACTCAAAAGTATTTTGTTGTTTATTTCCGATGATCCGGTCTGTAATACTTACCGTACGCTGAGCGGCTGCTAACTACATGTACGTGTTGTCTTATATTCACGCAATAGATGCAACGCGTTTACACCCCAATACATGTAATGAGAATTTAGCAAGATCAAAGTACGTTGTGTTGCGCGGTATGCTTTAAGTGCATGATTGTTACTAAATTCTCACAACGTGGCTTACTACAGAAACGAGCGCGTGAATGCCCGGCGCTTGTCATTGCAACTACATAGTGTGTATTATGGATACGTACGTACAATGTACGTAAACATACATACTGTATATGTACACACGTGTATGTACCGTCCACGTGTTTGAAGTATAGTAAACGCGGCCTTTTGAAAGTTCGTCTCGCAAGGTTTCACAGAGTAATTTACTTGGGAAAAAGGACGCATTTCAAGTTTTCAATCATGAAGAGAGCACTATGTAAGTATGTTTTAACTAGTCCTCGACTGTTGATAACCTATTTGTTTGCTCATGTGACCTTCAAATTTGGAACGCTAAATGGCAGATCAAAACTTGACAATGGCAGAACACTTTTGATTGTGCTCGGACATTTTGTCCGACCACTTTTTTTGTCTAATTTCACGCACTGCACCACCACAAAAATTGCCTTGCAACTTCAAGAACATAAGGCTAGCTTGTTGGACTATTCTAGTTTTGGATACCAGAAAAACAATTAGAAAAGAAAACAACAGTTGATGTTTGAGCATGTACATGGGCCTTGTAAAGCAATGCGCTGATTAAGAAGTGACAGATTGTTATTACCATTTTCAATCTTGCTCTTAGGATGGGGGCCACTGAAGGCAAGGTATTTCCCCGGTAGAATCCAATTGAAGTCACCATTTTCCACTCTCTGAAAAACAGAAAATTGTAAACAAAATGTTTTTATTTATTAACCCTCCTGCTATTTAAACAGTCACAGACAGTGAAAATTTCCATCCACTTCCCCTGCTATACTTTAAACACAGGCTAGACACCAGCAGTCAGATCTTGTCAAGCAAGCACGCACTGTGACTTGTCAAACTCAGTCAACATGAACAGACAAAGCAGGCAAGTTGTGCGCACAGCTGGCTTAACAATTACCCACAGTCAAAGCAAAGCTGTATCGAGTTACATAAACAGTCACGGCCAGTCAATCCTGCTTTATGTAGGCTGGGAGCTCTTAACTTATGAAAACAGTCAGTAGATTGATTTTGACTGAAAAACTACTTGGCAAAGTATGTATGTTTGCTTTAGGAGCGTTAATCTGCCAAGCAACGGACAAAATACCTTATAAAGAGCACTACCAACTTATTTTTATATTAAACTTTTCCATTTTCTGAGTAAAGTAGGTTTGTTGATACAACTTGTGAGAAAATACTTTAAAGGTCGTGCTTTGTTCACAATGTGCAATTGAGGGGAAATCCCAGAATTGAGGAAAAACAATGTTGAAAAGGTTATGTCGACCTCCTAAATGTAATGTCATGTATTGTTTGCTTTGTTTGGCATGTTTCAATTCTATGCTGCGCACAAAACGTGACCTTTGCATTCTACTTTTCTATGGGCCGTGACCGCAAAACAGCATTATATTGAAGCAAAACAGGGGCCAATCAAGAACTGTTTTTCTTCAGTAGTGATCTTTATGGCAATTAATATAAACACCGCAATAAAAGAAAGTCCACACTCATTGGATGGGTCATAATTTTGAATTTGATCATCTTATATTGTCGTCATTTATATGACTTTTGGGGAACGTTGTTAGCTACATTTTGATACCCCGTTTGTTACCAAAGACTGTAAATCGTCCAAGATTGACAACGGTTAATAGAAAATGATGCAGTTTGAAAAGTTGCAAATTAAAAAGTTACTGGAGGATAAATTGCTGCAAAATCAGCCTCATTTATTTGCCATATAGCCTCTATCCTGCAAAATCCTCCATTTTGTGAAGCGGATTCGGAGGATTTAGGATGGTAGGGTTAAACAGAATTTGAACCTACTCAAAAAAAAATGTCAAGAGAATAATACATGGAAATGAGATCAGGGCTCCCCCTGCCAACCATACCTCGTAATGTTCGTACTCTTCCACGTCAAAGGATTCAAAATTAAGGAAGTTGTGTGTTATTGCTTTATCGATGGCTTTGAGGCAGTCCAGTAGGGTCAGGTTGTACGTGCAGGCTCCGTAGGATGCGTCCCTGAAATGAACGAATGCAAAACAAATATAAATTACAATAAAAGCAGCAACACAACCTTCTCATTTTTCTTTGCAGTTTTTCAAGCAATGTGCGAGAAAATTGCAATTTCTTTTTTGAATTTTCAATAAACCATGCATCAATACACAATACTTTTTAATGTGAGTGAATTTTTAGTTGATGGACCTTCGAAATAAGAAGAAAAATACCTTTCAAGTACACAACAAGGAATTTCAACAGTCGTTTTTTTTTATAAAAAGTTGACTCTTTCAACTGTTAACATGTACAGTTGTTGCTGTTTCAACATGTCTTACATTGTATGAATACAACCTTCAGTATTGTTCTATCTCCAATTTTACAAATTTTAAGTTCATATACATGTACAACAGTTGTATTTAAAGACCCAATTTCAAATATCAAATGACAATCTGACACAAATTACTGTCACTCAATAAGCCATTCTGCGAGTTAAATTTGAATAAAATCTGCAATGCTGACTTAACCCAATGCTTTGCACGTTTTCACTTTGAATTGTCCCGACCAAAGAGAATGTTACTATATAACATGATTCGGGGCAAGCCTTACGCTAGCAACCCCCAGCTCCAGCATGGTCAGTTGTCTTTGTGCCAATCTCACGCACTGTGAACAAGGTATTGGAGCTGAGCGTCTCTTACGTAACTATGCAAGAGCTTGCATAGTTCTTTTAATTTTTAAAATTGTTCAGTGGTGTTTTTGATTTCACAGTAAGCCAGTTCCGTATTTCAACCGGGAAAGCAAACAATGATATGGCTCACAGGTCATTAGGGATAATTGATCGCTCATCAAAGGGGCATTGAATGCACAAGGAGATGGTCACATGACGTTTGTGCATTACTTCAGGCACGCAACTGCCAAATAACCAAAAAAAAAAAAAAAAAAAAAGAAGAAGAGGGAAATACTAAGCTTTACCAGACTATATACATTTTTTTTTTAATAATGTTCCTCCATGGTATAAGTGTGGAGGGCAAAACGAGGAAATCAGCTGATCCGAGGAAAAGTTGCATGCCTGGTTGATTGCGAGCATAATAATAATAAAGTGGTGCTTATAATAGCGATTTGTGATTAATTTATACCTGAGGTTTCAAAGCACTTTACAATTATTATCCCTGTTCATCAGGAATGAGGTCATTATCTGCAGCAGCTCAAGATCTGCGCAAGAGCTACATGTACCTTCCCAGATACCAATTTATACTCCTGGGTGGAGAGAGGCAATTGTAGTAAAGTGCCTTGCCCAAGAACACAAGCACCATGTTCCCCGTCAGGGTTCGACCCCACGTACAACGGCACATGAGTTGAACACCGTAACCACTGGACCACAACACCCCAGTATGGGGGTTCCCATATGACACTTGAGTAGCATCGGCAATTTTAACCAAATGACCTTTGATCTGGACTACTTCGAGATACCTACGGTACCTGGCTTATTGGGGGCGCAAAAAAGGTGCATGTAACTTTGTGTATGACACATAAATCTGTGGGTACATGTGCATGGGCTTGCTCACAGATTTAATACATGCCCAAGTAATTGCATTTGATAGAACCGATCAGAAAAATCTACAAAAAAAAATGATGCAACTGGCATTGTGTATATATTGCCCTGGATCAAAGGCCCTGGACCAAAAGCCTTGGGTTACATGTAATCCACCATGTTTGCAAATACTTCAGAAGACTCTATCCCCATTCAACATGTTCACAGCCACCAGCGTATAAGTAAATCTAGCTTTTCAAACAGTGTCTTTATCACACAATGAGGTAATAGATATGTGCAGACCCGCAGGGGGGCGAGAATAATACTGTGTCAAGCACTGGTCAGTGGAAATAGGGCCATGGAGTGGGAGCTTAGGGCTTGTGTTGCCAAGCAACAGACAACAGGTGGCTTAGGCACTTCAGTGATGTTCACTTGCCTGTTAGTCTTGTGTAGGCCGGTACAACTAAGTGTTAAGTGGTGTATGTACCTGCCGGTATGTGCAATATGTGTTTTTACATGAACATGTATGCATTTTGGCTAGACACAAACAGGACATGCTGATAACATAACCTACACTCTAAAAATAAATTGGCTCATGAAAAAATATTGAATAAAAAATTGCACATTAGTATTGTGTAGGCCGGTACAACTACATGTATGAGTGTTAAAGGGAATGTACATGATTGGCTTTTGCTGTAATTTTCATAAATGAACTATTTGAGGGGTTAGTATAATAGATCAAATATTGTTACACTGGCCTATTGGAAATTTTGTGTTCGAAAATGCTGGAAAAACCAAGAAAAACAAAAATGTTCAAGTAGTCTGGTTCCCTGACTCCACTTAAGATAAAATGGATCAATTTATAGATGCCAGAAAATTGTAAGGTAAGGGAACCAGTCTAGCTGGCCTGCACCCGTTAATGAACATGTCACCAATAGCAAACAAAATTTGGACTTAAAAAAGGGTAAATTTGGAGCAGTAGTTGAAAAATAGTTAGGTTTTGTATACAAATATACAATTTTCTTAAAAATGACTTCACACCAAGTGCCATAATTTTACAGGATGCTTTAGACTGTCATTTACCAACATCCTAGTAAGGTATTTCGTAAAATCTTGGTACCGGGTAGTTGTTTGCAAATGCTGTATATTCCCTTTAAGTGTTGTGCATATCCGTACATGTACCGGTATGTGCAATATTATGTATTTTGGCTAGACACAAACAGGACATGCAGACAGCACAGTCTGCACACTAAAAAATGTGGCTCATGAGGACATGTTGAATAAAAAATTGCACATTCACATGTGCATGTACACGTATATGTATGTCATCAGGATAAAACTCCATGATATATCCATGGGTAGTAGGGAAACTACTTTTGTCAGAGTTTGTGTGCACAGAAGTAGCCTACATGTACAGTAAAATGCTGACATAGAAAAGTTTTAAAGTGTCCCAAGTTCCACCGTTATGAGGAAAAATTGCATATTTGGAAAATTTTTTTAGGGTACCATAGAAATTACATTGTAGACACAAAAAGTGACTGGGAAAAATATGCACCAATCAATTTTGAGCTATCTAAGCAAAGTCAAATTCTTTGACTTACTCACAATGCCTTAATAAATACAAACTCTTTTTGTTTTTGTCAGACACACACATGTACGCACATGCATGTTCAAGTATGCGTATGTGTGACATAAACAAAAATATTAATTAATAGTCAGAAAATATAAAATGCCAGACTAGGCGTGTACAGCTTGTGGGACTACATGTGGTCACCAAGGTGACCAATAACTGAGAGTCGCTAAAAAGCATTGGTAGTAGTCAGTTTTTAAATAGTCAACTAGTAGTTATGCAGTAACTAGTCGTGACTATTGAAATTAGTCGTGACTGTTGAAATACACACCAGATGTCATAATGGGGACCGAAGACGCTGTGGGAGCAGCAGAAATACCGGTACCCATAAGTCGGTAATCCTTACTTTTAGGACCCCTTTCCTATAATGATATAAGGTTAAAAGACTCACCAAAACAGCTGACTAAATGACACTCAAAAGTGACATTCTGATATTTTTGGACACATTTGAACGTTTGGCAATGACATCTCTTGAATATCAGAAGGTTTGATTTTGTAGAAAGAGGGCAGGGTTTTGATTTATGAGGGGTTAAAGACGACGATGACAAACAGAAAATATATTGAAAAAGCAAGATGGCGAACTGCAAAAAAAGGTAGGAAAGTCACATTTTCTTTGAAAGTGCTTTCAAAATTATAACTAACATGAGTTTGTCTGAAGAAAAAAGACTTCTTTAGCCTGCAAAAGTCACTTTGGTACTGGACAGTCATCTGCAAAAGTCAGTTTTGAACAGAACTCGTACAAAATAGAGGTGTCCTAAAAGTAAGGATTACCCATAAGTCGGTCCTAATATGCCTCATAATAAAACCTTCCCATAACGTGGTGACAGCCCGCCCCACAAAAATTATGTACGTGTAGCATAATTGCCTTTAAGGAGTCCAAATTTGTTTACAGACATTGTTGGGATAAATATGGCAAATGGCCAATATTTGACTGTCACTTCACCTCCCACAGAATATCAAAGTGCAACGGGATCAACCCAATTGAATTACATGTATTCTGCATGTTCATGTCCAGGTACGTGTAAGTGTACAAATTTGAACAAACAAATTAAATGTGTGAACAAGTCAACCAATAAAGCTAACGGTACATGTACCACACACAGTACAGCACAGTACAGCACAAGTACATCTACCAAGGCTGTACTTGATTCAAAAGGTGCGCACAAAGGATCTTTAGCCTTGACTGAAAGGGAACAATGGCACCTCAACTTTAAATAACCAGACAGTTATGGTGCCATAAACATGTACACTGGCTATGTACACTGAAAGCATTTTTACTTTTTCGCATGCAGCGAAGCGTGAAAAACGTCAAACATCAACAGCGCTGTATTGTCCAGCCTACACGTTACCTCTGTACGTGTTCATGGTGTTGCAAGTACATTGGTCGTAACAGACACTTTTTCTTGTGCGTGTGGGTTTATAAATTGTTACTTGTAATTCATGCCTTATTGTTGGCAGCAATGACATTACTCTGTTCAGTTCACGGGAAGCAAGCGAATTACATGTGAAGCGTTCTGGTAGAATGAGACGGAACTGGGCACAGGCCATAGTGGAGAAAAATGCAAAAAACTGAATGGGGGCCGTTCTTTTTTTATTTTCCGATTTATTGATATTTGTAATCTTTGATATGTCTACTATTTATTTTATAAAAATAGTATAAAAATTGTGGAATAACATGAATAAAAGAGTTTTTTTAGGAAAACAATTGACATCTTTCAATTTTACGAATACAAAACTCGAAACTCTGAAGGCCTTTTTCTCATTATTGAACTTTTTTTTGACAGGTCAATAAATAACCGAATGTCCAATTGAAGGAGAATTTTATTCTCTTTCCTAATACCCACTAATCTCATTTTCGACCTCTGCCCAATTCTGTCTGATTTTGGCAGAACGCTTCGCATATGTCACATATTAGCGACAATCTCCCAATAGGCACTGTTGATGATTCTATGGGTCTTTTTGAAAAGTCCCATGAAACTAATTTAACATTACTGGGCTACCGGCAGAATTTAGCTCCTTGAGCACCAATACATGACAGTGGAGTGTCATGGCCTAGCAGTTAAGAGCACCGGACTCATGCTTTGGTGTTTCAGAGACAACAGTGGCGTGGGTTCGAGCCCGCCGGGTGGACACTTGTGCCCTTGAGCAAGGCACTTAACCATTATTGCTTCGTCCTTCGGATGGGACGTAAAGCCATAGGTCCCGTGTGTTGTGTAATCCAATGCACGTAAAAGAACCCAGTGACACTTATCGCTAAGAGAAGGGGTTTGCCCCGGTGTTTCTGGTCTCCTGTATAAACTCCCACACAGAGTATTTAGGAGATGAACCAACCAAGAAGAACCAACCAAGAACTGGTAAACAAAACTGACCTGAATGGAAGGTATGGTGGATTGGTTCCAGCAACGAGCGGTCGATATGCCTCCTCAGGAGTTTTCTTCAAATGAATCACCTTGGGTTAAAAAAAAGAGGATAAAATATTTACAATTTACAACAACTTTAAAGCTATAGTCCATCATTTGCAGCCATCCGAAAAGTAACTGGCGTAATTATTGTTGAAAAACAAACTTGGTTGAAAGATAGTAAGGAAACTAAACTCCCTGTGAAATTATTCTTTCTGGGAAGCTGTCATTTTGAAGTAATCAACGAAAGAAGGCCTTTCCAACGGTGATTCTTAAGAAGCACCGTAGGAAAATTTAAATTAGTAGTTCGTTTTGTTATTCAGCGCAGCGCGCACAAGTATTGGAACGACGCACACGCGCGCGCGGTTGTTATAATTCGTCGGATCAGTGCGCTACGTCGCGTATAGCTGCAATTCAAAACAATTCAAAACATGATTCAGTAACTTTTGATTTGAAATTGAGATCTTAGAATGCTGTTTTTCTCGGAATGTACAGCTGAAGCTGAGCTGAAACTTCATCAGGTTAGTTGCTCAGTATCCTTCATTAGATTTTGAACTCTTTTGTTGCTTCAAACGAACAAAATGCACAAATTACAAATGATGGACTATAGCTTTAAACACCATTCCATGTAAACTCTCGTGAGGAGGTTTTGAAGTATTTCAGGTTTGTGACTCATGATTAGAGGGTCAGGAGTTCGAATCCAGCTGCTGCATGAATATGTCCTTGGGCAAGCCACTTTATTGCTACTTCCCCAACTCTATTCATGAGTATGGGTGGATACAGGCAATGAACTGACATCACATCCGGCCGGGGGATCAAAACATATTTTGTCCTTTCCAGGAAACCAGAAATAAACATCAGCCTCAAGACCCATTGCTCAAGGCATTCTTTAGTTTTCATTGAATCACTTTTTTTCTGTTGTTTTGGTCAAAGCGAGGATTTAACATAGCCTTGACTGGTTGCTAAGTGATAATTCCTGCTAAGAAACTTCCTAAAAATTGGGAAGGATAAAAGTGATTCCACCAACGACGCCAAAAGGAAGTAGTAATTTAATGTTGATTAACCCTGAATCCTACATGTAAGCATTCTATGCTTATGCAGGGAACCTTCCTGAGTGCGTGATAATGACCAGGTTGGGGGCTGGCCGCTGTAAATGGTCTGAGCCCAATGTGAGGTTATTCACTTTCTTAGTTTACTTTTGTTTTCTGACGTTTGCAAATGCTGTATATTACCTAAAAATAACTTTAGAGGAACATGCAAAGCCCAATGTAATGTAACTGACCTATCGCCGTTTGCAAGTTAGCCACGCCTCTTGGATAAACAATATAGAATTTAGTATGTTAAGTTTTGTTTGTCTCAGATTTTGCACATTCTGTGTCCATTTGTATATCATGTAATTGGACAATATTTCACAAGATGCGTTGGTGCGATTCTACTGCGATAGGTTAATTGTGAATGGGGTCTACCTTCCTAAATACTTAAACTCCTTAAAAAAACCCAACTGTACATAACATACATGGATTTTGTCAAAGTATTTGGGGTGTTTACAAGGGTTAAGGAAATCCTTCTTACCGAGTATGCCCCGACAAGGTATGCTGCGTTTGCACGTTTCTTGGCATCGAATGTCGTGTAATGCACAATCTTCTTCTTTGCTAACGAGAAAGACTGAAATGAAAAAGACACAAACACAGATAATTTAATCATATTAATCTTATCTTAAATGATTTTACCCGCAAATTTTGTGTGGAATACAGTTTACGTTATAAAATGAGACCAAAACAATTTTATCATAACACTAATGTGGACGAAAACCCTTGACCCTTTAATTGAAAGGGAATTGCATTCAATTTTTTTTTTTTTAGACCTAATCGCATTGAATCCTTCAAAATCCTCTTTTACCAAAGTGGAGGAATTTGGAGGATTGAGGTTACATGAAAAAAGTGCGATACTGATTTCGTAGGATGCACTTTGTCAAGGTCTTGGGCCAGACTTGTGTTGTTTTTGCTCAGCCGTGCATGAATATAAGCCTGGATTATGCTTGAAATCCTCCATACTGCTCCAGGATGTCACTTGCCAAGCCTCAACATATTGACAGTCACTGCGACAGAATTTTGCAGGATTCAGGCAGTGGTCACCTCTCCACGGACCATATTCGAGAAATAATGCAGGAATTTGCAGGATTGAGGCTATATGCTATTTTTCCATAAGGCCAATTGGAAGATTTTGCAGGATTGAGGCTACATCCTAGCAAACTGGCCTAGAGCGTTAGGGTTAATAAATACATGTCTACCCCTTCATCAAATTTGCTATGGAAACCACTGTCATTTATCGCCAGTGACCTTGACCTCTGACCTACTGGAATCTCCCAACCTTTTTTTCAATGGGCAAATCATCCACCCAAGTTTCAAGACAATAAACCATGACAACAGAAAATTTTAATCCCGAAATGAACATGTAAACATCAGTCATCTTAGGCATTTGTAAGACCCCTCCCACTTAAGGACTTAAAGAGGGACAAAAACGATCCAGTTTTGCAAACTTGTAACAACACGTACCTTTAATTTCTTGTTGACTTTACAGCAGTATCTGTAGAGCTGACCGAGATTCAAGGGCCCAAAGTCTGCATAGAAGCTGTGACAAACAAGCAAAGAAAACAAATTGAGATGACAAACATGATTAATGAGTATGACAAATTGTGGCATGTTCAGGCATGTGTGTGAACAAGCAGCACTTGAACTTCATGATGCAACTGAACTTGTCAACATTCTGTGTTGTGGATATTTCAACTTAGCAACATGTACACATGAAGGCCTATAAAGTCATTACTGAATGTAGTTGACTCATGTTAGTACCTAATCCAATTCTGAACTTTGTATCGAGGGAAGTAAAGTGCTGTTTCCCCCCCCCCCCCCTGATTTGTACATGTTACGCTCGAACTATGGCATCGTCCCAACTATGGCATTGTCCCAACTACAGTTGGAATGATCCAAACTACATTTATAATGAAAGGTTTAAGGAAACACCAAAAGGCGATTTCGCCTTTTGCTACTTAAGTATTCACTTTCTTAGAGTTTAGGCACTCTCCTGAAGACGGTCAGAGCATACTGACCAGAACGTCGAGTTTATACCTCTGGTTCTTTTCAGAACCATTCTCTTAGTTGAGAAATTATTCGCACATGGTGTTTCCGCAAACCTTTCATTATTTAGTATCTCCACCATGCAAAGCCTCAAATCTTACTCAAACTACATTTAGTATCGTCCCAACCAGTGTTCTAGCCAGGGTGAAATTATAGCGTAGGGGTAATTTTGGTTCCGACGACTAATGCGAGCGCGGAGCGCGAAGCCCTTACGGCGTGGGGTCTGGGGCCCGCTTAAGGGCCCCGGAAAATTTTGGACTCTAGATGCTCTGTGGTGCAATCTGAGGCGATTCCTTGCCACTTTCCCCTGATTTTTTTTTAGCAGAAGTGTTTAAAATTATAAGAAATTTTGTTTTATTTGTTTCAATGATTAATACTCTTGCTCCTGTTAAGTTTCTTCTGTTTTCAAATTTTAGATTATGTTTACAATGTATAAGTTGTTCCAAGATCGATGCTTTCTAATGTTTAACCATTTTTAGTAGTTCCTCAATGTTTTATAAAAATTGGGATTTACTTTGTCAATATTAAGTGTGAGAACAAATCGCATGAACATTTCATATTTCAAGAAGCCTTGTGTTGTGTAGCGCTGCCGTAGTAGCAGTAGTTCCGATTTTAAATTTGTAAATAAAACCATCCGATCGGCAGGGAGAGAAATTGTAAAACCATGGAGGTCTCAGAAATAAAAAGTCGTCGGCGATTGCAATTTCAATATGCTACAACACAATGTGAAGGAGAAATCTCATTTTTGTTATGTTAAAAAATATAATTGTAGATAATGACGATGAGAAATAATCACCGGGAATTGCTTCCTATCCCGGCCGTGGCCGGCCCCGGCCGGCCCGGCGTGCGGGCGCGACGCGGGCCAGCCCACACCGGAAACGCCGACGAACTACGCGACCAAATTTCCCTCAGCATTTGAGTAAGCTACGCATTCGTGGAGCGCTAAAAAAGTTGTTTTGTTGCAATACTTGCTGATTGGTTTTGTCCTAAGAACAAACAGATCCGTTTTTACTACCAAACTTATTGAACTGTTATTATCAGCAACGAGTAGTGTCATGAGTGTAGTCAAAAATCCAAATTTTCGACAGCGACATTCTTCGAGAAGAATTCTTCACGCGCGGCCATCTTTGGGGACGGATCCATTGATATCGTAGGGGTGCTTAACCTTTCTTTGGACATCGTTTCTCGAATAAATCCTTTACGAAAATTATGTTCCGACGTAGAAGGACTTATTTTCCAACAGTTATATGTTTCGGACTTGATAAAAAGTATTATTTATAATTTCAAAACAGTTGAAATGCTTGTAAATATTGACCTTAGGAAAGCACACCCGATAGCGCAAAATGGTGTGGTCCACGTACGTCCGTACAGAGCGCTGTATCTACGCAGCACAAAACAGCACGTGCTTATTGCTGTCATAGCGAATGCGTGTGGCGCAGCATCACGGTAGGGGTATCGTACGGGGTACGTGCGGTGGGATCGTTGTTTATTTTTCGCTGTGTCGTATGGCCAGTGCGCAATGCTCAAAGTCGCTGCGCTTGTATACGAACAAACGGCAGATATTTTTTTTTCGCAACCAAAATTTATAGCGTAGCGGTAGCGTAGCAGCGCGATTTAAGCGTAGCGCTTATTTCCGAAAGCGTAGCGGGTGCTAGCGCTATTTGATGCCTGGCTAGAACACTGGTCCCAACTATTGTTAGGAATTCCCATAGAGCTATATTAAATTACTAGAGCGCTAACTCCTCATTCTTACGCGAGGAGATACTTTAAAGCCGTCCTGCACGCAGTCATGTTGAATTCATGCGCGTGCTTGTAGAACATAATGAAATTAGATGGAGTGAATTTTGAAAGTGTACTCTACATGCAACACGCAAGAACAACGCAGACAACTTAAGCGTGGCATGACGGTTCAAAAACATCACGGCAAAAATCCTCTGCGTCTGCCTTGTTTGCGAAAAAGCAAAATGAAACGCTCATTTACCGATGGTGCATTTCGGTTTGGGCACATCGGCTTCGACAACGCACTGTATAGAATACAATCGCAGATACACAAGTAGCCGTACAAAAGCCGTTCAAAATTGTGAGCTTTCCATAGGTTTGTGCACAAACGTGGATGCGCCCAGCAGGCATCACTTTGTTCATCAAGTCAGCGCTCGAGTAATTTAATACAGCTCTACGGGAATTCCCCAACTATTGTTGGGACCATTGCCGTAGCTGGGGCATAACATTAACAAAATATTGTGTTTTTAATACAAATGATTCTAAGTGCATCAGTATTGTAAAAAAAAACCAGAAAATAAGGAAGCTGTTTGTGTCTAGAAATGTTCTTTGTAAAAAAAAAAAACATGTAGTGTTTCTAAAGGCCTAGACAGTGGCTCAAAGACATACATGTATCATGTAGTTATTTATCTTTATTAAAATTAATTTTAACATCTGTGGACTTGGCCTACAACATGTACATTGTATTCTATATTTTAACGGCCGATGTCATGCACATGTAATAAATGCTGCCATAGTTGTCCACTCTGTCCGTGCTCAGTTCCCCTCACACACCCCATTCTGAACAACGCTGTGATTTCTGTGGTCAACAAAGTTTACACAAACAAACACTTGCACTCACTTCTCATACACCAGTTCATCTGCGATGTTGAAATAATGCGTGTTGATTGTACTTCTCGGCTTCGTCCTCAAGGTAGCAAAGTAGAATCGATCTGGAATAAAAAATTGTATGAAGGTTATGACGTGCCAAAAAACAATCTTTTGATTTGGAAACTTGAATACAACACACAGAACTACGACTCAAAAAATGGTTTTTAAGAGTTGTAATGAACCAATCATTGGTCAAATCAAAAGCCATGAGCCCTACCCACCTGTGGTTTGTATACATTTCTTACAGTGTGTGGGACCCCATTTTGAGGTCCCATAATCAACTGACCAAAAGAGGCAGGTTATCTAATGAGTAATGGACATGTAGGAAGGGTCCACTACAATTCAATTAAAAGTCACAAGTCATCTCATACATACAATGTATCATAAGTAACAGGGAATTTAACAATGACAAAGAAATGCCAGTCCGTTCATTTAAATAGTTTGACTTAAGCGTGAACGGCATACGATTTCAAAAACATACTGCATACTTGAGAAAGATAAGATTGGCAAAACATACAAATACTTGATTCAAATAACATGTCATTTGAATTTTACTTCTCCATGTATAGGCTTTTGAAACAGGGCAACATTATCATGAGGTGTTGTGTGTGCAACGCAACCAGCAGGGCTGAGATCAGGAGAAAATGAAAATTCCACCAAATAATCGGCAGTGGGCTAGGGGGGCTCGACAAGGGCCCCCAGAGCAACGCAGGGTCTATGGTACAATAGCTTTAAGGTAGCCCTTAAAATACACATTTCTTTGTTTTTTCCTTTGAACTTCAAAAAAGATTTTGAAATCAGAAAAAAGCCTGACAAAAATCCTGAAAAATCTAGAAAAATACTGACAAATCTCACCCCTAAAATAGTCATTGAGCAAATAAGCAAAAAATTTGGTTTTTTTTATGTGCATGACATGCACTGCACGTACTTGTTAAGGCACAAAATGACAGGCACTTTGAAGATAGAACTTTGAAAGTTTAAGATCATGACCTTCGTTCAGTAATTGCAAGTCCCATTATTAAATGTACGATTTAAACTAGCAACACAGCCTTGGCTATTTTAAACAGTTATAAAACTGTGGTTCATGGATTTTATGGTAACCTGGTCAAGTACTGTGAAAGACAGCACTCAAAATCTGTGCAAAATCTATTGTAATGAGCCACCCCACTTGCAACTGATTTCACAGAAGTGGGCAGAGGAAGTGATATTAGGTCAAATTTGTAGTTCTGGACCCTGACAATTATATTTTGGTTTAAGTTACCAGTTGGGAAAGAATGTGTTGTGTGACTTTGTATGACACTTTCAGGGCAAGGTCAATGGAGAGTCAATAGGGGTCATGACATTTTGTGAAGTATTTTCTTTTTTTGGAAAGATTTCCATATACGAAGTTCACTAATTTTCCTCTGTATTGACTAACAAGCCCCCAGATAGCAATTTCATGTCATCAAAGTCAATTTGAGCAGTGAGAAAATACAAGCATTTTCTTAGAAAACACTTAGAATTTTTCAGTCCAATCTCATAGGGTTTGTACACAGGGTGTTGAGTGAACTTTGCATATGGAATCTTTCCCTTTTTTCTTCTACATGGTTCTTAGTCCCGTCCTTAAAATGACCGACCATCACAAAGGTGAAAAAAAACAAGTGGAGTTAAGATACTTCACGCTTCATGGATTGGAAACAAACCTGAACCATGTATTATTACTCTTCCAGGTAGTGTACATTTTGTATATAAAAGAACTAAAGAGTAAAGAAGCATTTATTTGTTGTTTTTGTTTCCTATGTACCATTTCAACTTTGATATTGTTACAAAGCAATGACCAAAATGTTTGAAAATGACACGAAATGGAAATATTGAGCTTGTATGATTCTGATGCCACTCTGACAGTTTTATACAAAGTTTATGGGGAGTAGAGATATCTTCAAAGTGTTTTATAGCAACAAGAACATCTTCTTTGAACACAATTTGCACCGTCTGGCCATCATTGCGGAGCTCAGGCTGTACAGTACAGGCTGGCGTGGACATCAGGGAATTTTTTTTTACATTGGCTTATCTAGCACCCAGACCTATATTACTTAAACTCAATGGTTCTTGGGTCTGGAGTGCTGAATGGTACCACATACAATGTTGCAACCAATGAAAACTGCTGTGCAAATCCAAATGAATGGAAGTTTTCACTGGATGACACATACAATGTAGCAACCAATGAAATGTAACACATACAATGTAGCAACCAATGAAACTGTTGTGCAAATCCAAATGAATGGAAGTTTTCACTGGATGACACATACAATGTAGCAACCAATGAAATGTAACACATACAATGTAGCAACCAATGAAAACTGTTGTGCAAATCCAAATGAATGGATTTCACCAGATGATGTTTTCATCGGATGACCTGACCCTGTCCTTGCCTATGGTGAAAAAGTGGCCACAACACATTTTCATCTACACGCAACAATCTCACAAAAAATCAAATGGCAATTGAGTAGTTATGGCCCTGTTCCTACAGGCTGACAGGAGAACACGAAAATCCACTTTTATGTTATTGGACTCACTCAAGTAGTTTAGAGATGATTAAAAAGCAGTTTAGTGATGATTACGACCCAATCATGCCAACAGAAATGTTGTGGATAGAGGACAGAGGTTTGGATTTCTTAAGCAAAATTTTTGGGTAAAATGACGATATGCAGTCAACAACAAACCAAACATGAAAATAAAAATGGCCATCACCATAAACACCACTGGTGGTGCCAATTTTTCCATCATACGCTAGGCCGGTCATTGCACAAATGTTGAAAAGACATGAAATCTGGGACGGCGAAACATTTCCAACTTTTATAAGATGGAATTTTGCGTCGGGGTGATATAAATCAAATTAGGTTTTGCCCTTCACCGACGTTTTTTAACACTGTATACTCAGTGCGTTACCTCCCGAGTGAAGTTGGAAAAAATCACTCGGGTTGGACTCGAACCCACGACCTCCTGCTTTCTAGTGCAGATGTCTTACCACTCGACCACCGAGCTAACGGGATCGGTTGGCCGGTTCGAATCTGATGTACATAGCAGCGAGTACCGCATAAACTATTATAAGATGGAATTTTGCGTCGGGGTGATATAAATCAAATTAGGTTTTGCCCTTCACCGACGTTTTTTAACATTGTATACTCAGTGCGTTAACTCCCGAGTGAAGTTGGAAAAAATCACTCGGGTGGGACTCGAACCCACGACCTCCAACTTTGTTAATAAATGCTTTAAAAATGCACTTGACTCTCCATAGACTTTTTACACAACCAAAGAAGTGGCGTCTGGATGGGTCTATTCGTCCCAAAACACCAAATGGAAAAATTTTGTTTTTCATCATATATCATCTCAACGAAGGTCATTCATTGCAAAAATGATGGTAAGACATGAATCTTGGGAAAAAAATCCATACTCGATCACCACTTTTTTCAATTAATTTTCAAGCGCCAAAAGTTGCATCCTTTATGGTTATTCCCTCCACTTTCCCCCCTCTACTCTCACCCTCTCCTTTCCTTAATTTCTATTTATCAATCAGTCACTTAATACTTCATTGAGATTCGAACCTCGGACGCTTGCTTGATACACGAGACTCTTAACCGCTAGGCCGCGCACGATTGCTGTTGCAATTATCAATCTTTGGACGTATTTGAAGTATCCATTGAAATAAACTAAATATTCATGAGAAAATAAATATTCATATTGACGTAGTGCACTATCATTGGCCGGCTCATGCGACGTCATGGTTATCGATGTCATGCGTATAACGTACCGCTGTTCCAGACACTTCAATCAGTTTTGACCGGCTGCTTCAACTCAGATCTGCACTACATGTGCATCCAAAATGTGCTCTAAAAACATGTCCGCTGTTTCCTGGATTCCTCTTGGTTGAAATCACAAGGTGATGTGAAATTTTTTTTGTTTGGCAGCAGGTAAGTGGTGATCGGGTATGGATTTTTTCCCGAATCTTGGACTGAGAAATATTTCCAATTTTGTTAGAAAAATACTTTGACAATTTTCTTGACTCTCCATAGACTTTGAACACAATCGCGGAAGTGGCGTCAGGTTGCAACATTTTGTTCCCACCAAATATATTGCAACCTGACACAACTTTTTTCTTCATATATCATCTCAATTATTGCAAAAAAGATGATAAGACATGAATCTGGGACTGAAAAACATTTCCAATTTTGTTAAAAAATACTTTGAAAATGCACTCGACTCTCCATAGACTTTGTACACAATCCCGCAAGTGGCGTCAGGTTGCAACATTTTTTCCTGGGTCTTTACCTTTGATAATTTCAGATGCACTCAGCAGTTCACTTTCCTCCGCCATCATGGACGACAAAATGTTCATCATATTTTCCTGTCACCGACCAACTCCTAACCGAAGCAGGCAACAAGTTCTTAGCATGTGTCGGGCTTGGCCAACCTTCAAACCAAGTTTACGCCGCAAAAGTTTTATTTATCGGCCTCAGCTGTGTCTTTGGTGTGTCTCATCAACTGGTCAGCATCGGAGTGTCAGTGTATTTTAAATGAAATTCTGCGTAGGAATTCTTGTCAGGATTCTGAAGTTCTCATTTTTGTAAAGGCTTTTTTTCAGTATCAATGTTCTTCAATTAACCAAATGCTATAAGTACGATGATGCACTTTGCAAAACCACCTTCTTCATGACTCTTGAGATGTTGATGTTGAGACTTGACTTCGTCTTCAGTTCACTAGTTCAACTCGCTAAGTTCCACTTCCAATCAATCATGCCAAATCAACACAAATTATTCCAACGGTTGAAGAACCAGTTACGACAGCAAAACTACAGCTTCAACATGCCTTACTTTAAACCGTTGTTTACTAATAACAACTATGATCGGCAACTTTGAAAATAAGCCATTCCGGTTGCGGTTTCTAATGAGTTTATGTGGTCACGAGCCGCTGACAAGATGGGCAGAATCTGCAGGCGGCATTCTCTTTCTACATAGCTGTACACGGTCAATCCTGCGTGCTGTATACAGTACGTGTGTGTACACATAAGCTGCCGTGCAAGAGGCGGTGGATTTAACTCGCTTGTCGTTCAGAACAAACTTTTACTGAACACGAAATACAGCTCGTTGACACTTGTGACACTCGGCTACACGTTCGCACAACACATTCAGCATACCAAAAAGCACACCTAATTTTCAAAAAGATAAGGAATACTTCCCTAATTGCGAGGAATTTGGTGTGTGTTTACTTCGCGAGAATCTCCAGAACGGCCATGTTTGAACGTCGACTCCCTGACGATGACGTTTGCGCATGCGATTAATCAACCAATGAAATGACAGGGATAGCCGTAGTCAAGCAATATGTAAATTAGATCACGGGGGGGGGCGGAGGGTATATAGGTACAGCAGCTTTGGTCTGCTGTCTCGATTACGCAACGATTTGTCTTTCCCTGTAATCCAATTCGAATGATGCACTTTATTTGATTCGGCGGCGAGAGATATAATAATAAAAGTCAAGTGTCAAATACGGCGACAAATTCGTGTAGAAGGAAATTATGTATGTTAAGCCGGGCGCTTTAATACTTCGACGTTTACCCCGACTTTCCTCATGCAGTGTTGCCAAACTTCTTTCATTTGTAAAAACCTCTTTGTTGATAAACCTCAAATTCATTAATTCAGTGAAATACTGGTACTTTTACCATATTAATGCTTGCCGTTTATCCTCTGTGATCAATTTCGGTGTCATGAAATTTAATCCGACATTCAAAAACGGTGGCGTCAGCAAATCGGGCACAAATTCCCTAACTTGGCGCATTTGAATAAATCTCGGAAAATTCCAAATTAACATTTAAGTTGATAAATTCTGATAAACCATTATTATCTCAAGTTTCACTGTGCACTTCGAAATAATATCGGAAAATCACGAAGAAATTAAATTTTCTTCTAACTTTGTAAAAGTTATGAACAGTAGTGTCTAGAACTTGATGAAATTTCACTTTCCGTGAAATTTCAATTAAAAAAAGGTAGGCGCTACAGGCGAAAAATCAAAGTGCGCCACTTTAGGGGCCGCGCCACATTAGGGGTACATCAACAATGCACGACCGACGGCCTGAGAAAAGAGCGCCCTCATGGCAAAGCTGTGTGTAAATTATATCGGGAAATTTATCGTTAATGCTTTACAAAAAAAAACCCCACCAAAGTGAATAAAATGAATTTGAAATGAACAGGGGAAAAATATTATAACGGAGTGTCAGTACTAAAATGTAGGCTCGGTTCTTTTACGGGGGTGAGGGGGGGGGGGGGGGGGGGGGGGGGGGGCTTTAGGCCCCAAATTTCGTCTAACCCCTCCCCCTCAAAAGAAGAAGAAAAAAATGCCATAAAAAGTAGGTGGTGACGTGCGTCACATGCGAATTGTCGAAACCTCCTCCCCCCCAAAAAAAAATAGTTGTGAGAAGCTTTACATGGGGCATTAATATAGTGCGAATGGTCATGTTATCAGTACTGCCCATTGAAAATATGTTACGAATCCCCCAACTCCCCCCCCCCCCCCGAGAAAAAAGTGCCCGGAGAAAAAAAAACCGGTCTACATTGCAGCACACCCTACACAAATTTCTGGATCCTCCCGCCAAAATATAGGCCGTAGAACGGCGCCCGACTAAATGGATTTGGCCATTTCTGCCCATTGTAAAATAAAAAAAAAGACCCAACAAAAAATGATGCAACAAGTTCAATTTTTTTAACACTCGACAAAACCCTTGAAAGAGTGTGCATGATGAGAGCACGTTTAGAGGATATTTAATTTAATATCCACAGTCGCATTGAAACCGAAAGTACATTGTTTTTTTTTACTAATGATTTTCTTTTATTTAAAATATATTTCATCTCATATCAACTCAAATAATACATTGTGTATATATAACAATTTCCCATTAAAATCATAAGTCTAAATTATTACAATTATTACATTTGAAATTATTACAGTTGTGAATCCTCCTACGATTGATTTTGAACATCATTCCATCTATTCATTAATATTTTATGATTTTTAAATAAGTTTTTTTTTGGCTAAAAAGAAATAGCAACCTTGTTACTTTTTTTAGCAATGCTAATGTCCTTTTTAAAGGGCATGACATAAAATTTACTTGGGAACATATTTTGTGCAACTTTCTATTCCTATTAAATGTATGAAAAATATATTTGACATTCATTTTGTGTAATTATTTTTTGAAGAGTGCACTTCTTTAAACCTTTAAAATGTTCTATTACTGTACATTGAGACAATGCGAATCACCAAATGCAGAAAATTTACAACAAAATAGCCAAAATTCTGGCAACTTAATTTTGGTGCTGAAATAGCTGTACGACTGGGATTTCTGCCTAAAATTACATCATACATTTGCTCATGAATATGGAAATTTGTATTTACATAAAAACCTAAAAGGCACCATCATCCCCTTGAAAATAGCAAAATGAAAATTTGAAAAAAACAAAGAAGAAATAATTCGGACACAAATGTGCATCTTGTTGCATTAAAACAATTACATGAACATGGTGTTTCAAAAAAAGGAAACCCAAATTCAAAGAATGAGTATGGACAGACAATATGTTTACTGGATATATAACACGTATCATCTGAAAGCGTAATCTCTATGCTTTTCAATGATACTATGTTTAGGTTTTCTGAGTCATGCATCAGTGAGCATCATTGTCTTCAAAACTGGAAGCAAAAATGCAGTTGGTTCACTTTCATAAAAAAAAAGCACTGGGCACGGTGTGCCTATTGTTAGGAAAATGTCTGTGAAATGGCTTGAATGTTAATCCTCGGGAAACTGGCACATTGTTTTGAACGTGGCTTGGTCAAAACGAGAAATTCATGACAAACAATAAAAACCAGTTTTGAAACCAACCCGACTTGTTCTTTGGTTTCTTTTTATGCACTCGTGTCTTCTTCTTGAATACTTATTCTCGTGCACACCATGCCTATTGTGTTTGACATGAAAGTGAACCAACTGCAAATTTGCATCAAAATCTCATGACAGTGGCGCTTAGTGATGCATGACCCTGGAAATGTAAACAAGGTATCATTGAAAAGCATAGAGATTACGCTTTCAGATGATAACAGTTTAATAGCCAGTATTAACATTTAGTCTGTCCATACTGGTTCTTCAAAGTTGGGTTTCCTTTTTATTGAAACACCCTGTATAATACATAGGCTCAAAAAAAGGCATTCTTAGGTACTGCAATTTGTCACGCTTTGCTTGCAGTGTGTCCTCCATTGACCCCATCCAGAGAAACCACGCATGTGTGGCAGGGCCAAATTTATCTTGTATATTTTTCATGTATGTAGTGTATAGTATATAAGAGTAGCTCCCCTTTAGAACAAAAAGAAATCATTTTAGTTTTACTTAAGATCCCCACCCCCTTTCTTGGTAGTGTGTCCCCCTGGTTGTTTACTTTAGCCCACATGTTCCCCCAATATAAGCTGCCACATGGTCCAGCCACACTTTAGTTCAGCCAGCAGACCAACAGAGACAACTTCATAGTATACCGGTATCTTATGTTCCTCCTAACTGGAGTGGTGTGTCCTGTTTGAGCTCTGTCTGCTCGAGTCATTTGATTTTCTGCCAGAAGTGTCTTTAAGGTCTACTAATATATACACTGTGTTGGTTTGAGTCTTTGGGTTTTTTTTGGTTTAAGTCTTTGTTTTTTTTTGGTTTAAGTCTTTGGTTTTTTTAGGTTTAAGTTTTGGTTTTTAGTCTTTGCTCTTACTTGATTTTCGTGGTCTTGGTTTTATAATTATCTGGTCATTTTGAAAGTTCTTGTAAATAAATTCTTTTTGTATTTTTTTGTTTTGTTCGAAATCTAGAATTTGTGTCCCTTGTCCCTATTAATTCAGTCTCCTCGCGACTTTTCCCTTCAAAGATCCCAAGTTTAGTTTAGTTGTAGTAGTTTTCGCGAGTTCCCCAAGTGTGTCATTTTTCCAGGTTACACATGCACGCGCCACATAGGCCTGCTGCAGAGTTCAGAGAATGGTACGATGATTCGATCGATTGGTAAAAAAAACCTCAATAATTATTTCAAATTAGTCTCTCACATGTCTATAATCAGACGGAACTGAGATGGCTCTGGGACGACTCCCATCCTGGGTTTTGAGAAGTTCTGTCGCCAACATCTTTTCACTATTTCGATTGGAGCTCTGCAGCCAGGACACGCAGGCGTGAGTTGACTTCATCCCACTCGAGGTAGCTGCCTTCAAGATGGCGCCCGCTAGCCTTCGTCACCTGGAAAGCGCTGCGGCCGTGTAAAGCTCGACGGTTGTTGAACGTCGTAATGTCTCCTGCAAAATACGAAAAAGGAAATATTAAAAAATTTGTGTTTGCACCATAGAGCTATATTAAATTACTAGAGCGCTAACTCGCCATTCTGCGCGCGGAGATGCTTTGAAGCCATCCTGGGCGCAGACATTTTGATCTCATGTGCGTGTTTGTAGAACATAATGAAATTAGATGGACTGAATTTTGAAAGTGTACTCTACATGCAACGTGCAAGTAGAACACACGCAAACAACTTAAGCGCGTCATTGACAGTTCAAAAAAACATGACGGCAAAAAGCATCTGCAACGAATACGCGCATGCTTTGCGCTGTTTGCGTAGAGCAAAATAACATGCTCATTTGCTGATCGTGCATTTCGGTTTTGGGCGTATTGGCTTCGATAACGCACCGGTATGGAATACAAACGCAGATATGCAAATAGCCGTACAAAATTTCTAGGTCTCCATAGGTTTGTGCACAAACATGGATGTGCCCAGCAGGCATTACTTTGTACACGAAGTTAGCGCTATACAGGGTGGATATAAAAAAAACACCGAAACCGAGATATTATTGCTAACTGGAACAGAAGTAGGGCACATGTAAATCAAAGGGAGATATCCTCTGTTAGGGTTGAATCTCCTCTTTAAAATGACACCCTGATCATGTCATTACATTCATGGTTGACTGAGCAGTGACTGATTTTATGAAAGGGTCTATTTAGAGAATTGCGCCACTTTTCATGGTGGGTGAAATCTCTTTTTTTCCCCACCTGCCTTGATTGGCAACAATAACCTTTCACTCTGTGACAAATGGCACCACAAAAACCACAATTGAAAAGTGGCGCAATTCTCTAAATAGACCCTTTCGTAAAATTGGTCACTGCTCAGTCAACCGTGAGAGTATAGTTGGATGCAAAAGTTTTATATTATGACAAGAAAGAGTATAGTTGGATTTGACTGCAATTTGAGTTATTTGCATAACTATATTTCCTATAGTCAATAATACTGACTGGAAAAATTTAGTCAGATTAACTGATTTTCAGTTGCACCCAGCTGACCCTGAATGACTAGTCAAATTTACCTGGTTTCTAGTCAATCTGACTGATATGTGTTGTATTTTTGTGTATACTGGACTTGCAGGATCTAAACGGGGGCATTTTCTGATACATCGGGGCAGGTCGCAGGTTTTCTGCATACCTTTTCCTGCATTTCCAATTACTGTATCATTAGACAGCAACAAACATATACCTTTTTCCATTTTGTATTTGAGAAGATTTTGTGGTTCGACGAGCATTTTGCAGTACTTGCTGAGGGCGCGGTATACCGGCTGCACCTGGTCCGGCGGAACTCGGAGCATGGGATCTCGGCTGTGGTCGCTGATAGTGATAGAAGCGATTTCTTTAAGTTCATCCAATCTAGGAGGAAATATAATACAGTGGAAGGTCACTACACCGAACACCGCTATACCGAACATTCGGCTATACCGAACATCGTCCTTGGCTCCTGATTTTTGTGTACAAAACCAACTGAACATTGTTGTTGAAAACCGTCAACAGATGAGCGACAAGTGGCTATTATTTCCCCAAAGCATAGAAGGAGAAAGCCACCCATCGATATAGGTAGTAAGCTAAAAACTGTGTAATTACATAATTTAATAGTCAGCGCGTGTTCGAAGTCGTCTTTCAGTAACTACCAGGGCATGCAGGGTGAAGTTATGAAGGGCGCCATTTATTGAAGAGTGAGTAACAGAGCACCGGCAGCTTAAAATCACTATACCGAACGATCACTATTATGAACATTTTCTGTGGATCCCGCGATGTTCATTATAGCGACGTTACACTGTACACAAATGCATTTGTAAAGAAGGTCGCCAATGCCATGGTAGTCTGGGTCAAGGGCGGATCCAGAACACAATTTTTTGGGGGGCCAAAAAAATTTTTGGTCCCCCCAAAAAGTGGGTCCAAAAAATTACGGCGTGGGGTTCGGGGCCCGCTTTAAGGGCCCCGAAATTTATTTTGGGTTCTAGATGCTCTGTGGTGCGATCTGAGGTAATTTCTGACCACTTTAACCAATGTTTTTTTAAGAAAAAGATGGTCGTGTACTCATTGCCTGCCTTTATTGTGATGTCACATAAAAAAAATTAAAAAATTGGTTTCGTTTTTGGGGGGGGCCATGGCCCCCTTTGGCCCCCCCCCCTTGGATCCGCCCTTGGTCTGGGTCCAAGACTGTCTCTGTGTCTGTATAGATTACCTCCAGCAAAACTACTACAGCCGCATCCCGCTAGAGTTGGCATGGCGCGGGGCTAGTGGGGCTAAGAGATAGAGGACGTTGATGATGCACGAAGGATCAGTGAGGGCATTTTGAATTTATCCAAACTTTTAGCATTGATTACGTCAGGAGGCAGGTTATTCCAGTGTGGGATTTTGGATGGATAAAAGCTGGTGCAGTAGATCTTGCGACTTTATTTGGACAAAACAGCGACTCTATTCGGACAACAGGATGCAATAAGCCATTTGCGAGTTAAATTTGAACAAAATCTGGCAAGCTGATTTTATCCAATGCTTTGCATGTTTTAAGTTTGCATTCTCCCGACCAAAGAGACTGTTACAATATCACGTGATTCGGGGCAAGCCTTATGCTAGCAACCCCAGCTCCGGCATGGTCTGGTGTCTCACCCATTGTGAACAATGCTGAACATCTCTTACGTAACTATGCAAGAGCTTGCCCCGAATCATGTGATTAGCAACATTGTCTTTGGTCTGGAGAATTCAAAGTTAAAATGTGGCAAGCATTCTGAGCAAGTCAGTGTACCAGATGTTTTTCAAATGTAAATCCCAAAGGGAATAAGTTACTCGCAAATGGTTTATGTCGGCTGTAACCCTTACTCAATGGTCGGGTGTCTGGAGTACTGGTGGAATTTGCCATAGTGATCCGTGCCCACGTCGAAAAACTCGAACTGGACGGTCGTCAGGAGCCGAAACGCTTCTGGGTCGACCTCCTTCAGATCCAAGGCGACTTTGAAACCATCGGAGAAGAGATTCTCGCCGCCAGTGCACTCAGCCTGTTCTATGCAGTGCAACATTTGGATCTAATGTATAAAGAAACACCAATATTTCATCCAAAAAAATCTTTGAAATGGGAGGTGGTCACCCTCATGTTTTCGTCTGGGAATCAAAGTTCGCTTTGTTCAATGTGAACACCTTCTCTCTGTGATAAATAATCAGAAACTAGTTGGCAATGTCTTTTTTTAAACACTGTATACTCAGTGTGGTACCTCCCGAGTGAAAGTTGGAAAAAATCAATCGGGTGGGACTCGAACCCACGACCTCCTGCTTTCTAGTGCAGATGTCTTACCACTCGACCACCGAGCTAACGGGATCGGTTGGCCGGTTCGAATCTGATGTACATAGCAGCGGGTACCGCATAAACTATTATAAGATGGAATTTTTTTTTTTCAAGAAAAAGACATCTGCACTAGAAGACATCTGCACTAGAAAGCAGGAGGACGTGGGTTCGAGTCCCACCCGAGTGATTTTTTCCAACTTTCACTCGGGAGGTAACACACTGAGTATACAGTGTTTAAAAAACGTCGGTGAAGGGCAAAAACCTAATTTGATTTACATCACCCCGACGCAAAATTCCATCTTATAATGGCAATGTCTTGTTCCTAATTCCCTCGGCAATTTTCGTGTCAGGAACCTTCCCGAGTTTTACAAAGTTAATCACATGGAGGAAACCAATGGTTCATACTCTATACCTGAACTTCTAAGAGGTACCAGGCCCTATGCAAATTTCGATAGAATCCTCCCATTTTGATGGATTTGAAAGATATGGGCTTATGACTGTGATTTACACCAATGTGGTGATTCAATTGCTGTGGGTGCAGGGTAAGTCCAAGAAAAGGTCCAATTGTTGTACCTATACCTAAGGCCAAAAAAAAAGTCTCCGGTTTCTGGTATGGAGCTTGCCCCAAAAGTGGTGCGGCGACGCGGCTTTTTTTTTTTTTTTTACCTGTTTTTTTTTTTTTTTTTGGCTTCAAATGTCGGCTGATGACTGCAAATGGTGCCCGACTAAACTTAGTGCAAATATATGGGAGTCCAGAGAGGCCACATAATTCTTATTCTCGATCATAACCCCTTCTAAAAACACGTTAAAATTGTGCAGCAGCAGAATTCCAGTCAAACCAGTGAGTTTGGCGGTTTTGAAACATCATCTTGTATTGAAAAAAAAACTTTTTCATTTTGCCGACGCGCATGGCTACGGCGACGCGCGCACATACCAGAAACTGGAGACTTTTTTTTTTGGCCTTACGCCATGTTTTCTTTAACTGCACCGCAGAGACCAATAACATAAAAATGGGTATTCTCCTTGCAGATGCCCAACAGCAGAATAAAAAACCCCTGACATTCATAAATACCTCAGAGGGTTAACATTCTGTTACGTATGGGACATAGCCTGCGCAAATTCTTGGACATGCCCTGTGTCTAAAATACTTCTTGCTTGTTGAAAGCAACATGTCTTGCATTGTGACACAATCACAATTATAGTTTCGAGTGACGTGAAATATTCTGTCACGTCTGAACCAACAGCAGATCCAGAACACAACCTTTTTTTGACCAGGGGGCCAACAAAATTTTGTTTCCCAAAAAAGCTGATTCAAAACTTTACAGCATGGGGTTCAGGGCCCGCTTAAGGGTCCCAGAAATTGTTGGATACTAGTTGTGTGATCTGAGGCAATTTCTTACCATCTTTTAAAGTAATAGACGGTGGTGTACGCAGTGGCTGCCTTTTTTGCAACATTAAAAAAATTTCGGTTCATTTTTGTTTTGTTTTTTATTTTTGGGGGGATGGCCCCCGTCACGCCTTCCCCCTGGATCCGCGGTTGGTCTGAACTGCATCTCGATGAAGAAATTACGTATTTTCATGAAGATCTGAATATTGAATGCTTCAAGGTTCTCACCCCTGGCTGTCGAATGTAATACGCGAGGTCGGTGTGCAAGGCCAAAGGACCGCTTGTGTAAGCTGCGTTACTCGGATCGACCTTGCTCTTCACTTGGAAAGTTGGTCTGAAAGGGTACAGACAAAAACACAACATTTTAATTCAACACAATACTGGTGTTGTTGATTATTTTCAGGTGTGGCCCATGTTTCTGTCATGTGTTTATGTTGTATACATTGTATCAATCTTTACCAATGTCCTGCAAAGACTTTGTGGCACATATTGATTGGACGAGCATGCAGGTTCTATGCCGAATGCAATTTCAATATCAAATATTATGTCCCGTTTACCTACTGTTTGAGGTCATTGATGTTAATAAAATATAAATATAAACTATATAGGTAGTATGCATGTACACCTATATCTTTTGGACTTTCCGGAAAGGTACCCCCTGTTAGTGATAGCGGTCACTGACGGTGCGCTCGCACCGAGCGAAGACGGTATATAATGTACGCAATCTACCCGTCGTGTCCATATTGTCTCTCGTGAGCAGACCACTATAGTGTGTGACCTTAAAGTCCGAAGGAATCCATATTGCATTATCTTTAATATTTTACCCGTAGTTGCAAGACCGCAGGAAGGCCACTCGTCCTCCCAGCCTGTGAAGCTGGCCGACCTCGGACGGGGTGTTCTTCACCACGGCAATGCCTCGAATCACCAGCTCAGCCAGCCAGTCATGCAGAGCTCGATCGTCCTCAAGCAGCTCGCCAAACTCGAAGCTCTGGAGGTCGATATCCGCACCCCAGAGCTTATACTTCGGATTGAGGATTTGGTCTCGCTGCGAGTCGACGAAGCGGTAGGCCGCCAGCCAGTCCGAGGGAAACTGGCTCTCGTGACCGTCGTCCCAGTGGATGATCACGTCATCGCCTTCGGGAGATTTGTCAGCCGATGCGACGGTGACATCGACGTCGAGATCGTGGGCCATGGTCAAGCGAGCCAGGGCTACAGGATGGAAGCACTTGGAGCAGCGGCAGTTATCCCGGAGCCAGACATACGGGAAAGTCTGGCTCTGTCCACCTTCCCAAGACATGATGAGTTGCTTGCCTCCGTCGTCCAGCCGTACGTCACTCACAGCATCGCAGTGACCCTTCGATGCACCTTCCGTCTGCACTCCCAATGATGAAGGCGGAGCAAAGACCGCATTTGTCGTCTGTGCCGATGAGTAGCTTTTCGTCAAAGATATCAAGGGGAGGTTCATGTACCGACTTGACGGCACCTCTGACGGGCTACTTTTCAGTTGTTTGGAGAAGATGGAATTACTTCCTGCTGTGCTTACCCCGCGGAAAAGCCCGCCTATCCTCGGCGATGAGCTTGCAAACCTTGCCAAATGGATACCAACAAGTCTCCCAGTCATTTTGGTGATCTAACTGTAACGAAGACAGAAGTACAATATCCAAATGGCCTGCAAAAATAAAAATGTAGGCTACTAAAATGTGCATCACACCTTAAGTTAAGGTAACATGTTTCAATGTATGTGTTGTGCCCATTCTTGAAAATCACGCATTCTCGAGAATGGGCAGGCACATTCTTGAGAATGTGCAACTGGATCCTTGCTCAATCTTGGCAAAAAATAACTCTTCCAGATTGAGCGCACATTCTTGAGAATGCGCGACAAGATAACGGTCTTGTCGATGCCGAGCACCGGCTGCGCTTGGCAAGTCTAGCTGAATCCTCGTTCACTGATTCTCAATAATTATACTGTTGCAACGCAAGGCGCTGAAAAGTAGAGTGGATATGATAAGTAAAGGCGTATTGATATGGGAGGGGGGGGGGGACCGGGAAAAAATAGAGACATAATAATACTAGTGCAAAGAATTCTGATTTTTGGGATAATAAAAGCGGGGGGGGGGGGGGGGGGGGGACGGACGTAAGAATGAAGAATGTGAAGAATGAGAATGAATACTGCGACATCCCATAGTGCTAATGCTATTTCCCATTTAAATTGCCACCAATTTATTGTTCACACCCCACCATAACGTCGCAGAGCTGGATTCTATCTAGTCAAAAGAGCAATTTTGGCAGCTTCTGGACATCGTTTTTTTTTCGTGGCACGCATATTATACATGCAGGGACTTGTAACTTGTCTAGCCTAAACAAAGCACTTACCAGACTAGTTCCCAGTCCTCCGTTATTACAAAACTTCCCATAGTGGGCAGAAAAAAGCAATAATAACAGGTTTAATTTGATTCAAATTATCGTAGTTATACGAGTATAGAAGCATAGAACATTTTCTTTCCTCTTTATATGAATTGTTTCCCTTTTAACCGCTATACAATTCATTTAACATAATTATGTCGTGCAATGTTTGTTAAGATTGGGCAAAATTCATAAATTGTGCTTGTGATATTCCCACCCAATCTTAAGAATGAGCGCTCATTCTTAAGAACGCGTGCTCGTTCTTAAGAATGGGCGCTCATTCTTAAGAATGCGCGCCCATTCTCGAGAATGCGTGATTTTCAAGAATGGGCACAACATATGCACTCATCCGAGGCGTACAACTACAAGGTCATTTTTGTTTGGGGGGGGGGGGGTTAAAAGTGTGTGAAAAGGCACGTTAACAGGTCTGACAAATGGAACTTCGTCACGCGTCAAACCCACTAAAGGGTAAAACTACGCGGTCCTATTTCTACGCACTCACCTTTAATTTGTGTTTGACAACGCGCGTTGCAAGCATACCTGCGCTGATTCTAGAGCTACAGGAAATCATTCAGACCATCATGACCATGGTCAGAGATATGGTGGAGCCAAAGCTCAGACAAATCTATAAAAATTCTGCACAGTTGGCTTTTTGCAATACTTACAAACATGACAAATTCACAGTCGACACACAGAATGATCCGGTTCCAGCCTGTACTGTGATGTCAACATGGTCAAAAGTCCAAGCGATATACCTTCCATCGACGACGAGCAGTGCAGTGAGGGCGGGATACTGGGCGGGCTGGGCCGGCTCGGACTGGAGCCGCATGCCGCGGGTCCACGTCCGAGTACACGGTCAACGGTGCGGCGCGGGGTGAATTTTTTTTCGGGGGGGGGGTCGAGGTCGAGGTCTTGAAAGTAAAGAATTCTTAGTAACATTAGTAAATGTTCCACCGCAGACGATTAAAAAAGGCTCTTTTTCGAACCAATAAGGAATAAAAATCCTCCTTCATTAAACAAGGATTGCCAGCGAAACACGAATTTTATTTGTGAAAATAGTGTGAGGACTGAATGCCAGTCTATGAATAGTTGTTTACATCAGGCCGGCTGTCAACAGATACTAGATCGGCTGACCTGAAAATCGTACGATCGGTGCAGACTCAGGGACGTGACCCTGGCCTGGTGCATAACTCGAGACTGATCACTTGCTTGGTGTAGGGATGAGCATTGCACCCCTAATCGGACTGCTTTGTAATTGTATCCAGGAAAGTGAGTATAAAGAACATAGATCTTGTTGAACTTGTTGGACAGTTCGGTTTTTTGTGTGTGGAAAGATTCCCATATCTGGCCATCAGTTTTTTGTCACCCTGTGCACAAACTGTATGCAGGTACCGTACGATGAGACTGGTCTGAAATTTTTTAAGTGTTTTCTCAGTAAATACTTCAATATTTCCCTGCTAAATTTGACTTTTTAGGACATATTATTAACACTTTCTGATGGCTGATAGGTCACTGAAGGAAAAAATTAGTGATGGCCACTAGTATTGGCCAGATCATAGAGCAAGGAACAGATCTGGCCAGATATATGGGAATCTTTCCCCAGTTCATGCTATGCACATGTACTTTTTGGAAGTTGTGTTGTTGTAAAAAAATCACTGACAATGCTGTGCCTTGTCATGGTTGTGGCATATTATTATAGCCTTGGTCAATATGCTGTGTTTTCTTTTGGAATATGGCTCCGGATCCATGCCAGAGTATGATATGTTCCGTCCCATCAAATGTTTTGCAGAACCTGGTGGGTTGCTAATTTTGCAGCTTTTTTCATTTGTGTAAAGCTAGCTGTAAATTTAAAGGGAGCTGTGTATTTAACCAGGAACATTTCCCCTGATTGTTTTATTGTTTTATTATCCAGGCATGGATCTATAGGATTTGTTTAGACGGGGAACGCACTGTTGGGTTAGTTGGAGTAACCTCAGCCCAGTATTATATCATTTATTAGTCTACAACAGGCTATTAAATGTCAAAAAAGAAGTTCTAGTGCCCCAGTTAGTGGGACTAATCATTTATCATTTTTATGTCGGGATGCTCTTTTTCGCCCTTGTGTTTGTGGACTCAATTTGACGGGAACTTCTCCCCATCACACTCCCCCCCCCCCCCCCAGATCTCTGTTTAAAATTTACATTTTTTTTCATTTGTTTTTAAAAATAAAAAGGAGGCGGCCTCCAAAAAGGAAGAGGGCGGGGATGCTAAACATACTTTTTTTCATTTGGCCTTATTAAAATGAGTTTTTGTATCTTTGTTTTATACATCTGTTCTGCATGGTTCGGCAGATTTCTTGACAACAGGGTGCTTCAGCTAGGTTGCACCCTTGGACTAAATGACGGTCTTCTGATCTGTTAGTAAATTATGCGTATTGGTAAACAAGGATCCAGTTGAGATAATTAGTCAACATCCAAGACTCTCTCTTCATTTCACAGATCTCAAAGCTCCGAGTGCTGTAAACGATGGCCTTGTCTGTTGCTCGCTGTGCTAGCTCTGTGCTCAAACTCACCACCAGGAGCCTTAGTGTCAGTGGAAGGGTCCTGGCAGAGGGGCTCCCCTCATCCCTCACCAAGAAGCAGGCCTTGCCCATGCTTGGGCAAGGCTCAAGCTGGGCACCACGGTATGGCAAAGACAGTACTAGTGCTGCAGTCAAGTCCATCACAAGTTCTCGCAAGTTAAGCCTTTCACCAAGGGCGTCAATCGCTCTTGAAAAGTGGCGGGGACATACCTTGATTACCACTCATGCGAGTGCGAAGCCCAAACAGCCTGGGGTCAGGGGCCCGCTTAAGGGCCTCAAAATTTTTTTGGATTCTAGAAGCTCTGTGGTGCGATCTGAGGACCTAGGACCTTTCTGAATCCCCACCCCTCTACAAAAAAATATACTATCTTCCACTGGGTCTAAAGTTAATGGCTAAGTCCCCATAGTGGCTGGGTTTGACATTAAGGTGGATATAATTCAGAAATGGACTTTTTGGAGCTAGATGGCCATTAGGAATGATTAATACAGAAAACAACCCGCATTTGTTGAATTTTATAGGAAGGATTAAGAACTGCATAATTCATTGTGGGTGAGTTTCGCGTTCCAGTAACAAGTGCATTTTTAATGTGGTTTGTTTTTTAGTTATCCAACATCAGCAGGTGTTCTAACAAGAAGTTGTCACACAAGTGGCATCGATGCCAAGAGAGAGAGCATTCAAACGGTTGCCGTCGGGCAACAAACGGCCAGTGCCCCAACGTCGGACGCCGAGGCGGCGTCCACAGTGATGAAGCGATCGCACCTCTACCGCTACATCGCCGAGCTGAACCGCCTCAACGTGGACAGGGGAACGGCCATCGTCTCCACCTCCCACGTTCTGGATGACCAGTGCCTGAAGGTGACCTGGACCGACGGCCAGTCACAGCTGTTCCCGTACGTCTGGCTGCGCGACAACTGCCAGTGCAAGCAGTGCTACCAGGCCTCGCTCAACTCCCGCACCTTCAGCTTCACCAGCCTGGACGTGGAGATGATACCCATCTGCGCTGTGCCTTCTGAGGAGGGGAAGACAGTGCGTCTCACCTGGCCCGATGGCCACTCCGGGGAGTACCCTTCAGGTCTGAAAACAGTCTATTTCCGTGGCAGTTTTGGTTTGTCAATGGATTTTTGTTAATGGAGGAGGGTGGAGCAAGGGGTTGTAAAGCCAATAGCGGTAGCCCCCTCCCCCACCAGCCCCCTAGTAATGCCATCCCATATCCCAGGCCACTCCACCCCACTCCCACATTACCATCTCTCAAAAGAAGCTACAGGTGTAAGAAGAATCAGTCAGTCGAAACCCCCTAGGCCCTATTGGCAATAGGAAACATCCTCAATCATGCAAATTCCTCCAATTGCCACCATGTAAAAATTGGATTCAGCCTCACTCCTTGAAAAATCATCCGTTATTTCTTGAATTTGTGTAGTGACGGGGTGCCCGTATTGCCTCAACCCTTCAAAATCCTCAAACAATCACTGTTGATGTGTTGAGGCAGTGCCGATGACATTCAGAAGCAGTGCGGATGATATCGAGCATAATGCAGGGCTCAATTATAGTATTTTATTAGTACAGCCTATGAACTCGACACAATGCATCCTGCAAAATCAACTGACACTTTTTTTGCTTCAATCCTCCCAAATCCTCCAAAACCACCAGGAGGATTTTGGAGGATGTAGGCGGGTTAGGACGCACTCTGGCAAATTGCGTGATATTACATTTTATCCCAGAAAGTGCTTTACATCCTGTTCTCAGATTGGCTACGCCAGTACCGCTTTGAGAACTCCTCTCCCGATGTGACCTTTGACACCGAGCTGGATCACTGGGACACTTCCCTGATGGACAGCGGCACGCTGCGCATCTTCAACTTCCAGGACCTGGTGTCCAGCGACGAGGCCATCTACGAGTGGCTGATGGAAATGAAGGTTGGTCAAAATTCACCTTAATCCCTTGTAATCCATCCAAAACTTTTGAAAGATTATGTGGGATTGAGGAAGGAAGAGCCCAGCCCACTCTTGCTTTACCAGGCTCGATGTCTTTTGAAAGTGACAAACAAACAAGGAATGTTTGGCCTTGTTTTTTTTATTAGATGGTTTATTTTGCAGGATTTAGGAAAAAGAAAATGAAAAAAAAAGGAGGATCGAAGTCAATGTTGTACTCATTTAAATGTAAGTTAAACACTTGAAACCGGTGGAAAGGGGCCCAAATGCCATATACAATGCCATATACAATACGTATCATGGTTCCTAACAAAGGGTAGAGTGAAGTCTGTCGTGTCTAGCACTCCCTATCGATTTTTCCACGGCCGATGATTTCTCAGTTCGCTTCTGGTGAGTGCTTTGCCCCCTCTAGAAAAACTCCTGGTGAAGCCCATGGTCTGAAAAGTGTGTGCTTGAGCACCTTCTTTTGTGGATTTGTAGGGGTACATGAAGGTTCTTAGCCCAAAAAAACCCTTGGCGATTTGGCCGAAAAAAAAAATAAGTCGGTCTCTGGTCAGCGCGCACGCCGATTTTAATCATGCGAGTCGATCTTTTTTTTTTCCAAAATGTTCCGCGGTAGCTCCAACAGCGCCCTCTATTTCCGCACCTCCTCAATTTTTTTTACCAAAGAGCACCAAGGAATGGGAAATTGCACCAAGGCAAATGATTGAAAGCACCAAGGCAAATTATGGAGGACACCAATGTACATGAGGACACCAAAAAAAGCAAAATAGTACCCACCTTGTCTGTACAATCCAAGCTTGAAAAAAAAAAAAAAGAAGCCGCGTGGCCGCGTCAATTCCGGAACTTTGGTCTGACCAGAGACTGAATATTTTTTTTTGGGGCCTTAGAATGAAATGTTTGTGAATTTGGTTGCAGGTGACAGGGATATGCCTGGTTAGAGGAGCTGGCATGATGGAAGGACAGGTCAAACGGCTTGGAGATAGTGTACTGTTTCTTCGATCAACGTACTATGGGTAAATGCTTAAAAAAAACTGCTCTACGTAAAATTGTTGATGGACCCTAACATGGCACGGCCCCCAGCGTGGCACGCTTTGATTATTCGCTTGAGCAAAATTGTTAGCTCAAATTTCACAGAAAGTGAAATTTCATCGAGCTCTAAACATTCCATTCATAAATCTTGAGTTTACTACCCGCTTCAAATTTCCAGGGAAATTCTATTTTGGTGAGATTTTTTTTGATATTTTTTTCAAAGTGCGCATAATGAACACTTTTAAATTTGCTCAAAAATTTGAAAATAGTTTGCTGACATACTTGTAGTTAAGCATGTAAGTGGAGATAATAATGATTTATCAAAATTTTTCAACTTGAAAGAAATTCTGAAATGTTAATGTGGGATTTTTCAAGATTTGTTCAAATGCGCCACGATAGGGAACACTCGGCCAAATTTGTGCCCAATATCCGGACGCCACCATTTTTGAATTTCAGACTTAATTTCATGACACTAAAACTGTTTATGAAGGTTCAACAAACAGCAAGCATTATTAACCCTTACCCTACTTGACCCTCCAACGCATGCCAATATGTGCCTCAAGAAAATCTCCTATGTTTTTTGCATGGCCCTCCAATATCTGCCATGTCATTTCAAGGGTAACTGGACAGGCACTCCAATACATGCCACAGAGAACAATGAGAGTCCTCTGATAACAAAGTGAGTGCCCCCAGCTGGTCAGTATCAGGCACCTTCCAGGGCCTCCAACTCCTGCCAATTGGAGCCTTCACTGTCAAGATAGTTTATCTGCCAATATACTGCAGCTGGAGGGCATTGGCATAACCAACTGACATGCAGTAAACTACCCTCAGAGAGTAAGGGTTTTAAGGTAATAGTACTAGTACTTAACTGAATGCATATGAAGTTTTTCTACGAAGAGGTTTAGCAAAACTGCATGAGGAAAGTCGAGGGAAACGCCGAATTTGAAAGTGCGCCACATTAGGGAACACCACTATATACTACACCCGTCAAAAACACTTCCAATATATTTTTTGAAGAGAACATCTCTGTTTACCGCTTGAACGTTTCGACAGGGCTTGATCACCAGCCATCCACTTAAAGGGAAAATACAACATTTGCAAACATCGAAAAATAAAACTACCAAGTTGTAACGAAATACCTTTGTAGGATGTTGGTAAATGACATGCTTAAGCATCCTGTAAAATTATGGCACCTGGTGTGAAGCCATTTTCAAGAAAATGGTATATTTGTCTACATTTCCAATGCTGGTCGGCCGACCACCGTTGGAAAAACCTAACTATTTTTCCATTACTGCACCAAATTTAACAATTTTTTTTTAGTCTAAATTTTGTTTTGCTAGCTATTGGTTCCATGCTCATGAACGGGTGCAGGCCAGCTAGACTGGTTCCCTTACCTTACAATTTTCCGGTATGTTTGATCCATTTCATCTTTAGTGGAGTCAGGGAACCAGACTACTTGAATATTTTTGTTTTTCTTGGTTTTTCCAGCATTTTTGAACACAAAACTTCAAACATGTCAGTGTAACAATATTTGATCTATTATACTGACCCCCCAAATAGTTCATTTCTGAAAATTACAGCAAAAGCCAATGATGTACATTCCCTTTTAAGGGGATGCACATGCACGTACTTCTGTGATAAACAACGATCACCCCATGTATTCCAAGTAGAGGTTCTATTATTAGCATAGATCAGACTGATAACTGAACAAAAACTACCGAGAGCAAGGTTTAATAGCTTCACACAGTAAATGTCATGGTTTCCTTCACTAGGCTGAACAGCAGCGCAGGATATGGAAGATGGTATCAATTGTGTATTTTGTGGTAATGAAGGGGGTTCTGTATTTGATATGGCACCACTTCAGTTCCCCGTACATTGCACTTGGTTCTAGTACGCTGTGGAATGCAGTCTAGACTAGATACAAATACAGTCTCGAAACAAAGATAATCAACTGTACACCTAAAACACCCCCCCCCAAAAAAAAATACTGTATTTTTTTAAACACATTTTTATTCTTTCAGTACAACCTCCCATGTGGTGGTGAAGTACAACGCGACCAATATTGCGTTCACTGGCAAGGCCTTCCCTATGCACACGGACTTGGCCTTCCTGCACAGACCACCGGGAGTAAGCTATAACTGTTTCATTTCTTTCTAGCTAGAGACATTGAATTATCAAATGAATCAAAGTTTTGAACTCACCTCGGATGTTGCATTTGAAACCGTCAGACTTTGTCTACAGTTGAAAGTCTGATATTCGATTAATTTAGTTGATTAAACCCCTACTGTTTAAAAGGTCGCAAATAGGTATACAGTGGAACGCTATACCGAACACTGCTATACCGAACAATCCGCTATACTGAACATCATCCTTGGCTCCCGGTTTTAATGTACAAAATGTACCGAACATCGTTGTTGAAAAAAGTCAACAGATTAACAAAAAATCTACAGGTTGTACATGTATTAAACACTATTTGGGCCACTTTTAATTCCCGAACATCAAACGACCCATAGTTACATTGTGTTCGAATTTTGAAGAGCGACAGATGGCTATTACATTTCCCCAAGGAATAAAGGGAAAACTATTGCTTAAGTTTCGTGACGACTCCTCGTGTAGCCGCGGGATGTGAGAAATGCCAGTTCACTATTGGTCAAAAGAGGGAACTGGTGGTTCAAAATCGCTAGTATACCAAACGATCGTTATTATGAACACTTTCTGTGGATCCCATGATGTTCGTTATAGCGGTGTTTCACTGTATTTTAACACACCAATAGTCACTTAACCAATTTTGACCTAAGTAACAGCATGGCTCAGATAACGCATGTTTTCTTCCACTTCCCCTGATATATTTTTTTACACATCAATGGTCTTCAGTGTTGGAGTACTCATACTCGAATACAACTCGAGTACATGCAAGTACTCCGCACGTACTCGACTATCAGTACTCGAAAATTATTTGGACTCAGCCCACACTCGATTCTTTGTACTTGAATTTTGGCACAGACTCGATAGTTTAGACTAGAAATGCGCATCGAGTATGTACGCGCTGTGCACACACGTGCCGCTTTCCGTTTCGGTTACGATAATAATATTTTCTGCAAACTTACAAACCTGTAAACCTTAACCTTGTGCAGGCCATTTACTCAAGATCAAAATTCAGTAAAAGCGTTTTGCTTAATTTTAATATGCACAAAGATCAAACCATCCTACCTACCTTTAATTCGATAAATCAACTTTGTTTCACCTTTTTAAGGCCCAAATGATCCACTGCATTGAGCAGGCCAAGGGGCCTGGCGGAGAGAACTGGTTCACTGACGGCTTCAAGGTGGCCCTGGACCTGAAGGCGCAGGACCCCGAGGCCTTCGAGTTGCTGTCCACCACCTTGCTGGAGTTCAACGACATTGGGGAGGATGTCTACGGGAGATTCCACCAGCACTCCAGGCACCCTACCATAAGGTATCCGTTCAGGTTGATTGAGTCAGGATCTCCTGTCACTAACCCTAACCCGGGTTCAGGTTGGCGAAGCAGTACTTTCCTCGCCTTCCACCACTGTGACCTGGGTTTGAATCCCGCCTGGGCCAATATGTGGATTGGGTTTAGTCCCTACCTGATTCTGTGTTTTTTCCCCCAGAATATCTTCTGGGCTTTTCCTCCCACGTCTAAAACTGTAACTGCTTCACATTGTCTTCTGTGGAAGTTGGTGTGATGATTCCCCTGGGATGCTCTACCCACTATAAAGATACAGATACAGAACCCCTTGCGTGATTTACTAGGAACCTTCCTCGTTCCTACAAATTCCAACACCATATGGTAAAGTCTACACCCAAACTGTTGGATTCTGATTATGGTGGTATGCCTTACCCCATGTAAAGCATAATCAGTTTACTAGTGCAGTCCTCACTCCAACAGATTCCAACAAACCCTGGTGTTGGAGTTTGACTGGATGGGGATTGTTAGGGTTTTAATAGAACTTTTGTTAGTGGAACTGCCAACCACAAGTTTAAAGCCAAAGAGCCAAGGTATTGACTACAAAAATGAGAATCAAAGAAGCACATTGATATTTTGCTTGAAGTGTGATTAGTTAAAAATATTAGATCTCGGTAAGGAGTCCACATTGCAGCTGTATAAAGGAAGAAATTTGGAAGAAATATTAAGGTAAAGATTTACTGTAGCACCATGTGACAAATCTCATTTTTTTAGTTTGTGGGGTTCTGAAAAGAACCAGGGGGAAACTCGATGTTGCAGGGATCAACCAGCAGTATGAGGGAAATAAAATCCAAATTCACCCTGGGACAAAGACTTACAACTCAATAATTCTTTTTATTTACGTTTGCCTCGTTTTGCAGCTTGGACAGGGATGGCAATCCCGAACACGTCTACCTGAGCGACCACGGCCGTATACCAATGATGCGATTCCCAGTCCAGAAAACACAGTCTCTGTACCGGGCGCTCAAGAAGTTCAGCAACATGTACCACCACCCGACCAATGTCTTTTCTTACAAACTGAAAGAAGGTAGATCAGGCTTAAAATGTTGGTCCTTGTTTTTGCATGAACAAAAATTTGTAAATAAGTTCGACAGTTTACCCATTCATATTGGTCGAGAGCCCGCCATGTGGGTGGTTTTAAACGGTTGATAAAACACCAACTCGTTTTAACTTTTTACTCACTGTAGCGCCCGAAACCACCTGAGCACTGTATGGTGTTATTGATTTATCAGTGAATAAACACAATGTAATACAATGTATACAGTGTAATACAATGTAATACAATGAAGTGCAGGTGCTAATGGGTTAAACATGTTTTTGCGGTGTCACTTGAAATTTGGACTCCTATGAAATCTGGTCCCTTTACCCTTTCATTGGTTGAGACCTCACATGTGACCAGTCACTCTCCTTATTATCTTCACTTAGGCATGCACACTGAACTAATGAGTTTGCATATCATATGTCCTAGATTCACACTACAATGGCACTGCTGCGTTCTGCGTCACATCGCGGAGATTTTAGTACTACTCGAGCAAGGCACATACCATAATCATAGCTATAGGGTGTTTGACAAAACATGAAGTAAAATTGTTGAACAAAATCATTGGAAAAAGCAAGAGACAACACAGAGTATTATCGCATCATTTTTCATAAACCGTCAATATTGGATGATTTACAGTCTTTAATTGGTAGAAAATCGGGTATCAAAATGTAGCTAACAAAATTCCCCAAACGTCTATATAAATGACGTTATCATCAGACGATCAGATTCAAAATTGTGACCCCTCAATTGGGTGTGGACTTTCTTGTTTTTGCGGTGTTTATGACACATGAACAGGCCATGGTGTGACTACAGGGAGAGTAAAAAAAAAAACGAAACCCAAATGTTGGGACCATTGTTTTATTGAAGTTCTGCATGTAGCACTTTCAAAATCTAGGATATGAAAGCCCCATTCATAAGCTTTGTTTTAGTATGAGAATCATTCAAATCACTGATGCACTTTTCAAGTTACGGAATTTTAAACACAACCACCGTTTTAAGGTTCTGTCCACGGATCACAAAAAAGTTCAGTGTTCTTTCAGCAAAACGAAAAGAAATCACATAGGGATGTGTGTGAATTGTTTTCGTTTTGCTGAAAGAACGCACACCTTTTTTGTGATCCGTGGACAGAACCTTAAAACGGTGGTTGTGTTTAAAATTCCGTAACTTGAAAAGTACAGAAGTGATTTGAATGATTCTTGTACTAAAAGGAAGCTTATAAATTGGGCTTTCATATCCTAAATTTTGAAAGTGCTACATGCAGAACTTCAATAAAACAATGGTCCCGACATTTGGATTTCGTTTTTTTTGCTCACCCTGGATTGTACTTGTGTCTTCGTTTCAGGTGACATCATGACTTTCGACAACCGGCGCGTGATCCACGGCCGGGGTGCCTTTGAGGTGACCAGCAGTAGCAGCCGCCATCTTGAGACTGGCTACCTAGAATGGGATGAGATTGACTCACGACTACGCCTGCTGCAGCGCCAGTTCAAGGAGGCCATGTGAGGAGGGCATATCATTAACTTTGAGCCCAAATTCCTTGACCATGCTTCCCATCAAAGAAAAGAGTCTCCTCTTGCTTGCCAGTGCATGCGAGTGGTGGGAGAAATCGGAGATTTCAAAATCCGGTTACCCTAATTTTTTTCATACCGAATAACGGTTATCCGATGTCATTGGAAGTTCCCATTCAGCTCACTGTCATGCCGACCATGGGCGTCGCCAGGATTTTTTCTAGAGGGGGGCAAAAATTTTTTTTGCCAAAAAGTGCTTGTATTTCTCAACACATTCTCGATTTATCAGTTTTAGAGGGGGGCAGGGACATTTTGCCCCCCACCCCAACTCATTAAATTTACACCACTTTGTCTTCGCGCCTCTTTTTCTTTTTTTTTCTTCCTTTTTTTGGTTTTTTTTGGTTGCTTCTCCAGGGGGGGGGGGGGGGGGGCAAGTGCCCCCCCTTGCCCCCCCCCTCGCGACGCCCATGATGCCGACAAAAAGTGACGAGTGAGGTGCCCCATGACTGGGTATGATTTGCAGGATTCAATGCCTGTTGGGCATTTACAAAAACACTCCAGAATGTTTAAGCAAAGCGAACTTAACATCAAGAAAGGTTCACAGTAAAGTTTACTGAAATTGAAATGTTTAAGTTTGGCAATTCGCATTGTGAATAAATGCTTGGAACATCACAAATTGTGGTCACACTTACTTTCTGACTAAAATGCTTGTTTTATGGGGGGAAAACTATGAAAATGATGTTAGCGAACTTGACATGTCTTGTAAATAATAGAATGGATCTCGTACCAAGAAAAAAAAATATGTTTTTTACATATTGCTAGCCACTCCCGATTGCTGATCAACTGTTGAAATTATATATTAACATAGTTAATAATAATATATGTTAATAAAATATGGAATGTGCAGTATACAAGAGTGCCATTAAGATTAATAAGATGCGATTTGATTAAATTTTACGTTGTGCGTTCTTCAACCAACAAATACCAAATTAGCATTGAAACCCTTGGTTCGCAGTGCTAAACCATTGTATGACATTGGAGACCTTTTTCTTCTGTAGTCTTCACCACAAACGAAAGCACTGCTTATTTGAAATTTGTGTAATGATCTCAGGTTTTCAACTTTTGAATGAAATGTGGTTATTATTGACATGAATATTACTCGGTTAGATATTTTTGGCAACTTTCTACTACTCTGAACTGTATGCAAAGTATTGGACATCCCTTTTTGGTAGATTTTATTGAAAAGTGCACTTCTTTAAACATTTTAAAATTTTCCATGATTTTCCTGAATCCTGACAACTGAGGGTGCGGTTTTGCTGTGATCACTGTTCAGTTTTGGGTTTTCTGTTGAAAAAACCCAGAACTTTGCTCATTGAGAACATTTGTGAGAAAAGTTTGCTCATTTGCTTACTACCATGTACTGAGACAACAACGAATCTCCAAAAGAAAATATACAACAGCAAAATATGCAAAATTCTGGCAACTTGTGAGAATAACTGTAACATTGAGGTTTCTGCCTAAATATGACATCACATTTTTGCTCATGAATATGAAAATTTGCATTAGCATAAAAACCAAAAAGGCACCAAAACAGCCTTGAAAATGGCAAAACGAAAATTGAAAATAAAGTTAAATGGGACACAAAGGTGCATTTTCAACGATTGCATTAAAACAAATTACATTGCATGGGCCCTTTAAGTTCAATAATGAACGTGAGTACAGACCGTGCAGTGCAGTTAAAAGGTGATATCCTTGTGAATACGATTAGTAGCCACAAATATGTACAGTTACACACAATTTGTTTTAAGACGTCTGCAACTAATTCTGGAAGAATTGAATTACTAGTGGGAATCGATTCTGCAAAAAGGTGGAATCGCGATTCCAAGTGTGTAATCAATTGTATTTAAGTTTGACCTGGAAACGCCCAAGCCTAGTCAGAATAAGCCTCTGTACTGATGACGTCACACTTTGTGCACGTGTGCGCTTTTCTAAGGGGCTACGGAACCGTCATCCCCACCAGGCTCCCGTAAGAAACCACACGTGTAAATAAAGTGTGACGTCATCAGAAAAGAGGCTTATGGAGTACCGAAGTGAATAAGTCACACGCACAAAATGTGTGTGAAAGTCATTAGCGCGTGATTCAGCCCGTGAACCAACACGCGCGCGTAGTACATTCGTTTGCACTTCACTTTCTGGTTCTAAATGACGTCACACTTCATTACTTCATTGTCCTTAACGTTCTTTCCTATGAGGCAGATTTGTTGCCTTGCCTCCCTGGAAAGAAAATATCTGCTTTTATTTGCTGATCAATGGATAAATCAATACTCACTCAGATATAAAGCTGATTTTGTGGTGTGACAGCTCGATTTGCATGAGCAAATAACAAATTTCTAACAAACACAAACGCAATAAAGCTATTTAAGCAGTGACAAAAATAACATGGATGGTAACACAATAAGTGTAAATTCTGAACATAAAATGAGAGTCAACGCAATGAGTGTAAATTCTTAATTCGACATCTTTTACATTTTTTTTTAGGATGTTATTTCAGAGTTTTTTTGTCAATGTGGAATACTTCAGTGTATAATTTTTATGAATTCAATTTTTCCTAGCAAAGTCAATAGGTGGTCATGTGAAGGCACACTATGCAAGAGTGAAATTTAAAGACAGAGAAATTTTTCTATCAAAGGTTATTTTTAATGCCTTCAATTTTGTTTCCTTTTTGTAAAGTTTTCTTCAATCTATCGCCAATTAGGGCGGATACGGTGAACTATTTTCACGACCAATTGAGAACTTATATATATGTATAAGGTTTCTGTTATTTTAGGGATGTTCTTATCAAGTAATGTGACCCAATTGGGGTAAAATTTGACATACAAATTGTAAATATTTTGTTATCAAGTAATTTTTTTTCTTTTTTTCTCTTGAAATTCTTAAAGTTAGTCTAATTTAAATATAATCTTCATTAATATCAGAAAGAATTTATGAAATGGTATTTTTCGAATGACACATACCTTACATGTATAATTATATCATCAGCGTTTCTTAAAAAAAAAGAGTTTTAAAAGGTATTGATTTCACGTATTTGAAAATATAATTCAACTGGAATAAATCTGTGGAAATCGTTCATTAAAGGTATTATGATGAATGATTTTATTGTTTTGTCAGTACTTTTTGAGGGGATATTTGTAAGAAAAATGAAAAGAAATTTAAGACAAAATCATTATTACAGGGAGAATATTATGTCGGTGCTTTGGCCACTGCCACATGTGGAAAAATGTCTGATGAGTTGCCTTTTGAAATTTCAATTCACTAACATAAACATAAGTTCTGGGCATTCATAACATATATACAGGGTGGTGCAAAAAGAAGAAAGCCCACTTTTGACAGCAATTTTAACCTACTTATTGAGCATATTTCAAAAATTCAATTCAATGGTATTTCAAAATATTGAGCTTTAAGCATAAGTAACCAAAATGATTGCAAATGCACATTTTGTTTCCGAGATATGGTAGTTTAAAACTATCATATGCCAAACCTGTTTATCCACGGACGGCCTTATTCCATCCGCCTGACTGAGCTCCGGAGCTTGATTTGAAGACAAAAAATAACTACACTAGACTTACACGTGGGCAACAGTGATTTTGGTGAGTTGTATTTAAATTAGCATAATAACACTATTCTTGCGTGTTTTTTTTAAAGATTTTTTTCACCATGTATGGTTGAAGAGCTATACTTCACTACATTATAAAAAAAACCCAGTTCAAATAAGTTAAGTAGGTTAAAATTCCTGTCAAAAGTGCATTTCCTTCTTTTTGCACCAACCTGTAGTTTCCATGTGATTTCCACAGAAAAGTTTGAAACCAAATTTCGCAAAATCTCCGTAAATTACATTTACACTAGACATCTAGGAATACCCACGTTTTTCATATTGTTCGTAATCAGCTTATGCACACAAACCAGAAAAAAAGTCACAGAAAGTCTGAATTTGGCTGTGGGCCAGTTCCACAATGTCGAACGTACAGTTTGGACGCTTCATCAGCAAAGAGCATAAAAGTCATCAAGTGGATTTTATTTTTGAAACATCAGTTATACTCCAATGACTTAAGAAAGAAATTATTTATCCAATGTTTTACTGCAGTAGAAACACCATGGTGTTGGACGTACCCAGACAAATGGAATTTTATATGTACTTATTAATTAAAATTTCAGTTAAAAGTGATAGCTTAATTGCTGCTGGACATTGTAAGTAAGACTATATTTCAATTAAAAACAGAAGAAACTTAGCTTCAAATTGATATAGGGAGCCAACACGTTTCATTTGTGGCATTTTTTGAAAAAAAGGCTTTGGCATTGAGATTTATAGCTCTGCGGATTTGCCCAGTGTTAAAACGCAAATTTTCAGAATATTGTTCTAAATGTAATACTAGTGGGGCCAGGATAATGGCAATCAATTATTTATCCCTATTAACAAAGGGAAGAATAAACTGTGCAAGGTGCCTTTAGCCTCAACCTTAATTGTAGACGGTTAACACACTTATGAAAAGCACCATTGACACCACCCGTACCACACAATACAAGTATGAAGTTTCACTAATCCCTCGTTGAGCCGATGTGTTGGAGGAATACTTCCCCCCGTTTGTCGATGACATCCAGGATTTTCTCGATGGCCGTCCGGCCCCCTTGGCCCTCCCAGTAACCCTTGTCACTAAAGAGGGACTGCAGGAGCATCTGCCGTAGCCGACCCTCTCTTATCATGGCCACGGCACGAGCTGGGAAGCTGAGGCGAAGAAAGGAAGGAAACGGTACCATCGTTAAAACGAACCAAATGGAAACATTACAGTCTGTTGTTGCGCATGCATGCCAACTATTTCCTAAATCGTTAGCATGAATTCTCCAATCGGTCCAATGGTTGCCTGAACCTGAGTTCGCGTTCGGATGATTTAGGAACTCGTTCGCACGATTTAGGAACTTCACACGATGCAGGAACTCGTTCGCACGATTCAGGAACTCGTTCGCACGACTGAACCCGTTCGCCCTATTCAGAAAGCCGTTCGTACGATTCAGAAACTAGTTCCAATGGTTGCCTGAACCTGAGTTCGCGTTCGGATGATTTAGGAACTCGTTCGCACGATTTAGGAACTTCACACGATGCAGGAACTCGTTCGCACGATTCAGCAACTCGTTCGCACGACTGAACCCGTTCGCCCTATTCAGAAAGCCGTTCGTACGATTCAGAAACTAGTTCGCATGATTTAGGATCTCGCGCTCGCCCGGTTCAGGCACTCGTTGGCATAATTCAGTAAATCGTTCGCAGCTGTGGAATCATTCGCACGATCATCCGTTAAATTAGCACAATCACTCGCAAGATTGAGGAACTGGAATTACATGTATTGTTCACAACTGTACCGTTCCGGACTAAGTAATTTAAATGGTTAAACAGTTTATTGACGTAAAATATCCACACAAAAAACCTTAGCACAATCGGGAACCTTTGTACAAATTCTAGGCACGGTCGGTTTACTCGGTAACCCAACTTTGATTCCTGGGTCTCGAGTTTGAGGCGGGAAACGCAGCCATAAAGTGGGAAGAGCCTTGTTTTGAATTCCTGACGCTCGACTATGAAAGAATGCAACAAACCACATATATGCCTACCCTTCGCAGTCTCATTAATCGTAGGCTTATATTTGGAGCGTTATCTACCCGAATAGATCTATAATTTTCCCTAGGTTTAAATTTTGCTCGTTCCTTCTAGCTTATTCTGTGAGACTCTTTGGCAATAAGGATAATTGTTGTTTGCCCAGGATCTCAGATGAAAAAAAACCCCGTACGTCTTACGACGTCTTACGACGTTTACTGGTTGGTTGGAGATGGGAGAACCTTGAACAGATATTCTCACAAATTCCCATCTACTATCGTTACCCCAAAACCATGCTCTAAAGTCTTCTGTGAAGGAAAGTACTGAAATGGAGTAATAACTGAAGGATAAATCAAGTCGTCAGAGTTTGACAATCCCGGTGCGTAATCACTGTTCACTCGTACGAGGCCCCCTCCAATGGAGAAACCATTGCGCACGCTATGTACAAAGCAACTGCCCCGTGACGGATTATCTGAACATTGCTTTTGCCATTGAAGGAGGCCTCCGTGATAGAATTGACAGCGTGCCTAGATTGGTCTACAAACCGAGAAAATGATCATTCTATAGATTGTTTTAGGGCTATGGCCTTAAAAAAAAAATCGTGTGTATATATTCACGCGCATGGAACTCAACCCTGACCAAATAAAACACTGTTCAAAATTGTCCGTCATACACAGCCGACACCAGAACATGCCGCTCTCTTACATCATAATTGGATAATCACCACCTGCTCTCCAACAGGAGGAAAAAGGTCAGGTTTGGGTCAAAACATCTGTATCCATGGCAACAGAGACAGCCGGAAGGCAAAAACGGAAACTATTTGATGAAAAAAATAATCACCTAGTAGACGAGTGCAAATTGTGCGAATATCGATGCCTTTTGTTGCTATGGAAATGCCGTGACGCTCAGGGACATTTCTTAATGCACATTTTATTTTTCCCACCTTTTCACGTCTGGTGTTACTTGTGTCACCAGAGGGCGTTGTTGCTTGGGGTCAACAGAGGCCAACTCAGTAACCGAATCGTGTTTGTATAACTTAAGAGACTGAACTTATAGACAAGTAAAAAAAAATATTGAGCTCTGTGAAAAAGCGAAAACGCTCGACTTTAAACAGCTTTGACAGCAAACTACCTTTTGATCGCAATGAGAAAATTATTGGCTACCCCGGAGACTTGTGGGATTATTCTGATATCATTTTCAGGATACGACAATGATTTCATTTTTACTGAATTATCACGTACCTTAATGTGATCCACGGAAAAGGTAAAAAAACCCGGTGGTTGTGTTCAAAATTACACAACCGTAAAAGTACATGAGCGATTTGAATGATTCTTTCTCTAAAAAGAAAGCTTGTTAATTGGGCGTTCATATATCCTATAGATCTGGACAGCGCTACATGCAGAACTTTTTAAAAAAAATTATAGGGGCACCATTTTTGTTTTTCCTTTTATTTTTACTAACAATTATAGACTTCAAATTGCATTCTAAAAAATGAAACGTGATTGTAAATCGAACATACCAACTGTACGCAAGCATTTTCGAGATTTTTTCAATAAAATAGCAGTCAATAGTTGATTTAAAAACCACTGTACGCGTTCGATTATTTTTACCTGTTGATTCCTCGAAGGATCCACTTGTCCAACTTGTCCGCGGGAGAAAGAAGGTCGACCAAGTTTTCGACCAGAACGATACGGTCTGCCTCTCCCGAGGACAGACGGTAGTTGCACCCGATTCTCACCTGGTGGTCGCTGTCCGCGTTAGTGCCGCTTCTTACCGGACACTGGAGGCGAGAGGCCGGGCTTCCGCCCACCACGGCCCGGCCGCACCGCCGCCTCCTTTCGGTCACTTTCAGGCCGCAGCATCCGAAGTCTAATCGGTGGTAAATCTGAAAAAAAGGAAGAAGGCAGGAGCAGTGCAGGTGTGATCGGTTTACTTAGACTGATATCGTCTCAGTGGATAATGGGCTAAAATCTGGACCGGACGGGCACAAGAAGATCGGTGGAGTGGGAACTGGGTAATAAGATGCTTAAGAGTCCCCTGAATTTTTAAAAGGGAACCACGCCCACATGTCGGCCAAAGAGAGGGGATTATTAAGTAGAATAGAAGCGATGAGCTGACGGGAGACAAAGGCCCTGCATTGTGCTTGATCAAATAACCACGAAAATTGTGATCGAAGGGGCGATACTTTTCCAGGCCCCAGGGGCCTTCGTTTCCCGCGGCCCGTGCGCCCGTCCTGGTCCAAGGGATTCCTGTTTAACCGTGTAAAGAACATCTTTCTATTCCAAACTGAGCTCATTATGAGTTCAGTGCACCTACCTGTAAAAGAAAGTCAAAGAGTGCCACAGCACCCCAGTCCTCAGTCAGAACATTATTGCACCATTCTAACCCCTCTGTACCCTCAACCCCAGCTATACAGTCACTCAGTTGCGTCCGGGTCAGTTCGGCAAGTTCCGCGTCCACGTACAGGCCTGGTTCGTAAAGCATCAGCGGGCATGTTACGTCCACCGGCAGCCCGACCTGGCGTCGGAGCTCCTCGGACAGCCTTCGGGAGACCGTCGGCAGCGTTCGGTTGAACCCGAACACCCGGTCAAGGTGGAACGCGGCGACTCGGTGGATCTCGGATGGCGGGAAGAGCACAGCGCACGTGATGCCCGACTCGCCACATCGTGGGTTTCCATCGGCCGTGGCTCTGCCGCTGTTTTGCCGGTCACCCTGCTCAGCGGCTCGAATCTTACCGTCTGACCCGTAAATGAGGAATCCCAGGCCGAGCTTCCCGGCGTGCTGGGAAGAAAAAGTTTGAAATTTGGAGATGGGGTCGTTGGCCAACCGCCGTAGGATCTCCGCATCTCTTTCGCTCAGCCAGGGAGGTCGGCTGTTCAATCGCACACCGCCTTGCTCCAAATCGTCCGATCCGGCGGTGGAGATTGGTGTGTTGAAGACACGCCCTTCGTTTCTGTACTGTTGGGAATTCCTGGACATCATCGAGTGCTTCGTAATGCGGTTCTTTAGTTTGACCGGCGAGGGGTACAATTTTGACTGATTAAAAGCCGACTGGACGTTTACGAGATTCCTTGGAATTTTAGGCCTTCTCGCGACTGCCATGCTACTGAGCTTGCTACCATGTTGCCGAATTCCTCCAAATTCCATCCCCGCTCGTCCCTTTTGGTTTTTATCAACCGCTATCCGGTAATCCTGTCTGACATTGACCTGTTTGCCGGGTTTATCTCCCAGGCCGACCCCCCTCACTCCCTCAGCGTTGGCATGCGTGCCATTCAACTGTTTCTCGTCCACGTCGGTATTAGTGTCGCTACCGCGTGTGATGTACCTCACCATCGGGGCTGCGGCTCCGTTTGCCCCGGTCTGAGTGTCACTCTTATCCAGATGTTTCCCAGACAAGCGGCGAAATTGCCGGGGCGAATCGATGTACAGGTCCCAGCGCCCACCACCGACCGTGTCCTCGCCGTCGGTCTGCCACGAGTCGATGGAGATGACATGGAGACTCCGGGGGTCTACTGACCGGCCATCGTCCGCTGCGTTGGCCCGGTTGATACCCCGGTACAGCAGGGAGTTGGTGGCGATGAACACGGTGAGCACGAGGAGCAGCAGCCATCGCCACCACGAGGATGCAAGAAGACGACGCAACCGGCGCGTCCGGTGCTGGTGGGTTCGGCCGGGTTTCCAAACAATCATCTGCAAGAGATTGAATTCAAAGGAATGACAACTGCCTCTGTTGCTGGAGTCTTAGCTTCAATGTGAATCCCTAGTCATCTGAGACTAGCCTAAAGTCAGTTGGGATTGGAACTTACCAGGGGCGGATCCAGACTGCCATTTGCCGGGGGGGGGGGGCTGGAATTATTTTTTATGAACTTTGGTCCAGGACATGCGAGCGCGGAGCGCGAAGCCCTTACGGCGTGGGGTCCGGGGCCCGCTTAAGGGCCCTGAAAAAATTTGGACTTTAGATTCTCTATGGTGCAATCTGAGGCGATTCCTGGCCACTTTCCACCGTTTAGAAAACGTTTTAAACATCGAAAATTCCATTTCAATGTGTTATTATTTTGTTCTTATAAGTTTGTTATGTACTCAAAGTTGAGAACCATGTTCCATCTCTGTATTTTTTTCACAAATTTTATTTTGGAAAGGGATTTAGGCCACTGGTAGTCCGACCCTAAGCCATTCGCTGCTGAGTCAGCATACATATTCTATGCGTATATAGTCTTCGTGAGATGATGGACTCAAACACTAATGCGGGTTCGTTTGGAGGAAAATCTTCAAGAACAGGAGCCCGAGTACACATCAGTCGGTGAAGGGCAAACCCCTAATATATGGTTTGAATTCATTTCAGTATTGTCAAAAAATACCCACCAGGCTCCCATAAGAAACCACACGTGTAAATACCGTAAGGTCAAAATCACTCATGTGGGCAATTTCTAACTGGGGTGTATATTAGATTTCGTAGTCCAATCTTACAGATAAAATATTATTTTCAACGAAAATGTATACCTCAAATTTAGATGACAACTTTATTCAACATGCATGTTGCTCAATATCAGTCGAAATGGTGAAAAGAAAAGAAAATCATTAAAGAAATTTATATGCTGTTCAGTAAGGACATTTCCAAAGTCATCACATCAAATAAACCAGACACTTTGATTCGTACATAGTCGACAGACCTAAAATCATTTCGGAAGATTTGGCGAATTTGTTGAGTATGATTGTTTGTTGTATTTCAAGTTCAACCCCCACACAATTTCCCAGACAAATGATTCCTCTCCATGAAGCACTCACAAAACAAATCATTCACTTTTGGAATGCGACATGGTTTACAATTCCCCTTCCACCAACTAGAGGCCTCTTGAGGTAGAGTTGCCTACATTAGGCCAAAAAAAAAGGTCTCCGGTTTTTGGTATGCGCGCGCGTCGCCGTAGCCATGCGCGTCGGCAAAATGAAAAAGTTTTTTTTTCAATGAAAGATGATGTCTCAAAACCGCCAAACTCACTGGTTTGACTGGAATCTTGCTGCTGCACAATTTTAATGTGTTTTTAGATTGGGTTATGGTCGAGAATAAGCTTTATGTGGCTTCTCTGGACTCCCATATATTTGCACTAAGCTTAGTCGGGCACCATTTGCAGTCATCAGCCGACATTTGAAGCAAAAAAATCAGGTAAAAAAAACAAACAAGCCGCGTCGCCGGAGACTTTTTTTTTGGGCCTTACCGACAAATCTACATTTTCATTCGCTTTTAATATTATTGAACCACATGTTCGATAATGCACATGTAAACATCATTTTCTTCATAAGGAGCAACGGTGATTGGAGTAGAATCCAACACACGGCGGCCAAAGTTTACGATGAGTAAAATAACTGACGTAGGGCCCACTATGCATGCAGCAAACACAGCAAGACATTGAATTGGTTTCAATTGCACACACCCACCCACACAAATTGTGAACACTATGGAAATAGCAACTTTGATTACATAATTATTTCAAATAAAAATCTTATTTCGAGTGTCTATGATGTATATAGCATTCTAAATGTGCTTGGATCCTTAAATTGTTCACCATAATGCAATGTGTTGTTTTTTTAAAAGTTAACTTATATAATTATAGCTGCCTGTCATGCACTGTCTTCTACTTCGGTTGACAAATTAATTTTTAATAAGAGACGAACTTCACCAGAAGGAAGCACGGGGAAGTCCTAATTTAGGGGGGAATATTGAGAGGTAAGTGATTAGTGATCCCGCCTTCCGTTTATGATTGAATGATTGCAATTAAATGTTTTTTTTTTATATATTTATATTTTCAAATCCTCAACCTTGCGAAGCCTCATGGCCCAGCATGCAGAGTTTACCTCGGTGCGCGTCGGTAAATTTGTGTTCTTTCCTATGGAGCATACTTGATATTACCAGGCTTGAGTGGAGGCTAGTATTATTTAATTTGGTGCGAATGTCGGACTTAATTTTCCTTTTAAAAAAAATCCCCCAGAGCCTCGAATCAGAAAAAAAAAATCGCTGCTATACAATTAGTATACGACTGGAAAATGATATTTATAAAATAAATCTTAAAAAGGTTAACAAAAAAAAAACCCGAGTGAAAGATAGGGAAGGAATCGAACCCGGGACATTCTGACCAAGAGCCAGCTTGCCTAACCACTAGGCAACGACGGTCATCAACCAAACCTTGCAATTCATAAATTATATACATACACGTACACACGTGTAGAGTGAGTATACGCGCCGCGCATAAGTAAAATGTTACATGATTGTATTAAAGTCGCCTGAAAAAAAGGGTGCTTTATTATACTGTAAATGAAAGTTCAGGATAGCCACACAAGGCACACGCACCCACTTAGGCCTATAGTTCCCGAACACGATATACATACACAAATGTACGGATAAGGCTGGCTCAAGCCTACCATCTGACCATGCTGTACCCGCGAGTCACCATTGACGTACGCAATGCTTGCAACGCGCTCGCGTTGTCCAACGCAAATTGAATGCGAGTGCGTCAAAAAATATCCTCGTCATTTAAGGGGGTCTGACGATTCGAAATATAGACACTAGGCCTTCGCCGTTTATAGGCCTTTATAATCGTACGTAACATAACGTCTGTGATTACAGACTCTAAAAAGTCCTATTGATGGAAATAAAACACCGTACCTTGTGCTGTTTACAATGTGTGTCGGGCCGGAGCTTGGAAAATATTCATCAGTTCATGGAGGATGAGTTTATGCGTGTGCACTGAATTGAACTAAACTGCGCACATACGGCATGCACAAACCTTCGCTGGTCCCATACGCGAAATTTCGCGCAGGGGCAGGGGCTAGGACGCAGCCTCGACTCCAGGGGCGCGTGCTCGTTCGCGCAAGGCATGATGGGAAACAACATGGCGCTGCATGATCGTACCCACAGGGCACGAGGTTGCGCAGGACGTACTCTGGTGGTAAAAAGCAGGGGACAGCGAAGAACAAACCATAACGTAAATGTCGGCATACCATTTCAAACACGGCCACGCGCGTGCACGTACGTGTCTCACTTGGACTACGCAATGCAATGGCCGGCGGACAGCTAGGCACGAGGCAGGCCGCGCTTACGTTACGTACATGCTATGATTAAAATTTATAAGCGCGCGAACTATTTTAGCCTTCGGTACGTGAGCACGTACGTGTCACGTACGTCGGACTACACATACACTGTACGTACGTACATACTCGTGTAGTTTCGTTTTTAAAATTTTTTTGTTTACCTTGGTTGTCCGCGTATCCTGCGGCCATTATAACCCGCGCATAAAGTCTTAGGAGGTGCGAGAAAATTGCCAAGCCTTTTGAACGATGTTCTTCCTCGAACTCAAAACGCGCGGCCCGTCGGATCACCGCCCGCTTTTCACCGATCATGCATAGTATACATTTTAAAATATTTGCCGGGGGGGGGGGGGCCTGCTGGATCCGCCAATGCTTACATTCCACTACCCAAAATATAATCTAACTGCGCATGTCTTGAACAGTATACTTCTGTAATTTAATTAGGAGCATCATTAATTTTGATTTTACAGTGATTATGAAGCGATTAAAGTGCTGTAAATGATTCTTAGTAAGGCATAGGCTATATCGAGCCGAAGTCGGAGCCGGGGATTCGTAATCCCCCTTAGTCTCACTCACCTCACACGAGAAGCGTGACAGCATGCAGGACCAAGGCCGCCCACGCGTCCACGCGGATGTCTCGCCGCATCACTCGCCACGCACTGTCACGGAAAAAGAAACAGCACATCCGTTTCACGGGTGATGACAAGCGTGAAAAGTGTCGAACGTGGATATCCCTAAACGGTAAACACAAATACGCCATTTACACCAATACCCAGATATGAGTCATATAACGATCAATATCATATCGTGACTGATTTATGACAGGCTTCGCGCGGTCTTAAGTTAACTGGCTTCTAACCAAGACGAAATAAAAACTAACGGGCGAATTTTTGCCGACAAAACAGTAACAGATACGTCTCATGTGTACGTTCTAGTTCACTGGCAGTTTACCCTTGTTCACCGACGAGAGACGTGCGCTTGAAATCGTCCGTGGGGGTTGAAAGATGAACCCTGCTATCGGCTCCGGTTCCCACTCGAGCGTCGAGCGAAATATAAACATGGAAATATCATTTTCGGATTCCGGCGGTATATTTTTACGTGGGTGTTCGGGGATAGACTTGATTTCAAGTCGTCGAACGGTCACGTCAAACGCCGGCCGATATAGTGTACATAGGCGCATCACAAAAGAATTATACAAGAGAAATAACAAGATCCCTTGGATTACATGTTGCCGTTACCAGAAGACGTCTGAGATTGACAGGCCATCTCCCGGGACTGCCCGAGGAAGCACCCATGCACCTACCAAGCAAGCGCTTCTAGAGCAGGCTGCCAAGAGGTGGACAACGAACCACGTGGATGAAAAGAGTAAACAGGGACATGATAACCATGGGGGTCAACATTAAAGATCAACACACCTGGCACGTGGCCCGGCATCAGACAGGGAGCAATGGAGGACACTTTAATAGTGCGCAATGTCAGATCTACTTCACGCAAGCGCCTAGATGACAGTTGCATTTGCAATGATTTTATTCTTAAATAATATACAGTTATGTTACTAGTACTACATGTACATGTATATCGTTGCATTAAATCGCCTCCGCACCGTACGGCCGCAGCCAGCCATCGAATGAAACCCGACCACAGCAATACCGACTTGAAATCAAGTCTAGTCTATTCGAGTTGCACAGTGCATGTGGCGCTGCTCCAATTCGGTCAAGGAGTTGTGTCTGGGATACGTATTGTCTCTAAATTCAATGTGGCGTGTCCTCCAGCGGAATGTGGCGCGAGGTCATGAGAGTTAGAGCTGGAGTTTTCGCTAAGCATGCTAAGCCTCGGCTTCGTTGAGGCTTCAAGGTGCCGACCAGTTAATAGGCCCAAACTTACCTATATAGGCTATACGGCGGGGAAATCAAGATTTGTAGAACTGTCAGTGTCAATTTTTCTCTCTTAATAAATGTTATATTTTTGTGGCCCCTACAAGTAGGCTTACTTGACAGTTTGTAGAACTAGTGTCCAAGTCGTTACCCCTGCATGCAGACAATTTGAACAGAAAGAGAAACGGTAAATCAAGTTTTAATTTGATGTCTGGATCACTCATAGAGTCATAGAGTTCCGGCTATTTTCCCGATTTGTTTTTTTTAACATGGGGGGGGGGGGGGATTTATCAATGTAGTTCCTATATGGGATTTTATTGACTGTTCTGCAGCCTATCAGCTACCTTCAGCAGACTACGACGGTCCCTCAATATGAGGCAGGTCCATGCTGCGGTCGGGGAACACAAAAACATTTGAGGAAATTGTCCATTCCAAAATGATTGAGGAGTGAGAGAAGATGAAGCTGGAGCGGTGCCGAGGTTTGGCAAACATCAAAATGGGACAGAGTTAAAAACACGACACTGACTGTGTAAACCTGTCTTGTGCATGTGCTCATCGTCAACACGAGCCAGACGCGCCTTAATGACCATCTCAGACTGCTTGGTTATTTCCTGATAATGTCAAATATGATATACTCAGCCACATGGCTGTGCCGCGTGTACTTATTCCAAAAGGGCAGAGGAGGGCGGGGTGCAGCTAATAATGAAGAGGGACAAGTTACTTGATTTAGGGACTCGGTTAAAAAAAAACCCAGCAAAGAGCTAGAGGTGTACGTAGGTGCTCATTCGTTTGAAATGTTGTTACAGTTTTTCTGTGTTTAACTGGACTTCAAAATTCAAAAGGTATACTTTTCCATCTTATGAATTCCATCTTATGAAGGTATACTTTTCACGGGAAAAAACTCGTTTGGTGCAAAATAGATCTCATTTGCTAGCGCAAAATAACGTGCAGGTCCCCAAGTATTATAGGTAGTCTGATGATCAGACGTTGTGTGGAGAGCCACACGACGAACGTGATGGGCCGTGCATATAGATTTTATGCGACCCCGCGCGCCAGCCAATCGGAGCCGCCTTTAGAAGTTGTGACGTCATTTAGAGCGCAAACTCAGCCGAAATAGCTGTTGATAGCTGCCATGCTTTTGTAATACAACACCGGGTTAACGAAGACCCGATAGAAGGCGCACGCTGAATGGTTAGAATCTGGAGGTCAAGAGCAGTGTTGTTTTGAGTAATCTGCACGCATATCCATTGACGGAAAATAATTATAGGCCCATGGTCTACGAATACAACGATATTAAATATCTCGAAATGACCGTAATGTCGCGCGCGTAAACATTTTGGTACACGTTCACGACGGTCATTTTTTCTTGGCGATATCTAAATTTGTCAAGCCGATAATGAAAAAATTGTTGAGGAGACAGAGTTTTAATGCTGCCTATAAACGACTGAATGTTGTCACTTTATCGATCACTATACTTACCTTTTTAGTCGGAGACAACGTGCGAACTTTCGATGTTTTGCAGCGCAGGCAGCTGTAGTAGGTCTAATGCATCCACGTGATTTTACATCCACCCAACTTTTCATGTTTTGATACCACGGCGCGAGGCATTTTGATTCCTTTAAAATGACAGTGTTTCGACCCCGGAACACACACGGCAGTGCGCTATTTGAACGTTCCAGATGGTAACATTTAAACCACGTGGTTTTCATTTAAGGCTGAACATTTTAAACATTCCAAACTTGCAAGAATGTAATCAGACCATATACAGCCTACGTGAGCTCAATGGTTTTCATACTTCAGACACGGCATGCGCGCGTGTAATTACGAGACTAAGTCTGTGAATGGCACGTAGGGGGGGGGGGGGGGTGTCTTAATTCGGCTATGCCCAACCCACATGCCCCCTGCATCCAGCATTGGTACAGCATTCGTCAAGGGTAAAACCAGCCTGGAATTAAAGACCACACTATTGAAAATTCATAATTGATGCAATATGGTGCCGTTAATATAATTAAAAAAAATGAAATTCCTTTTTACACCACAAACTGGGTAATATCAAAGATTGGTTTTCTAATGACTATTAAAATTCCCATTATGTGAACAAAATAGAACTACTTTGGCGCTTTGTAGTTCAGCGGAGATTTATGACCCTGTCAGCTATATTTTTTTCTTTCGCATCGGTTTCCGGTTGATTTGGTTCCGTGTCATAAATTAAGCGGGGTTTTATTGCCACAATTTATTCTCTGATGAAGAAAATGTATGCCCTGTTAATAATCCCACGTGGATTGGTGCTGCCAATGCAAGAATGACGTGTGGCACACACCTGGGTTGTTGTCATATTTTTTGAGAAATATTTTAACGAGCGGATGCTGCTAAGTTACGGTCCGTTTTTACCGGGGCAGAAGGTCAGGACTCGCCGGGGGTGTGGCCCGGCTGCAGCACCCGGGCACTGGCTAGGTGAGAACATGCTGGGTAAATCAATCCACCGTCCGGACCAGAATACTCGGCTAGTAGGACGCCGTTTGGGTACCCACCAGGTGGACGTGCCACAACCTCAAGGGGGAAAGAGTCTCTGCTTCTGGTGTTTGCGTTCGTGGTATTTTTGTGATGATTGTGACAAACATCGACTGACATTTTCTTTTAAAGAATTTAACCAGGTTTTACAAAATATCACGCAACGCTATATTTTGCAGGTGTGATAATCGCAGGGTAGTTGTCGATTCTATCCGTAGTTTCAAAGGAAAGAATGTAGTACCACGACGCCACTTTGTTAGCCAAATTAAAGAGTCTAAAGGCTCGACATTGTTTGTGGGTGGGGTGGGTGGGTTTCAGCATATTTCCAATGATTGTCTATCATTGAAGTTCATGGTGGAAAAAGTGGCGTTACAGAGGAATCTCGATAAGTCAAACCTCAGGGGAATTGACTCAAATTTTGAGTTAAGCAGAGTTTTTGAGTTATCCAGTGGATTTTCTATTCAACAACAATTGACAGGAATAAGTTTTCACTTCGAGTTAGAAAGAATTTTGAGTTAACAGGTTATATCGAGATTTCACTGTATATAGATAGGCCTACTGCATTATACTTGTTTTGAACGAGTAATCAAATTCTTCTAAAATTTAACCAATCTAAATGGTACGCGTTTCCCGCGCTCCAAAGACCAAGGTGACAGACTTCGACACGAATTAAGTGACAACACATCACAATGCTTTGATTCGATGACCAACACGACATTAATATAGTTGTGACGGAATCGATCGTAATTTGTACGTTATTCTGAAACGATGTAGGCCTAATACTCCCTAGGGGGTGTGCAAAATCATATTGAAATTGGAGGATTCAGGACCGTTAGGGTTAAGGCCCATCATCAGGGCCGGGCCGATCTATCCGACACCCTTCAAATTGGTCAATGGTCGAAAATAAAAGAGTGGCCTTCGGAAACATTGTTCAGAGAGTACTAGTGTTCAGCTGGGAAGTACGCGAAGAATGCCACGAGGACGCGAAATATTTCCTTGGAAATACCATTGTAATTGAACGTACAACGGAGCCGATAGCCACACAACTAGTGCACTTATCAACATAATACCCTCATTAACGAAAGGCCTACAAACCACATGCTAACACAGTTAGACAAAACAAATAAAAAAATGTTCATTGAAAATTGTATTTAAAATTGTACGATCGACCGGGTCAAAGAACAGGACTCCGTTTACGGAAAACTATATAGTGAAATTTACAGTGAAATCTCGATAAGTCAAACCTCAAGGGAGCAGGTATTTCGACTTGAGCAAAGTTTTGAGTTGAGCAGGGTTACATTGCTATACTACTACTAAAGGGAATGGATTCTTTGTTTGACTTAACAGTTGTTTTGAGTTATCAGAGTTTGACTTATCGAGATTTCAATGAATGCGGTACTTGAAAGCATAAACTAGGCCTAACTGTGAAATTGCTTTCGAAAATACTGGCGATGATGAGTAAATAAAAGATACCTTTTTGGGACTGGAGTAACAGAGCTTGCGACACCGTAACGGTGTCTTTATCAACTGGCGTTGTTGACACTGTGACGGTGTCGCAAGCTCCTGATACGAGCTCTGTAAATGAAGTCCCCAAAAGGTATATTTTATTTACTTGGTATAATAATGGGACTGAAAACAAACTTTTATGCTCGACTGGTGATGATGTTTGTCAACAACATTCTCATCATCGGTTATCTCCGACCCAACATTTCTAAACAAAGATGGGATCGGTATATCGCATGGTACAACTGCTAACCTCATTCTGTTTTTTTAGGAAGATTAACAACTCACCTGTCCCATGCAGTGTGTGACTGTTGTGATCGTTCCTCAGTCATCAAACGGCAGCTGTAGGTGCCAACTTGATCATATCACTGCTATGTAGAGTGCACATTGTGCTAGATAAAACATTTCAGCTATTCGATTGCTTACACGCTCCAATGCAAGATCCATTTCCTGTAGTTTTCGTTTGTAATGTGGCCAGTTTGTCTGGGCGCCTCAATCAGCTATAATACCCCGGGTGCACACATCGGCGTTTGTTGAGCAATCAACCGCGGTCAAAACCCAACCTGCCCCGGGGAGTTTCCGGCTGGTTCGCCTGTACACAAAAGCGGACACCCGTCGCTCCCCCCGCCACCCGCCAGCGCAACAAGTGGGTCGCAACACGAATAACAAAATCTAATTTTACACGGTGAATAAAGCTGCTACAATATAAATTAAATTGTTTGACGGTTTTACACAAACACACGCACACATCTGTATTGTCACAGAGGGGCCCACATGCAGCACGCGCATTGTATGCAGGGTTTGATCAGCTGTGCATGACCAAACAATAAACATTGTACTGCCATTGATCTGAATTACTACTTGCAACATTAGGAAACCAGACATTGAACATATATGTACAACAGAAATAAGATTGCATACATTAAAGACAGGGTACCCATTCCTATGTGCTCCGTGCGCCAACAAAAGAGGGCGCATATGACCGTACCCTTGAAGATACAACAGAAATAAGATTCAAGTTGTAATCCTTTCATTTCCGTAAGATTTTGAGGCGTACTAATGAAAGGCAGTGTATCCATTCCTATGGGCTCCGTGCGCCAACAAGGAGGGCGCGTTAGTTGACGCGACACAGCGTGCCGTACTTTGTACTGTACTGGTTCGCGCGCGAAGTACACACGACGACTTCCTGAATGTGCCTCAACTATTAGCCACAGCGTATATTCGCGCTGGTCTCCCAGACTAACCCCCGCCCCCAACAACTTTGGATCATTCGAAATACGCAGTGGATGGACCGGGAACCAGTCTAGGAGTCTCCCCCAACTCTCCTTGATTTTCTGGCCATTGAAGGAGTATACTAATTGTGCACGAAGCCCATTGGTCGAGAGCCCGTCACGTGGCCGATCTTAAACGGTTGATACAGTTAAAACACCGGCTGGCTGGTTTTAAACACTTTCAAGTGTCACAATAAATTTGTACTATGAAATCTGGTCCCTTTCACCCTTTTATTGGTTGAACGCATTGATCTCCATTGCATAATAAGATAAAGAATTTAAGGTCTCTGAAACATCACACTTGCAAAACTTGATTTGTTACTTCAGGTCGTCGTGATATCTTTATAGGCCGACTGAAACAAGTCAGGGAAAAGTATTGGACTTTTCCTCCGCCGGGTTTCAGTCTAAACCTATACAACAACAGGACAATAAATTAAGCAACCTATATCAGGGGCTGATTAAGTGTTCCGTAGGCCCTAGGCATCAGTGTTTCGTAGGCCCTCCAATTTCATAGCGCTGGTAAGCGCTGGACCCTCACATGTGTTGTTGATGCTAAGCTAAGCTAAGCAAGCCAGGCCAGTTAGCTCTAAAAGCCTGTTGGCACCGCGTGCTTTTCAGACCGACAAACTTAACAGGTAAATTCAATAATTATGTGCATGTAGATGAAGCTACGTCCGCGTCTGTTGGTGAAATCGAAAATTTTGAGAGCAAATTTTAAAAAACATTTGTTGTGTGTATACACATGTTTATGGTGTAATCGAGGACACGCAAGTACACACGTACACATCCTTGTGTAATTGAGAACAGAAGTCAAATCGAGGTCGTCCTCGATTAGAAAAAGTGTACAGAACCAATTGGAGATGTTGATCGATGATGAGGAACAATAGAAAATCCTCGATTAACACAATAAGCAGGCCATCAAGTGCACGCACTGTTGTGCTTTATGGCAGACTGCAGTATTTTCGTAGGCCCTCAAAAATTTTCGTAGGCCGTGGATTTTTCGTAGGCCGTGGATTTTTTGAAGGTCGTGGATTTTTCGTAGGTCCAAGGCACAGTGCCTACTGTGCCTATTAGATAATCCGGGCATGACATATATAGCGTTGAAATAACGTGACATTATATCTGTAACTTGAAAATAGAGTTTTTGGAACAGTTTTGTTTATAAATGTGTGCGTAGAAAAATAAGTTTTATTTTAATTTTATAAAAAAAAGATGTTTTGAAAGTGGCTTTTATATCATTCATTTTGCATCCCACATCAGCCACAAACTTTTTGAGGTAAAATGGAGTTGTGCATAGTGATAAATTGCGCCAAATATTCATATATACATAAGTATAATATGCACAGGATGGCCTACAAGTCCAGTATGGATTTGCATATGATGAATTGGAATCGTCTCATAAGGACCACACTCACTACTTCAGACAGGTAGTTTCCAAATAAACTACCGGTCCTTATTTCGCATTACTTTTTACAGAATACATTTCAATTTCATATGCGGGGTTGGAGATCCCCACGCTTCGGGTTTCCACTATCGGTACAGCGGGGTCAACCTTGGCTTCATCAGCCGAGTTGTTCTCGGTGTTCTCGCTCGCTTTTCGACAGCATCGCGTGGCAAACTTTCTCTTGATGGGGATCAGCACCGTGCACAGAGTCGACAAGCCAAAACTGGCAACTACTGCAAACAGACTTAGGGTGTAGCTGCCGGTCTGGTCGTAGAATACACCTGCAGAGCAAAGTGAAATTGTCACAAGACGTCTTCAGTGAAAACCACAACTCCGGCAATTACAACCACGATGGCCAAGTAAATGTACACTTACGATGAATATTTTGGGGGACTTATATATCTTTATCATGCTGCCACCATTTCAGTCATGTTCCCTGTATCCAATTAACAGTACTGAATGTTTTTTTGTGCCAAAAAGGAACCAGAATATTTTTCCTTCCAGCCTCGCTTTTGGTTACGTTGATTTGAATGGGAAAAAAAACACGATGGCCCCAACATGATAATGGTCTATTGGGAGGGAACAAGCCGTTTCAGAACCTTCGGTTAGGCTGGTGCGCAACAATTCACTGTCCTTGAAAAGCCCAAAGAAACTATATGCTTCAGTTTGTTTCAGATTGATCGTCATTTTTTGTTTAATGCAATCCCAAACAGCAGGGTGACCGTAAGGTCATGGCCAAATTCTGCTAAATGGACTTCAAAAATCCGTCAGAATGATCAAAAATCTGCCAAATTCCCAAGAAGTACTCGAAATACACTATTAACACTTAAAATCACATGCAGATGTTGTAGTATTGCCTTAACTAAGGTTCAAATTAATTATAAACAATCTATAGTCACATAAAGATGTTATGAAATTGCGTAGATTTTTTAAAACACTGTTGCGTCACGATAAAGTCCGGTTCCCAATGAACCTCGGCACCTAAACCAGCCAAGCTGTCCCATTATGCAAGGGTTTGTTTGAAAAAATTCAAGCTTTTTTAAACAAATGTACACATTTTTTTCAAATTTGCTATGTTTTTCTGTCAAATAACCATTTTTGCAGAATTCTGCCAGAAATCTGCCAAAAAAATCCATTCTGTCAAATTTTCTGTTAAACTCGTTTTATAACAAAAAAAGCTGTCAAAGTTAGCCGAAAATCGGCTAAAACGGTCACCATGCCAAACAGCTTCACCTGTTATCGGGGATCCTATCAGAACACCTGTTCCGAACCCGAGCAGACATATTGCAGCGACAGCACCAGGGCCGTACATCTTGAACAGCTCCAGTGCAGCCGCCATGGCAACACCGAAGATGGTTCCACGGCAGTAACCCCAAACTGAGCAAAGACAAAATCGGAATAAGTCAGATGAATTTACTGATGACATTGCACTGATGTTTAAACCTTGGGGGAAGAATTCAGAAAAAAACTGCTTGAATTTGTTCGAGAGAAAAAAAAGGTGGTAGCCTTGAATAAAAGCTCCAACTCTTTAAAGACATTATGGTAAAGCCAACAAATTCTTGTGTAGTTATTTTAATAATTCATCCTTAATTTAAATTATCTTACCAATTGACATGACGATTATGCTCCAGAAAGTTGAGCATAATGTCAGAAACCCCGAGACCATGGCCGCGACGATCAAGGCAACCACTGATACGTAGAGCTTCAAAAAAGGTAGACGATCTCCAATAATAGCAATGACAATCTTCCCGCTGACCTCTGCAGCTCCAGACACAGTCAGAGCCAGGGATATATTTTCTGTGGACAACTCGAGACCCTCCAAAAAGCTCGTCTTAAATGTTGAAAAAAGAAGATAATATACACAATTGTTCATGACATTATGGGTTTCTTTTGATTAAAATTCAAAGAGATAATGTACAAATGTTTCAAACAGGTTTTCTCAAATCAAATTTATTGGCGCTGTCCCAGCTTCAAGAAATAAGCCCCAACGTGGTACATAATATTTCAAGTAAGAACTTACATAGTTGATGATGACAAAGGACCAGCCAAGCTGTGCCATGGTGATGGCCGAAACCCATAGCCAGACCTCGACATTCAGTACCATCTCGCAGAAGAATTTCATCCTACTACGTTTTTTTCGGTCCGGATCTTCAGAATCCAGACCACCACACGTTTTGAGATCCGTAACCCCTTGTCTTGGGTCCTCATGAGATTCGCCAGATTGCTCTGCTTTATCTCTTGGAGGGGTCTCCACCTTTACGTCGGTTTCGTCTGCTTGCTGACCCTTCCTTTTCTCAGGGGGCTTCAAGAAAGGAAGGGCTGTCAGCAGACCGAGGGTAAGCATTATACCGCTGAGGATTCTGAAACAATTTCTCCAACCGTAAGATGCCGTGAGTGTATTAAGTAAAGGTCCAAAAACCATTACTCCTATTGAGGAAAAGAAAAATACCAAAAGTTTTAGCAATTCCCTCAGGTGTTGATGGATGAATGTGTTGGAGACATTGACAGAAAGTTTTGAGCTGATCGATACTATCAAATATTTAGTGCTGTATTTTGTTCTTATTGTTCGCAGCTGCTTTTGCCACTGCTGCGGCTGTTGCTCGCTGCTGCTTCTGAAGCTGCCGCTGCCGCCGCTGGGCCTGTTGCACTGTTTCTGCCGCACTAATTCTGCCGTGGCAGAGTGGTGATGTTGGTTCTGCTTTTGCTGTTGCTACCGCGGCTGTTGCTCGCTGCTGCTTCTGTAGCTGCTGTTGCCGCTGCTGCCACTGCTGTGCCTGTTGCACGGTTCTGCTTTTGATGTCGCAGCATTGACATTATCTAATAATTATTGCTGTATTTTGTTCTTATTGTTCGCACCAGCTTTTGCTGTTGCTGCCGCGGCTGTTGCTTGCTGCTGCTTCTGTAGCTGCTGCTGTTGCTGCTGCTGGCGCTGTTCCTGTTGCACTGTTTCTGCCGCACTGATTCTGCCATGGCAGAGTGGTGATGTTGAATTTTCTTTTGCTGTTGCTGCCACGGCTGTTGCTCCCTGCCACGGCTGTTGCTCGCTGCTGCTTCACATGTAGCTGCTGCTGCCGCTGCTGCTGGAGCTGTTCCTGTTGCACTGTTTCTGCCGCACTGATTCTGCCGTGACAGAGTGGTGATGTTGGTTCTGCTTTTGCTGTTGCTGCCACGGCTATTGCTCGCTGCTGCTTCTGCAGCTGCTGCTGTGGCTGCTGCCACCGCTGTTCCTGTTGCACTGTTTCTGCTGCACTGATTCTGCTGTGGCAGAGTGGTGATATTGGTTCTGTTTTTGCTGTCGCAGCTGCTGCCGTTTCTGCTTCTGTCTTTACAGCTGTGCTGTCTTTGCTGCTGCTGACCACTGTTGCTATTGCCTCTGCTGCCGCTTTTGCTGCTGTTCCTGATTCTGCTGCTGCAGCTGCTGTTGCAATTTATGAATACTTACCAACTGAGGTGCCTGTACTTGCGGCCGCAGTTGATCGACAGGCATTGCTCTGACCTATGAACCACTCCAGCAGCAGGTTCACAGACCCACAGTTCATGAAACCCGCACCGATCCCTGCCATTAAGCTGAATGTCAGGTATCCCTGAGCTAGCGAGGATATGAAGGAAGTAGCCAAGTAGCCGGCCGCCGTGAGAATAGTCCCAAGGAAGACCACACGTGCAGTGCCGATCTTCCAAGCGATGACTGCCACGAGTGGAGAGATGCAACACAGCAAGGCTGAACCCAAAGAGCCCACCCATCCTGATTGGAGTAAAACAAGCCAATTTGAATTGGGTAAGTTTGTATTAAGGAATTGAGAGATGCAGCAGTGAATCCTGCTGGTTATGCAAGGGAGGGGGAGGGCAAAATTAAGACTTTACTGTATACGTCCAAAATCGGCCTACTGTTGTTTTTTGTTTTGTGATGCCATCAAAATGCCACCAGGAGGCGGATGATCTATAGTCTAGTGCAATTAAGTAAATTTTTGGCAGGTTGCTCCGTTTTTGCTCGATGAAAATAGTGGAGTGCCCATGCACTTATGCAAAACAAGAGAACAATTCAAAATACACTGGCAATGAAAACTTTATTGGATGGATCAAGTTTGGTCAGAATTTTGTTGCGTTTTCTTTTCTTCTGTACATAGGTGACTCTTGCTACTGTGTCAGTCCGAGAAAAGGTCCCCTTTTTGTCCCATACGTAACACATCATCATCGATTGACTACACCTTGCACTTGCGTTGTCGGCACGATGACGGCCCACATGTCCCGTTCAGAACAGTGTCTTGAGTTCACCAGTAGTCACTTATTTGCTGCTGTCCTCCACAAGGGTCTTGACCATGGATTTAGAAGATGCCACCAGTTCATCCTCCGTGGTTCAGTTCCCAGATGATGATTTGGCGGGCGGGCAACTCTGGGTGTCGCAGACAGTGCCTGATGAGTTGCATCCGTCTTCCTGTTATCTTGTTGGTCAACTATTGGAGGTCGCCATAGAGTTGCTCATTGGTCACTTTCTTCATTCCGCTGAGGATCCGGGTGTGGCAGCCATCAAGGGAAGTGGGCTTCTAGTGCCTTGATGTCCTTTCCCGAGGCCGCAATTCATGGCAACCTAATGGCGACCTTGGAACTTCATGTATCTTATATAATAATCCATGTCAAGTAAGTGCTCATTAGTATAGCTTTCCTACGAGTTATTATTTTGTTTTCATTGAGGAAAGCGTACACTTGCTTAATACATAATATTATTCTCATTAAGGTGGCTTACCTGTTAGGACGGCACTGCTCTGGAACTCAGTCTGTAGTGGCACAAGGAACACACTATAGCTGTACAAAGGCCCCACTGCTATGAGGACTTGCATGAATACGGCACAAACTATCAGAAGCCTCCATCTGGTTTGAGACAACATCTAGGAACTGTTGCCCTGTACGTAGAAGACTGTGCTCAAGTTTTCAGTGACCGTTGGTGAATGTGTTCCTATGCTTTGGATGGTTGGGACACAGAACATTCCTATGGTTGGTCCAGCTGGGATTAGCCTTGCAGGACAGGTCAGACTGCTCACTGTCAGTGCGTTGTCCAGGCATACACACAACACAAGGTTATCTTGCAAACCTTATGGTGTTATTTGACCGTGAAAAACTGCATGGACAAACTACTGACCTTGTTCATGCAGTGTGTGCCATTTAGTATAGCACTGTAACTGGTACAAACAGATCGAACCGAGACCAGTCTTAAAAAAGATTGCATTTCTGCTGGGCAAACTTGCCCGCTGGACCGTATCATCCAGAATGGACAATTCAATAATACCCAACAGGATACCTATATGGCAATATATGGCCTTATATATGTAAAGTTGTTACTGATGCATGGACTAACCATTGTAATTATCACGCCACTGATTCATACGAAAGATTGATGCTTGGCCTCCTATAACACTGCAAGGATATATCATCAATAGGGACAGCTACCATGCCATCTGAAAGTGCAATTCCTCTGGTTATTTTTTAGCTGGTCCCGATTTCTCACGGGAATAGCTATTGTTTTTGTTAACATTTTTTTTTTAGCTTAGCTGTACCCAATTTTAATTGGGAACAGGTTTTGTTTTTGTTCAGATTTGTGTGCGTTGTTTTTGTTCTTTTCATTAGCCACTGTGAAGTTCAGGACACTGTTTTCATGCATGAACACAATTTACTTTTTTGCAAAAAAATAGATACTTTGTGGCCGAAAAGAGGATCCCACTTAAAAATAATACTTAAAAGCAAACCGGATCGTAATTGCAAATCCGAGATTTGAACTTGGGACCTTATGCCAAGCTAGAGTCTTTTCCACAAGACCAAGCGGTTTACGAGGCCGGGCGAGAAAAAAGAAGAAAGAAAAAAAAAAGACATGTACATAAAGCTATGGGGCAGAGTTTTCCGTGCAGATCTGAACCTTGGTGTAGTGTTTTCCATATCCTTGATGTAGTCTTTCATGCATATCTAAACCATTACACCCCTTCCCCTGTTCAAACCAGCTTACACAGTTTGCAATGCTCAGGAAAAAATATGCCAGTAAAGGCGTGGTTGGATTTTTTCTCTTGATTCAATTGTAGAACCCAATTCCATTCATGCTCAAAAGCTCGCATTTTTGTTAAGGAGCAGGAACGGATATTTGTTTTGAAATTTAATTTAAGAACCAAAAAGGTATAATGAAATATATAAACGTGTAAGTTTTAAATGAAGCATCAATTCAATTAAACAGAATATTTTTAAGTATGGACTCTGCGCACAAGTACCCCTTCAACGGCCAGAAAAGGAGAGTTGGGGGAGACCTAGACTGGTTTCCAGTCCATCCACTGCGTATTTCGAATGATCCAAAGATATTTGGGGTGGGGATTATTCTGGGAGACCATCATCAAGTTAAATGCTAATGTATTTGAATGTATTCGCGCGCCGACGACGCCTGACGTTCACGCATGAAGGATAAAAAGGCGTGCATACTTCGCGCGTAGTGCGCGTACCAGTACAGTGCGCACATGTGGTGTCCTGTCCAAGGGGCTCTCAAAAGTGGTAAAACATGCAGTCTTTTGTTGGCGCACGGAGCCCAAAATGAAAACTGCTCCTGTTTTCAGACCTCCCACAACTGCATGACATTGTAATTCCGTAGGCCAATTCCATGAATTATTTACTCTTTCGACCGACCTTTAGACCATCCACACGAAAAGATCTCTGTCAACATCACTGTCAGACATTACGAATGATAATGTATGAATATCTTAAATATCATTACTTAATCTATCCATCAAATAATGACACTGTCTGGTGTGTGCTCTTATTACAAAGTCCACAAAACGTGTTCAGATTGCAGGCTGGGCATGATGAGCAACTTTTGTAAAAAGTTTGTCTCTTATCTGTTTGATTGCTTGTACAAACATAAAAAACATTCCTTGTTGAATGCTGACAAAGTAGTCCTGTGATTTTACGTGATAAGGTGGCCAGAATCAGACCAAGACATGTAGTTTGATTCAGCTATCTCGGCCAAAAAGATTGAAAACAAAATAAAAACTGAAAAGTGACACAAGATGGTCAACAGAGGGTGCTACAAACGTGCCGAAGGGATTGCGGATTCTTAACTTTATTCCAGTGCTATTAAATTCTGGTTACACATATTTTTGTTATCTAAACACTACTTCTGACAGTAGCACTCACAAACAATTAACCATATTTATTTTAGGTTAAAAAAGGCCCTTAATCATTTCTATCAATTCCCTACAGCACGAATATTCACTGTCCTCAGCAAACCAAAGTTTGTACTTTACCCAACAGGCAGCTCAGTTTTTAAAAGGTAAAATTGTTGTTAGTAAAATTGCAGTGCAGTGTTTTTTTATGTGATGGGATTCAAATTCTCAATGTGAAGATCACATGCCCCTGATGTTACCAACAGACTCCCTTGCATGTTTCTAATGTTTAGAACTTCCCCCTGCAACTTCTCGAGAATCTTGTAATTCCGAGAGACTAGCCTACTGCAACTTGAACTATTCCAACATCTGGATCTTTTGTGTTAAATTTAAATGTGTTTCTCTTCACAGAAGTATTCATTTATGACATCTATTACAAACCAACATTAAATGAAAGTAAAATATGTAGGAGCAAGCTCAATCGGAAATATCTCGGAAGCTGCCGGCCAACAAATTCGTGTTCGTGCATGAGTCATGTGATTGTACCATGCAATTTCTGGAAGGAGTAGCGTTTTGATAAAAAAAAAAATCATCTTTTTGACCCAAGTGACCCCATGATGACCTTTGACCCCAGTTTGGTCATGTTCATGTTGGGGCTGGGCTACTAATACTGTTGACAAAGTTTGTGTTTAAAATCTGTTAACAAAATCTGTTGTGACAAAATCTGTTAAAAGATGTAAGAGCAATAGACAATGTCAACGTTTGCACTAAAAGCCCAGAGAGGCCACATAAAAATTATACTCGATCGTAACCCCATCTAATAACATGTTAAAATTGTGCAGCAGCAGGATTCCAGTCAAACCAGTGAGTTTGGTATTTGAGATATCGTGTTACCTTGAAAGACAATTTTAAAAAAATGTTGCCGACGCGCTTCGGCAATGCGTGCGCAGACCAGAAACCAGAGACCTTTTTTTTTGTTTTGCCTAAACATTATTACTACTAAAACTACAAACCCATTGCTCAATCCAACCATGCATATCCATGGACACATTTTGTTACTTGACTACTAATCAACATCTACCCAAGTGTAAGTCACTTAACAAATGGAGATCATAAATGGATTCTAGTCAGGTACCTGGGCTTGCTCTATGCAGCATACTAATTACGTGGAGCGCGGCATTCATACCGTCCTTCAGGAGCAGCGACGGTGACCTCCTTTGCACCCCTTGGAGTGCAGATCACTCCCTCGTCTTCCTTGACGACGCAGCTCATGTCAAACTTTGGACTGTGGTCGGCCAGGTAACTGCGGGTCAGGCCACGGACCCTCAGGGGTAACGGCGGATCCGGGATTGGCTCCTGCAAACAGAACACACGTTTTTTTCACCGGACACTTGGCCTCCGTAAAATCAAATAGTGGGGGGGTGGGGGGGGGGGGGGGGGGGGGGCCGCGTACCATCTTCCAAAATAGGGGGCTCTCTTCAAAACCATGCAAAACTATGCATAATCCCTGCATATTATCTGCCCATTTTCAGGGCGTACTGTAAGGGTTTTGTGGCTTGGTTTTCATATTCCCTGTTCATATCAGAACTCTTTGTACCATTTAGGGAAATGGTTACTGAAAACAAATTATCCAAAATTTTAGGGCCAGTTGTGTTTTCATCTCGAGGGGGCACATTTATGCTCGAGGGGCACTTGGCAATCCTTCAACAATGAAAGGGCGATCCAGCTTGAAGTCCTTTTAAGAAATCCAGCACAATAGAAGTTGCGATTTCATTTCATTACAAGTTGGTTAAATTACTACATGGTGAGTAAAACAAACAGCAATAATGCAAAGGAGCAATCTTTTTTTTCAAAACCAAGTTGAAGTTTGAACTTTTGAAACCTTGTAAGAATGACATATTTGTTAGTAAACTCGTGTTAAAAAAATAATTAATTGCATTTACCGTTTGTCTTTTGCGAACCTTTACACTGCAGTACCAGATTTAAGTTTTTGTCCACAAGGCATCAAAATTTTTTTACGGAAATGGTACAATAAAGACATTATAGACAACACAGATTTAAAACTGACTGAACCTTAGCTGAAGCTTTATTTTTTCTGTTTCACTTCTTTTTGCTTATGCTAAGTTTCTCTGGGCTATACTGTAGTGACTGTGTCCTGCATTGTTCACAAAATTGCAGCTCTGCCCTCTACTTGGCAACCCTGCAAGGCAATGCATGTCTCAGCTCTAGACCTCATGGAAAGAACGGCTCTGGGGGACACACTTTGTGCTCTTTAGCAATTTTGAGACGCCTCATGGACAAAAATGAAAATCGGGTACCGCAGTCAAAAGTTTCACAAAAGACAAACGGTAAATGCAATTAAGTTCATTTTTTCACACACAGTTAACTAATGAATATGTTATTCTTACAAGGTTTTAAAAATTCAAAACATCAACTTAGTTTTGAAAATAAGATGGCTCCTTTGCATTAGGCCAAAAAAAAAAAAATATTCGGTCTCTGCTCAGACCAAAGTTCCGGAATTGACGCGGCCACGCAGCTTTTTTTTTTTTTTTCCTTCCAGCTTGGATTGTACAGACAAGGTGGGTACTATTTTGCTTTTTTGGTGTCCTCATGTACATTGGTGTCCTCCATAATTTGCCTTGGTGCTTTCGATCATTTGCCTTGGTGCAATTTCCCATTCCTTGGTGCTCTTTGGTAAAAAAAATTGAGGTGCGGAAATAGAGGGCGCTGTTGGAGCTACCGCGGAACATTTTGGATAAAAAAAGATCGACGCGCATGATTAAAATTGACGCACTCGCTGACCAGAGACCGACTTATTTTTTTTTTGGCCTTATTGGAATTTTTTTACTCGCCCCTGTAGCATTTTTAAAAAATTTGTTTAAACAGTTCAATCAGACATGCATTTGTACGGTCATAGACATGAGAACATTTTCCAACACGTAGTAAACCATGTTGACGTAAAACAAAAAGACTTTTTAGCACCTAGTGTCGAAAATTTGACAATTAAGAGATTTTGCTTGAACGCTACTTCAAATTTTTAAGCTCTGGCAGGAGCTTCTACAAGTCACTTGGTGGTCTGTCTGTCTGTCTGTCTGTCTGTCTGTCTGTCGTTAGTAGTTCTTTTTTTTTTTATTCGGCAAAGCACGCGCAAGTGTTGACATGACGCACACACGCGCGTGGTTGCTAGAATTCGTCTGTTCAGTGTGCGACATCGCATAGCTGCAATCGGCTCAGTGAGAACGTGTCTCGGATGCTGAATTCAGGCCCAATTCAAAACATGACTCAGCAAAATTCGATTTGAATTCGAGATCCTAGAATATCCTTTTCTTGGAATACATAGCATTCACTGAGCTGAAACTTCATCAGGTTAGTTGTTCAGCACCCTTCTTTAGATTTTGAGCACTTATGTTGCTTCAAACGAAGATAATGCACACATTACAAATGATGGATGTTACCTTTAAAGGGAATATACAACATTTGCAAACATCGAAAATAAAACTACCAAGTTTTTAAGAAATACCTTATTAGGATGTTGGTAAATGAGAGTCTAAAGCATCCTGTAAAATTATGGCACCTGGTGTGAAGTCATTTTCAAGAAAATGGTATTTTTGTATACATTTCCAACGGTGGTCGGCCGACCACCGTTGGAAAAAACCTAACTATATTTCAACGACTGCTCCAAATTTACCTTTTTTCAGTCCAAATTTTGTTTGCTATTCGTTACATGTTCGTGAACGGGTGCAGGCCAGCTAGACTAGTTCCCTTACCTTACAATTTTCTGGCAACTATAAATTGATCCATTTCATCTTTAGTGGAGTCAGGGAACCAGACTACTTGAACAATTTTTTTTTTTTTTGGTTTTTCCGGCATTTTCGAACATAAAACTTCAAACATGTCAGTGTAACAATATTTGATCTATTATACTAACCCCTCAAATACTCCATTTCTGAAAATTACAGCAAAAGCCAATGATGTACATTCCCTTTAAGGGACAATAAAATATCTAAACAATTTCTCACCTCCTGACACCCGGCACCATCGCTCCGGAGCATTTTTCCGTTCTGACAGAGACAGGTCCTTCCGTCCGTGTCCAAGTAGGTCATAGGAGGGCAAACGCAAGTGAAATTGCCAGACGGGCTGGCTGGGGATGGCAGGCAGTAATGGGAACAGCCGGGAAAGACATCACAGTAGTTGACGACATCTGAGGATGGGGAAGATTGGCACATCACATTTCGGAAAAATAACAAAAAAAAAATGATTAAATGATAAATTTTGAAGCTAGTCCAGGACCAGAAACCAGACACTATTTGTTTGGGCTTTAAGTGTCTGTATGCAGTTTTAGCCACTTCTGACAAGTTCTACTGTTGGTCTATCACGAAACCTCAATGCAAGGGCGCAACTCTGTTGGGCCAAAACTTTAATGCGGAAGTTACGCAGCATTTCAGGCTGCGCAACATTTCACTCATGACACATTACACGCAAGTCAGATAGTGCTTAAGTCCACGACTTTGGCAATAAATTATGGCGAAACTTGGACAATCATTTTAGGTGGCGTAGAGACTAAAAGTGACAAATTTTTCCAGCAAATCAGGACTGTCGTGGAGCCCGTTATTGCACAACTTAATATCACGGTTGCTACAAGGCACTCACAACTTTATGTTTGAAGTAATGAGTTTCCATTTTACCTGTAACATTATTTTTAGAGTTGCCGAATGATTCTTATAAAAGTCGGACAAAATGATTTTCAAAATGGCGGGCTGAGGTGATCCAACGAACAAATTTACACACAAACAGTTGTCGTAAATGCTTATCTCGTCCAAGATATTTAAATTATTTAAAACGTTGCGCAGCTATGCCAAGTTTCGTGAAATCGATCGCAAGTTTATTGTGCAGCTGTGCAACAAATTTGTTGTGTAACTTTTCATTTTGGGCGGGGCGCTGTGGTCCAATGGTTACGGTGTTTGACTCGTGTGCCGTTATACATGAGTTCGAATCCTGACCGTGGGAACATGGTGCTTGTGCTCTTGAGCAAGGCACTTTACCATTATTGCTTCGTCCTTCGGATGGGACGTAAAGCCGTAGGTCCCGTGTGTTGTGTAACACTTGTCGCTAAGAGAAGGGGTTTGCCCCGGTGTTTCTGGCAGTGGCAGCAATTATGTGCCGCAGCACCTAGCAAAAAAGGTGCTACATAATGGGTCTCATATGTTCACATACTTCATTTACCTGTCTTTGGTTGCATTCTCCCCAGCGCTTTGCATCCTCTGGCAAAAGGCGCTATATAAATACAGTTATTATTATTAACTCTTATGCATGGTGCAAGCTGCACAATTTTTTCGTGAAATCGGCTGCAGATATTCCAATCAATAAATGTTAGCATTGCTTACCATGAAACTCTTCTGGGAGCTGTCGGACCGGGGACATGAACATAGGTTGCTCTGGGAGATAAATTTCCTTTGTAATTTCCCCGGTGAACTTGTTAGCGGATGACAACCTATGCAACTGCCAGTCATTCCAATAAACTTGATCCTGTAGAAATATAAGGTCTTCAAAATTTGTTGCCAACATTTCAGCGAGCTGCTTACCGTAATTTTCGGAATATAAGCCGCGGCTTATACGTTGATTTTGCCCATAAAAATGTTTACTGCGGCTTATACACAGGGCGGCTTATACGCCGAGCCTTGAAGAATAAAAATGAAATTCACATGTGTATTTAATGTACTGGTATAAGAAGAGATGTGTTGCTGAAATGAATTATCAATTAAGAAAGTCATTAACGAACCGAAACCACGTGCCACGTAAAGGTGCCGAGCGGTAAGAAGTACGGTGAAAGCTGTCTTCGATCGACGCTTGCATGCAACAAGCCGTACGTGATTCTAGTGCTGCTGCATGCAGCATGCTTTCCCCAGCGGACCACACCATTTGAGGTAATATAGGGGTGAACTATCTTGGAAACAACATTTCCGCTGTTTAAAAAAAGAAAAAAGACGACTAATACTTTTTATGGTGTCCGAAACATTTCTTTATTCGATAATCAGTTGTTCAACGTCACAATATAATTTTTGTACTTGAAATGTATTCAAGAAACGATGTAAACCTCAAAACAGGGACTACATCACCCCTTACAAAATTAATGGATTCGTCCATGAAAATGGCAGCATCGTTTCGATTTCGACTATTTTCGAAGAAAGTTACGATCGAAACTTGAATACTGCTCGTTAGTAATCACAACAATTTGATAAGTTTTGAGATAAAAACAGACCTGTATATTTTTAGGACAAAACAAATCAGCATCTGTTGCCACAAAGCAAGATTTGTACGTAGCGCTCCAGTCAGACAACACACGCAATGGGGGAAAATCACGGGACCGGACGGGGCAGCCAGCAGCAATTCCCGGTGTTTATTTCTCATCATCAATTTCCACATTTGTTTGTGAGAGTATCGATTGTAAATGATTTGATACAACTGTTGTGGCCCTTTTTATAGCTTCTGTAGTGTAAATGGAACTGGTTCAGAGCATTTTGGCTAGAATTTGGAGGCCTTACAAAATTGAAACCGCTGCCGTCGGTGCGGCTTATACGCCGGTGCGGCTTATACGCCGACTTCAAATCTTAATTTGCAGATTTGAGTGCTGCAACTTATACGCCGCGCGGCTTATATTCCGAAAATTACGGTACATGCCCTTCGTCCCAACGTGAAAACGCTGACGACACGAAACGAAACAGTGAAAATCTTTGCAATTGTAATTTAAAGAGATTTTCTTTGGGTAATCTCGTACAACTTCAGAATGGAAAATCTGGTTCTTGAATTTCAAAATGTTGGAATTGCATGGTTTTGACAACAAGTTTAACGCAATATTTTTAATCTCTGTAACAACCTCATAGATGACGACACCAAAAGGATGTCTGATGACGTCAGGGTTGTCATGGATGAGAACGCGCCGTCCGTCCCCATCAAAGCCGACGTACTCCATGTGGTCAAGCTTACTGTCCACCCAGTAGACCCGTCGGGCCTCGTAGTCCAGCGCCAGACCGTTAGGCCAGACAATGTTGGTGTTGACCAGTTGGGTCGGCTGGGAGCCGTCCAGGCCAGCCTTGCCGATCATTGGGGTCTCTCCCCAGTCAGTCCAGTACATGAACCTGCCCCAAAGCCAAAAGTCCAAAAGCACTTAAGGATATGCCAGCAGTGATTATTCCAGGTGAAAATTCGAATTCAAACCAGTTGAAACCAGTTTAACTCTTTCAACTGGTTTCAACTGGTACAAGTTCAACTTGTTTTGAGCATGTTTGAACTGGTAAAAGTGGCTTTTGGACCAGTTCAACCAGTTCAAACCAGTCACCAATTCACAGCTGGACTGGAATTTTCTCTCTATCCAGTTGTTTAATGAATATCTGGTTCGTTAGTGTGACATCACCTCCAGCACTTTCTGCACGATTGGAACCGGAAGTTAACGCAGCTCGAGCGTTTGCAGCCAATGGGTGCTGGTAATCAGTGGAGCGCGCACGTGTATGACATTTTTACTAACGAAGCGGAAGGGCGATTCCCAATACAGTGCACCACCAAGAGGTTGCCAGGGAGAGTCCACTTTTGGCAGTGCATTGTGGGAGACGGTCGACAAATTCACCAGCGCGGGACTCTTAAAATAAAAATCAGTTCAAAAACAAAGGCTTACCCATCCTAAAGTATTCCATGCACAGAAATCTTACAAACGGAAGTGGATACTTTCCAAACAGTGGTTTCACTTTCAGCTTTGGCATAATCTTCCACACCAAAATAGGAGAACTTTGACGCACTTGAAACAAATGAACTCGCTCCAACTGCTTCACTTTTACAAGCAGAAAATTGGCCAGACGATGAGTCTGAATCCAAAAATCTGACCTAAAAATCACAGAAACCGCAGCCAATGAAAAAGCCGAGGACCCACCTTTCCTTAGGATCCACAGCGACACCTCTTGGAATGCCCAGTCCACTTAGTATGACAGTGGCAGGAAGCCTTCCATCAAACGGTACCGCTAAGATAGCTTGTCCGTCCGTACTGACAAAGTACAAGTTCTTGTATATCCAGTCGTATGCCATCCCTTCTAAGGACCCGGTACTCGAGGCCACGATGGTGCGGTTGAAGATTTCAAGGTCGCGCCCGAAAAAGCCATCACTGGTGTCATATCTGTCATGGATTGGGTCAAGAAATATTCACAAGTTTAAGGTTAGTGGAGTCCCCTAACGTGGCGCACTTTGATGTTTCCTTCGTCTTTTCTCCTGCGGTGTTGCCAAATGTCTTTGTTGACAAACTTCAAATTCCTGAATAATGTTGCTGTTGAACCTTTGTGAAAAATTTCAGTGTCGTGAAATTTAGTCCCAAATTCACAAACGGTGGCGTCCGCAAAATTTGACCAAATTTTGGCCGAATGTTCCCTATCGCGACATCTTACCACTTGACCACCGAGCTTACGGGATTGGTTGATTGGTTCGAATCTGATGTACATAGCAGCGGGTACCGCATTTAACTATTCATAAGATGGCATGTGCTGAGTATACAGTGTTTATACATCAACGCAAAAATTCCATCTTATGAATAGTTAAATTGCTATGTACATCACAATTGAACCAGCCAACCCATCCCGTGTTAAGCTTGGTGGTCGAGTGGTAAGATGTCTGTACTAGAAAGCAGGAGATCGGGATTTGGGCCCCACGCAAGTGATTTTTTTTCCAATTTTCACTCGGGAGGCAACACAGTGAGCATACATTGTTTATACATGAAGAGCAAAACCTAATATTGATTTACAAGCTTGTCAAAAAATTATTTAATTTGGGGTGCATTTTCGACGGGTGCATTGTGCACTTCAAATTAAAATTGGAAAATCATGCGAAAATGTACAAAAACTTTGTAGCGGGTGCATAAACTCAAGATTTGCGAACAGGAATTTCTGGTGTTTGATGAAATTTTACTTTCTGTTAAATGCAAGAGACATTTTGCACTGACAGGCAAACAAAAACTCTTACCTTTCAACGGTTCTCCTCATGGGATCACCTACGAACAAGTATTGGGACTCGAAATCAAAGACGACACTAACTACGTCCTCCCAATCCCCATCGCCTTCAATTTCACTAACTGTATCAAACAGTGTATCAACCGACATTAGCGCATCACGTTTTGCAATCAGCATCTGTAACAACAATGAATGAATTTCAATAAAATCTTTGGGAAAGCATTGAATATTTCAGGTGGAGTTTGACCCCTTAAACATTTATGCAATGAAAATGACATCCTAATCCCCCCCATTGTTGTCCTCCCCCAAATTTTTATCTAAAGGATTAACTCACAACAATCCAAATTTGCACCAAAAAATGCAATGACAAGAAGTGAGTTAAGATATTTGCCGAGTCTGAGATGTACACTTGGAAGAGGACCTTAATTTAGGGATTAAGATTTTGCTGAAGTAGCCAAGCCCAGCCTAACCCCAGTCAGGCTCAGCCCAGCTCAACTTGGCCTGACCCAGCCTGCTTGGTCCTGCCCTGCCCTGCCCAGTCCAGTTAGCCCATCCTAGCTCAGCCAAATCAAGTCAAGCCCCGGCCAGCCCTGCACAGTCCAGCCAAGATCAGCCCATCATAGCCCTACCCAGCCCTATCAAGCCCAGTCAAACCCAATCCATCCTAGCCCAGCCCTATCAAGCCCAGCACTATATGCAGCCCAACCCGGCCCAATCTAGCCCATCCCAACCCAGTCCTGTCGTCCAGTCCAGCCCAGCTCTATCAAGCCCAGCCCAACCCATCCTAGCCCAGCCCTATCAAGCCCAGCCCAACAAAGTCCAGTCCAGTCCAGCCCAACCCATCCTAGCCCAGCCCCATCAATCCCAGTCCAACCCATCGTAGCCCAGCCCTATCAAGCCCAGCCCAGCCCAACCCATTGTAGCACAGCCCTGTCAAGCCAACTCCAGCCCAACACATCCCAGCCCAGCCCTATTAAGCCCATCCCAGCCCAGCCAAGCCAAACCCATCATAGCACAGGCCTATCAAGCCCAGTCCAGCCCAACACATCCTAGCCCAGCCCTATCAAGCCCATCCCAGCCCAGCCAAGCCAAGCCAAACCCATCGTAAGACAGCCCTATCAAGCCCAGTCCAGCCCAGCCCAACCCATCCTAGCCCAGCTCTATCAAGCTCGGCCAGCCCATCCCATCCCAGCTCAACCCATCGTAGCCCAGCCCTATCAAACCTATCCCAACCCAGCCCAGTCCAGCCCAACCCATCCCAGCCAAGCCCAACCCATCGTAGCCCAGCCCTATCAAACCTATCCCAACCCAGCCCAGTCCAGCCCAACCCATCCCAGCCAAGCCCAACCCATCGTAGCCCAGCCCTATCAAACCCATCCCAACCCAGCCCAGTCCAGCCCAACCCATCCCAGCCAAGCCCAACCCATCGTAGCCCAGTCCTATCAAAGCCATCCCAACCCAGCCCAGTCCAGCCCAACTCATCGTAGCCCAGCCCAGACGATCCCAACCAAGTCCATCCCAGCCCAGCCCAGCCCAACCATATGTACATTACCCTAGGTCTTGTTGGGTAGGCCTTTGTACAGGTTCGTCCGTCAGGCTGAAGAACGTAGTAATATGAACAAACACACTGTGCTCTGCTCAACAAATTCACGCACTCCACCCCAGGGCAAGGGATGGGATCAGTTGCACTACACCAGTCGGGGGCTGATTCTGGGGATGAGGAACACAAGCAGCAGTATTGTAGTTGAGACAATCACAAATCCATCACAAGTCCAGTCACAAGTCCATCACAAGTGGAGTGCTGTGGCCTCGTGGTTAAGGGTACTGGATTCGTGGTCTGCGGGTAAAGCTGCAGGTTGTGGGTTCAAGCCCAACCTAAGGTCATGGTGCGTGTGCCCTTGGGCAAGGCACTTTGTCACTCATTGCTTCTCTCCACCCAGGAGTAAATGGGTACCTGTGAGGGCAGAGATGGTTATTGTGATTGAATAAGCTTGCTTGCGCCTAACAGGCAGCATCGAGCTGTATACTCCCCAGGGAGCTGAGATGGTATTTGGAATGTTTAATTGGCCCAATGATCAGGGGTAATAATAACACTGTTAGCGCTGTGATTTAGTTTACTAATAAGAGCGCTCTTAAATGCCCATTATTATTATGATGTCCAGGCGCAAGTAACATTGGATAATAATAAACAAAGAAATGCCTTTATCGAAGTTTATTTTGAATAGATTGCGAGTGAAATTGGGACTGGCTTGGATGACTCTTGATGGACTCGTGAGTACTTGCAACAACTTGTGATGGACTCGACTACAACATTAACAAGCAGCATATTACAAGATATCAAAGGTATATCAAGTATTTGTGATGTGGTATGTCCATATCAGGCACATTTGGGCAAGAAGTCAATTCTGAGTTATTGCAGTAAGGCCAAAAAAAAATTAAGTCGGTCTCTGGTCAGCACGCGCGTCGATTTTAATCATGCGCGTCGATCTTTTTTTCTCCAAAATGTTCCGCGGTAGCTCCAACAGCGCCCTCTATTTCCGCACCTCCTCAATTTTTTTTAGCAAAGAGCACCAAGGAATGGGAAATTGCACCAAGGCAAATGATCGAAAGCACCAAGGCAAATTATGGAGGACACCAATGTACATGAGAACACCAAAAAAGCAAAATAGTACCCCACCTTGTCTGTACAATCCAAGCTTGAAAAAAAAAAAAAAAAAAGAGAGAGAAAAAAAAAAAGCCGCGAGGCCGCGTCAATTCCGGAACTTTGGTCTGACCAGAGACCAAATGTTTTTTTTTTTGGCCTAATAGTAAAATATATACCTTGCTATTTAAAACGCCGCTTTGCGTTTTAAATTGGATACTCCAAAGCAAAATAAATACATTTAGAAATCAGACCGTCCAAAATGTCACGCTGAATTTACGTCATTTCAGAACAAAATCTTGAACAAAGTGTTACTTAGTGAAATGACATGCCTCTCTAAAAATGTTGTGACAAATACTTCGTCAATGAAATTTCAGTTTGAAAATTTTACAGAACATTGTTAACAAGTGTATCACAACAAATTGTCAAAAAAAAATCCCAAAATTGCACCCCCAAGGTCATTTTGCAGCTTTTTTTAAATTCATAGCTCTGCTCAATTCTGCCAAGTTTTGACATACTGCGTCACATTTCAAATTGTGATGGCATCCCACAAAATGAGTCTTAAGGACCTTTCACTTTCATCATGCATTTCTACAGAGAAAGGGCATATATTCAGTTCCTCATTTTGTTATATGACAGAGTTAACAATCGGATGATTGCGGTCATTGTGTAGGTAAAAATGCCAAAAAAATGTCTACAGTACGAAATTGGTACGAAAGAATCTGTAACTCAAAAGGGTCTTACAACTACTTTTTTTGAAAGTCTCCATTTGTTTATTTCACAAGTGATGTATCGTGTGCACAAAGTCCATAGACGATACGTCACTTCGTGGTGCACCTGACGATATACTAGGTATGGGCAAGTAGTGGATTTTTAAGCTCGAGCACTCGCAAAGAAATTACTCATGAGAAGACGAGTCAAGTACTCGCGAGTAGTTAACTGAAATCTCCCCCCAAAAAGCAGAAAAATGGCACATACGTTAGTATGATAGGAAGTATCTACTAGCAAATAACGTACAAGTCACACCACATTCTTCAGCACTGTACGATGTTTTGGGTTGTTTACTTGTGATTTTTTTTTTTGACGGAATGGAATCCTAGGGAGAGAGAGGTGGAGGGAGTAATTCCCTGTTTGCAGGGGACGTATTAAGCCGTGAATCCTATACCCTAAATTGCTACTCGCGAGTAACTGCTTCTACTCGCACAAGGACGAGTACTCAAGCAGATGAAAAAGCACAAGTAGAACAATGAGTAGCATAAACTACTCGCGAGTTCTCCAGTAATCGAGTTTCTCGCCCAGCGTTATTATTAACATCCAAATGTATCAAAATCCCCTAAAAAAACAAACAGCAGACAAACAAGTGACTAAAATTCGCTCTTTTCACACTTCCGCCATGGGCATGCATAGCCTCGATCTGGCAACTTTACACAATAAATATAGCCGGTTCAGTGATTCCCGTGTCGGAAAAGCCCGGTTCATACTTGGCGCGAAAGCGAAAGCGAATGCCAATTGTGACGTCATGGCAAGTATTCGCGCTGCGAATTCGTAAAAGTTGAACACATTTCAACTCGGGTGAATTTCGCAGCGAATGTTTCATGACGTCGAATTTTCTTCGCATCCGCATTCACGTGGAGTATGAACCGGGCTTAAAGTTGCCAGATCGAGGCTGTGCATGCCCAATGGCGGAGCATGAAAAGAGCGTATGTGGCTCTGCACTGCAAGGAAGTAAAAATCAATGTTGTTTATACTGTGAACATTTTAAAGTCTAGATGCATACCACAATTGACCTCATCCTCGTAGCCATCGAGGATATCGCCATAGTGATAACCACAGTCGCCTGGTACCCTGTCACAGCGCTGGTATAATGGTATGCAGGCTCCCGAGTCACACTGCCAACCCCAGTCACCGCAGCCCCCGTCGCATTCTTCGTCCGAGCCGTCGGTGCAGTGGGCTTGCCCGTCGCAGGTGCGCGTCAGTGGAATGCACAGGCCGTCCGTCTTGCACTGGAACTCACTGCGTTCACAAATTGGCCTCTGTGGAACAGATGAAAATAATAGTGCTGCAGCCGAACCGTTGAACCAAACTAAAAATAGCCAAACATGGCCTTCCAAACCGAACCGAACCGAACCAAACTGAACCGAAATAGTTGGTTCGGAAGTTCGGCAAGTTTTTTTTTGTTTTTGATAGTGCTAGAAATGCTAATGCTTGCAATGAAAGGGCACAATTAAAGGTAGAGTCCATCATTTGCAGCCATCCGAAAAGTAACTGGCGTAATCATTGTTGAAAAACAAACTTGGTTGAAAGATAGTAAGGGAACTAAACTCCCTGTGAAATTATTCTTTCTGGGAAGCTGTCATTTTGAAGTAATCAACGAAAGAAGGCATTTCCAATGGTGATTCTTAAGAAGCACCGTAGGAAAATTTAAATTAGTAGTTCGTTTTGTTATTCAGCGCAGCGCGCACAAGGTTTGGAACGACGCACACGCGCGCACGGTTGTTATAATTCGTCGGATCAGTGCGCTACGTCGCGTATAGCTGCAATTCAAAACAATACAAAACATGATTCAGTAACTTTTGATTTGAAATTGAGATCTTAGAATGCTGTTTTTCTCGGAATACACAGCTGAAGCTTAGCTGAAACTTCATCAGGTTAGTTGCTCAGTATCCTTCATTAGATTTTGAACTCTTTTGTTGCTTCAAACGAACAAAATGCACAAATTACAAATGATGGACTATAGCTTTAAAGCACACGGATGATTGAATTTACCGTGTTCACAAGTCACTGCATTCACATTCATTGTCTGGTGGGCTAAGTTCCACGATTGTCCGTCTTCGGTGTGCATAATCCGTGGAGACCACGTGTACATGATGCGTGTACATCGAGCATGGTAAGTAAAATCACTGCATCATTCAATGACACGACCCCACAAAAAGACAGAGCGCATGCGTGCAGGCTAGAGGGGCTACTGGTATTGCTCACGATGAGCAATATTGCACGTATTGGGGAAACCCCTTTTGGATTTTCTAAATGCTGAATTACACAAAGACTTTTGTTGTGCTTTTTGTAACATGCCGACTTGAGCAAGATGGCGACTTATAAAAGCCGACTTACGGCAAGATCCGGCAAATATGCAAGTATGTACAGTCGAGTCTCGTTAATACAAACTTGTTCGGACCTAGCGAAATTGTTTGTTATATCAGAATATTGTATTAAGAGGAATATCAGTCCCATTCATTGTGCACATACGTGCACAGTCGGGACCAAGGCTTTATGTTTGTTATAACCAGAATTTGTATTAACAGAGTTTGTACTAACGAGAGTCGACTGTATATATGCTTTTCAATGTACATTGTAATGTACTTCCGAACCCGAACCGAACCGATGTTAAAAAAAAAAAAAAATTCCAAACCGCAACTGAATCGAACCAAACCTGGAGTACCAGTTTCAGCACTAGAAAAAAAAGCTGGAATATGTAGATGAAACCTTTCGTAGATTGGCTCTGTGTTTTGAGTCAAGTCATTCTAAGGCCAACCTCGTTGAATACTCTAATACTCAAACTGGCAAAAAGCTTTTCGAAAATTTTCGGTTGATGATCAAATATTTTAAATATTGGATATATTCGGGACAGCTCGAGTTGGTCTCTTTGCAGTGGGATAAGTTTAGTCTATCCTTACCGTCTCGCAGCTCCTGCCGTCTCTGAGAAGTCGCGTCCCGTCCAGACAGAGACAGGTCCGGCTGTCGGCGTCTAGGTGGGCTGTTAGGGGACAGGCACAGGTGCGGTTGGATTGGCTGGACGGGGAGGGAAGGCAGAGATGGGAACAGCCGTGGTGCCCTTCGCAGTGGTTGACGACGTCTAGAGCACAAAATAATACAAAATTGCGAGGTCTTTACGACAGGCATTCTGCACACAAGTTACCCCCCAGTGGGAAAAATATGACAATGAGTGCGGACTATTAATTTAACCCTAAAAGGGCCGTGGGGGTGGGGGGGGGGGGCGGAATCTGCCCCCCCTCGCCTTTTTCCACGATAGCCTTGAAGAATTTTTTTTCGCGACCCGAGCTGTTATGGCTTTTAACCTCGAGCCTTGCGCATCTTTTGATACCAAAAATATAAGAATCAACCACGGGTTGCCACGCAGCGAAAATTTTCTGGCGCTATGCGCCATGAAAACTGAATTTTCCCATATACGTCGTGTACACAGAGCAGGATTGCCATTCATACATATGAATAATTAATTAGCCATAATTCCAAAACCCTTTGACCTACAGTCATGAAATTTCTTGGGTATGTTCATGATGAGTTCCTCTATGCATGTATCGAGTTTCAAAATTTTTCTTCACTCGATGGCCGAGATCTTAGGGGATCCCCCCCCCCTCCCCCGGCTGAGAGATGGTCAAAATAACCCGGCCCTTTTAGGGTTAAGGACCCTTGAGCACCATAATAATAACAATAATAATAATTTGGGAGGCTAAATCATCCTTACTCGCAGCTGAGAAGCTGAATTGCGAAGGATGCGGCTACAACGTGGTCTAGCTGCTGGCATGTAGAGACGCCTATGGCAGCCGCCATACAACCACGGAGCACAGCCTAAGATCGAAAGTGTTTGATTTTTCTGAAGGGAGGAAATGCTAAACTAAGTGTATTCATATCGGTCATTGGATGCCCAAGCACTGACCAAAATTAAAACATGTATCTTAAAGGGAAAATACAACATTTGCAAACATCAAAAAATAAAACTACCAAATCATTTTGAAATACCTTGCTGGACTGTTAGTGAATGACAGTGTAAAGCATCCTGTAAAATCATGGCACCTGGTATACTCTCATTTTCAAGAAAAGTGGTATTTTTGTATCAATTTCCAACGCTGATCGGCCGATCAGCGTTGGAAAACACTGGCTTTTTTTCAAATACTGGCCCCAGTTGACCATCGCACTTGTTTGCAATCGATTACACAAGTATGAACGGGTACAAGCCAGCTAGACTGGTTCCCTGACCTTACAATTCCCCAATATATGTAAACGGCTCTGTTTCTTCTTAAATGGAGTCAGGGAACCAGACTACAGGAAAATGATTGTTTTTGTTAGTTTTTATAGCATTTTCGAACCCAAAACCTCAAAAAAGTCAGTGTAACTATATTTGCTATATATTTCCAAAACCCCCCAATTCCACCCATTTCTGGAAATTACAGCAAAAGCAAATGATGTATATTCCCTTTAAGACAACACTAATGCTGATTATGGAAGTACTCACTTTCAAATCCTCGCAGGTACTGTCTGACAATGGACATGAACATAGTTTGAACATTCAGGGCCGTCAATTTGGCAACCTCCCCGGTGAACTTGTTGGCATAGGCCAGACTCTGGGTCGTCCAGTCAGCCCAGAAGACTAGGTCCTGTTCAGATACGACAACCACAAATTCAAACCCAACATTATACACATTGATTGAATGAACTGGGATTTGAAATTAGCACAAAATGGTGATTGTAAACGCAGATTTCTTTGGTTAGCAGAGCCATCAAATTGATCAATTCCATGGACAAGAACTAATTGGAGAAAAGGGGGGGGGGTAGTTGAGGGTGGGGATGGGGTGGGGTGGGGAGTTAGCATTTTTGTAATATCAAGGGAGGTATTTTAGGGACTAAGTTATAAATAAGTTACTATATTATAAATATTTACCCTAAATTAATATCTGGAGTCTGCGCTCTAAACTTGCAGCGGCTTCTTCTGGACTCCTGGTTGTTCGTCAAACTTCTCTTGGTTTGGTCGATGATAACTATTTACAGGCGTATATATACAAAAACTAGTGTGTCCTTCCACGGGAACAGTCACTGTAAGGAGCAAACACTACCTAATGGTTCCTATTCCCGTATCCGGACACATATGGCATAAAAATGGCGACTGATGGAACTGTAGAGTAGACGACTATATAAAACACTGCTAAGTCTCTATACACAGCGAAGGAGTGGGGTGGTGAAAGCATGTGCCTGGTTTATATACCGACGCGTAGAATGGAATGCCCTGCCCTGCCCTGCCCTGCCCTGCCCAGTCAAAAGAACTGAACACAATGGGCAATAGCACACAAAAATGCCTTGGCCACTAGGGCAGAACTCAGAACAAAAAAGGACTTAACTGACTTTTTATTTCTTCGGCCAGGACTGCACATAATATATACAGCTGCTGTAGGAATTTCACTACAGTATCATAACTGATTAAACGGACAAACACACATGCAGCCCGTGGGCTCATTGTTATGTAAATGAACCTTGGAATTCATGTCACACAGTGACCTATGATGTCATGGAGTACAAATGTATGGAGCACCTACTGGGCAATATTACAATTTCAACTGTCTCAATGTGTAATGAAACTAATATTAAAATTTCCATGAAGTACTAATTAAAGAAAACACTGTGAGAGTAAGTGTACAGACCTCGTGAATCGCGATACCGAAAGGGTGCTTCATCAAGAGGTTATCATGGATGAGAATGCGCCGTCCGTCCCCATCAAAGCCGATGTACTCCATGCGGTCAAGCCTACTGTCCACCCAGTAGACCCGTCGGGCCTCATAGTCCAGCGCCAGACCATTAGGCCAGACAATGCTGCTGTTGACCAGTTGGGTGGGCTGGGAGCCGTCCAGGCCAGCCTTGCCGATCATTGGGGAGTCTCCCCAGTCAGTCCAGTACATGAACCTGCCCAAAAAAACACAACATTTTGGCTGAGTGTCACCGTGGCACACCTGTTTACAAAACGGGATGTTGTGGTCATGTGATGCCGACTTGGAGCACAAGTACCCCTTCAACAGCCAGAAAAGGTGAGTTGGGGGAGACCTAGACTGGTTCCCGGTCCGTTCACTGCGTATTTCCCATGATCCAAAGTTATTGGGGGGGCGGGGATTAGTCTGGGAGACCCATTGCAAGTTAAATTCGAACATTTTCGAGCCTGACGCTAACGCGTGAAGACGCTGTGGCTGAGCTTCGTGCACATTCAGGATAATTAAGTCGTGCGTACTTCGCACGCGAACCAGTACGGTACGCACACGCGGTGTCCCGTCCAAGTGGCTCTTTGGTAAAAACGCGCCCTCTTTTGTTGGCGCACGGAGCCCACAGTGTTGACAAGTACTGTTTAATGTGGGCGAACTAACAAATGTTTAGGTGTTTGTTTTGCCTGTTGGCATGACGTCACAGGTGGTATGACGTCACAGGTCACACGATCTGGAGTGGTGTTTGTTATAGTACATGGTGAGTCAAAAAAAGCTGAACCCAAACCCCCAAAATTTATTTCATATTTACAAAAATATGTAGCATCAAAAATAATAATGACTGGAAAGCCAACTTCATAAGCTACTTTTAGATGAAAAAAATTCTGGAATTGCTCAATCCATTCAATGAGTAGCACCATTTAAACTCAATGACCCTAAAACCTGATTTCGTCCAAAAAAAGCAACTGATTGTATATTCTGACTGTTTGGGACAACAAAGAAAATGACACAAAATACTTATTTCAAAAACTGTCAACAACTGTAGTACACAATCCTGGTCAGGCAAACAATGATAAATGAAATCCACTTCTTGTAAAAGACGGGCCTTCAAAAGGACTTTGTGGAATATTTTTAACTTTTAAACTGAGGTTTTATCCCTGGTGATGTTTGAAAACAATTGTAATAACAACTCTTGACATTTCATGTTTTGGACGAAAGAGGTTTTAGGGTCATTGTGTTTAAATGGTGATACTCTATGAACGGATTGAGCAATTTCAGTATTTTTTTCATCTAAAAGTAGCTCATGAAATTGGCTTTCCAGTCATTATTATTGTTTAGTGCTACATATTTTTTTAAATATTAAATGTACTTTTTTGGGGTTTGAGTTCCGCTTTTTTGTGACTCACCCTGTAGCACTTTTACTGGGCTTACTTTTCTTTGGGATCCACAGCGACGTCCCTAGGCTTGCCCAGCCCGCCGAGTACCAGACTTGAAGGGAGCCGGCCGTCAAACGGTATCGCTAGGATCGACTTGTTGCCGGTGTTGACCCAGTACAGGTTCCTGTGTATCCAGTCGTATGCGATGCCTTCTACGGACGAGGCGTTCGCGGACAGGACGGTCTGGTCCGAGATGGAAATGTCACGCCCGAAGAACCCGCCCGTGGTGGAGAATCTGGAAAATAGGAAGTCAGGTGTGGAATATCATTGGGAAAAATTAAATACATGAGCGAACCAGTATGCACATGTGGTGTGTCCTGTCCACTTGGCTGTCACAAGTGGTAAAAAGCGCCCTCTCTTGTACGCGCACGGAGCCCATGGATGCTTTGGTCGTGGTAAGCAGTGACAGCTCTGTACGAACTTTTAACATACATAACTAGAAACAATTTAAAGGCAGGGTAGATTATTTGTCATTTTGTGATGTTTTTTAAGCAAAAAGTGTTCAAAATCTAAAGACAGGTGCTTAACTACTAATTGGATGAAATTTTAGCTCTGTGAATGCTGTATATTCTGAGAAAACAATATTCTAGGAACACGGTTTCAATTCAAAAGTTGCCAGATCATGTTTTGAATTGCGCCCGAAATCAGCGTCCAGGACACATTCCCATTCTGCTAATTACAGCTACGCGCGATGTCACGCACTGAACTGACGAATAATACCGACTGAGCATGTGTGTTTATCGTGTCAACACTTTCACGCATCCACTCATGGATTCGCCGAAGTACTAATGGAAATTTCCAAAAATGTGTCACTTGACGCATCTTTGGAAAAGGCTTTTTTTCCCCTTTTTAAAAAAAATGACAGCATGCCAGAAAGAACAATTTCACAGGGGGTATAGGCCCATTACTATCTTTAAACATGGGGAGTGTGGCCTAGTGGTTAGGGTTCGTGACTCATGATCAGAGGGTCAGGGGTTCAAATCCAGCTGCTGGTCATATGTTGTGTCTTTGGGCAAGCCACTTCAACCCCACTTGCCTTTCTCCACCCAGGAGTTTAAAAGGGTACCAGCATTAGCTGGGGAGTAACCTGCGATGGACTAGCATCCCATCCAGGGGGAGTAGAAATATTCTCAGTCGTTTCATGCTACTGAAACCGGAGAGAAATGCCGGCCTGATCGGCCACACTGGCTTGTGACAGACTCAGGCATGCAACTTTTCCTTGGATCCGCTGATTTCCTCGTGTTTTACTTCTCATGAATGCCATTACAAATTGAAAAATGCTGCACAAAGTCTTGTGTGATTTTGGAATTTCCTCGTTTTTTTTCCTAAATTCCATACTTACTTTTTTAACTTTTACTATCTTTAAACCAAGTAAACTTTCAAAAATAATTTTGTCAGTTACTTTTTGGATAGCTGCAAATGATCTTCTCTACCTTGCAACAAAGTGAAAAGTGTACTTTAGAAACAGCTGTTACACTGTGTATGTTCTATAAGCTTTCATAACAGTGTACATTTTCCCCCTTTTTTTTTTAAATGGATATATTGCAATTCGGAAACAAACACTACATATTTCCCCTTTTTTAAGCAATGGAATTTTTTCCTTTACCTTTCCAAGGACCGTTTTCCCGGGTCAGCAACAAACATGTACTGGGAACTGAAATCAAAGATGACACTGACAGCGTTCTCCCAATCCCCTCCAACGGATCGGACATTATCCAGCAGCGTGTCCAACGACAGGATATTCTCTTGACTAGCCATCAGCACCTGCAGACAACAAACGCAATCAAGTACACCAAAATAGGATACAACTGAAACTTTGTTCCAACCAAAGGGCAATTCCATTGGCCTTTTTCCATTGGCTTCAGTACTCTTAGTACTCACACTCTTCCTTGAATATCAAAATACTTGTACTTGGATTCACAGTACAGGGGCGCAAATCCTGGGGGGGGGGGGATGGGGGTATACACTTTTTAATCAGTGGGGGATAGGCTATTTAAACATCCCCCCCTCACACTTTTTCGTGATGAGAAAAAAAGTGCGGATTTCAAGTTATTTTTAGCACATTCCAACAAAAAATGTATTCAATAGCACTAAAATGTGGAGAAACAAAGTACAAAAGCCTTACAAATGCCCTTTTGGGATGAAAGCTCTCCATATCCTGAAGAGCGCCCCCTAGTGTAATGTCGTGTCCAGCCCCTGTGGAACCTTGAAATTGGTTATCAGACATCCATCGGACATCTTTTTGCAAAAAAAGTTAAATTTTTAGGGTAAATTTCTTGCATGTGTGTCTCCCGCTCAGTGTCCAAAACTTCAAATTTCCACCCATCAAAAGTACTCAGTCTTCACATTTTTTTCATAAACTTCATTTGTTTACTTAAGGGCCTGTCACATTATATGCGATCTCATAGGAAACCTTACGGCGACCAAAAATATTTCATAAATTTAACAATCGCAGCGAGGACGCAAGAAAATTACAACTTTCTGTCTCAAAGAAGCTCAAGCTACGCTCACACTGTGCTCTTCCCATGCTTACGATGCGCTCAACTCGCTCTCTATGCGCCCCTGTCAAGCTCAATTACTCGATCTAGTCGCTGCCGCTGCGCTGTCACTGTGCTCACACTACGCTCTGCTCGCTGTTGATACGTCCTAGTAGCTCGCGTCGCGCTCTCTATTTGACCAAAATACGCTCATGTGACGTCACTTGCGCTGTATAAATACCAAGTCAAAACGGTCAATACACAGTCCAGTTTCAAAATTATTCTACAAGTTCATCGCAGTCGAGTTACTTTCTCATGGAGACTACATCGACTGTCTTGCGCCTAGGCTGCCTCAATGCCACTTCAATGTCGCACGATTCACGCTGGCACAGTGCCCGAGTTGCGTCATTACGGTGCCCTGGCCAGAGCACAGAGGTGTTGCGATTGTTTTGAGCATGTTCAAAGACCTTGGCGCTCATCGGAGACCATTAAGACCCTCTGGCGCCCATCTGGCGACCTATGTAGTTGTCGCTGCGATCTAGTAGTTGTTTTTGCGCCCCAGCTATTTTTCAAGGACGCAGTGAGAGCGCATATAAGATCGCAGACAGTGTGACAGGGCCTTTAGGGACTAACAAATGTGAGGCTAAATATTTCATTTCAATACATTACCCTCGGTCTTGTTGGGTAGGCAAATGCACAGGTTCGTCCATCAGGCTTAAGACCGTAGCTCTCCGGGCAAATGCACTGCGGTCCGCTCAACAGATTTACACACTCCACCCCAGGGCATGGGACGGGAGCCGTTTCACTGCACCAGTCCGTAGCCGATTCTGGGGATGAGGAAAATGCATTATAAATGGTAAAGGGGGCGAACCTGTGTTCACAGGAACGGTTGCCCATCTCTCTTTCGAAGCGATTAACCTATCTCGGTAGAATCACGTCAACGCAGCTTGTGAAATATTGTCCAATTACATGATATACAAAAGGACGCAAAACGCGCAAAATCTGAGACAAACAAAGTTAACGTATAAACTTCTATAGGGTTGTCCAAGGGGCGTGACTAACTCGCAAACGGCGATAGGTCAATTGGGCCAGACTCTTCCATGTAATGCTGCTGTGGGGGGATCGCCACACCTCCTCCACAGCGAGTCTGTTATCTTCCCAGCATTGAATAATGCCGGTACCCATTTAACACCTGGGTTGAGAGGAGTAATTGAGGTACAGTGCCTTACTCAAGGGCACAGCATGCATGGCCACCATCTCACGATCATGAGGCCTGAGCTCTACCGCTAGGCCACACATACCCACTAAATCAAAGTATATAAATTACAGGAAAAAAACTTAGCCCTTTCATTACCATTTTGTGTTTTGACTTGCCTCTTCTCAGTGCCAAAGTGTTCGCTCAGTCATGCGGAAATCACTAGATTTGACCACAAGCTGAAAGTTCTTCTTTTTTTCAACCTAGATTTTCAGTGTCATCTTCCGCGTAAAATCTGTTCCTCTAACTTTACCCTTTCATACATGTACAAAACTTAAGAAAGTGGTGCCTATTCCCACTCATCAAACTGCAAGCCATTTCATCACATGACAAAAAGGCACTCCATTACTCAAATTCTACATGGGCACTTCTGAAGCAGTTTTGTCAAAAAGTTTTGTAATGGTAAACACTATAAATATACTACACCATTACAACGATCTGAAGTTACTCTTTCAGCTGATACACGGTTGATGTGTGGGCAGCAAAACATACCAACATATCAGTTTGTTGAAAAGTAGGGAATTTAGGTCTCTCTCAAATGACGTCATTTCCTACAGACCAGCCATGTGCATCAGCATTTTGAGTGTCAACGTGTCACATTTCGAACAAATTACCAGCAACAAGGGGGCATGTTTGGAACATTTTCAACACTGCGCAATGAGTTCTTGATTGCGTAAAATACGCAGTTGCAGTTCTCCTACAGAGATGGCTGTCTTTGAGAGAGACCTATATCTGTGTTGAGGTGTTCTGTGTGTGGTTTCCTGGTCGATTAAAGTCGCCTGTGGTAAGCAGCAGGGGGGTTCCTTGTCAACAAAAGCCGCCCATGATTAGTCATCTTTGGCTAAGGACAGACTCTTGGCTTACCACAATTGATTTCGTCCTCATAGCCATAACCACAGTCGCCTACAACGCCATCGCAGCGCTGATATAGCGGTATGCAGGATCCACCGCTGCACTGGTAACCCCAGTCCCCGCAGCCTCCCTCGCATTCCTCGTCCGAGCCGTCAGCGCAGTGGGGTTGCCCGTCACAGGTCTGCTCCAATGGTATACACTGGCTGTCCCGCTTGCAATGGAACTCATTGCGTTCACAATCTCCGCCGGGCTTCTACAAAAAGGAAGAGAAAATGTTAAGAGCTGAATAATAAAAGTTCATTACACAATGCTAGACAATTTATTTTCTTTGGGGGGGGGGGATTATTTCTTTCTGGTAGTGAAACTAAAGATAACATATAACATGGTTTGAGGGTGGACAGTTGATATAAGCTCCCTGAGGTATTGGAAGTTGACAAACTAGTTTCCGAGGCGATACCGAGGGGAGCGAATATCGACTGTCCACCAGTGTAATATTTGTTTTACTATACCTCAAAAATATTCAGTTGCCAAATTTTCCCGTTGCAGTATGCACCTCTTGCGCAAAAAGTCCTCAAAGAATTGTCCAGCTCACCAGAAGAATAATATTGCTCAACCTCAGAAAACTTCAGTTTGTTTTCAATGCAGTAACTTCAATTGCAAATACAATTGATTGTTGACAACACTATTTTTAGTATAGGAGGCATCTTTATTGTCCACAATATTCTCCAGTTTGGCATCACTGAACTCAGGAAAATGCTAATAATACGTGGGCAACTATCTTTTCGTGTGTAGCGAGGGCGATGTTCGCGTGTGCTCACTACATCCCTGCGACAGTTCCACGATTGCTTCGTAAAGCACATGCGTAGTAACCCGTGCGACAGTCTACTACGCATGCATATTTACCCTGTGCGTGAATACTGTGCAGGCTTGGTAAACAGCAAAATCTGGCACATGAATGCAGCTTTCGATCATGAATATGTCAGTCTTGTAGTCGAGACTTGGAAGTCCGAGACCGAGACCAGGAGGTTCGAGACCAAGACCAAGACCTTAAGGTTTGAGACCGAGATTGAGACCTGATGGTCCAAGACCGAGACCTCGAGACCTTGTGCTCAAATTACATAATAAAAAAGTAAAAAATATACAAAAGCAAAACACAACAAAACAGAATACACATGTAGCAGCACAGTTGAAAGAAAGCTTTTGTAAATTAAAGTGATTCCTTCTCACCCCTTTCTTGCTTTTTGGGTATCGAGACCAAGACCGAGACCGAGACCACAAAAAAAAAACTGGTCTCGAGACCGGTCTCGAGACTGAGACCAGTCTTGAGACCTACAACACTGGAATATGTATGAGGTATAGTAATAATCAATATCTGATTCACCAACCTGACACTGCAGACCGTCCTGGTGCAAGAGACTCCCGTTGGCGCAGAGGCAAACGCCCACCGCGCTTCCTGCATTCCTGGTCAGTCTGGTGGTGTCTCCGGGGCAGGCGCAGGTGTAGCCGTTGGAGTTGGGGGCTCCGAGGCAGAAATGGGTACAACCCTGTCCAGGCTCCTTACAAGCATTTGGTACTGGCAGAACAAATATTAAAAAAATACACTGAATTTCATGAAATACTTTGAATCTCAAACATATTTACAATCGAAATTAAAAAAAAAGGCTAAACAGGCCATCAGCCTTGGTCCAAAATTTTGGCCATCGGTATCAAGTGAGGGGAATAATCATCATAGCGATTTTTGGCAAGACACCTCCAGAATTGGAATATACGTGAAAGCACTCCAGCGGTGGCAGCTATTTGGGTGTTATCATCCTTTTTTTCAAAACGGCCATCAAAATGCTTGTTACCACTCTAGGGGCGGTATACCTTGCACATGCGCACTATTATCATTTTTTTGCCCTGATTTGATACTGACCAAACCCCCAGGCTGATGGCCTAAAAAGCAAAACCCAAAAATATTGGCGGAAACCAGCTTATTGGATGGACCAACCACCAGACAAGAAAATTCCAAAGGAAATGTAATATTCATATAAAAAGCATGCAATACACAGAAACTGGGATTGTGGGTGGGCCTGCTGGGCGTTACGGGAAGTTTTTTATTGTTTGGCAAATTAGGAACGAGTTATGGGGACTTTTTGCTGTCCCCACAGCGTTTTCGGTCCCCACAAATACCTCGTACAGACGGGTGTATGTCACCACAACTATGGAACAAGAACATGTGTTCCTGTATTAAACACTGATCTACTTTTGCAATTGAAACGTTTCATAAGATTGTTTTTCGACAAGCAACAACCTCTTTAAACAGGAAATGCATGCATAAATAAATAAACAAATAAACAGTGCCCTCTTGTGACATGTCAGGGACAGGATCAACTTACACATATCGTCGGGCTGGACCACAAGCGCAAGCCCCATTGGTCTGCGTAGACCCTTCACCGCAACTTCCGAGTCCGACCCTGAGAACTTGTTGGCAGAAAAGATGGAGCTTTTTGGGGCATCATCCCAGTACACTCTGTCCTGTTGATTACAACGTTCATGAAATAGTCTGTCACTGTTTTTTTCCCTCTGAAACCGAACTTTAAATGAAACCAGCCGATGACCAAAAAAGCTTGGACTGAAACAAAATCTCGCAAATCACCGCAAAGTTCCTGACAATAAGTCGCTTTCATACAAAGCGTATAACTTCCCCCCGTTGAAAAATACTAGTACTTGGAGGTGCTTGGATTCATATACCTGTACTTGTTCTTGATGTTTGAAGTAATCAGACTTGGTACTCTGCAGTCTTGGAAAGAACTCCGTATACGGACGTCACTTTTTTTTCAATAAATTTTTACGCCAAAAAGTTACTCGACTTTGTTGTCTCCTGATGCTACTTTCGAAACAGAAATAAAACCTTGTTTTGGCTTATCTTGTGCCTCAGAGAGTATACTTTCATGTGAGAAATGTAAGGACTACGTTTGCAAAGTCTTTCAGAGAGATTTGTACGCGAATGTGTGGCCAACTTAATGAATTTTTACAAGTCACCGCATGTTGACGTAGAGGAGGCCCTCAACCGACGCGGTGGAAACCTACAGTGACATGTAAAACTTCACTAAGTTGGCCATGTATTCGGCTACAAATCTCTCTTAAAGACTCTGTCAAGATCTCCCTTACAGTTCTCACATGAAAATATACTCTCTGAGGTACAAGGTAAGCAAAACAAAATGTCTTTTTATTTCGTTTCGAAAGTAGCATCAGGTTGCAACATTTTTTCCCACTACAGCATTAACCGCTAGACTACACGAGCATTTGATAGCATGTGATGGCCTATTTGATGTATTTAAAGAGGTTGTGGAATGCTCAAAGACATTTCCATCATTTTTTGGGTATATGTAGCCTAAGGTGTGATGAAATAAAAACGAATATTGTTTCTGTCATGAAATGAGTACAAAGGGTACTTTTGAGAGCTATTTTTCAGGTCCTGTTTCGACCCGAACGTCTAATTTGTGTAAAAGTCGTCGTTGCGGGGAGCAAACAAAACACAGTAAATCGTGACGTAATAAACAGGACTCGTTTATGCTACTCTGCATCGGGAGTCCTGTTTATTACGTCACGATTTGCTGTTTTTTGTTTGCTGCCCACAACGACGACTTTTACACAAATTGCACGTTCGGGTCGAAACAGGCATGGCAGGACTTGAAAAACAGCTCTCAAAAGTATCTTTTGTACTCATTTTATGACAGAAAAAATAGTCGTTTTTATTTCATCACACCTTAGGCTACATATACCCGAAAAATGACGGAAATGTCTTTGAGCATTCCACAACCTCTTTAAGGTATCCATTGAAGTAGGACTAATGAATATTTAATAAATTAAATAGTCACGAGAAATTAAATATTCATGATGAGGAATTGCAGTTTTATTGGTTAGTGCTATAAACCAGAATAATAATAATAATAATAATAGTGTTTTCATTCGAACCGAAGGCTTCCAGACTCTTCAATCATTGTCAATATGGCTGCAGGTGTAGCGTGAATATCCGTCTCCATGAAATATGGACTCATTGGTAGTATTGCGTATGTGTAAAGTACGATAATATGCTATTTTTAGCATCATTATGGGAGAGTGACCTGTCACATGCGAGGGATTAACCAATAAAAAAGGAAGAGGGGTTCGATTTTTATAGGAGTCGGATTTTCATATGACACCAGCACGGTCTGCTGTTTGTCTGCTGAAACGATGTGTGCACTTATAATGATCTCCAAAAACACCTTTTTCATGAGATATTTTTTTCGGTTTTGCGGAGCCTCCTGGATTCGTCTTCAATGAAATCACAAGGTTAGGTGAAAATTGATGTGTTCAACGGCAGATAAGTGACGTCTGTATACGGAATTCTTTTTTGAAGTCTTTGTTCCGATGGATAAAAGCACTCGCCTAAAAACACTGACATACTCACTTGGTAGACAGCGATCCCAAACGGCCGCCTGGAAATATCCCGCATGACCACCCGCCGCTGGCTTCCGTCCGTCTTGGCCGACTCGATGGTCTGGTGCCCGGCGTCCACCCAGTAGATCTTGTCCTGGGAGGGATCCAGGGCCAGGCTGACAGGTCGCAGGAGGGAATCAGACACTATTTCCTCTGGGTTGCTGCCATCTAGGCCCGCCCGGGAGATCTGGGCAAACCTCGGTGAGAAACTGCTCCAGTACAGGTACCTTGGGTTCAAACGGAGAAAACTTATAACATCATAGGTCTGCTGCATAGAGCTATATTAAATTACTAGAGTGCTAACTCTTCATTCTTGCGCGCGGAGACGCTTTGAAGCCGCTCTGGGCGCAGACATTTTGAATTTATGTGCATATTTGTAGAACACAATCAAAATAAATGGATTGAATTTTAAAAGTGTAAGTGCAAAGCGCAAGTAGAGGATACGCAAACAACTTAAGCACGTCATGACGATTAAAAAAACGTCACGCTGAAAAGCGTCTGAAGCGGAGGGATGTGCACGCGTTGCGCTATTTGCGTAGGGCAAAATAAATTGCTCATTTGCTGATCGTGTGTTTCGGTTTTGAGCGTATCAGCTTCGATGATGCACAGGTATGGAATACAAACACAGATATGCAAATAGCCGTACAAAAGCCGCACAAAATTTAAAGTTTTCCATAGGTTTGTGCACAAACATGGATGCGCCCATCAGGCATTACTTTGTATATTGAGTTAGCGCTCTAGTAATTTAATATAGCTCTATGGTCTGCTGCCATCCTTTGTTTGTTTTACAGATATTTTCATAGCCTTGAAATCAAGTCGGTAATTTGCCAGGTTTAGTTCACCTGCGCCACCACTGCCCTCCAACGGCATTGACTACCGCATACCATCGCGGGGTTACAGGCTAGCTAGTGACTTGAATTAAGACTAGATAAAGCTGTGATGGACTTGTGAAAAGACTCAACAACAACACTGACAACCTGTGTCTAAGGCTAATCCTCCAAATTGCCTCCAACTTTTGTTTTTTAACTCACCCCTTCTCTGGGTCCACTGCCAGTGCCCGGGGCGTGTTTACGCCCTCCTGTCTCGTCAGAAGCACCTTGCTGTAACCCCCGTCCCACGTGGCCACGCCGATTGTGCTTTTCCGGCTGTCCGTCCAGTACAGGTAGCGGTGGACGGGATCAAACGCAAGGCCAAACACGGGACCGGTACCAAACACGATCAGTGTGGTGTTCCCCTCTTCGCTGTTTGCGTAACCAATTCTGGAAACCAAGTGACGACAATTGGTGTTGAAAGCAAAACAGAGCTTTAAAGCTATAGTCCATCATTTGCAGCCATCTGATAAGTAACTGGCGTAATTACTGTTGAAAAACAAACTTGGTTGAAAGATAGTAAGGGAACTAAACTCCCTGTGAAATTATTCTTTCTGGGAAGCTGTCATTTTGAAGTAATCAACGAAAGAAGGCATTTCCAACGGTGATTTTTAAGAAGCACCGTAGGAAAATTTAAATTAGAAGTTCGTTTTGTTATTCAGCGCAGCGCGCACAAGTATTGGAACGACGCACACGCGCGCGCTTGTTGTTATTCGTCGGATCAGTGCGCGACGCCGCGTATAGCTGCAATTCAAAACAATTCAAAACATGATTCAGTAACTTTTGATTTGAAATTGAGATCTTAGAATGCTGCTTTTCTCGGAATGTACAGCTGAAGCTTAGCTAAAACTTCATCAGGTTAGTTGCTCAGTATCCTTCATTAGATTTTGAACACTTTTGTTGCTTCAAACGAACAAAATGCACTAATTACAAATGATGGACTATAGCTTTAATAGGGTTGGAATCGGTTGGATCAGAGACTATTTCGTCATCTTCAATCTCTGTGATCGAGGACCCCAATTTCATAGCGCTGCTAAGGCCAAAAAAAAGTCTCTGGATTCTGGTGTGCACGCGCATTGCCATAGCCATGTCCATCGGCAAAATGAAAAAGTTTTTTTTTCAATGAAAGATGATGTCTCAAAACCCTCAAACTCACTGGTTTGACTGGAATCCTGCTCCTGCACAATTTTAACGTGTTTTTAGATGGGGTTACGATCGAGTTTATAAGCTTTATGTGGCCTCACTGGACTCCCATATATTTGCATTAAGTTTAGTCGGGCACCATCTGCAGTCATCAGCCATCATTTGTAGACAAAACGGTAAAAAAACAAAAACAAAAAAACGTGTCGCCGCACCACTCTTGGGGCAAGCTCCATACCAGAAACCGGAAACTTTTTTTTTGGCCTAACAGAGCCTTTGTCTATTTCACGGAGACTGTAGAGACTAAGCACACAAAAGACACGCTAAAAAATCCAAAGAGGTGCTTGTGAAATTAGTGACGTCACAATACAAATCTCCTCTGCATGTAATCATTAGTATATCTACGCAGTTAAAGGGAAAATAAAACATTTGCAAACTTCAAAAAATTAAACTACCAAATCATTTTGGAATACCTTGCTGGACTGTTTGTGAATGACAGTGTAAAGCATCCTGTAAAATCATGGCACCTGGTATACTGTCATTTTCAAGAAAAGTGGTATTTTTGTATCAATTTCCAACGCTGATCGGCCGATCAGCGTTGGAAACAACTGGCTTTTTTTCAAATACTGGCCCCAATTGACCATCGCACTTGTTTGCAATCGATTACAAACCTATGAACGGGTACGAGCCAGCTAGACTGGTTCCCTGACCTTACAATTCCCAAATGTATGTAAACTGCTCTGTTTCTTCTTATATTGAGTCAGGGAACCAGACTACAGGAAAATGATCATTTTTCTTGGTTTTTATAGCATTTTCGAACCCAAAACCTCAAAAAAGTCAGTGTAACTATATTTGCTATATATTTCTAACTCCCCAATTCCATCCATTTCTGAAAATTACAGCAAAAGCAAATGATGTATATTCCCTTTAAGCAGTGCTATGAAATTGTGTCCTATAGATTTGAAACCTACCCAGGCTTAGCTCTTTTATTCCCAGCCTGATTCCACTGGTCTTGCTTATAATATAATTTCAGAGTTATCCCCCAAACCGACCATTTCGTTTTCTTATGTACCCTCTAGATTTCTTTATCAGGCCTTCCAGCTAATGTAATTTCGAGGAACCACTGGTTTCATCATCAGACAAACAAAAGTAAACAATTCAGGTGTGTTGACAAACACACATGCCCAGCAACCGTGACTGTTCCCATGATATGACACCATTTTTTTAACATCAACTTACATGTACCTCGGTCACATGGAACGTTCATTGACAAAACATTTATTGAGATGTTTGTCCATCAATGTTGTTCCTGGTAACCCCGCGATTAAAGGTCTGTGGCTTATAAACGTAATGTGAACAAAGTGCATAAAACGACCTCTGTCATCTTGATGTTACATCATTTTGTGCATTTGGTGAGGTTTAAGAAAGCTAGGTAATACTTAAGACGAAATATATTTTTAGTCAGAAATATTATAAAAAAGAAACAACTTTCTTCTATGCGGATACTATCATACCGTGAAATGGTTCCAGTGCCAGCATCGCTGACGTAAACGGCCTCGCTGCCGGGGAGACCATCGTAGGCTAACACTAACGTGGAAACCAAGCGACCGATCCTGGCTTCCACGGTACCAAAGAGCGTTTCGACATCCCTGACTATCTGGCCGTCGGCGACCAGTAGATTGGGTTTGGTTGGGGAGGAATGGAGGCACGTCGCTCCCTTAGATTCCTGGGTCAGGGTGTAACCCTCTGGGCAGATGCAGACGGGGCCGGATTTGGTGTCCACGCAGTCGATAAATGGGCACGGCTCAGGCGTGACCAGGCAACGATTCTCATCTGGCAAAATGCACAAAGAGTATCAAATTCACATTTTTTTCAAGATTTTTCTTAATCCATTAGCGCTTATATTGTATTACACTGTATTTATTCACTGAAGAATCAATAAACCCATTGAGTGCTCGGGTGGTTTCAGGCGCTACAGTGAGTAATAGACAGGGCGGTTTCAGGTGCTACAGTGAGTAATAGACAGGGTGGTTTCAGGTGCTACAGTGAGTAATAGTAATAGACAGGGTGGTTTCAGGCGCTACAGTGAGTAATAGACAGGGTGGTTTCAGGCGCTACAGTGAGTAAAAGACAGGGCGGTTTCAGGTGCTACAGTGAGTAATAGTAATAGACAGGGTGGTTTCAGGCGCTACAGTGAGTAATAGACAGGGCGGTTTCAGGCGCTACAGTGAGTAATAGACAGGGCAGCTTCAGGTGCTACAGTGAGTAATAGACAGGGTGGTTTCAAGCGCTACAGTGAGTAATAGACAGGGTGGTTTCAGGTGCTACAGTGAGTAATAGACAGGGTGGTTTCAGGCACTACAGTGAGTAATAGACAGGGTGGTTTCAGGCGCTACAGTGAGTACTAGACAGGGTGGTTTCAGGCGCTACAGTGAGTAATAGACAGGGTGGTTTCAGGCGCTACAGTGAGTAATAGACAGGGTGGTTTCAGGCGCTACAGTGAGTAATAGACAGGGCGGCTTCAGGTGCTACAGTGAGTAATAGACAGGGTGGTTTCAGGTGCTACAGTGAGTAATAGGCAGGGTGGTTTCAGGCGCTACAGTGAGTAATAGACAGGGTGGTTTCAGGCGCTACAGTGAGTAATAGACAGGGCGGTTTCAGGTGCTACAGTGAGTAATAGACAGGGCGGTTTCAGGTGCTACAGTGAGTAATAGACAGGACGGTTTCAGGTGCTACAGTGAGTAATAGACAGGGCGGTTTCAGGTGCTACAGTGAGTAATAGACAGGACGGTTTCAGGTGCTACAGTGAGTAATAGACAGGACGGTTTCAGGTGCTACAGTGAGTAATAGACAGGGCGGTTTCAGGTGCTACAGTGAGTAATAGACAGGACGGTTTCAGGTGCTACAGTGAGTAATAGACAGGGCGGTTTCAGGTGCTACAGTAAGTAATAGGCAGGGTGGTTTCAGGCGCTACATTGAGTAATAGACAGGGTGGTTTCAGGTGCTACAGTGAGTAATAGACAGGGTGGTTTCAGGTGCTACAGTGAGTAATAGACAGGATGGTTTCAGGTGCTACAGTGAGTAATAGACAGGGTGGTTTTAGGTGCTTCAGTGACTAAAGGGTTTAATCCTTTTTGCTACTGTGTACGATGTTTATCCATCTCCTAACGATGACTAGAGCAGGCTAGTCGAAACGTTGACACCAAAGACAAGTTCTTTTAGAACTTACAGCAGGACTGTTCTTATCAGAAAAAAAACTACATAGCAAAAGTTGATAATATTAAGCAGGACAAGTTCTTTTCAGAACTAAATATCTTCTAAGCAGTAGTTAATACCACATGGTATTACCGCAAACCGAAACGATGGTGTTTATTCAGATTAACCCTAAAAGAAGGCCTAGACCAACATACCAGTGCAAGTGCTGCCATCATCGGACAGTCTGTTGCCATTGCTGCATATGCAGGTTCTCTGGTCGCCAGCTAAGGTGGCCTGGTCTGGACAGGCGCAGGTGAATCCCTCGGAGGCAGACGGGGAGCGGAGACAGAGGTGAGAGCAAGGATTACCTGCCTCCTCGCAAAGGTTGACGGCTGCAAACGATACCAAACAGTCAAACTTGATTTGCCCATGGACGGGATATTTCAGAAATTACAACAGGTTGGAGCATTGAATTTGTGGTCTGCGGGTAATTCTGCAGGTTGTGGGTTCGAGTCCAGCCTGGGGTTATGGTGCCTGTGCCCTTAGACAAGAATACTTAGTCACTCATTGTTTCTCTCCACCCAGGCAGTGGCGCACCCAGGCAGTGGCGCACCCAGGGGGGAAGGGGCCTCGGGGGGCTTGAGCCCCCCCCCCCACCCCAAGGGGTTGTCAAATTTGTTTTAATTAATTTTTAATAGTCCTTCGATTTGACCTTGGTGATATGAATGTGGCCTATTTTCGAGTAGTATAATAGGGGTGTAAGTGGCACCACCGACGTCAAAATAGTCCCCCCCCCCCCAAAAAAAAAGCCAATTTTTTTCCTTGGCCAAACATTTTGGGCAAAATATTTTGAAAAAAAAATGTACTTCTAAAAAATTTGAAAACAAATATTGTGAGCCCCCCCCCCAAGCCAAATCCTGGGTGCGCCACTGCACCCAGGAGTAAATGGGTATCTGTGAGTACAGAGGTGGGTAGTGTGGTTGATTTAGCTGCTTTGCGCTGAAATGGCAGCATCGAGCTGTATACTCCCCAGAGAGCTGAGATGGCATTTGGAATGTTTCATCGGCCCAATGAGCAGGGTGATAATGATGAAGCGCTTTGAAACCTTATTGGTATAAAGCGCTATATATAAGTACCGCATATACGTGTAAAGGTACCACTAAGGAGACACGTTATCATAATTTCTTCGCACAATGGGAGACATCGGTCATTAGGGAGACATTTTCATGTCTCCCTAATGTCACAGCCCCCTTTACAGGCACAATTTTACAGTCGCAATTAGTTTATATTTGTTGCTCTGGGTCTACTTAGTAAACATACCGAAATTCGTGGAAAAAGGACAAGGGCATATTGGGTTACGGCACATTTAAGTTTGACAAATTTTGTGCACAAGTCTATGGGGATGTCTCCCAAATGCCCAATCCAGGGTAATATTTATTATTATTATTATTATGACAATATACCCCGTTAGCTGCTGGTTCAAACAAACCGTCATTCTTGCACCATTCTTATCGCCAGCTGTAAAAGCCACTTGCGTTTGAACTTTTGCAAGAATTTCGCGACAGGAGGTACCTGCCAGAAATAAGTGATTGGATTTTACGTACACTTTAGACTTCAGTTCGTGACTCCCACTGGTAGCTAATATTTAACCTGAATTCGTTGTTGAGAAAATTCGGCTTGGTCCATGAACAGCTGCCATCCCTTAACCCGGTCATTATCACGCGGTGAAGATTGGGTCCTCACACTGTTATTCCCTAACTAAAAACAAAACAATTACCTTCGTAGTAACCCTGAGTCGGCACCAAATTCATGGGACTTGAAACGTCTCGATAGATTGTTTCCAATCCTTCCCCACTGAATTTGTTGACCGAGTGAACGGCCTCGCTACTCCAATCGGACCAGTACAGAGTATCCTGCCAAAATCAGACATTGATTGTTAGGCCAAATAAAAAAAGTCTCCGGTTTCTGGTATGCGCGCGCGTCGCCGTAGCCATGCGCGTCGGCAAAATGAAAAAGATTTTTTTTCAATGAAAGATGATGTCTCAAAACCGCCAAACTCACTGGTTTGACTGGAATCCTGCTGCTGCACAATTTTAACGTGTTTTTAGATGGGGTTATGATTGAGAATAAGCTTTATGTGGCCTCTCTGGTCTCCCATTATATTTGCACTAAGTTTAGTCGGGCACCATTTGCAGCCATCAGCCGACATTTGAAGCAAAAAAAAAACAGGTAAAAAAAAAAAAAGCCGCGTCGCCGCACCACTTTTTGGGCAAGCTCCATACCAGAAACCGGAGACTTTTTTTTTTGCCTTAGAGTGTGAATAATTAACCTATCATGGTAGAATCGCATCAAAGCAGCTTGTGAGTTAGTGTCCAAGTACATGATATACAAATAGACGCAGAACGCACACAATCTAAGAGTTGTTAGAGTGTGAACAATTGACCTATCGCGGCAGAATCGCAATATAATCGCATCAATGCAGCTTGTGAATTATTGTCCAATAATTTACATGATATACAAATGGACGCGGAATGCGCAAAATCTGAGACAAACCAAACTTAGTGTACAAAATCTCCGTAGGGTGGTCTAAGGGCATGGCCAACTCGCAAACGGCAATAGGTCAATTGTTATCCAACTGCTATTTTCAATAAAATATCATGATTCTGTTCAGGCAGTCTACAAATAAAAATTACTAGAGTTGAATAACTCTTTCCCTTGTGTAGAATGCTTTCATAAGTGCTGTAGGTACAGACATTTGGATATTGCTTGTGGAATACATTGAAATTAGATGGAATGGACTTAGCCACAATGTGCTCTAAATTCCACACAAGACTACAACAAACGTAGCCAGTTTAGGAATGTTTAAATTTGTAAGCATGGTATACAAATATTGAGTGGCTCAGAGTGGAATAGGAGGAATATTATCCCAAGATAAAATCTGGACTTTTTTTCTTCCCAAGGTCCACTGATGTAAAATGATACAAACTCACACACAAACAGAATGCTTGCATCAAAAGTGAACGGTTACAAGCAAAAGTCCCATATTCAAATACTAGATTATTCGGACTAACGCAGCCCCTAAATCATTTACCTGATGTACAGCCACACCGAACGGATGCTTAACCTCGTCGGCGTCAGTGGAACTCCGGATGACGCGGCGATCCTGGCCATTCAAGTCCGCTGATTCCAGTCGATCAGATGTTGCGTCGGCGAAGTACATGCGGCCGTCCTCGTAATCCAGTGCCAGTCCGTTGACCCAGCCCAGGTCATCTGTGATCAACCTCACTGGGGACTGCCCGTCTAGGTCGGCACGGCCGATGTGGGGCTCCTTGCCCCAGTCACTCCAGTACATGTACCTAGGGCAGAGAAACTATTTGTTAACATTCAATGGACTCTTGTACAGAAATGGACTCTTGTACAGAAATGGACCTTTCAGAAAATTGGCAGTAAAAGTAAAATGTTATGTCGCGTTCATTTTATACATTGTCCCAGTATCAAATGCAACAAAACCTAGAGTGCACATTTCCAGTTTAGCGATAACAAGATGGCTCTCGAACAATACGTCTCGCCTGCTTTCGTGATTATCTCTAAAGAGTGCCTAATCAGTATGAAGGTTGCCATGTTGCATCTATGACCCAAGTTTGGTTCCAATTGGACTTCAACTTTTAAAATGAGACCAATTTTACAATTTTTCAGCGTATTTTACAACTTGACCTCAGATGACCTTTGACTTTGGTATCCGACCTTTGACTTCATTATCATAGAAAGGTTGCCATGTTGCATCTATGTCCCAATTTGGTTCCAATTGGACTTCAACTTTTGAAAAAAAGAGCAATTTTACGAAACCTTAAAAAAATACTACATACATACCTGTACGGTACATACATACTAACATACGTACAGACATAGTCTCTTTCATGCATAGTCTCTTTCATGCACAAAGTTCAGGCCAGACAAAAACTTTTTTACAAATTTTATATGTATGTATTTTTAGAGAGACAACAGTTCCTGCCAATAAGCCAAATGCCCGAAACATGTTTGCTCAGTGAATTACATGTAAGTTAAAAAAGGAGTTTTTTTTCAAAGAAATTGGACTCAATATCTAAGATATTTGTTCTGGCTTGATGAGGGCTCTTGGGAATAAACTGGCTCTTTCTTCGCGCTCATCAGCAGCCGATTTCTCGATAATTGGACATAATTCCACTTGCGTAACGATATATTACGGCGTAACTTGCGCAATCATTTTTTAGGTTGCCTAAGTTGTGGCGTAGCGACTGAAAAATGAGGCATATTACCAGCAAATCGTGATCACCGTGGCGCCTGTTGTTGCACAACTTATCAACGTTGATTCAAAGACACTCACAACTTTGTGTTTGAAGTAAAAGACACATTTTTTTTTAGAGTTGTCGCACAATTCAAAAGAAAGTGGGACAAAAACATTTTCAAAATGGTGGCTGGAGGTATCAAAACGTAGCTAACAACATTCCCCAAAGGTCTATATAAATGACGTCATCATAAGACGATCAGATTCAAAAATAGAACCCCTCCAATGGGTGTGGACTTCCTTTTTTGCGGTGTTTACTAAATGCCTACCCTTCTCTTGGGTCTACGGCGATCGCCCTTGGTTCATCCAGTCCCTCATTGATAAGTACTTTAGGGGACAGAGTGTCCCCATCGACTGACGCGACGTTGATCGTGTTGTTGCTGGTATCGGTCCAGTAAAGGTTTTTGTAGATCCAGTCAAATGCCATGCCGTCAGAAGTGCTCATGTCTGCTATTACTGCAGCGTCAGCGGTGCCATCTTCCGCTAAGGTGAACCTGCAGTTGGAGAGGCAGATTTGAAAGCAGTTAATTCAACAAGAAATACTTAGATGCTTAGAAGAAATACTTAGATGATTTTGGAATCAGATATATTGCAGCGACGTAGCATTCGATGTCATCGCGATACCTTCATTCAGCGTAGTGAATTAAATTACTCCGGTCATGTGACCACCTTTTGGGCGATCACAAGCCAGCAGGTTGTCGTAGATGGCGGGCAGGTCGTATCCGGTGTCTCTTTTAAGGGATGGTTTTTGTGTCAATCTCAAGTTGTTTACAGCTACTCGCTAGAGTAGAGGCACATACCACAACATAAATAGATAAGTAAACTAGTTGAACAGAATCGTCGGAGAAATATAATCGTTGACTTGTTTTGCTTGAAAAGATATATTTATGAATGGGAATAACTATGTGCTTGGCCGGTATTAAACAAGTCCGTTTACGACTGGCTTGCAGCCTGGTCGCCGATAATGGTGTCTATTCTCCACCCAAGCTGTTTTTTTTTTAAACAGACTTGTTTAAAATCAAAGAAACAAGTATTTATGCCTTTAATATAACATGACCAATTGATTAACCAGCCTCCAATGAAAAAACAATTTCAGAAAGTTTTCACTACAGTCTACTACCTGCTTCGTGGATAAATTTCATGTTCTGTGTTAAAGAGAAGATACAACATTTTGCAAACAGGAAAAAAAGAAATGATTACATTATCACATAAAAACTGTTGCGTAATTATCTAGATCGAAGTGTGATAAACTGCGTGAATTCGGGGTCGAGTGAACGATAAAGGAAACAGACACGAAACGTACAAAAAAACTCTGGCATAAAAACGAGACATAAAAAAAATGGAAATAATTTGACAACGTTACTGGATTGTTAGGGAATGACAGTCTAAAGCATCCTGTAAATCATAGCTCCTGGTGAGCTGACATTTTCCAGAAAAGTTGTATTTTTCCAACGGTGGTCGGCCGACTAGCTTTTTTCAAAAACTGCTCCTAATATTTCAAATGTAGTTATTCCAAATTTTCTATGCAATTTATTACACACCTAAGAAGGAGTACAAGCCTGCTAGACTGATTTTCTGACCTTACAATTCCAAAAAGTCTACAAATTGCTGTTCTATTGTAATTGGGGTCAGGGAACCAGACTACAAGAAGATGATTGGTTTTCTTGGTTTTCCCAGCATCTACCAGCCCAAAACGTGAAACAAATCAGTTCATCAACAACTGCTACAACATACTAATCCTCCAAATTCATTCATTTCTGAGAATTGCAACTAAAGCAAATGTTGTACATTCCCTTTAAACTGAGTGCAATAAAGGAGAATTTTGGAACGGACACCTTTTGATCTGTTTTGCCCCAACGTCTCCCACATACACGACGCCAGTGTCTGGATCATATCCCAGAGTGACTGCCCTGCGGAATTGATCTGCAACCAAGTCGCCGTCCCGACGCGTAGCGTTCAGCGCAAACACTCTATCGCCAGCAGCAAGCAGCAGATTCGGGGGCGTCGGGGAGACCGACTTGCAGGTGCGCCCGTCGGCATCGAGGTAGTACTTGGGGTTGGGACAGACGCAGGTGTATCCTGGGCGCTGATTGGAGCAGTCGATGCCGGGACAGGGGTTGGGGGTCAGGGCACATTCGTCCACATCTGGGGAAAAAAAAAACGCATCGTGAGAAAGAGCAAATTACTGATTGATAAGCATCTTGCTACAATGCATGCGTTGCAGTCATCTCCATGCCAAGTCCTTTTAGAAGGCTGATGAAGGCAAAATAACAAAAAGGGTATCTTTGTCACAGGACTTGTCAGCAGTGTGTCCCTTGCACGGAGCTCTCAAAAGTGGTAAAACAGCGCCGTCTTTTGTTGACACACGCACCCCATACAGCCTCCCAAGAATGTTTCCTACCATTTTGTAATACGCCTTAAAACAGATTTAAATGTCTATAATCATCTTAGTGTTCACCGAAAGATCTTAAACCTGGTCAGGTTTAGCAAAAAGTCTTGATGCCAACAACATTTTTTTCTTGGTTGCATCAATTCCGTGAAAAAGTCTGTAAACTTTACCTGAACATCCATATACGGTGAACTCGTACCCCTCACCGCACTCACAGTAAAACCCATTAGGGACTGTAAGACACTGTCGGTCTTCACAGCCTCCATTGTCTTCAGTGCAAGGCTCTGTGAGGAACAGATAGTAGTTGTCTTGTTTTATTTGTATATTCCAGAGCTAGTCCAATTTCTTCTGAGGACACCAATACTGCATACACATCTGTTAGGTTTCAGGTTTCAGGTTTATTTCCATACAGGGTGAGTCCAAAACAAAAACAAAACAAAAAACACCAAAATGTCAAGACCATTGTTTTAGTGAAGTTTTGCATGTAGCACTTTCAAAAGCTAAGATATGAAAGCCCAATCCATAAGCTTTCTTCTAGTACAAGAATCATTTAAAATCACTTATGTAATTTTCAAGAAAGGGAATTTTAATCACAACCTCCGTTTTAAAGTTCTGTCCACGGATCACAAAAAGTTAAGTGTTCTTTCAGCGAAACGAAAACAAATCACATAGGGATGTGTGTGAATTGTTTGTGTTTTGCTGAAAGAACGCAAACCTTTTTTTTGTGATCCTTGGACAGACACTTAATCATTATTGCTTCGTCCTTCAGATGGGATGTAAAGCCGTAGGTTCTGTGTGTTGTTTAATGCACGTTAAAGAACCCAGTAACACTTATCGCTAAAGAGAAGGGGTTTTCCCCGGTGTTTCTGGCCGTGCGTTTATCTTCAGCCATGAAGTCTGCACGTAAGGAGGAAGAAGAAAAAGAAGAAGAAGAAGAAGAAGAAGAAGAACTTACGAACAGTGCACTCGGTTTCATCCTCCCCGTTGGGGCAGTCGTCGATCCCGTCGCAGACCGCAGAAATCTCCAGGCAGGAGACGTCGCTAGGGCACTGGAAGAAGTCTGGCAGGCTGCAAGCGCCATCTTGACAGTCTAATTCGTCTGAGTTGTCCATGCATTGTCGGATGCCATCGCAACGTGCAGAGGATGGTACACATTTGCCTGAATCACAGGTCAAACTATTCGGAGGGCAGGTCTGGTTTCCTGTGAACAAAGAAGAAAGCATTTCCAGAGATAAATGCGACGGACAAGCACTTTCGCATTCCTGTACTCATGGTTTTGGAAAGTCCTATCTTAACTTACTTTAATCATGTGGCCAAGAAGTCACTTCATACTCAAAGTTTTCTTTTTCTCAATAGTTCTCATTATACACACTCATGGCAAATTTCGTTTGAATTGTATCTGTACTCATCATAGTCATGGGAAATTATTTTTAAGTACAACCCTGGATAATTTTCCATTAATGTTTAAACTCTACTTTAGACCAAAAAAAAAAGAAGTCGGTCACTGGTCAGCACGCGCGTCGATTTTAATCATGCGCGTCGATCTTTTTTTTTTCCAAAATGTTCCGTGGTAGCTCCAACAGCGCCCTCTATTTCCACACCTCCTGGATTTTTTTTACCAAAGAGCACCAAGGAATGGGAAATTGCACCAAGGCAAATGATCGAAAGCACCAAGGCAAATTATGGAGGACACCAATGTACATGAGGACATCAAAAGAGCAAAATAGTACCCCACCTTGTCTGTACAATCCAAGCTTGAAGAAAGCAAAAAATAAAGCAAAAAAAAAAAAAGAAGCCGCGTGGCCGCGTCAATTCCGGAACTTTGGTCTGACCAGAGACCGAATATTTTTTTTTTTGGGCCTTAGAATGAGGTACTCACTCTCATGTTTGAAGAAATGTGTTCACACTCCCATTCATGCCAAAGTACTCGCACTCATACTCATAACAAAGTACTCACACACAAAAATACTCATAGCTAACTACTCCGCTCAGACTCATGCCAAAGGACTCACACTGATACTATAGAAAAGGCTCACACTCAAACTCATAGCAAAGTTCTCACACTCACACTCATAGCAAAGTTCTCACACTGATACTCATAGCAAAGTACTCACGCTGATACTCATAGCAAAGTAATCACGCTGATACTCATAGCAAAGTACTCACGCTGATACTCATAGCAAAGTAATCACGCTGATACTCATAGCAAAGTTATCACGCTGATACTCATAGCAAAGTACTCACGCTGATACTCATAGCAAAGTACTCACGCTGATACTCATAGCAAAGTACTCACGCTGATACTCATAGCAAAGTACTCACGCTGATACTCATAGCAAAGTACTCATGCTGATACTCATAGCAAAGTACTCACGCTGATACTCATAGCAAAGTACTCACGCTGATACTCATAGCAAAGTACTCACGCTGATACTCATAGCAAACTACTCACACTGATACTCATAGCAAAGTACTCACACTGATACTCATAGCAAACTACTCACACTGATACTCATAGCAAACTACTCACGCTGATACTCATAGCAAAGTACTCACGCTGATACTCATAGCAAAGTACTCACGCTGATACTCATAGCAAAGTACTCACGCTGATACTCATAGCAAAGTACTCACACTGATACTCATAGCAAAGTAATCACGCTGATACTCATAGTAAAGTACTCACGCTGATACTCATAGCAAAGTACTCACGCTGATACTCATAGCAAAGTACTCACGCTGATACTCATAGCAAAGTACTCACGCTGATACTCATAGCAAAGTACTCACGCTGATACTCATAAAAAGTACTCACGCTGATACTCATAGCAAAGTACTCACACTGATACTCAAAGCAAAGTACTTACGCTGATACTCATAGCAAAGTACTCACACTGATACTCATAGCAAAGTACTCACACTGATACTCATAGCAAAGTACTCACACTCATACTTAATGTGAAATACTCACACTCACATAATAATAATAATACCGGAGGTTTTATATAGCGCACGTATCTACCAACAATTAGGTACTCAAGGCACTGGAAATTATGTCAATTATTAAAGAAAGGTAAAAAAAGTTTTGGAGAAATGTGAGACCCATTATGTAGCACCTTATAAGGGTTGACAGTGTGCTGTGGCGCATATTGCAACCACTGCCAGAAATATCGGGGCAAACCCCTTCTCTTACCGATGAGTGTTACTGGGTTCTTTAACGTACATCATACAACACACGGGACCCACGGCTTTACATCCCATCTGAAGGACGAAGCAATAATGGTAAAGTGCCTTGCTCAGGAGCACAAGGACCATGTTCCTACAGGTCAGGATTCAAACCCATGTACCACGGCACACGAGTCGAACACCGTAACCATTGGACCACAGCACCCCACATCACACACACTAGTACTCCTCACAATGTACTCATACATGTACTCACACTCACTCAGTACTCAACTACATTGTTCTGCCTAGTTTCAGCCATACCGCAATGGCTCTCGTCCTCCCCATCCATGCAGTCCACTTCAGAGTCGCACCACCAACTGGCGAGGATGCAGTCTCCATTATTACACTCACTCTCACATATGCACTCACACTAGTACTCATCACAATGTACTCATACATGTACTCACACTCACTCAGTACTCAACTACATTGTTCTGCCTAGTTTCAGCCATACCGCAATGACTCTCGTCCTCCCCATCCATACAGTCCACTTCAGAGTCGCACCACCAACTGGCGAGGATGCAGTCTCCATTATTACACTCACTCTCACATATGCACTCACACTAGTACTCATCACAATGTACTCATACATGTACTCATACTCACTCAGTACTCAACTACATTGTTCTGCCTAGTTTCAGCCATACCGCAATGGCTCTCGTCCTCCCCATCCATACAGTCCATTTCAGAGTCGCACCACCAACTGGCGTGGATGCAGTCTCCATTATTACACACGCGCTCGTAGCTTCCGCAGGGAGACTCAGTCGCAAGCTCCTGACACAGTTCTGGATCTTCATCACTGTTGTCACCTGTAGCAAGCATGAAAATCTGGGTCTTGTTTCATAATTCACTCAGTAGCTGGGGAATCTATCATTTTCAGTCAATGGCTTTGGCATTTATAAGAGATTATGCAGAATGTCCCCCAAAAGTGTCTGTCTGACTATTTTTAAAATAATTACAAAACCATGAAGTCAATGTTGAAATGTTTTGATTGTGCAGTCACTCCTTAATAGGGAGGTTTCGCAAGCGAACGGATACGCTTACAAATACGTTTAGCTATCCATATCCGTTTTTTATCTAGGTGTAGCGAGCGAGATATGCGTGTCGTCTGCACGTATGACGTCATACGCCACTCACTATCCGCTAAACGTGCAGACGACACGCATATCTCGCTTGCTACACGTAAGTAAAAAACGGATACGGATAGCTAAACGTAAGTGTAAGCGTTTCCGTTCGCTTGCGAAACCTCCCTATTGTCATTGATCACAACAACATTTTGGACACTGTGACCAAGTTCCTTGCCTTATTCAATTCGAATTAATTAAATTCAAGAAGACATTTATTCCACACTCCTTTAGAGAATACATCCATAAATAAAAGAACGACTGGTAAATAGCCAAATTCAATTTCAGTGCTGTGTATATCTAAGCTGTGTAAAAATCCTTCATGCTGTGAAAAGGGCTGCGGTCGAGATTGCCTAGCTACCACTTATAATGGCAAGACCTCAGCTTAATGTTCAAGGGCAAATAATTCCAGAGATGCCAATTTTACAGACTACAAAAAAATAATGATTCTTCCTGCAAAGAGTAATGCTTATGTAAATACATAGGCCAACAGTCAAGTTTAAGAGTAACCACAGTAGTTGTCAGAGTAACCACAATGTTGGCGTATAGGACAGCTGGAATTTTCATGAGTAGTAAACATGCCTCTAAATCCTACTAATTACTCCAAAAGAGTATTGGTTGGCATCTCTGTGATTCCAATCCCAAACCACATCAGCCTTTTTTTTGTCACAACATGAAAAATAAAATAAATTGTGCAAACTTGCAGACCTCACACTTGCAAGGCCTATGCAACTCACCACAATCGTCTTCTTGGTCACAAGTCCACCTGCTTGGGATGCACCTCAGACCTTGATCTGTCGCGCACCGGTACTCATTATCTGCGCAGGTCATGGCTGCACAGCCTTCCTCGTCTGTCCCGCTTTCACAGTCCTGGTCACCGTCGCAGACCCATAGCCGATTGATGCAGGTGTTCTCAGCGGGACAGGTGAATTCGTCTGGCTGGCATGTCCTTTGATCTGTGAGTATAAGGACAACATCTGTGCTGATCACCCCTTGACCAAGTGGTGTCTTCAGTGAACACGATCCGTTACGAGTCCTTAGTGGATGTTATATAACCGACATACAGATCCTAGTCATTTGATTGGTGGAACTCACATCACATGACATTCGTTATTGCTCACATGCACGCCGCGGCTCAAAAAGTACTATCCGCCCATGGGGAATGGGAAATATTATTCAACAGTTAGGATCATGACGCGGTATTTGTTGTGCAAATGAATGTTGGTGTGCACGTTCAGCATTGCGCGTAGCGCGTATTGTTCCAAAGAGCCAGCGCTACAGGGTTAGGTTCAAACATTTTCGTGAAGGGGTGGTTTGGAAGAGAGAAATAGATTTTCCTTCAGTTTTGTAATGAAAAAAAATTCAAATATATCAAATGACAAGGATCTATATGTCAGTTATATAAAACAAATATTGAGTGGCTTTAAATTGTGAAATGGGAGGAATATTATCGCTCATAAAAATTTGGACTTTTCCAGTTCACTCGGCTTCGCCGTCCAGATTTTACCTTGCGAAAATATTCCTCCCATTCCACGCTGAGCCACTCAATATTTGTATACTATTCAGACTGCGTAATGCAAAGCACTTACCTCTACTGTACTGTAGTGTTGCGCGGTCCTATATTATCAGTTCGTTCACGGACAAGTGATATTGCGCCTTCAATTGTGCCTGTCATACAACACTTTCTGATGAGACCATTCTCAGCACAAATCTCCCTCCGAGGACAACAATAAATCTGTTGTTCTCTCTTTGTATAGCTGTCCTCAGACTACAATACACGCTGGATAAGCACACTGGAATAGGATCACCTTGTTTACAGAGTAAAGGCATGTTCGTACTTCATGCGATTGCGAATGTGATGCGAATTCATGAAGAAGTCAGTGGCTGGGGAATTAATATGAGATTATGCAGAATGTCCCCAAAAAGTATTCGCTGCGAAGTTTAGATAAAATGTGTTCAACTTTCGCAATTTTGCAGATTGGAAACTTGTTCTGACATCACAAATTTGCGTTCGTGTTCACATTTGCGCTGAGTATGAACCATAGAGCTAAATTACTAGAGCACTAACTCGTCATTCTGCGCGCAGAGACGCTTTGAAGCCGTCCCGGGCGCAGACATTTTGAATTCATGTGCGTGTTTGTAGAACATAATGAAATTAGATGGATTGAATTTGAAAGTGTACTCTAAATGCAACGCGCAAGTAGAACACACGCAAACAACTTAAGCGCACCACTGACGGTTAAAAAAAACAAGACAGTAAAAAGCATCTGCAGCGAATACATGCACGCATTGCGCTGTTTGCGTAGAGCAAAATGACACGCTCATTTGCTGATTGTGCATTTCGGTTTTGGGCGTATTGGCTTCGATAATGCACTGGTATGGAATACAAACGCAGATATGCAAATAGCCGTACAAAAGCCGTACACAATTTTTATATCTCTATAGGTTTGTGCACAAACAAGGATGCGCCCAGCAGGCATTACTTTGTACACGAAGTTAGCGCTCTTGTAATTCAATATAGCTCTATGGTATGAACCGCCCTTTATACGAGTCTCAGCTTGTTGATAATTACCGATGCTGTCGCAGTTAGCCTCGTCGGACTCGTCGCTGCATTCTGCCAGTCCGTCGCACCACCATTCCTCGATTATGCACTCGCCGCTACCGCAGGTGCGATAACCACTATCGCAGGTGTGCCGAGCTTCTCCACACAGTACGACATCTTCGTCGCTATCATCACCTAGACAGATAAAAGAGAGCGCGGGTGGGTGCGAATGACGGACAGTTCTCTTTTCAGTTGACAATATCTAAAATATCTAATTAATTTCAGAAAAAATGAATTCTTAATTAAAAACCACCTTATGTCTGTACATTGTTTAATATTACTAGGTCACATGTCACGTGATGACGTAATCGTGACTTCACTTGAATTTCATCATCAACACATCCCGGTTTAGGTACATACCAAGTTTCAACCCAATCAGACCTGCGCAGTTCTGGAGATACTGTCCTTCAAAATGCCCCTATAATGTGATGTCATGTGACTCGTAATGACGTCATGATGACGTATATGTTTGGCACACAGCGACAGGTGCTGGTCTAAGTGTGTGCCAAGTAAAAAAGACAATCCGATTGATTTTAGTGCCCAAAGTGCCATGCACGATGAAAACGTGTTAAATGCAATGGGGAATGGCTAAAAAAGGAAAACGAAAAATTTTAACAAAAACAAAAGCTGTTTCGGCATGCACAATGAAAAAGTGTACAAATACAATGGGGAATGGCTGAAAAAAATGAAAAAAAAAAAAATCTTATCAAAAACAAAAGCTGTTTCCGCATGCATAATGAAAATGTGTACAAATGCAATGGGGAATGGGTGAAAAAGAAAGAAAGAAAATTTTTTAACAAAACAATGAAAATGTGTACAAATGCAATGGGGAATAGCTGAAAAAAAAATGAAAAAAAAAAAATCTGATCAAAAACAAAACCTGTTTCCTCATGCACGATGAAAATGTGTACAAATGCAATGGGGAATGGGTGAAAAAGAAAGAAAGAAAAAATCTTAACAAAACAAAAAAGTGTTTCGGCCTGTTTGCCGAAACAGCCAATAAAAGGTTAATTTTATGCTCACTGCAATCACTATCCCCGTCGCACTTCCAGGTCTTTGGAATACACCTGTGGCTGGACACACACTGGAAGTTCAGGTTTTCGTCACAGATGGGCTCCGGGCAGTCCAGCTCATCACTGCCGTTGCCACAATCGCCGTCGCCGTCACACACCCACGCGGCGGGGATGCACTGAACGAGACCCTCAGGGCAGGCAAACCAACCCTCCTCGCAGGATGGCGGCAGCGGGCCTGGATCAATACATAGACACATTACAATCAAGTATCTTGATCTACCAAAATGAGTCTTACATGAAAAAAAAAAGAGTCTTAAGGCCCCCCCCCCAAAAAAAAAGTCTCCGGTTTCTGGTATGGAGCTTGCCCAAAAAGTGGTGTGGCGACGCATTTTTTTTTTTTTTTACCCGTCTTTTTTGCTTAAAATGTCGGCTGATGACTGCAAATGGTGCCCGACTAAACTTAGTGCAAATATATGGGAGTCCGGAGAGGCCATATAAAGCTTATTCTCGATCATAACCCCATCTAAAAACACGTTGAAATTGTGCAGCAGCAGGATTCCAGTCAAACCAGTGAGTTTGGCGGTTTTGAGACATCATCTTTTATTGAAAAAAAAAACTTTTTCATTTTGCCGACGCGCATGGCTACGGCGACGCGCGCGCATACCAGAAACCGGAGACTTTTTTGTTTGGCCTAATGAGTTTTGTGCAATCTCACAGCCGGAGGATGAGGGGGGGGGGGACGATCTCCCCCCTTATGATCTTGCGCATGCAATCCAGGGGTTGCAGGTTCAAACCCCACTCCAGTCGATTTGTTTGCCAACTTTAATCTGTAATTTTTTTAAAATACAATTTGGTAGTTTTGTAGAGTTTTTAATACAGCAGTTAGGTGATGAATTGTGCCTTTGATGATACGGTACAAGCATGGAATTTGGCATCCAGTCAGAGTATGTCATTAGAAAGATATTTGGCTATTGAGCCATTTAAAAAAATATTGGCAGAACAAGCAATGGCAGCCACTTTGAACATTTTGAAAATTGCTTGATATTCTACTGCTATTTTTTTCAAAGGACGAATCTGCAATGACCCTACATGTATAACCAAATATCTTTCTCATGTCATACCCTTATGTGTGCCAAATTCCATGCTTGTATCATCTACATGTATGCTCAAAAGTGCAAGGTTTTAGCTCAGTCAAACAAATACTTCATCTTTAATTAGGATAATTTATTGTCCACTTTTCTATCCATGCCTGGATCTGCTTTCCTACAATTAATGGAAAACATTTAAGCTTTACAGTATTTTGCATGGATTATTTGATGTTTTGCACAGACACTAGGCCCTATATTTGATTTGTATCAAATGGGTGCCAAAATATCTGTTAAGACATCTAGCTTCAAACTCACTAGGGGTAACAATGACCAAAAAAAAATTAGCAGTGACAATACTTGGGGACAAAAAAGAATAAGTCCCCTACCCCAACACCTTTGGGAAAAAGAATACAATGTATGCGTCGACTGCATGCATTGTCATGTGCATGAAAAACAGCACTTCAGTTTAATATCACACAATGTTAGCATTCTGATTTAAAGACATTACGTGTGTGTGGAATGCCACTTCCTATTTTTTTTTTTCCAATTTGTGCAAGATTTGTTTAAGGGCCTTGAACTCTTTTAAAGGTAAAACTTGCGATTTCCGACTCATTGCATTCGACCGGGTCTCAAATGCAGACAGGACGTGTTAAATACAGGAAATTGCTGAAGCACTCCAGGGTTCAATGGAGATAAACATCCCGGTTATATAAACATCCTTGCAGAAAGTTGACAAACTACGTGCACAAGTAGACGTCTTTTAGAAATTGTTTCAACGCTTTTATCTTTGCATTTTTATTCCTGCAAAGTCTAACCGGTTTTGAATTTCCTCTGTGACAGAATTTTACTTTTCTATTTTGGGGAAAGGTTACTGGAGGACGGTAGTAGTTCTAGGGGTAACTTTTTTTCTCATAGCACAGTTCACTAGCTTCTAAATTTAAATTTAACGTTTTCTTAGACTTAATTTGGTGTTGATTGAGACACAAAGCATAATTTTTGATGACGTGTTTATTCATTATGGCAATAAAGACAAAACCAATTACATGCATTATTAATGGGCAAAATTGCGTACGTGGTCTAACGCTAACAGATGTCTTTCTTTTGCAAAATAATTGACCCATTGTGGTAGAATCTCGTTAGAATCGCGTCAACGCAGCTGGTGAAATATTGTCCAATTACATGATATGCAAATGAATGCGGAACGCGCATTATCTGCGACAAACAAAACTTAGCATACAACAATTCCATAGGGTTGTCTAAGGGGCCTGGCTAACTGCAAACGGCGATAGGTCAATTTGATGCAATCAAGGAGAAAAGGTTAAATAAGAAAATAGTTCTGGATCATGTACAGAAAAACAAAATTTGAGGGGTTAGTATAATCGATCAAATATCGTTACACTGACATGTTTGAAGTTTTGTGTTCGAAAATGCTTGAAAAACCAAGAAAAACAATAATGTTCAAGTAGTCTGGTTCCCCGACTCCACTAAAAATGAAATGGATCAATTTATAGATGCCGCAAAATTGTAAGGTAAGGGAACCAGTCTAGCTGGCCTGCACCCGTTCATAAACATGTAACCAATAGCAAACAAAATTTGAACTGATAAAATATGGTAAATTTGGAGCAGAAGTTGAAAATAGTTAGGTTTTTCCAACGGTGGTCGGCCGACCACCGTTGGAAATGTATACAAAAATACCATTTTCTTGAAAATGACTTCACACTAGGTGCCATAATTTTACAGGATGCTTAAGACTGTCATTTACCAACATCCTAGTAAGATATTTCGTAAAAACTCGGTAGTTTTATTTTTCGATGTTTGCAAATGTTGGTATTTCCCTTTAAAGCATTCTTTTCGATCATCAACCAGATTTATTGCCCGGTTGGAATATTTGAAAACAAAAACAAACTATGCATGTTCACATGTACACACACGACTGTGAAGGTTCACCTCAAAATATACACCTCCCAAAAAAGAACATAAATATGAGGGCAAAAAAAAAGATGTGGGAAAAACATAGCCAAGCTCCTTTTTTTTTCATGTGAATTTATCGTGAAATTAAAAGCTGAGCTTACTGGCACAAGTTGAGCTGAGCTCATCCGATGCATCCATGCAGTCTGCAAAACCGTCACAAACCCACTTCTGTAGAATGCAATGATTGTCGTGACACTTGAACTCGTTACTGCTGCACTCAATTTCTGAGGGGAAAAGAAAAACGAACACAAGTTATAATTTGAAGAATAGAGTTTATTACAGGGGATTATGTTAAGGAGAATACACGAGAAAGTGTGGATTCGTAATTTAAGATTCGTAAATTAAGAATCCACATTTGGGAGTGTATTCTTTGACTTAAACCATTGCAGAAGTATTGTCATTAACAGTCCAGTGAGAGGAGATGAAAAGACTTGCATATCTCGTGTCGAGTCATGGCCATTTGGGTAATTTACGAGGGAGTTTTTCGAGGCTCTTATACGCAAACCAAGCATTGTGGCGCGTTTAGCATGTCGCAACACCTGTACAACCAAGTTATTTTGTGTGTAAAGGCTCCTTATAATATCACGTCAACATGGATAGTGCAGACAATGATTTCTTTCTGACTCCAAGTAGTTTTTGCAGTGACGACGGAGAATCTGACAGTGAAGATGCATTGGTAATTTTCGGAAGGCAAATTTTCAAGAAGACGGTCCCATTAATGCTCATTATGAAGAACAATTGTCCGACATGTTCAAAGTGTGGATTCGTAATTCCGAATCCACACTTTACTAAAGATTCGTCGTTCCGAATCCACACTTTGTGACCACTGTAAGAGTTTTGTAGTTCCGAATCCACACTTTTAACAATAGTGTGATGTCACTGCAATGGTTTAAGTTTTTGTACCTAATGGACTGGGGCTGTGCATTGGAACCAGGCACCCGAGTACGTGACTGCTGATGTTAGGAACCAGATCAGGTACTCGTAACCAACTTTACAAACTACTTAAAGTAACTTCCAGGTATGAAAGAAACACGTTTTTGAATGTCATGTAACTGAACAACCCACAAAAACCGTGAAATAACAGAAGAGCCAAAATCAATCATGGTACAGGGTGAGTAAAACAAAGCGGAACCCAAACCCCCCAAATATATTTCATATTTAAAAAAATATGTAGCACCAAACTAATAATTACGGGAAAGGCAATTTCATAAGCTACTTTTAGATGAAAAAAATATGGAAACTGCTCAATCCTTTCAAAGAATATCATCATTTAAACGCAATGACCCTAAAACCTATCAAAACGACACAGAATACTTTTTCAACAACTGTCAACAACTGTAGTACACAATATCTTTATTAACAACCCTGCTTATGCAAACAATATCATTTAAACAATCCACATTTATAAAATACCAGCCTTCAAAAGGACTTTGTTGAATATTTTAAACTTTCAAACTTAGCTTTTATCGCTGACGATATTTGAAGACATTATTGCGACGACGATTCTTGACATCACATTTTTGGACGAAAGACGTTTTAGGGTCATTGTGTTTAAATGGTGATATTATTTGAAAGGATTGAGCAATTTCCATATTTTTTTCATCTAAAAGTAGCTTATGAAATTGCCTTTTCCCGTAATGATCATGTTTGATGAGCACTACATGTTTGGGCAATCGTGAAGTGTAGGGCCCCTGTTTTGTTTTGATCAAATTAGAGTCAAAAATATTTTTTATTGCTCAAAAATCACCTTTACAATCAAAAGCAGACTTTTCTCAATTCTAATGACACCCGTTTTGCAGTTTCTTGGGGTAGAAACCACGATTTTCCTGCGCGGTTTGTGCCTTGCGATTCAGCGCGCCGTGCGTGCTCATGGTACATCGCGCGGTGATCGGCATCTTTATTTTCGGGTCGCGTGTTGTCGCTGCGCTGTCATCGTCATTTTACCCCCAAATTTCCCTCAAAAAATCAAAACCCTGCCCTCTATCTATGACATACCTGTTTATTGAGAATGTCGCCAACTAGTTTGTAGGTCCAATAATTTTTAAGTGGATTTTGTTCCCTTATAGGAACCGGGCCCTACACTTCACGATCGCCCATATTTGGGTCTTTTACATGACAAGATGCATGACTCACCCCCGCAGTCGAGCTCATCAGAACGATCTGAGCAGTCTACCTGTCCATCACACTGCCAGAAGCTGGGGATGCATTCCTCTCCGCTGCTGCATGCAAACTCCGTCTCGGCATCACAACCTGCGAGGGATTCAAGACAATCGGGCACTTCAATTTTCACAAGAATGACCTGTGGAATTTGAAGGAAGTATCATGTTTGGAAGAATACATGTATCTCAAACTGCATGATTTTATGCCAAATTTGATCAGTCACAGACAGCCAACAAGTTCCCCTGCCATGCACTTGTAAGTTGTAGGCCTACACTGGTTAGTCAAAAAACAGTCAGATCACATTCGTTTAAACATGTTTACACTTTGACTAGCCTAATTCTAACAGACGAAAGAGGTATAACTGGCGGGTACTGCTAGTGCTAGCATATCATTATCATCTGACACCTTCAGTCAAAGTCAAACTGCATGGGGGATCTTTCAATTTTATATAAGCCCCCCCCCCCCAAAAATAAGTCTGTCTCTGGTCAGCGCGCGCGTCAATTTTAATCATGCGCGTCGATCTTTTTTTTTCCCAAAATGTTCCGCTGTAGCTCCAACAGCGCCCTCTATTTCCGCACCTCCTCATTTTTTTTTTACCAAAGAGCACCAAGGAATGGGAAATTGCACCGAGGCAAATGATCGAAAGCACCAAGGCAAATTATGGAGGACACCAATGTACATGAGGACACCAAAAAAGCAAATAGTACCCACCTTGTCTGTGCAATCCAAGCTTGAAAAAAAAAAAAAAAAAGCCCCCCCCCCAAAAAAAAAAGCCGCGTGGCCGCGTCAATTCCGGAACTTTGGTCTGACCAGAGACCGAATATATATTTTTTTTGGCCTAACCACTAACATAACAAGGAAATCATGAACTGTTTTGGCACTGTTTTATATTTAATTTATTAACTGTTTCACTGTGGCTTAACATGTTTTAAGATGTTTTAAGATGTTTTGTATGCTCAAACCTTTGTGCTAACAAAACTTCCATCTTCTTTTGATTAGATGAAAAATTGCAGAATCGGTTACCATATCCCCCATCAGCCCACTTGGGTGCTTTTAAGTTGTCATGGTTGTAGCCTAATTATACTAGTTTGTTTATCTCTCGCGTCTCGGCAAGCATATCTCGTGCGCATCAGCACAACCGAGGGAAAGAATGTTGCAACCTGACGCTACCTCAGCGATTGTGAACAAAGTCTATAAAAGAGTCAAGACAATTTTCTAAGTATTTGCTAACAAAATTGGAAATATTTCTCAGTCCCAGATTCATGTCTCATCATCATTTTTGCAATGACTGACACTGGCTTCATTGACATGATTATACGAATGAAGAAAAGCAGCATCAGGTTGTAACTTGTAAGTTGTTGTAGTTGTACGGTATGCAACATTCTTTCCCAACCAAGTCCAATATTTACCGCAAGATCTCGTAATGTGGTCAGAGGCCAAAGAAGTCCTAACGGACCAAGATTGCAATGCGGCCTGTTAGCTGTCCAAAGGTCCATATATCATGTATTTAGCGTTAAAAACGTCAGCCTAAAATCAAAGAAACTCATAAGTCATATCTTCCGCCTCTCACGCGCACACGTGTGCTGTGATCGCCAACGTTAGAGCGCCCTCTAGAGTTGGGCATTCACCTTAAATTTGTTTTCTGCAACCAAGTTTTTGGTCAATGACCATAATGCGCATGCGTCCATCGGTTACGCAATGGTTCTCGGACTGGACTTCCCTTAAAAAAAAAAAAAACCTCCTCCCTGAGCCATAAATGAGCAGACAAGTCTCCCTCCCCAACTTTTTAAAGTGTGAGGATAACATATCCTCCCCCCCCCCACTTTTTTCGTCTCCGAATAAAAATTGTAGCCTACAAAATTCGCAAATGATATTTAAATGATGATCTTTTGCTAAAAAAATATATTAAAGTGGTTAGAAATGGCCTCAGATCGCACCACAGATCGAGCTCCCCATCTAGAATCTAAAATTGTTTGGGGCGCAGGCCCTTTAACTTTAAGAGCGGGCCCCTTGCATCAAGGTTGGCCCCCCACACACTTTTACGATTTGACGCTCTCATCTTGCACCGAACGCATACTAACCCGATCGTCTTGAAGCTTGGTGGGTAGGTACATGTACTAGCATGCAACATTCGAGGTGACGTCATGATGCCGTCATCATCTGATTTTATATGTTTAAGTTTGTCTAAACAATTTACATTTTCTGTAGTTAGCACAAGGTCATAGACAAGTAACATCATGGTGACGTCATCATGGGGCATATGGCGTCATCTTAAAGGTGGTATATTCTAAAATTCTTTATCTATATTTTGATTGGTTTGGAACTTGGTATGGACAAACACACTACACTCCCGAGGACAATGCTTTGTGTTTTCCTTTGTCCCTGTAATATAGCACTCTTCCATAGACTAAGCACACAAACCTACTACAGAGGACCGCTTCGAACAAAAGACCCAACTCCAGAGGACTGAAATGATCTGTTGCTCTCCCTTTGTGTGTCTGTCCTCGGGGGTTATGTAGAACAAGTACATTTAGACCGGGACGTGTTGCAGACACAAATTGGGGTGGCGTCACTGTGACGTCATCACGGGTCATGAGACGTCCTTTTAATGATTCATATTTCAAAGTCTATAAAATATACAAAATGTATCTGGAGAACTTAGTCGTCAAAGTATGTTCTTGTATATAATTTACCTGACTGCATAGGAACAAAACAAAAGATAAACTTCAAACATAATGCGGAAAAGCCCAATGCTCTGTTCATCGAACAGACATATTGTTTAGTACATGTATACTGAATCTTACCCTCCGGTTGGTAACTGTCAAGAACGAATCCGACGGCAGCTACGGGCAGCAGCAGTAATACCGAGCACAAAACCTTCATGACTATAGCTGACGGTCCTTGCGGAGCGCGGCGCTTTGCAGACAGGGTCGTCTCAACTGCGTGGTGTCACCTCACTGAAAAGATGTCCTGAAGTTATTGCCCTTTATATAATGTTAACCATTTGATTCAACCAATCCAAGGTCAGCTTGGGAATTGTTTTCTACCGGAAGTTCCTGCTGTTTAACCTTGCACGAGGTGTTCCGTGCCAGACAGTGTCATTTGTCTCTGCGGGGGCGGATCCAGGTTGGAATCAAGGGGGGGGGACTATATAGCCGTCATGGGGGGCGGGGTTGATTTTATTTTTAACAGGCATTTTTTTCCTCCATGATTTCCTTTCTTTAGAAGCCCCAACACCCCATGGATCCGCCACGTTACATGACTTCCATTTACCTCTCTTGTCGCTAACAAGGCGTCCTTTGTTAATTTTTGCAATTTATATCTCGTGTTTTTGTCCCTTTAAAGCAGGCCGGTCATCGGCCGAAACAAAGAAGTCTTGAAACTGAATGCAGCTGCGAAGACGGCTAATGAAACGGATGGCGGGTGCCACCGCATGTATCGGTATAGATGAATGATTGATCAGAGATTTTCGTATACGGTGATTTCAACACCGTACTTTGACCAGGGATGGATATAGGTTGCGGGAATTTCTCATGACACCGGGGACCTCAAACTCAAACCATGTCACCGCTGGTCACGGCTCGCTGACAGGAAGTCAAAAAGGAAGATACTGTAGAAGTAAACTCGGCCAAAATAGATTTCTCATTATCTCCAGTTATATTAAGTCTGCGGACTCCAAACTTGTTGGGGAATACAAAGTCATGTATAGCCAAACTCTCCAGCCCTCTATCCATGTACAAATATTTGAAAATTCCTTATGACAAGGGGCACAAACGCGAGATAGAGCAAGAAATGGCACCGCTGGCAAAAGGCCTGCTCCTCAGAGGGAAAATACTGAAGAGAAATAAACTCAGCAACACACCAAGGTGTGTCTCGATTCTCGAATTATATCCACTTATAAGTTGGGCAATGTATAACCTATTATACGTGTGGTTTGATTCTCTCGTCTTGTCCAAAAGTATGAAAACCTATTCCAACAGGAACTGATAAATTGACACAAGTTGGTCGAGAGCGGGTGCTATACACACCTGCCGAGGCGATTGCAGATTCTTAACTTTATTACATGCTATTAATTTTTTGTAATAAATCTAAATAACATATGCAGAAATCTTGAGAGTTGCAGTTATACTTTGTATTATTTGTTCATCGAGTCACAACATAATTGACCATTTTCAGGGCAACAAAGGCCCTTTATCTTTCCTTTCCATCAAATATACAGGAATAACATTCACGATTCTCAGCAATTGAAAGTTTGCACTTTAACCACTAGGCAGCTCAGTTTTTACATTAAAGCACTTATTTCTTGTTAGTAAAATTGCGGTGAAGTTTCTTGTCCCTAGTTAAAATGCAGTGTAGTTTTTTTTCTTAGTGATAAGTGATTGGATTCATATTCGCATTCTGAAAATAGCATGCCTCTGATGATACCAATAGACGCTATAATGTTTAAAGGGAATATACATCATTTGCTTTTGCTGTAATTTTCAGAAATGGATGGAATTGGGGGGTTGGAAATATATGGCAAATATAGTTACACTGACTTTTTGGAGGTTTTGGGTTCGAAAATGCTATAAAAACCAAGAAAAACGATCATTTTCCTGTAGTCTGGTTCCCTGACTCCATATAAGAAGAAACAGAACAGTTTACATACATTGGGGAATTGTAAGGTCAGGGAACCGGTCTAGCTGGCTCGTACCCGTTCATAGGTTTGTAATCGATTGCAAACAAGTGCAATGGTCAATTGGGGCCAGTATTTGAAAAAAAGCCAGTTGTTTCCAACGCTGATCGGCCGATTAGCGTTGGAAATTGATACAAAAATACCACTTTTCTTGAAAATGACAGTATACCAGGTGCCATAATTTTGCAGGATGCTTTAGACTGTCATTTACCAACATCCTAGTAAGGTATTTCGCAAAAACTTGGTAGTTTTATTTTTCGATGTTTGCAAATGTTGTATATTCCCTTTAAAACTTTCCCTATAGTTCAGATTCTTTATTCGCATAAACGTAAGTGCACAATAAAAAGAAATACAAATCGCATACACGTACAAATTACATAAAAAACAAAAATACACAAAACAAAAATACACGTTAATAAAAGAAATCATTACATTCAGCCCTACCAACGAAACTTCTTGTATAGCAGTAATCTTCCTAATAGCAACCCTAATCCTTCATTACTACAACAGGCATTCCATTGCTTTATAACATTAGAGGTGCACATGTTAAATCACGAGCAGAGAAACCTAAAATTACTCCCACAATTACTTGTCTAATAATCAACCTATGTCAGCTATTAAAACAAGCTTTAGGCCAAGTAAAAAAAACCAAAAATGTTTAGCGTCCTGCTTTTTGAAAAAAAGGAGGAGGCCCTTTTTCCCCTTCCAAATGGCCGCCCGACCGGGCTATTTTTCAAGATGGCCGCCAGCTTTTTTTTTTAAATGGCCGCCACTTGGACTCAGGAATGACATATACTAGATGCACCAGACAAAGAGGCCAGAATGATGTCACTGTTTAAAATTTATCATTTTTGTTCGTGTAAAAAAAGAAAAAAAAGAAAAAAAAAGGAGGCCTCCAAAAAGGAAGCGGGCGGTGATCAAAATGGTGATCAAAAATGACTTTTAGTCAGGTACCTGGACCTGCTCTATGCAGCATACTAATTTCGTGGAGCGCGGCATTCATACCATCCTTCAGGATCAGCTACGGTGGCCTCCTTAATTGCTCCCCTAGGAGTGCAGATCACTCCCTCGTCTTCACTGACGGTGCATCTCATGTCAAAGTTCAGGCCGTGATCGGCCAGGTAACCACTGGTCAGGCCGCGGACGTGGATTGGTTCCTGCAAAAGAACACAAATGGTTCTTCTGATGTACACATTATGTACACACATGCACAAAAATCGGAGACAGTTTGGACTTACCCCACATGCACAAACAATCCCTCAACAATGAAAAGGTGTCCGATGATGGTTATTCAGTGCTTGGTAGCGGAGGCTCATCTTTTTACTGATGGAGAGCTGGATCATTAGTGTGTACGTTCTCCGACAAGTTTGAGGTCCACAGACCATGACCAAATATGACTCGATACATAAATCCAGCGACAGAATGACGAAAATTGCCCGAAAAAAAGAAAAAAAGGCCACCACGCCAGTTCCAAGGCATTCGACCAGCATCAACGGATTTGCATAATTTTATTGTAGCCTAGCCGCGGCATGATGTCGCTGTTCGCGCTTCGTACGGTACTTGTATATTTAATATGAGTGCATATACTGCGTAACGCCCTGCTACTGTTTATTTAAGAGGCCCACCTTCGAGCATCGGGCAATATCTTCGAACGTCTTGACCAAGGCTAAACCCAAAAAGGTGAGGTTAGAAGTCCTTTTTACAAATCCAGCACAATAGAAGTTAAGAGTTCATTTCATTTAAAATTGGTGTCACTACAGTATACTACTTACTAGCACTTAAAAAACCTTAACAGGCATACATTTTGTATGTATGATCATAAATAGTCCATGATGTTGGCTGTGGATGAGTACGTTTTCCAGTACGTAATAAACCATATGTTGACGGGGGGAAATAGCACCTTTTTGACAATTTAACATTTTGCTTAAACTCTCCTTCCAATTTTAGTGGGGGGGGGGCCAATGTACTTCCGTTGGCATTTCATGTTAATTTATGGCAACCTTTATAAATGTAATCTTATGAGTGCTGAGAACAAGAAAATTGATGTTGCCATTTTTTCCATTGACCTTTAGTGACCTTGACCTGAGGTCAAAGTTCATGGGTCATTTTCACCTAAAATTTGCTTTTTCGGAAGGGTTTGCGAAGATTTTCGAGGCAAGTGAGCACATATTGTATTTGGTTGAGAGTTTATCCATTATAATAAATGTTATTATTAATGTATTTATGGGTTTTCCTGAAGAAAACATGGGAAAATGTCACTTTTGCTCGAAAAGAGCCGGGTTGTTTTGACCATCTCACGCAGATTCCGCCCCCCCCCATGACCTCGGCCATCGAGTGACGAAAATTATGAAACTCGGTACATGCATAGAACAACTTAACATGAACAAACCCAAGAAATTTCATGACTATGGGTCAAAGGGTTTTGGAATTACGGCTAATTAATTATTCATAAGCACGTATGGTAATTCAAATGTGTACACTACGTATATGGGGAAATTCAGTTTTGACGGAGGGTAGCGCCGAAAATATTTCGCTGCGCGGCAACCTGTGGTTCGAATTTTATGTTTTTGGTATCAAAAGATGTGCAAGACTCGAGGCTAAAAAGTCAGGACAGCTCAGGCCATTAAATAAATAATTTTTTCAAGAGTAATTTGAAAGAGGGAAAATCCACCCCCCCCCCTTTTAGGGCCAAAATATGACCAACCCTTTAGTGCCTAGCATCTAAATATGAAATGTTGTAAAGTGTCCTCTGCAGTATCGCACTCACACAGGGTGTTTGTCGGTTGAGGAAAATCCCCACTTCTTTTGGTGCGAGCCACTCCAGAGTGGAGGTGATTTAAGCACCTCCAGGTCTTCCATCCTGCATTGGATCCTGTAGGTAAGGCTTCTGCAGGCTTGATGATGCATCTCATGTAGTGGGGGAGACGCCACCAGCCTGGTCAACCCAGGAGGCACACACTTGGGTCTTAATAGCAGGATTGATCGCTTTCAGGTGACTCACAGTGTAGCACTGCTGTGACTGGTCAAGAGCATCGGTCAACGTCTTCCCTTGGGGGACCGTTCCTTTGAAGACGTACTCTACTCTGCCCTTGAATACTACAAAGAAACGATGGTTCTTCAGTAGAACACCAATAACTGGGTAAGGGTCAGGTCTGCCTTCATGTCCAGGATCTTCTGAAGGAGTCAGCAACGGTTAACACTGTCAAAAGCAGCTGTAAGATCAACAAAGACAGCGCCGGTGATCTATTTTTTTCTTATGGAAGCAGTCCTTAATGTACTGAGTGAGATTTAGAAGCTCTCCTGTTGTAGATTTGCCGGGACAGAAGCCTGCCTGCCTGTTCCTGTATCAGTTGTTTCTCAATGAAGAGGCAAGAAGGTTGAGGAGGAAATATTCCAGCAACTTGAATGTGTGACTTCGGGACGATAAGTTTTGACATGCATTGGGTCTTTCCCGGGTTTTAGGAGGGCGATGACCTTCGACTTTTGCCACACTTTAAGTATTGTTTGTGTGGCGAGGCAGGTGTTGATGAGCTGGAGTAACCAATTTGAGGCGTTTGGTCCAAGATGTTTCAGTTCTTTGGTGAAAATGTTATCCAGTTTGGTTGATTTCCTGTTCTTCATTTATGCCAGTCGCAAGTTCATAAGCAGAGAAGGATTTGATGAAGCCAATAAGGTCGATGGCGGGGTCTTTCTGGCGGAGCTTGGCTTTCGGTCGCTTATTAGGAAAACGTGGCACTTTACCATTTACATAGCAGTTGTTGTGGGCTATTTGGTTGGCGGTGATGTTACAATGCTGTTCGCTTGGCTGAGCTTTTTTTTATATATGCTCCAGGCTTGGAGGCCATATTGGCTTCTTGGCCATATTGGTGGTTACCACAAGGGTTTGCCACAAGCTTTGAAGCTGTTCTGATATGGCTGTTATTAATTCCTCCCCAGATGAGATGGTATCGACAGCAAGAGAGTCATTTTCATACATGCATTTCTATATCCTGTAAAGTTCAGCATTACGGGATGCTAAGCCGGGGATGTAATCAGTGCGGCAGCCCCTAGGGATGTTCTTGCACCACCACATCAACAAACCGGTGTCATAGTTATCAGGGGTTGGATCAATGTCAGCTAGATGGTGTTTGAGTTCTTTGGTGAAGCCTTCACAGTTGGAAGTTGAAACAGCGGTGGAATGGAATTGTTGCGAAGAGACAGCAGCAGTCACTTTGATTCCAATATGGCGATGTCAGGTCTTTGGAATGGGGTCAAGGACCATCTTGTTGCTAAGTGAGGCGATGTTGTGGCTCACAAGGGCTAGAGCAGGGTTGAAACTTTATCTCCAGCCTCCACTGTGGAAAAATTCGACAGTTTCGCATTGTGCAGGCATGCAACTGTAAACTCACCACAAAAGAGGAAATTCCTAAATTCAGAAGACTTTGTACAGTGATTTTCAATTTTGAATGGCAGAAATGAGAATAAAATAAGAGGAAATCAGCTGATCTGAGGAAAAGTTGCATGCCTGATTGTGAATAAGGCTCAGTTGACTTGCTTCCGCCAGCGATTCAAAAGCGTCGACGTCTGTGCTGGAATGATGCCGCTGTTGCTATTAAATCCCGATAATTATGCGTGGCTTTGGCTGTTTTGTGGATTGTGGCGGTGGCATTAGGATGGAAGACCTGGAGGTGCTTAAATCACCTCCGCTCTGAAGTGGCTCGCACCAAACGCATTATGAAGAAGTGGGGATTTTCCTCAACCGACAAACACCCTGTGTGAGTGCGGTACTGCAGAGGACACTTTACAACATTTCATATTTAAATGCCAGGCACTAAAGGGTTGGTCATATTTTGGCCCTAAGATTTCCCCCCCTTTCAACTTTTCCCGCGATACTCTTGAAAAGTTATTTATTTCGCGGCCTGAGCTGTCCTGACTTTTTAGCCTCGAGTCTTGCACATCTTTTGATACCAAAAACATAAAATTCGAACCACAGGTTGCCGCGCAGCGAAATATTTTCGGCGCTACCCTCCGTCAAAACTGAATTTCCCCATATACGTAGTGTACACATTTGAATTACCATACGTGCTTATGAATAATTAATTAGCCGTAATTCCAAAATCCTTTGACCCATAGTCATGAAATTTCTTGGGTTTGTTCATGTTAAGTTGTTCTATGCATGTACCGAGTTTCATAATTTTTCGTCACTCGATGGCCGAGGTCATGGGGGGGGGGCGGAATCTGCGTGAGATGGTCAAAACAACCCAGCTTTTTTCAGGCAAAAGTGACATTTTCCCATGTTTTCTTCAGGAAAACCCATAAATACATTAATAATAACATTTATTATAATGGATAAACTCTCAACCAAATACAATATGTGCTCACTTGCCTCGAAAATCTTCGCAAACCCTTCCGAAAAGGCAAATTTTAGGTGAAAATGACCCATGAACTTTGACCTCAGGTCAAGGTCACTAAAGGTCAATGGAAAAAATGGCAACATCAATTTTCTTGTTCTCAGGACTCATAAGATTACATTTATAAAGGTTGCCATAAATTAACATGAAATGCCAACGGAAGTACATTGGCCCCCCACTACTCTGTCAAAACTGAATTTCCCCATATACGTAGTGTACACATTTGAATTACCATACGTGCTTATGAATAATTAATTAGCCGTAATTCCAAAACCCTTTGACCCATAGTCATGACATTTCTTGGGTTTGTTCATGTTATGTTGTTCTATGCATGTACCGAGTTTCATAATTTTTCGTCACTCGATGTTCGAGGTCATGGGGGGGGGGGGCAGAATCTGCGTGAGACGGTCAAAACAACCCAGCTTTTTTCAGGCAAAAGTGACATTTTCCCATGTTTTCTTCAGGAAAACCCATAAATACATTAATAATAACATTTATTATAACGGAGAAACTCTCAACCAAATACAATATGTGCTCACTTGCCTCGAAAATCTTCGCAAACCCTTCCGAAAGGCAAATTTTAGGTGAAAATGACCCATGAACTTTGACCTCAGGTCAAGGTCACTAAAGGTCAATGGAAAAAATGGCAACATCAATTTTCTTGTTCTCAGGACTCATAAGATTACATTTTTAATGGTTGCCATAAATTAACATGAAATTTCGACGGGAACCCCAAATCTACACATTGGCCCCCCTACTATTTGTTTGAAATTGATATGTCAAAATGTTGCAAGACATCACTCTATATGACTCACAATGGCTTGGCTTAAAAAGGAAAACAACATGCCTATCAGAGAAAACATTTGGGGTGGGCAGGATTGTCCTAATTCCGCCCCAGCACTAATAAGGAAAGAAAATAACTAAACTTCTCACCTTCTGACACCCTTCCCCATCACTCAGGAGCAGTTTTCCATTATCACAGAGACAGGTGCTACCGTCCGTGTCCAAGTAGGCCATAGGGGGGCAAGCGCAGGTGAAATTAGTCGGGCTGGCTGGGGAGGGCAGGCAGTGATGGGAACAGCTGGGAAAGACGTCGCAGTAGTTGACGACATCTGAGGATAAGAAGATTGGCACATCACATTGTAAAAACAAAAGGACAAAAACAATGAATTTTAAAGCTAGACTACGACCCGAAACCAAACCACTGTTTGTTTTGGCTTTAAGTGTCTGTTTGGCGTTTTGGCCACTCCTGACAGTGCTTCGATTTCATCACTCGATTCCATCGTAGGTCCTGTCGAAAATATATCTCAAGTCAATTCTCAAGTCCTGTCAAAAATTAATGAGGATGAACAATAACAAAGGACTGTCTGCGTTCATTGTTTGTGACTTGACTTGAGACTGAGTGCCGGTGGCTTGTAATTGATTTGTGAAGGACCAGTGATAAACGTGTTGTCCTAAGTCCTCAAAAGTCCTTACATGCATGCATGTCTATCACAAGTCATCCAGTCCCTAGTCAATTCCCGAGCTATTCAAATGATTTGTAACGAAGATATTCCATATCTGCACGTTATTGTTCATCCACGTGCCCCTGTTGGTGGAAGTGGAAACCTGTTCCCGTTTTGGCAGTTTGTATAACATAATGTATACATGGTTTCTTTTTCGAAAAAAAGTTACACAAGTAACCAATTCATGCAGGCCAAAGATCAGTCCACTAGCACCAGAATTGACGGAGAAACAAGGGCGGGGACAGCAAGCAGAACGTCTACTCCTGCGCTAGGTAGATCCACAGGGCGACAAGCAGACCACATTCAAATCGGCCAGATGTACGGGATTAGATAACATGAGCACTCAGGAAAGACAACAATCCAGCATGCTTAATCTGAGTAATTAACAAAAAAATCTAGCAGGAGATCAGTGCCAGTCTATCGAGAACATTTTCAGTACTAAAAAACCCCCAATACGGTGGGGCCCTTCCAAGTTTCTGAGAGGATCCACAACACACAACACAATACTGCAGACGAGGGGTAGACGAGAATCGTTAAGCGATCTGATGCAGTCAATCAGACGCCTTATCTCTAAAATTTATCCCAGTTATCAACCGAGGCCAAGGAAGATCTAGCAGTGGAGGCTTTCCGCAATGCGTTAGGGGAAAGAGCAGCTTCAGCGACTGGTCTTCACCGATAAACCAAAGACTCCGACGGAGGCGGTGACCCTTGAAACGGAAATCGAGGCCTTTCAGGAGTTCGTAAGAATGGGGGCACAGGATACCAATGCAGTAGTTCAGCCACCAACCCCTGAGCAAGACGTGGATATAGTGAGCGACTTTTGCTATTCGCAGGTGCCATGAAGTTGGACACAGTACCGTAGAAATTGACCACGATGCAACAGGCTAAACCACGGCGCAACAGGCCAAACCACGACAATGACAACATGAAAAAAGGGAGGGGACCAAACTGCACGACAAAAGAACCACAGGTCACAGACTCCAGCCCATGCGACCAAGAGAACAGCGGGCACCCATTACGCCATGGGCAAAATCGGTAACACGGCAGTCCGGTTCTTGCTGGAGACCCGAGTAACGTTGACTCTGAGATATCACATCGAGTGTACGACGTCCTGAGCGGACCTGGAGAAGCCATGGCTGTCCCCCTTGTGTCCAGCCCTGAAGATGCAGGTGGGAAAATGGACTTTGAGCTCCAACTTGGAGAACCATACAGTTGCACTCTTGCAGACATCGAGCCACAGGGGATATTAGGCACCAACTTCATGTCTACCTTCAACTGCCAGTGGAGATGGGGTGACAAACAAGTGCTATCGTGATGTCGTGTGGAGAAAACCCTGCAATCGTGTGAATTACGTGCAGCCGAGAACATGGTCGTGCCAGCTGGCCATGAAGTGATTTTGCGGGGACACCGCAAAATCGGGTAACGGGATGGTAAATACCTGGTGACAGTGGTGACAGCAGCAACGGAAGCCGTACCAGTTCGAGTGCTCAACCCAACAGCTGCCCTGTGACATCTACAAGGGGAGTCGACTAGCTTCGTCCTCGCCAGTTGACCATCAAGATGTGATGGAGACGCATGTTGACTGCCAAGGACCACAGGACACATTACCCCAGTGTTTCCACGAGTGTATAAGAAAGCAGCACTTTTGAGACAAAGACCTTGCAAGTTGGTGGCAGTTTTCCTTATGTTAAGGCCCATGCAGGCCCATCATTACTTACCATAATGAAGGGGTTCCGGGAACAGTCCGATAATGGACATGGACATAGGTGTCGTTCCAAGATGAATTTCCCTTGAAATTTCCCCAGTGAACTTGTTAGCGGATGACAACGTCATAAGTTGCCGGTCAATCCAGTAAACTTGATCCTGTAGAAATACAAAGTCGTCAAACGCCAGAGACAAATTGCATTAAGTTGCTCATCGGAAAATATTATATATTATAACATGAAATAAAAGTGGGCTATATGGGATAACTGCAAGATTTAAAAGCAACTATTATAAATATTGAACAACTAAGAAACATTCACAGTTTGAAACGACATCGCTAACAGACTTTCCTAAAGGCCTAACGGTGGATTAAGTGAACACGAAGAATGTGGACATTTCTGGTGACATCGGAAAAATACATTTCTATACATTCGCTGATTACGGGAGGGGCAAAAAAAAGGGAAAAACTCTTTTGGGAGAAAAACAGGAAAATTCCCATCAGGATCCTGATTATTATGGCAGCTAAGTTTGTTAACGCTGTAAGTCAGCACAGATTTATATCAGTGAAGGCAGCGACAAAAAATGCAGAAATATTATTGACTGAATGTTTCACGTGGTTCATTATTTGAATATGGTTAGAGAAGTCATGGTCGTCAACTGTACATGCAAATTATTCCTTACGATTGTACCAGTCACAGCAAAGCTTGAGGCCAAGGGCGGATCCAGGGGGGGGGGGGGCAAAGGGGGCCATGGCCCCCCTCAAAAAAAACGAAACCAATTTTTTTTTTTAATGTGACATCGCAATAAAGGCAGGCAATGAGTACACTACCATCTTTTCCTCAAAAAAAACATTGGTTAAAGTGGTCAGAAATTGCCTCAGATCGCACCACAGAGCATCTAGAATCCAAAAATTGTTCGGGGCCCTTAAGCGGGCCCCGAACCCCACGCCGTAATTTTTTGGACCAATTTTTTGGGGAGACCAAAAATATTTTTTGGGCCCCCCAAAATTGTGTTCTGGATCCGCCCTTGCTTGAGGCTTTGTTGTAACTGGTACAGTTAATAACTTCGTTGAATGGGGAACAACAATAATAAGCTTTCTTCAGTACGACTTATACAACTACATAATGGGAAGTCTGGTTTTATTGGAAATCTTGATACAAAGGTTGGGATGTTGAAAATGTTTGGCTAAGTCAACAAGCTGAAAGCCTTTTGAAAAAAATAGGTTGGTAGATAAATTGTCAGGTATAGATTCAAAATCTATAACAACCTCATAGATGGCGATACCAAAAGGATTTCTCATGGCAAGGTTGTACTGGATGAGAACGCGCCGTCCGTCTCCGTCAAAGCCGACGTACTCCATGTGGTCAAGCTTACTGTCCACCCAGTAGACCCGTCGGGCCTCGTAGTCCAGTGCCAGACCGTTAGGCCAGACAATGCTGGTGTTGACCAGTTGGGTGGGCTTGGAGCCGTCCAGGCCAGCCTTGCCGATCATTGGGGAGTCTCCCCAGTCAGTCCAGTACATGAACCTGCCCCAAAGCCAAAAGTCTGAAAGCACTTAAGGATAACCCAGCAGTGATATTCGGGGGTTTTCAATTATTATTATTTTTTTTAGTTGTGTCGGTTATCCCCCTTTTTTAATCTACTTTTTACATATTTATGAAAGTGAAGGCATCCCTTTAAATGGGAGCAAGAGCATTGGTTATGAAATTCTCAAGAAGCGGAAAAACAAAACAAACAAAAACAAAACTTAAAAACAAATGAACAATTTCATGCACGGAAGTCTTACAAACAGAATTGGATGTTTTCCAAGCCACGGCTTCAGCTGAATTGGCCTCAACTCTACCACCAAAATTAACAATTGAGAACTTTGAATTACTTGAAAAAATCGAAACAAATTCACGTAGCCTTTTATAATAATGATTTTACGTTCACGTTACCAAATACTTAGCTTGCATCTAAAAAAGCTGACCAAAATCTTGAAATGTAATTCCAGGACTTTTCCAGTACAAAATTATATTGGTCTTTCCATGACCCATATCGAGGTAGAATCACGTCGTCAACGCGGTTTGTGAAATATTGTTCAATTAAATGATAGACATAATGGACGCGGAACGCACATAATCTGAGTGGACAACAACACTTTAAGGGTACGTTCGAGCATGTTACTCTTGCTACTCCCAAATGCAGGAAAAAGTTGCGTGCGCATTACTCTCGGTGCAGGAGTATACTCCCGGTATGATGGAGAATATACTCCTGCCGTTCGGGCGCTCAGGAGTATACTCGTGTTAACACGAGTAGTACGCTCGAACGCACACTATTATTAGGAGCCTATGGAGTAATAAAAGTGAATACGTCACGTGCATAAAAAAGGTGTGTGAAAGACATTAGCGCGTGATTCAATGCCGCGAACCAAAACGCGCGCGTACTCCATTCGTTTGCACTCATAGATATAAAATAAGTGTTTGCACAACACTTTCTGGTTCGAAATGACGTCACACTTCGGTACTAAACATGCACAGATGTAAAGCATACATGCGAAAAGAGGAAGCTAAGAGGAAGAAGTAAACATGAATGCAAACTGGAAAACTGTCATATAGCCACATTATGCATCATCACGTGTGCAGTTTTCTTGTAATACAAACTTTCCATGATTCCTTTTACAGTAACAACATGACTTTTCCATGACTTTCCATGATATCTTTAAATTCTAGGATTGCCGCAGAATTTTCCCATGACTGTGGGAATCCTGTAGAAAACAAAGATGGACTCGGCAAATAAACACCCACCTCTCCTTAGGATCCACAGCGACATCTCGTGGCTGGCCCAGCCCGCCAAGTACGACGACGGCGGGAAACCTTCCATCAAACGGTATAGATTTGATTTCTTGGCCTTCCTCACTCACCCAGTACAGGTTTTTGTATATCCAGTCGTATGCCATCCCTTCCACAGACCCGACATTTGCCGACAGGATTGTGCGGTTGGCGATTAAGAAGTCGCGCATGTAAACGCCACCACTTGTGTTGTATCTGTCGTGGACGAGGTCGAGAAAATATTTACAAGGTGCAGGATATAACTCAGCTGTACTCTTTTAATAAAAGCGGCGCTGCAACGTTTTGCCTTTTGTACATGGAATGCACAGGCTGCATGAGGAATTACACGCATCCACTGGATTCTACCACTTCTTCCCAAAAAGTGTTTTATCCAAGAAACTGAAATTTCAACAGTTTGCATCCTCCTCATATTTCCCCTTCCAATTGCGTAGTACAAGTGCTAATATTGCCATTCAAAAATGCATTGATACTGTGAGTCCTTATCCACAAACTGTCAAAATTGTTCAATTTACAAGAAGATGTTGAGATGGATCTTGGAAATATTTTGGACAACGATAAGTGCCGCACAGCCTTCCACCCTAAATTTTGAAATTTAAAGTATGTGTCGGTTGCTTTCTGCACATTTTTTTTAAAAATTAGGTTCAAAGCAATGCTTCATGTATATTCTTAAAAAACATTTGATTTACCAGGGCAGGTTTACACAATCAAATTATTCCTACCTTTCCACAGTACGCTTTGTATGGTCATTCACGAACATGTATCGTGAATTGAAATCAACGATGACACTAGTTGTGTTTTTCCAATCACCTTCAACATCACCAACTGTATTGAACAGTGTTTCAACTGACAGCAGCCTGTCACGACTTGCAATCAGCACCTGTGTATCAGCAATTAATTACAGCGAAATCGTTGGCAAAGCATTGGCTACTGCAGGTGCTCATTCGTTTGGAGCTTGACCCCCTTAAAAATTCAAAATACAATGAAACATTACATCCTAATCCCCCATAATTCTTATGCTCTTCTATATTTTGTTATACAGGGCCAGGTTGACTCGCACCAATCCAAACTCGCATCATATATACAAGACGTGAGTTCAGATATTAGTTAGGTCTCAGATGTGCACTCAGAAAAGGACTTGAATGGGGGATTACGATTTTCATCAGCCAAAAATGGCCCACCCTAACCCAATTCAGCTAGGCTTAGCACAATTTGGTCCAGCCTAGCCCAGCCAGGCTCAGCCCAGCCCGACTTGGCCCTAGCAGCCCGCTTGTTCCTGCCCTGACCTACCTGCCCATGCCAACTTAGCCTAGCCTAGCCTAGCACAGGCCCATCCAGCCCAACACGGCCCTATCCAGCCCAGTCCAGACAGCCCTATCCAGCCACTGCAAGTCCAGCCCAGTCAAGCCCTATGCACCCCAGCCCAGCCAAGTCCAACTCAGCCCAGCCAATCCCATTCCAGCCCAGCTAGCCCAGCCCAGCCCAGCCCAGCCCAGCCCAGCCCAGACAAGCCCAACCCAATTTAGCCATGACCAGCCCTATCCAGCCCAGTTCAGCCCAGCCTAACCACATCTAAATTACCGTAGGTCTTGACGCGTAGGCCTTCACACATGTTCGTTCATCGGGCATGAGAATGTAGTAATATGAGCAAACACACTGTGCTCTGCTCAACAAATTCACGCACTCCACCCCAGGGCAAGGGATGGGATCAGTTGCACTACACCAGTCGGAGGCTGATTCCGGGGATGAGGAACACAAGCAACAACATTGCAGTTGTGTCAATCACAAGTCCAGGCACATGTAACATTGGATGAACAATAAACAAGGACATGTCTTCATCACATGTCGTTTGAATAGTAAGTGAGTGAGTAACTTCATCACCCTTTCGATTTAAAACAAATAGATGGACCTCCAGCCCAGGTCGGCCGTGCCGCTACATTTACATTAACTACAACACACAAGCCAATTAACGCAATATGAAACATGATAAGTCGCTCTTTTGACGGCAGAACGACAGCTTGATCGATATGGCAAGTTTTCATCTTTCTTTCCATGTGAAGAAATCTTTTATTAACCATTTGCAAACATTATAACCATGTCCTGCAGACAACTCAAATTAAAGAACATGTATTCCTAATATATGTTTGTTTCTATTTTCTGACAGCTGTCTATTAACAAGTCTAGAGGTAATGTGCAGCTTGCTAACATAAATCCATGTGAAGCAAATTCGTGACATGACAGATGTTGCATGTTTGTCCAAATGCATATGGATTTTTTTTGGCCATACATTTTTTAATACAAGGGAAGAATGATGATGCGTGTCTATGTTTAGGATAATTAGCAGAGTTTACTAAGGGAATAAATGTGTGCTCCGGAGGTTTTTATCACTCGTTTAATACCGCTTAGAGTCTGGGTGCTGATAATTACCCGAGCCGGACGCGAAGGTAATTATCAGCACCCAGACTCTAAGCGGTATTAAACAGAGTGATAAATACCGACCGAGCACATATTTATTCCCATTCATAAATACCTTATCCGTAAAAAAATATCAAATAATTCGTTCAAAAAATCCCGATTTTGTTCAACAAGTTCACTTCATGCTTTTTGAAACATCCCTCTAGCAAAATAATGGAGTGTTCAGCTGGCGAGTACGATGAAAACAACCCTTTTATGGAGATTGACGCGCGCGTAACATGTTCTGCGCGATGTCACGCAGAACGCAACTGGGGCGTTGCGTTTTGAATTTAGAACTATACAATTCTGACTCGCTTGTATTGCTGCGCATGCCTACGTGAGGATTGTGAACGTTCAACCAATGAAACGGTAAGAGGCACTGGATTTTTAGGAGTCCACATTTTATTGTGACACTGGAAAAGTGTTTAAGACCAGCTAGCCATGTCTTTATCATCCGTTTAAGACCGGCCACGTGACGGACTCTCGACCAATAGGAATAGCTAAACTATCTGAGGTATTTATGAATGCTCGTTCAAAGATGGAAAAATCAGTAAAAGTCCCAAAGTCTGTTAAGTTTTCTTCAGTAGGTGAAAAAAATCTACACGCACTGGGATGGTTATTCCATTTTGGCTCAAAAGATTTCACATCACGCTAAAGATTACAGGTAACTATATATTACAAATGTTAGGTTATGTTCCATCAACTTGATGTATGTTGGCCATTATTGGTAAACATATGATACACAAAGCAAATAGCTTCATAGTAAACACAAAAGCCGGTGAAACGCCAACCCCCAATTACATTCAAACAACACTGACATTGATTAAGAATACATTGATAAAAATAATGATATTGACACTATTTTGTACTCACTCCTGACAGTCACTGTTACTGTATGTTCAATCTCTCCAAGGTCACTCATTGCATAACATGTGTACTCCGCAGTCTCCCGTACATTCTTCAAAACCAGGACACTTCTTTCCTGGGGAAAAGTATCATCAGGACCACTCAGATTCTCATC